GTTTCGAAAGAAGAGGATCCGTTTCAGCCGGAGTCACATCCACGAGTGGGGTCTGTTTGCGATGGAGCCCATAGCTGCTGATGAGATGGTGATCGAGTACGTGGGTCAGATCATCAGACAGGTAAGACCGACTCGAACCAGATCAAGACCGCTCGGCTCCTCTGTTGTTGTTTCTGGAGTGAGAGTGAGACCGACACCGATAAACAAACTTTTTATTTTGATTTATTTTGGATCCACCAGAAGTCACATGATCTGCAGTAACTTTTCTTCTCTTCTCTCTTTGTTTCCAGGTCATGGCTGACATGAGGGAGCAGAGGTACGAGGAGGAGGGCATCGGGAGCAGTTACCTGTTCCGGGTGGATCAGGACACCATCATCGATGCCACTAAATGTGGGAATCTGTCCAGATTCATCAACCACAGCTGCAGCGTGAGTGAGCGCCGCTGAGTCATCACTCCTCATCACGTGAACATGAATCACCTCCATGTTTGATTTTGTTTGTTTTTCAGCCAAACTGCTACGCAAAGATCATCACCGTGGACTCGCAGAAGAAGATCGTGATCTACTCTCGTCAGCCGATCAGCGTCAACGAAGAAATCACCTACGACTACAAGTTTCCCATCGAGGACACGAAGATCCCGTGTTTCTGTGGAGCGGGGAGCTGCCGAGGATCCCTGAACTGAGGAGGCGTCAGTGCAAACACAGACACAGACGCGCTAAAACAGTGAAGTGGAGTTTTCAGAGAAGTAAAGCGTCACACAGAGATCGATAATGGACCCAAACAGAAAAGCATGAAGTGATAAAAATGTGCTGAAACATGATCCTGATCACCTGGTCAAGAAAAATCACAGATTTATTTCATGTTACAGTTTATTGAAAAATGAAAATGTGCAGCAGAAGTTTTTATTACTCTCAGATCTGTTGTTGTTTGAGTGAAAACTGAAGTTTAAAGTTAAACGCTTTTATTTATAAGAGCTTCAACCGTCGTATCAGTGATACGGTTTCTCTATTTTACATTTTAGACCAATTTAAGCTTCATGAATGAGACTAAATCTCTGCAGGGAGGAGGTTCAACAGTCATAATGAAGTTATAATGCAAACTCATCAATTTGTTAAAAAATTCAGTAAAATTAAAGATGAAGAGTTTTTGTTTTTACTGTCTGAACGTTTCTTGGACACTGATAAAGTCTGTTAGTATAAATTTGATTAAAAAAACTTTTCATGGTAATACGACAGCTTTATATATCCGGGACTGAAACACTCGCTGTGATCACATGCTCTTTGAAATCCCGTTGGGCGTCAGCACGGTCAGGTTTCCTCTCGCCTGCTGATCCGCCTCGATGGCCTGAAATAGAGACTTGAAGTTTCCTGCACCAAACCCCTGTGGAGAAATCAGGCGTTTAAGTTTGTACAAAGATGCTCCTTAATGTTGACTCTGAGATAAAGACTGCACAGTGGCGCCCTCACCTGGTGGTTGTGTCTCTGAATGACCTCCAGGAACACGGTGGGTCGATCCTGAACCGGTTTGGTGAAGATCTGAAGTAAATACCCGTTATCGTCGTAGTCCACCAAGATCTTCAGCTCCTGGAAAAGAGTCAGAGAGGATCATGGGAAAGAACGTTTGTGTTAAAGTGCAGTTTAAAACAAACACACAGGACCAGGCTGAGTTTAATACTCCACTCTGATTGGTCGAACTCTAAGAGAAGTCTCAGCATGTTTCATATCTGCCTCTGTGGAGAAACTGAAGAAATAATGATGGAGGGTCACGTCAGGGTTCTGGTCCCCCTGCTGAGGTTCTCACTCGTATAACATCACCTGTGGAGCTTCATCCTCTAAGATTTAGAGTCGGTCAAAACTACTAAAGATCGACACACTCTCCAGCGCTCAAACTCGTCTGTACCTGCAGCACATCCAGGTCCTCGGACACCCGGACCTTTGAGTTTTTCAGGTTCCTCCTCAGCTGGTCGTAGTAGGTGTCGGGGACGCTCATGAACTCCATCCCACGCTCCTTCAGGTTACGGATCTGTAATCCAGGGATTGATCAGAGCTTCACTGAGACAGCTTTGAGGAGACATCCTCACGCTAAAGTAAAGAAAGTTTTTAGACTCACAGCGGTGATGATGTCAGACGTGTTCATGGCGATGTGCTGCACGCCTGGACCTCCGTAGTACTCCACATATTCCTGAGAGGAGAAACAGAAGGAGATGATGGTTCAGACTTTTTATTGTGGGGCTGAAAGGTTCCTCGGATAAATCGAGCTGTTGTTGTTTTAAAGTTTATTTCCACATGAAACCATCAGACCGGTCTAGATTTCTCTGGATGTGACCTGATCAGCCTGAGACAGACTCAGTATCCTGTCAGAGCTGGTTTTAACCCGCTCGGTGTCGGCTCAGCAGAAACACAAACAGCTCTAACTTTACGTGTTCGTTAAAGTCTGAAGGACCTGCCTGGATCTGAGACTTCCTCTTCCCCATCGCCGGCTCGTTGATGGGCATCTTCACCGTCTCTTCGTAGTTTGCGACCACGATGGAGCGCAGAGCGCTGAACTCAGTCTGCAGCTGTTTATCGTCCACCGACCAGAAGCGATGGAAGAGGAGGTTTTTCTGGTACCTTTGGGAACAGAGGAGGCGTTAGCTCAGACATCATCAGACGAGCTTCAGCGTTCAAACTCTCGGCCTGTTTCCTCATCATCATAAATGATTGACACTCTGAGTTATGAGCCAGCTCTGTGAGGTTACGCACATAAAAATCTGTAGCTTGTGTCACGCCCCTCTTTTAAGGATTAACCAATGAGCTGGCTCATTTAGAGAGCTGCCTTTCCCTCCGCCTTACATGCCTATACGATGGGCTCAAAACCAGATCCAGATGTGCAGAACTGCTGGAGACGTACTTAAGAAAATGCAGAGTCATTCTGGTCCCTGACTCATGCCAGTAAAGCAGAGTTATGTAAGACCCGGACGCCCTTTGACCCCTCCTGTCCCCCACCCTGATGTCAGATCTCAGTAAAGGTGTGAGGAGCGTGTCTGTTACCATTCCACCACCGGGACCATCTCCTCGTCCGGCTGGTTCCCCACAACGTGATCGATGAAGTTCAGCTGTCCACTCGGCCTGAAACAGACAAACAGAAACATCTGTTCATGACCCTAATCCAGTTTGTTTTTAAAGTTCTTCTTCTTCTTCTCTCATCTTAGACCTGATCCACAGGTTCACACTCACAGTTTAGCTAAAAACGGGTCCTTGAACAGAGGAGGCTGAAAACCGGGCAGGAACAAACCGGAGTATCCTGTCCTCTCCACAAACGTGTGTGTGGTGTCACCGTACTGCAGAAACAGAAGTCCAGTTTTAGGTCGTTTCTAACGATTTAATAATTTGTTAAATTCAGACAGAGTTCAAATGTCTCACAGTTTGAAGCACGGCCAGTCGGACTTTTCCAAACTTGTCCTCCAGCGTGAACGGCTCCTTAACAATCACTGCGCCTCGCTCTTTGGCTTTCTGTCAAAGAGGAAATGTTTCTCACTGCGATGATAACTCTAACGATATTCATCAGCAGCTTTTAAACGTCGCCTCTCACCTGAACCAGGAAGTCACAGTCCTGCACTGTAAAAGCGATGTCCTTCACTCCATCCCCGTGCTTCACTAAATGATCCCCCATCTCTGAGAAAACAAAGTCAACAAATACTTTTATATTTACGACTTTAGCATCGTTTACGAACATGTCTGTGACTGTTACACCGTTTAAAGGAAGTCAAATCTGTCCAAAAGTCGTCTGATGTGAGGGAAGTACGTGTGGATTTATCAGGACAGGTTTAGTGGGTGTGAGAGTTTCATAAATCTCAGAGATGAAGTGATTAGATGAAAACAGTTGGTGGAAAACAGTCCTCTTTTTACAGTCTCAGATTTATGAATCTTATATTTGAAATCTTGCATTTTCACTTTATAGATCGACAGGTTTGAGTGAAGTTCAGTACCTTTGTTTCCAGGGTTGAGAGCCGAGGAGAAGACATAAATAATCTGTGAACACAAAGTGAGAAACACAGAAATAAACTCACTTTTGACAGTAAGTATAAGAGACCAGCCTGCACGGATTCATCGCTATTATTTCTGATTATTTTTTGATGTTTTCAGAGATTTTCTTTGTAAAATGTTAATTTTTTCACAGTTTTATGTTTGTTGTATTCGCAGGCAGAGTCCGACATTAACATTCACCACAGGCCAAATATTTAGCGGTTCAGTTTAAGTCGAATTTAGTGAAGAAAATACAGAAAGAAACACATCTGAATTAACTAATTAGTTTAAGCTAAAAGGTGCAGGATGAAGCTCTACTGTCAAACTTATCAAACGTTTCACATTAAAAACAAACAAACAAAAAAACAGACAGAAAATTAAGAGCTCAGAATATTTCTGACCCGTAAACCTGATCAGAATAACGTGATTAAATCTTTAGATAGTTTTAATTATCCGTTTGTTTGTTCTTTCCTGAGTGTAAACCCTGATCAGAACAATCGTGTTTGAATCTCAGTTTAAGTTGGTTTTAATTTTCCTTATTTTTGTTTTTCTAAAAAGGTAAATTTGACTTTTTGCAGGTAAGTTAATAAACAGTTTTTGTCTCTCGTCTTCTTTACATAAACCACATTCAGCAGAAGCAGAGGCTGCTGTTCAGGAGGACCTGGGGTCCAACCTCACTTTGGTGAACCGACACCTTCTGTCTGCTGCTCCTTTAATGTCTGCAGGTTTGATACGTTGGTATGATGTGAATGACAGCGTTCACTGATGCACACGATCAGTATCAATAAAGAATAAAAGGAGGTTAATGTCAGAGTTTTGGTCGACGATTAACTCCATCATCAGAGTATCAGGGTCACATTAAAGAAAATCACATTAGGTTTACAGTAAAAATTTATTTTAGTCAACACTAAACACAAATGTTGTAGCTGCTGTGAAGGAGGATTATCATGATTTTATTTTAATTCAAACAAAAACTCATTTTTCCACAGACTGCTGTCGGCTCCTCTGATGTTAAAAAAGTTTAAAATTCACCAAAAACTTAAACTTTACCATAAATCCTCTCTCCATAAACGATGACTTTATTCTTATGTTACAACTTCATACTAAACATGTGGGATATTATTTATTATGACTCTGTTTTCCTAATATTAAGACTAATTCTTGTAATAATGAACGGTGAGTTTAATACACCACCATTCTGTGTTATTATGGTTTAATTCTTATAAGATTAAGATTTTACTGAGACTTTAATCAGAAAGTATTAGGGTTTAATTTAGTACAACACTTTTCTTCTAATATTAAAACTGTGTTCGTGTAGTTTTAGAGTTTAACTGTAATTTTATTCTTGTAATATTATGTTTTATACAACTTTATTCTTGTTATAGTCTGACTTTAACCCCAACGTTGAATTTATTCTTATAACTTAATCATAACACTGTAACATTATCTTAAAATATTTACTAAAATTCTTACAGTTTCATCGTCTACCTGCCACCTTAGAGTAAAAAGTTCCCCACTGATAAACAGTTTTTTTTTTTACCTTTCCTTGTCTGACTGCGTGGGAAACCACATCTCTGCTGCCCGTCTCCAGACCCTGGTAGGCCAGAGGTTCAAATCCCAGTTTATTACAGTAATATGAAGCCGCCTGAAAAAGAAAATCCAGATTTTACTCCAAAAACATCTCACTCTGTCATCACGACCTAACACAAAGAGTCTCCAACAGCGCCATCTCCTGGTGTAACAGGAGGACAACTCCAATGTTGTTGTAAAATCCACTAAACGGTCTGTGGTTCTGTACACTGTGCCCCCTCCACCCCTCAGGAGAGCCAATAGTCTGGCTGAGAGGATAGACGAGCTCTCCATCTGTGAGGAAAACAATTCAAGAGGACGAGGAGAAGAACATCTGAAGAAGAGGAGGAAAAAAAATACCTGCTTGGCATTTCCAACCCAGAAAGTGAGGTGGTCGAAGCAGAGGAACCGGCCCTGCTCGTGCTGCAGAGGAGAAACATCATTATCATCATTAGAGTAACAGACGGTGGAGACATTTATGAAAAACATCATTTATTTATGAGAAAATATAAAGACTCCATCTGTGACTTTACAGCGTGTCAATAATCTCTGTTCAGGTTACCTACCTTTTCACCTTTGTCTGTGTACGTCGTCTGGAAGAAAAAAAAGAGCACAAATTTAGTCACGACTTCATATTCAGAGGACATTAAAATTTTTAAGTATTTTCAAGTTCAATTAAGTCAAAAAATATTAAACTCTCAGTCAAAGGTAACAGCAGAGAGAGGCTTTAAAAAGTGAACTCACCATTTTGCTGCGCTGACCTGACCTGACTGTCAGAAAGAAAAGCAGGATGAAGTTCTGAAGTTTAAAGCCGAGAGTGACGTTTACTGAGTCCACACCCACCGGTGAGGAGGAGGAGGAGAAAGAGGAGGAGGAGGAGGAGGACGAAGAGCACTGATGCTTGTTGCCATTTTGCCATTATACAATGATTACTCAGGAAAACAACATGCCAACATACCACAGCTCAGATTAAAATCTTCATCATCTCTTTTCCTCTCAGATTATTCTAAACTAAATCTTTAAATCCTCTGATTAATTTAAAAAATGTCTCCATAATGTTTGATAATGAACTTTTTTTTTTTACTCTATAGGAGAAAAAAAAACTGTTTGTCCACAAAGGTTTAGGGTTACAGCTGCGCTCTCTCAGAAGACGGCGTCCATATGTTAGTGTTTAGTGGCGAGAGGAGGCTCACTCATGCTGGACTCTGATTGGCTCGCAGGATTTGGGCTGAGTGAACCGTGGCGTGTTTAAAATGACCCCAACCCATCAGTCCACAAATATCAGTCCAAACTTTTTAATTAGTCCAGATCGATATGAGCTCAAAGACGTTAAAGTTTAACAATATATTTTTGTACATTGAAAGTTTTTCTGATTTTGGACATTTTAGTTTGAGTTAATGGATTTCAGCTGCTGTGAATAAATGTGACGCTCAAAGTGTTTCATCTGTGCAAACTGAACTCGAGCACAAGAGAGTGTGAAGTGTTTAACAGAGAGTTACTGAAATTTATTTACTGAAATATGAGACACAAAGTAGATAGATAGATAGATAGATAGATAGATAGATAGATAGATAGATAGATAGATAGATAGATAGATAGATAGATAGATAGATAGATAGATAGATAGATAGATAGATAGATAGATAGATAGATAGATAGATAGATAGATAGATAGATAGATAGATAGATAGAAGCGTGGTTAAACACAGAAGCAGAAAAGTAGAGGGTAAATATTGAAGGTGTGGCTGTGCTTGTAATAGAATCATCAAAAATTAAATTCTACTTTGTAATTTTACTTCTTCGTTATATTGGGAGGATGTCCAGATGACACTTTATATGTTTCATACACTGCAGGAGCATCCAGAGGGAACTTTCTCCATTTGTTTTAAAATGGAGGGACATCGAAGGGGCACGCCGGCATGTTTCATCATTCAGAGGAGCAGCTACTCAAGGAATTTTTTCCTGCATTTCAATTAGAAAAAGGCACAGAGAGGGCAAGTTATCATGGTTTATACACATCCAAGAAGTTTTTTCTGCAGAGCTTCTTCAGACATGTGGACGTAATTGTCCGTGTGTGTCCTCACCACCACTGATCAGATACCAGATGGAGCTGTGACTAACCATTAACTGTGTTTATCCCAGCGTGTCCTCTTCATCAAACTTTTATATGAGGATCTATGAAGGTTTGGATCTATCTAGGAACTTCTTACAAACGTCATGAACAGTTGCTGATTATTTTGTCGATCACCCCGGTCTCTTCCTCAGATTTTGTGTTTTTTTGTTTATGAGATTAACTGGATTTATTATTTCTTCTGTGTTTCAGCTGGACTATCTCACTCCTGAGATTTGAAAGCCCGCTCCTCTGAGCTCCCGCTGCGACCGTCCCTGAAGACCTTTGTTTTTCACACTGTCACCAGGAGGTTTGGAGTTGTCATGGGAGGCAAAAGAACACTCTCACACACAGAAATGAAAAACACACACGATGTGCTGAATTTTACGATAAATCAGCTCGGTGACATAATTGAAGCTTTAAGACGTGCAAAAATAACGTGGTATGAAAAGTTTGAGGTACTTTCAGGCAGAGTTGCATTTGTTTTAATTTCAGTTTTTGCAGCTTTTGTTTATTGTGCAAAACTGCCTGTTGTTGACAGGTTTGATTTGTCAGCAGGTTCGTTTGCATTTCTGTTGTGTAACCCTAATGTCATCATACAACACACTGCATTAAATCCCCAGGTATTCAGCCTCTCTGGGGACAAATACCCTCAACAACACTCCTCACAACATCGTAGTAGCTCAGTTGAAGGCAGCAGACCTTCCTGACGAGACAAAAGCAAAAGCAAGTGAATCTTCTTCCAACATGAATCCACAGATACTGGTGAACGGTGAACAGGAGCGGCAGGATGTCATTGCTGCAGCAGAAGAGCTGATCTGCTCCATCACACTTCATGACGAGTGTCCTGAGGACGCCGTTGATGCTGAGAAGGAGAAGCATGCAAAGATGCAGTCTGTTCTCAAACAGGTACGTGAAAAAATCCGGTCTCAGGCGGGCACAAGGGCCCCGAAGAGCGGCGGCATCATGGAGCTGGTGCAGAGGGTCCGAGACAGAGAGAGCGCACAGGTGAACGGGGTGGCTGAGGGTGGAGAGGATCAGAAACAAGAGACTTTGGCGGGTGAGGAGAAAACTGTGATGGAGCAGCAGGAGGAGAATTTTTGTGCAGTTTTTGACTCAAAGCTCGGGGCCAGTGAGAAAGCCTTAAGAGAGGAGTTTGAGGTGCAGATTTCTCAGGTACGTAAAGAGATGCAGACCTACACTGACCAGGCTCTGAAAGACCTCCAGGTTAAACTGCAGAGCCGACAACCACACAAATCCCATCAGACACACCCCAGAGAGCAGGCGGAGATCAGAGGTCCTGACAGGAGACAGTGGCCTGCAGCAGGTTCGACTCTGGCCTCCAGGAGAGGAAGAGTCCTGACTCGGACCATGACCACCATCATCCCTAAGACATGCGCCCCCGTCATAGTCGGACCACGAGCCAAATCAGAGACTCTGAGCTCTTCAAAGGGTGAAAGCTCTCAGCTTTTACCAAGGGATCCACATAACTGCTAAGGAGAAGGTCAAAGACACAAAATACTGTAGCCGCAGGCCGCTCCCCCTGCATGCCCCCCTCTGCAGCAACGCAAGAAGCAGATCCAGACAAAAGCTAAAACTGTGAAGTGACTCACACAGCACAGAAGAGAGTCTCCTAATGCTTATTTTCAATGATATGTGTTGTGATGCATACTTCCTGCTGTCATGTAATCATCTGCTGAGCGGCTGTTTTGTTACTTTTTATGGAAATAAAAAGTTTACCATAAAGATGTCTAATTCTCTATTTTAATAATTCATAATGTGCTCTGAGATTTCAATGTTTAAAGGGAAGGAGTCTCCGAGAGGGTTAAAAACGTAAAATAGAGGGAAAAAAAGAAATAGGTGACTGTGCAGGTGCCTGTTTAAACATTGCAAACAATCCAGTGGCTCATAGGGGACAACTTTTGTTGTAATTTAAATATAATTATCCTAGTTACTGAAAATTTCATAGATTTATGAGTATTTGTACTTACCAATATGTCCATAGTGTGGGTAGTAAACGTCAGGTTCTCAAAGGCCGAAGAACATCCGCCCAGGATGTCACCAGATAATCCGGCAGCAGAAATAACCGTAACACTGGTCATCGGCGTCGAAGTACCGCGGTTCAAAAAAAGTCTCGGTTTCACAACAAAATGCATTTTCTCTCATACCGTCCCTACAGTATGAGCTGGACTCGATGTGAGACAGTAACTGTGGGTTTCTTTGGTCGGTTAGGGGTGTATGTAGCAGGTAAACTGCGAGGTGATTTTTAGCTAGCTCGTTAGCCGTTAGCATTCTAGTCGCGTTTGGCGCCTCCGCTGTTTAAATGTTTGTTTTCATGAAACCGCGCCAAAACTAAGAGAAGAAAGCGGCATTTACAGGGATATTCCGGCGTAAAATCAATTTAGGGTCAAACACACCGTAACACCGAGTTAGACATGCATGATAGAAATACAGAGAGCCACGCGCTCAACCAAAACACCACTGTATAGCCACAAATAATGCTCAGAACAGCACCTAACTTCATCAACAGGACATATAGGGTCCCAGCCTTAGTAACATCTTTTTAACTTTGACTAATTTCTCCTGCAAAGATACTAAACACAACTCACCTACTCTATTCCAGCAGCTGATTGTTTGCAGCGAGACCTCAGGCCAGTCCATTATGGATTACAGTGGGGTGACGCAGCTCAAGGAAGAACATTTATGATCATTTCATCATGGAAATACAATCAGACCGAGACGTTAAGGCAGATGAACAACCACGTCTGCAAAATGATTAATATGGTGATTATTACTTCAGGGAAACGATAAAGAAATGATCATAAATGTTCTTCCTTGAGCTGCGTCACCCCGCTGTAGTTGATGGACTCGCCTGGAGGTCTCGCTACAAACAAGCGTCTGCTGGAAGAGAGTAGGTGAGTTGCGTTTAGTCTCTTTGGTACACAAAGACAAACCTCTAAATCCAGAGTTTTAATTCCACAGTAGACTAATTGTCTCATTAGCTGCACTGACCGCTGGCCTGCAGGCCTTTAGGTGCAGGTTACCATTTTAGATTAAGAGTATCTTCTCAGTTTTCCTTTCAGGTTTCCTGGAGTTTACTGTGCTTGAAGAATTTGTATTTTCAATAAAGTTTTAAAAAAAGGTCACTATTCGGCCAATCACAAACCAGATAGGGTGAGACTGGTTACCTAGGTAATCAAAAATAACACTTTAAAGAGCTGAAACCTTAACACATTAATACCATGAACTGTGGTGTCAATAACCAGCTGAAATCACTTCGGTTAAAGCGTTTTTTTAATAGTATCAGTGTGATGATAAAGGACTTCTGGGTATGAAATTATTTTGGTAGTTGTGCAGTTTGGCCAGTAGATGGCAGCAGTTAACCTCTATGTTTTAAAAGAGTCCCACCTGACAAAGAAAAAGCCTCATCACCATTACATGACAGTTTTTAAAGCAGATCTGTTATTGCCTAACAGTTGAACCTGAAGCATTCATTATGGGTCAAGTGTTTGTTTTCATGAAAACTTATTATTTTGCCAAACTAGTTTGAAAAGTAAATATGTGTCCATGACCTTAAACACGTTGGAGGTACTGCTGATAGCATTATATCAAAACTAGGGTGAAATAGTGGGGATTCCTGACCCTCTACTTCAACAATCAGTGGTTAGAGACCAGTTATCTCCCCTGATGGAGTCTCACAGTCTGCTGCTGCTCCCCAGTGGCCAAACAGCAGAGGACAGCACTGATTAACTCCCAGGACAGAGGGTGAGGAGATAAAAGCTGGACTGAGACATGCAGAACATTTGAAAATACATGATTACTCTGTCACTGGTTCAAGGCAGTTCCAGGTCTTTAAGGAACTTGAAAAACATCTTAAAAGCCCAGAAAAGTAAATCTCTCTCCATGCACTGTTATGAGGAAACCTCTCTTTTAAATATACCAATAAATGTCCAATAATCCTGCAGAAACATCACATGATATGATCTTCCAGCCTGTTTGGACTCAGGTGATGTGGGCACCTAAGTGCTTCCAGCAGCTGATCTGGCACTGGGACCAGTCAGTGACAGGAGGAGCATTTAGCCACGGAGCGCGCTCAGGAGCCGTGCGCCCTGAGGCGGGCTCTTCACAATGGACGGGATAGAGAAGGTTGTGAAGAGGAGCTTTGTGTCTCAGGGACGATGAGCCCCGAGCAACCAACCATATCCGGAGGGGACGGGAGCCCAACACATTCAGGACCGGCCAAACCACTCTGACCACGGAAGCAGCATCTCTCGCCTAACGATACCAACCACCACTAACAGCAGCAGCATCATTGATATTCAGCATGGACGCGCCGAGCTGCACATATTTATCATGGAGAACACAAATCAGGACAGAGAAGGGAAGAGAGAAAGATGGCGGGATAAATACTGTGAAAATCCAGGAAAGATTGTCAAGTTTAATTTAGTTTGACTTGATTTGATTCAATCTGCACTTTATAGTACAGCAGTTTCACTAATGATCAGTGTAATGCAAATGATTGTCTTTATGAACACCAAATATTTAACACCATGAAAGCAGCTCAGTCTGTGCCTAACAGGACTGATTTGGTCTGTCATAGGAGGTCTGAACTGAAGCTAAAACCAAAGTCAGGTAGTCTACAGGAAAATAAGAAAACTCTGATCCAGTTTGAACCAGATCTGAATGCAGACCTCTAAACCCAGACCATCTTTCTGTCTAACTAGCCGGACAGATACATAAACAGGTTCAGCTCAGGCTGTCAGAGCAGGAGGCTGACGTCACATTTACCTGCTGATACATATATTTATAAGTGTGTAAATATAAGCATAATGAACACATGTACTATTGCTCATGATACACATATAGACTCTCATTTTCTCCCCCATATTTCTCCCCCTTTTCTGCCATTTGAAGAGAATGAGTTTTTCTTTCAGACTCCATCTGTTTGAATTTTAGCCGCAGTTTTTACAGTTCAGGATGGATCCTCTTATATTCACTAAGCTGACTAAAGTCCTTGCAGTCAGATGTAGTTAGAGCTGTGACGGGTGGAGTGGACACGACCCATGAATAACAGCGAATAACAATAACGGGGAGGAGGAGGAGGAGGAGGGGTCCATCTGAAAGCCTGATTTCCTAATCACCTCCTGTAACGTGCCAAAAGATAACATCAGGGCCGTGGAAACACTGATCTCATGTAAATGCTGCACTTTTCTCTGCTGTTGTTCTCCAGCTCTCGACGATTACAGAGAGAGGCCACTTCCAGGTTAGACGGATTAAAAACAAGCTGATTTCAGGAGTGATTCCTCGGTGATTTACAGCCGTCACACAGGGGGGGACAGAGGACGGAGGAGGGAGGAGGAGGGGGGGAGAGTAAGGGTGTGTATTGGATCCCGGAGCGGCCGCTTCTCTGAGGCATGATTAGACATGTTATACCTCATTACATGAAGGACATTACTGATAAGATTCACAGGGATTTGGTTTGATTGAGCTTTGAGTTCAAATTCAGTCACAGATTTCATCCTAAACTCTCGGCTCAGATTTAAAGGAACAGGGTCTGTTTCCCAGGAAAAGATGATTTAAGATTTACTTTATTTTCATATCAAGAAAAAGTTTTAAAAAACTTTCTCCACCGAGCCGAGTTTGTGCTCAATATTGATGTTCTTGGCTGCTGTTATGAGTGTAGCTCCACCTCAGGAGAGCTGAGTTTCCTCCACCTCAGATTTAAGTGTGCCGTAGGACATTAACGTGTTAATCACTCAGCAGAGAATATAAAGCAGATAACAGGAGTTTTATGACAGTGAGAGCTGAATAACAGACGTCTCTGTCAGTTTGTTTTTGTCGATAAAAACAAACAAAGGTGTATTTGTTGTTTCTGCGGATCAGATCAGAGCCTCTGTCGTCTAGACTGATCCTGGGCTCAAACTCAGACTACAGACTCAGCCTCTTTATGTTATTAACTGTACAGTTTAATCCTCTGGACAGTTACTCGTCACAAAGCTTTAACGTCTGTTTGTTTTCCTTCAAAAATCCACCTGTTTGTACGTGTTCATCTCCAGGCGATAGAAATTAGACGAGAACATGTATCAGAACATGGATCACAGCATCAGGTGTTCAGACTTCCTCATGAACACGTATCAGACTTTACAACTCTTCTGTAAACGGTCAATGACTTTTAGAGACATGACAAATGAGACGACAGACAACAAAGTTATTCTTATTCTTATGAAATCACAGTTTACATGTGAAGTGTTGAGCTCTGAAAAACGTCCACTAAAGGCTGTCTGCAGAAACACACAGGACATGACAAACACGAGAAGCTAAAAACCTGATTTTAGAGCAGAAATAAACATGTTTACTGCCTGGTTCAGGCTCACACTCAGTGTTGGTCTGAGTGGGTCAGAGTTTCTGTAACACGTCTGTTTTTTTTTAGATATGAAGGTTTTGGGACTCAGCGGTACGGCCGACCTGACCGACAGGTGGACTCATTTAAAACCTGCGAGAAGAGCAGAAGGACAAAACCAGAGATATAAAGAGGTTTCAGCTGAACCTAACACACACACACACACACACACACACACACACACACACACACACACACACACACACACACCCCGTTTCAAACACACTAATGGATGATTGTATGGAGAGAGACTTTAACGTACTGCTGCATTTGTTTCTGTTTCTGTGAGCTAACAGGGCTGTGTGTGTGTGTGTGTGTGTGTGTGTGTGTGTGTGCTCATATACTCATGTAAACAGAGATCTGACACATTCCACAGGCTGTCAACGCTACTTTCTTTCTACTGTGGCGTTCATCCACCTGTTGCAGGACTATAACATGGACACACACACACACACACACACACACACACACACACACACACACACACACACACACACACACACACACACAGATGTAAAGCAGGGTGCATTTGTTGCAGTCTGGGTGGGATGAACAGCAGGGAGATCTGAGAGGAAGAGAGCAGTTGTGTTTTTGGTCAGATTAACCATTTGGGTGAGAGAGAGAGAGAGAGAGAGAGAGAGAGAGAGAAAGAGAGAGAGACGGAGAGAGAGAGAGAGAGAGAGAGAGAAAGAGAGAGAGAGAGAGAGAGACGGAGAGAGAGAGAGAGAGAGAGAGAGAGAGAGAGAGAGAGAGAGAGAGAGAGAGAGAGAGAGAGAGAGAGAGAGAGAGAGAGAGAGAGACCTGCGTGTTGAGGACCACAGATGCTGCTCTCAGATTTTTAAAGATTAGTTTTTTGTTGAAGCTCAAATTGTTAAAGTTTCACATTTTTCAGGAAAGGTAAAAAAGAAGGTAAAACTTCTTCACAGCTGAGAGGAAAGATTAAAAAAAACTCAGTTTAGCTTCATGGATATATTGAAAAGTTATGTTTTATAAGGTTTTAAAATAAATGTGAATTATTACAAGATCATTACTGAACTCTGATTGGTCAAAACCGCTGTAATGTTGATGGACTTTTAGCACCAGTACAACTTAAAACTGGACTTTATTTTAGAGAGTCCGGATTATATTTAAAAGAGAAATTTAATCCTTTTTACAAGTTTTTATCTTTACTGCATTTAATATTATCTAGAACTACAGACATGAATTTTATCAAACAGGGATTAGTGTTTTTATATCCACTACTGAGGTCTTTCTTCAAAAAACTTTACTTCCACAGAAATGACAGTTATGTAATATAATAATGTGGTGAAGCAGGTCGAGTAAATCTCTTGATTCACTCTGATGAGTTTATTTTGAGTTTAGGAGACATGAAGAAGTTTGTTTATGAGTTTGAATGTGAAGCTTGCAGACGGTTGAAGGTTGAGAAGAAGAGGAAGAGGAAGAGGAGGAGGAGGAGGAGGAGGAGGCAGCTGCAGGTCCTAACAGCTAAAAACAGAACATTAATATGAAGGTTCACGCTCTGGTTCCTCCTCAGGAGAAATAAAAGAGAGGAGAGCGGGTGAGCGGGTGGACACGGTTCGACTCCCTCTGAGAATACTGAGGGGTCGACTGTAAAGCCCACACCCCAAACACACAAACAGGTCACACTCACAGACCACACACCAGCACTCACAACATTTATGATCATTTCAACACACAACTGTTGTTGTTGTGTTGGTGGTGGTGTCCCCCTCTGTCTCCCCCCCGTGTCTCCCCCCCTGCGCTCTGCTCAGCTGGTATTCTGGGTGAGTTCGCTCTTATGGACTCTGGCTAACCAAACCAGACAAGCTGTCAGTCCGGCTCATCTCAAAAACAACAACAAGTCTGAGCGCTGCAGCGTGTTCGATGGATCCCACCCTGAACCCTCCGTCTCAGGCCGACGCTCAGATCTACTGTCTTCACACCCACGCTTCAGGCTCTTCTTACTAATGACGCTCTGGAAACTTCTAATCTTTGTGTGTCCAACATCAAACCCTTTCAGTCAAAACTTCTTATTTACAGGCAGAAACCTCGAGCAGAACCAGAACGTTGGTGAACATCCATCTGAACCAAAAGACGTTAACAGAGAGACGGTCAGAGTTTCACTCAGAGGTTCCTGGATGTTCCTCAGACTCTGACTCAGCGGTTTATCTGCAGTTATCAGACGGTGGAGTAATGGTGGCTCCAGTGTGTTTGATGGATCTGCTGTAACGCTGATGAAGTGTGATGTTTAACTCCGTCTCATCACTCACGGGCCAAGCCTCTTGTCCAATCAGATTACACGCTCTGAACTAACTCTTGTATAGATGAACTTTGTGCGGATAAATAACCGTAAAACTGTCTTTTAAATCCTCCTAACTCAGTGATATGAAGCCAAACCATGTGTCCAAGAAAAACTTCTTCTTTCTGTGTGTGATGAACAAGGTGAGGCCCTCACATAGATCACGGCGGACCGTCCTGTGATCTATTTCCAGCTCTTTCTGCCAGGATGGACAATAACTAACACATGATGTCTCCGACGTAAAGACGGGATGAATCATGGGGTTTCACATTCTTGTCGTTCCACACATGTTCTTACTTTAAAATATGATGCAAAGCGAACTGGAGCGCGTGTAAACCCCCCTCCCCTTCACTTCACCTCATCCACAGATTCTCTTATTTCTCTCTGATTTCCGGGCAGACCTCCTCGCCTCTCTGTGTCGGAGCATCTGCACTCAGACGCCCTCCTCCTCTCGCCCCCTGTCCCTCCTCCTCTCCGCCCCGCCCTGCAGCCTCGACCCCTCGCTCTAACTGGGATCTCTTGTCAGCGGGGACAAATATTGACTTGTTCGGTGGCCCAACTTCTGCCAGGATTAGAGCCCCACTTCCCCCCCGCCCGCCGCCGCCACCGCCGCCATCTCTGAGCGGCGATTATGTCCAACAGAGCTCATTACTGTCAAATCAAAGGAGCCCTCAGAAGAGTCACTCGTTGGTAATGACCCTATTATTCGGCGAACATGTGGGCTCTGGTTGGTTTGACCTCCTGCTGATAGACGGTCTTTAACAGTCTCATTGTGATGCTAAAGGACTTTGTTTGACATCAAGTACTTTAAGTTTGACTTATTTGAGGTTTAAATCCTGTTTTAACTCTAAACCTGACTTTGTGTTCATATCAATATTAACTTTCATGCACAAACAAACAATCTGCAGCATGTTTTTCACATGCATGTCTGATCAGAGGACACCCACAATGCATCAGAGGATCGAATACACACTTTCAGGATGACGCTGACTTTGCATAATCCAGTTAGAGTCTGGATCCTGGTCGTGAGTCAATAGAGATTAGAGATCTATTAGTCTGGAGGTGTAAACCAAATGTGAGGCATTCATGACAAAAGCTCCGACCCTGAGGAGAAACTCCAGTGGGAGATAACAGGACGGTGTAATGAAACTGATGTGAAACTCCAGGATTGAGAAGACCCCCCTCTGAGCGTTTTCAGACCCTCAATGACTCTAAGAGATCCGGTTCATAGATCAGCATATCTTTAATACAGTAGTTAGTTACAGTGATGTCGAAAAATAAAACATATATATGCATCAGATCAGAACATTTATTTACAGTTTCTTTGTCCCCTTTAGTGCCGTGAATACACCACGAAACCCCTCCACCCGACCCCACCCGCCCCGCTCCACAACAACATTTGTCAACTGCCATCTGCCTGTCTGCCCCCCCGTCTCCTCTCCACAAACTATATAATTAAGCTGCAACACCTTTTCTCCCCTTACGCCTCCCCCTCCTCCCTCCTCCTACCTTCACAAACAAGCTCTGCATCCGCCCCCCCCGCCCGCCCGCTCACACATTTTTAATCAACAAGTGCTTTTAAAACAAAACAGCGATAAATCTGAAGGAGAGAAAAAAAGGCTATGGTATGAAAATACTGTACAGCTTTATGTTTCTTCTTCCAGTGTAAACAGATCTGCATGTACATTGAGTCACAAGTCTGGACACCAGCGTGTGCCTCTGTGGCAGAAATGAGAGCTTTCGCAGAGCAGGACGAACAAAAATAAACCCTTTTTTTTTCTCAGAGAATTCGAGGAATGAAGAAGCCGAGGAGCTCAGCCGGCTGGCTCCGGCTTCAAGTCCAAAAAACCTCGACACAGCGTCCTCTCTGAATGATTTCATGACTGAGCAGTGACAAAGTTCATCACATCTGGACACCGAACGTCTTTTTTTTGTTCCAGCGGTCGGAGCTACGACCAGCCCGCAGCCTCGCTCCACCGTCCCTCACCTCCTCTACACCTTTGTGGCCAGAGACTGAATCTCCGACTTCTGAGTCTGGGCGCTGAGCGTGGACGACATGGAGCTCATCTGGCCGTGCATGGCCTTCTTCAGGTTGAGCAGGCACAGGCACTGGGAACGAAAGCGCAGGTCAAAGAAGGCGTACAGGAACGGGTTGAGGCAGCTGTTGACGTAGGCCAGGCAGGTGGCGTAGGGGTGGGCCAGCAGCAGGAAGCGCAGGAAGCCGCAGGAGCTCGGCGCCAGGTTCAGGTACGAGAGGGCGTCCATGCTCTTCAGGACGTGGAAGGGGGTCCAGCAGATCGCAAACACAACAACCAACGTGGTGATGATCTTCAACAGGCGCTTCTTCTTCTGGTCCTCTTTGCGCAGGTTGTTGAAGTGGCGTGTGACGGTGCAGCCGATGAAGCAGTAGAAGATGGTCATCGCCAAGAACGGCAGGAGGAAACCCAAGGCGGAGGAGGAGAGGCTGAGCCCTACGATCCACAGGTACTCGTGTCTCTGGTTCATGGTGACCAGGCTGAAGTCCATGGCGCAGGTGGTGCGGTTGCTGTTCTGGTCGTTCACGGTGGTGCGAAACAGCAGCGTGGGCACCGCCAGCAGGCCGGACAGGAACCAGATCGCACCCAAGGACGCCAGCATGGTTCCCCTGGAGCGCAGCCGACTGCTGGACAGAGAGTGCACGATGGCCAGGTAGCGGTCAAAGCTCAGGCAGGTGAGGCAGAAGACGCTGGCGTACATGTTGACCAGAACCACGTAGCTGCTGATCTTACACAATGCCACGCCAAAGGGCCAGTGGTAACCCAGCGCCGTGTACACCGCCCAGAGAGGCAGAGTCACCACAAAGGTCAGGTCAGCCAGGGCCAGGTTCCCGATGTAGACGTCTGCAGCCCTGCGTTTGGATTTGGACCTCCAGACGGTGAAGATGACCACGCCGTTCCCCGACAGGCCCAGGATGAAGATGAGCATGTAGAGGACGGGGATGAGGGAGTAGGAGGGCTCCCACTCGGAGAAGTCACAGGCAGTCTCATTGTCGTCGTAGTACTCATAGTTATCGACATATTCCCCAGTGGTGGTCTCCATGCTGCAGAGGAAAAGGTCTTTAAAAATCCTTCGAGTCCTGTACAGATCCAAAACTCCTGAGGGGACCACGGCGAGCAGCAGAGGACCACGGCGAGAGAGCAGACGACCACGGAGGTCTGGGTTCACTTCAGAGCTGCCGGTGTGTGAGTGTGAGGAGAGGGGCTGAACGTGAGTGAGTGAGTGAGTGACTGTTGGCGCTGTCTGCCTTTTTAAACTCGGCCCTCCACACCCCCACAGTTCCCTCCCAGGACGACCCCCCCGCCTTCCTCCCCCTCCTCACCACACTAAAACATCTCAGCCCCCCACCCACTCCCTCCCGCTCCTCCAACCCCTCCTCCTCCTCTCTCACCTCTTCATGGGAGTCCATCCCTCTGCCTGGAGGAGAGGAGACCCAAATTAGTCAGGTCAGATTTTTCTAAACTTTTAGAAACTTCAGGTAAATTTGTATTCAATTAAAAGACACGTGAGGAAACTGGGTTAGCAAACTCAATATATCTTTTAAAAATACTTTAAATAAACTGACTTTTACTATCAACATTCGGAGTTGATTCGAAAAGAGAGAAAGTTTATTATAATTTAAAAGGATTTGAAATATTTAAAAAGATTCAGAACTAAAGTGAAGGAGCGCTGCGTTACAGAGAGAGGAATACGTTTGAGGAACAAAGAAACTAAAGAAGCTAAATCAAATTTTATCTTAATAAATCTTAATGAATATTAAAATGAATAAACAGACTTTAAATCTCCTGTCTTGATTTTGGCGCCCCCCTGTGGACAGATTACTCTTGGCTGCTTTAGTCCTACACATGTATTTTTAGTGTTTAAATCTTATCCTCTTTTTTTTAAAGCCACTTTAATGAAAAACGAGCATTTAGTTAATCACTCTGTCCCACTCCTTACACCCCACAGCTGTTTTCAGACATTAAAATCAGCTGAATGGAAATAATGATCTTTTTGTTGATGGCCTTGTTTTCTTTGTTTTTAGGTCATAAAGAGGCATTACTGTTAATTTGATGAAAGTGAAAAACTCTCAACAGTTTTTTTTTTAAAACTCTCAACAGGAGCTTTAAGTGTCTTTCACTCTGATTGTTGATAATTATTGTAAAAGGTTTTTTTTTTAACTATGTGAGCTTGTTACTCTATTTTCTGCCAAAAGTGAATCAAAATATGGTGTAAAGAAATCACATTTTGTATATCTTTTAACGTCCCCTTTTATTTAAACTATTACAATAACAAAACTACAACATTAGCTCAATATCAAAGGCTCCTAAAGGCTAACTGAGTTTTTTTTTAGTTCATTATTTTTGGTATAAAAGCCATTGTGGACACAGAAACAGACATATGGACTCACGTTTATTTTCTCCTCTTAAATCTTTATTTTTAACCGAAATAAAAATGTATGTTAATATTTGATATAAACAGACTTTACTGCTTGTGTGTCGAACAGGTCCGGACAGATTTCAGCAGCTCCTTTAAATAACAATCAGATTTAAATTTACGGTCGTTAAACCTGTGAACTGTCCGCTATGCCTCATTTTCTCCACTTATATGATGGACCATATTAAAACAATCTTACTGCAGCTGAAGTATTCTGTGATCACAGACCGTCCTGGTCTGAGGTCCTGGTCTGTGGTCATGGTCTGAGGTCCTAATTAGATCGACTGAGACTTTCAGGCTGTTTGAAGATTAGATTAAAAGTCAGCATGAAGCGAGTTCATGTGTGAATCCAATTCTCAGGTCTGCTGATTCATTTCCATGAGAAAAGGAGAAGCAAACACAGCAGTTTACAACCAAAACAGAAGGAAACTTCACATTCACACCATCACTGAGCAGAAACAGGTCCATCTAAATCCTCTTCATGATGGTCCAAACATGAGACCAAAACCAGGTCAGGGACCTGAAGACTGATCAAAGAAAAGCTAATGGGGTAAAAGTTTAATACTCAAGAAAAAAAGAGCCATTTACAGACAACAGATTAATATAGTATATAGGCTATGGTGGCCCTGAAGGTCAAATACGCAAACCACAAAAACAAACCGCTGTTCACATGAAAGTTTAATAAATGCTAGAAAGTTTCTCAAAAAGTGCAAAAAATAAGAAAGAAAACAAAAATTAAAATTGAAAAATTATGACCAACAGCCTTGCATCTTAAGAAAATGTTTCTGTTTTTAATGAAATATTTTGGTGTCATAAAATTTTTTTTTTTTAAATATTTTACATCTGAAAAATAGTTTTCCATTTTCTTTACCTATAAGTTTTTTTTAGGTCATGTGAATTGTCTGTTTTTTTTAAAGATTATGCATTTTGGAAAAATGCTTTTGAGATTTATTAAATATTTTTGTTTTAGAGAACTTTTCCCTTCTATTGTGATGATTTTTCTAATTTAAGTTTTTAAAATTTCAAAATATTTGTGTGTTTCATAAAATACAGATGTTTTTTAACATATTTTTTCAGTGTCTATGAAATTTAAGACAATTTGTTGCATTTCAGAAAAACGTTCTGGTTGTTCAGCTAAAAGTTTGCTGCATTTAAAGAATCAAAACGGTTTTAAGGAAGCTTTTAAGTTTTGTTTACAGCCATACATGGGATAAATGTGACCATTTGATAAATTTTATTTTATAGTTTTCAACAGAATAATTTTTAGTCACAGTTGCTGCTTCACCAGACTAGAAAAACAGGAGTGTGTTTTTGTAGCTCAGACAAACAAAAGGTGCAAAAAATGAGACGTCTTATAGTTCAAGAAATATGCACACACACACACACACACACACACACACACACACACACACACACACACACACACACACTCCAGGTGGGTCCCACCTCCACCTCATTCCCCAGGGAGAGGATTGGCTGCCTGCTGCTCTCAGACCGAGGATCCCTTATCCAAATAAATTAGTAAATTTAAAAAATAAAGGCGAGCAGATAAGAAACAGATGGTCAGATTAGACCTCCGTCTTTGGTATCTTCAGAGGAGCTCCTCACTTGTTAATCAGAGTCTTTATAGGTGCCAAGATAAAGTCCTGCTGCTGATCCTGAGGAGGTTCACGGGGGTTGGGAGGACGATTATCAGCTCAGAGTCAGAGTCATTCCTATGTAATCGAATATTTCGCTGCCATACTTTTACACGCTGTAGATTGTGTCATGATTCCTTGATGCCATATGTTACCTCAGTGAGCTCTGTGTGTTTGGTCACAGGGTTTTGGGTCTGGAGCCTGGACCACACATGTCTCTGCAGCAGCAGCAGCAGCAGCTGTGGTTGGTTTGATCTCCTGCTGTAATGACCCTTCTGCTCTGATACTGCGGCTCCAGCCTCACTTTGACCAGCAGCTCCAAAGATTTAGAGAAGGCTGCAGTTTCTCCATCTCCACAGAGGAACAGACACGGATCAGCCTCAGTCTGCTGAAGGTGTAATCTCTGAGCTGAGGTTTGTTTGAAGTGTAAAAACTGATGGTAGACCCCTCCTCCAGTTTTGATTTGTGGCTGATACAGCAGAGTGGGTCTAGGCCTCTGGGGGGTTTGTGGTCCCACTGTGGAGTTGTTTAACAGTAAAGACAGATCTGTACGCACACGCTGACCCTGCTAAGATCACAGACGCTCACAGAAATCATACAGGAGCCCGATCCGTGCAGCCACCTGGTCAAATGTTTGATCTACCTGCCATCGTGGCTGTGGATCTTTCACGTCGGCCCGCTAAGTGCCGACTCTGCCGTGTCAGACGATGTCACACTCCTGTGCCGTGGAGTCAGCGCCACACCCTCAGATGTGCGAGGGCGCTGCTCCTGCTGAGGGGTTTGTGAATTGGCACAGCGTCTCGTCAAACTGTCAGCGATCAAAATGAAATATATCTGCAGAGTGAAACATCAGAGTTCCTGTCCTACTTTGGGTTTTTCTGTAATTGACCTCTGAAGATGGAGGTCACAATCTGCGATACGAACGGTTATCTTCACCCACATCTGCCTCCTTCTAACCGCACAGAGACTCCACCCGCGCCGATAAGGACGCTCTATTGTTTCATTTTGTCGCTCTCAGCATTTTCTACTAATGAGCAACGCACCTGTGGAGAGGTCTGCTCAAAATTCATCAGGCGTCTGAGACAGGCTCAGGATTTTCTCTTTGTGGAGATTTGTACTTTAGATTTAAGACCAAGAAAAACACATAAAAGTGTTTTATTTTGAAAAGTCAAGGCCTCTTTCTTTAATTATGAAGACGTTTGTTGGTTCATTTGGGTCAAAAAGGCTTTTTACCAAGCGTCCATTTTCATTTATCAAAAGAAAAACAAACACTCCAGTCCAGAAAGTGGAAAAGATCTGCACTCTATCTGACGACAAATACGCAGGAATTCAGGATATTTCTAAATCTGCTGACGGGCCAAGCTAAGGGAACCATTTACCCAAAAAACAAACAGGTCTTGGGTTTTCTCTCTCTTTTTTTGCAAATGTCCATTTAAAGACTTTCAGTAAAGAGATCTGCTAAAAAGAGAGGACCAACTGTGTCACTCAAACCTTCTCGGTGAGGGTCAGAGGGGTCTCGGTTTTGTTTGAACTACATCGACTTTTTTCAAACACGAGTTTCTGTAAACTTCGCCCTCTTTGGCAAAGTTTTCCTCGGACGTCTGGGAGGAGCAGAGAGTTTGTTCTGTCTGTTTTCTCTGCAGCGAGACAGTCGTGATTGTGTCTGTATCAAAACCCAAACATGAGCGCCGCGTGTGCACGTCCAGCAGAAACAAACGCCTCTGTTTATTTACCACTTATCTACCTTCCTCTGCACGTCTGCCAGGAGAGAGCGCACGCTAACAAACATGCACGGACAAAGACCTGGACTTTTCCTCCCCTCAGTCATCTGCAGGTAAAGGTGATGCTAACCTGAAGCTAACAGGCTAACAGGCCTCTCTCCTCGCTCCTCTCTCGCCCATCCTTGTTGTCTCTGCTACTCCAGAAGCTCGGTCAGGAACAGAAGGGTCACAAGGTGTTTCCCTTCTCCCATCTCAGGACCCTGGACCACCCCCGCACCCATCCCCCCTAAAACTACAGTGTTAGTGTGTGTGTGTGTGTGTGTGTGTGTGTGTGTGAATGGAGAAAACAGCCAGCACCACAGGATGTGCTATAATAGGATGGTTTGTCCTCTCCAACTGGGATCCCCCCCCGTCAGACTCGAGTTGGATGCGGCTCGCGCTCAGATATTTATTTAAGAGATGCTCCGATTGATTGAGAAGATAAATATTATTTTTGTCTGAAAGTAGGTCAGCTGTTAGAGGAAGCGTATCGCATGATAACCCTCCGTATCGTGCAGGTGAAACACTTGGCGAGCAGATTTATGTCTCACCTGCGCTCCCGGAGAAGAGCAGGAAGGAAACGCGGCAGAAAAAGTGCGAAACAATAACGTGAGAGAAACTAGAGGAGCGGGAGATGAGTCTAATGACAGAGAGGGAGAAATAAGGGGACAGAGGAGCGTGTTGATGAGAGGGTAGAGGAGTTAATGACAGGGATTAGGGGAGTCAGAGGGGCTGCTGGGATCTCCAGGCTCTGCTAGACTCCAGCCGGCCCCTCAGAAAGTCCCAGGAGATCTGTGGGAATCCGACTCCGTTTGGACCGAAATCTCCTGACAAAACAAAAACCCAGCGGCTCAATTAGGAGGAAATTAGTCCCTCTGTTTTGCACATTTTGCACACTCTGCTGCAAAGGTCTCACCCAGAGCCGTCTCTGTGCACACGATGAAGATCCTTCATATCTGTTTGACTCTCTACACTCATTCTTGTACTGAGAAAACATCTGTTTACAAAGAAATAAATACGGATACGGTCACTGATGAGGTTAACCAATCTGTAACAGCCCAGATGATCCAAATGAGGAGGAAAACAAAGTCATGATCACAAAACAAATGCAGCAGAGGAAACGAGAAAATGTGCAGAAAGAGACAGAATAAGAGAGTCAAAGTTCACAGAGAGAAAACTCCTGTGGGTCGTGTTTTCTTCTCTGTTTCTGGATCTGCATTGTCTGCGTTTGCAGCCTGTTATTTGTCTTTGTGCATCTCTTTGTTTTCATTTGCAGATCGTGTTTATATGTTTGTGTTGTTGCTGATTCTCTCCTCATGAAGATTGTTTAGGCTGTCTCTGATTGGTCGGCCTCCCTGTTTCCCCTGTCCAAACTTCCTGATGGGAAAACTCTGGACCATTCACCGAGCGTTCTGATGATTTTCAGAAGTGCACGTGTGAAAAGGGTTTGGGATTATTCTGGAGTAAGTGGGATGTCTGGATCTCATGATCGGTAATCTCTGCGTGACAGAAGAACTCCGGCCTGTTTTCACAGAAACGCAGAGCCGCTCTCTGTTATTGAGAAGTCAGAGTGAAAACCCAAATAGTGGCTCCATGTGAAAACCAGGTGCTCTGCAGACTTCTCATCCAGTTTCAGCGTCTGAGCCTCAGATTCTCATTTCCTTCAGGACAGGAATGAAAGAGCTGTCACTGAGACACAAACCAGGAGGGAGCGAACGTTCTGAGGGTGAAACCGTGAACTTTAATCTGGGATCATCATCAGTGAGCTTTAATTGTTTAATCTGACCCTCTAAACGCTCTTTGCCTGACTCGGAGGTTTTTAAAGTTTGCTCATTGTTTATTCTGGACTCAAAGTTTGACCTGAAACTGGATCCCTGCCACAGAAAAACTCACAGAGAGAGAGAGCCGTCGGTAAAACCTGCTCCGATCTGAAATGAAACACGTCAGAGACATTTCAGTCATCCGTCCCTCAGAGGGTTTACAGCCGTAATTACATCCACTAATTCACTTAATCCCAGACCCTCACCCTCTGTGATTTTCGCTCAGATTTCATAATTCCATGTTTTTCTAGAGTTTTAAAGTCCCGTCAGATTTCAGCAGCTGTTTGTAAATCTGAGCAGGTTCAGCTCCGGTCACAGATCTCTAACAGGTTCAGTGGTCTTCATCACCATCATCATCATCATCACAGGTACACAACACTAACCTAGTATACGCTCTACTCTTACACTTTTACGACGGCCGTTAACCTTCACATCAAACTTAAAGAGCGCCCTCCTGCATTCCTGCCACCGCTGAGGCGACGGCGTGTTGGAGAACGATCTGCTCCCTCCATCTGTCAGCTGTTTGACGGACAGCAACCAACTGTAAATCAGTGACCTCTGAGACGGGGGGCGGGCCCTCCGCCTGCTCACAGCAAACAAACCACAGGGAGTGTGTGTGTGTGTGCGTGTGTGTGTGTGTATTCGCCCTGATAGAGTGCTGTCCACTTCCTTTACTCTGGTCAAACGGTGCTGATACCACGTCTCTTTAAGAGTGAGACAGTGGGGGCGCCGCTGAGTCCACCTCAGATCGCCAACCAGGACCAGGACCAGGAAATAAAACCTGTGCAGGTGTGCTGAAAACTGCAGTTCTCAGAGTGTCCTCTAGAGGCTGTCTGCAGAAGCACTGGTAACCACATACACACTCATTAAAAAAAAGCTAATTTTCAGAGCCAAAAGAAACACGTTCACAGCCTTGTCAAAAAAAAAAACAGTTTTGGTCTGACTAACTCAGATCTGTGACATGACGTGATGTCTCGCTATCGTTAGCAGGACTGAAAAACCAGGAGTGGAGGAAGTGATCATGTTGGACAGAAGACAGGAGAGTAAAAATCACACAACCAAACACTGACGTACACGGTAAAATCAACTCGCTTTGTGAGACCGACCACTTTCAGGCAATAAACTGTGTTCCTGCAGAAACCAAGAGCTTTGCTAACCCACAGAGAAGATCAGAGTATTTTCAAAGACAGTCCAGGTCCCTTAGAGACAAAGGTAAACTGTGAAGACTTAAACAAGTCCAAGGTTTATTTGAAAATGGAATAAAAAAATGACCACAAACAGTCATTTCTCTGAACCTTTCCATAAGGACAGTCTCTCTGCTCTCCTGCAGTTTCACCCGGACGTCGTTTTCCCTCCCGGCTCGTCTGCAGCCCAAAGTTTTGGCTCCTTTAAAATCTGACAACTGTTCTGAGGAGTGAAACAATAAAATCGACTTTAACACTCTGTCGACAACTTTGATGTGCAATCACAAGGCCAGAGGAGGTGAGGGGGGAGTCAGAGCGGGAGTAAAAACATCCTCTGACTTACCCTGATTGTTTCTGCATCTGTTTTGTCGTTGCTATCACCCAGACAGGCACAAAACACAACTGAAAAAAAAACACACACATTCAAAGTTTCCACTCGCTCCGTTTCCTTTAATCAAGCTGCCCTCTCTGTGACTGATTGTCCGAGCAGACCTCGGCCTCCAAGACTAAACCTCTGCTTACTCTGCAGCTCCTGTTCAGGGTTTCCTCTCAGTGATGAAACCGTGCTTCTCCTCTCTGCACACACATGACAATGACATTAACGTTTACTTCTGATGATTATGATTATCATAAAAGCCTCTGCAGGAACCAGAGAGGAGGTGTGTGTGTGTGTGTGCAGCCAGAGCACGCTCATGAAACGAGACCAACAGGCTGAGGAACGTGGCCTTCTCATCACACACGTACTTCAGGTTTCTAAAAGAGGAAGCGGGACCCTGTTAAAACACAAAAGGCCCAGATGTGAGGCCCCTGAAACACATCGCACTGTCTGCTGTGTGCTGAACGCTGACAAATTGGTCTTTAACGATCCCTGAACAGGCCGAAAGTCAATGTCAAAGCCATGTGTCGCTCTGCAGAGCGCCGCCGCGTAGGACGGCTAAGTGCCTCCGAAAAGAAGCTGGGACTCTAAGACAATATTTGGACAGAGCCCGGCACTATTTCAGTCTCTAAAACGAGCCGATCCGCATACTCGGCACTCAGCACTTCATCTCGCTGGAGGATTGAAGGCCTGGAAACACAGCTGAGGGTTTCAGAGGACCTGCTGCATTATTAATGAGCAGACTCGGCGTTTCTTCACCTCCATTATCACAGTTTCTGGACTTTAAACGGTGAATTATCCTTTATAAAGCTCATATTTTAAGAATAAGTCCTGCGCTCTGCTCTTTGGAGCCACACGGCTGATGACCTGCGTCTTCAAAGCGGCTCCTGTCAGGGTGGCCATGACGCCAGCATGTGTGTTAACTGGCAGCACAGTCTCTTATGGAGCCAAATGTTTGCACCAAACACTCATGCAGCTTTAATTCAGCTGAGACAGACAGCTGCAGACCCCCCACCCCCCTAACACCACCCCTCCTCCTTTAATCTGCTCTTAACCACCACAGGACAACCTTCACATGTCCAACAAGAACCTGCTGAATCAGTTCAACAAACACATGAATCAAACTGCAGTCAGTCAGTCAGTCAGGAGGAGCAGCAGGTCTAATAAGTGTATCTAAAGCTGAAACAGGATTATATCTCCTCCTCTCTCATCTCTCCTGCTGTGTTGTTTCATGCATGGCTGCCATATGGACATAATATGTTTAAACTATCAGGGAGAACCATCTAGAAATATGATCGTCTCAGTCTGACAGCGACAGACAGAAACTCTTCCTCCTCTCAGCTCCTCTCTGCGTTTACTCAACATTAACGCAGGGCTCTCTTTTTATTGCCTTTGTCACAGTTTTACACACACCGCAAGAGAATCAGTTATTAACTTATTGGTGGAAAAGAGTAACAAACAGTTATAAGAGTCCTAAACCAGTGAGAAAAAAGCAAATTTGTGCGATGAAGACATATTTATTATTTGAATTCAGGAGTTTCAGTTTGGATATAAATCCTGTTTCCCCGATCGCGTGGTGTCGTGGTGAGTCCAGGATTTAAAACCCTTTTGATTTAAACCTTTTCACAGCTGTCAGATTATTTATTATATAGTATTAAAGACAATTATATAATGTTTATTCGATCAAATATACATACAGTACAATTAGATATCATGTGTTCATTATTTTCTTTTATGGAAGATGACAACAAAAGCACTAAAAGTTATAATTTAAGAAAAACTGCAAATTGTTTCAATTTTTTTTTTTAAAACTATTTTACTCTAAAAATTTGCTGCTTTGTTTTTGAAATGTGCAAATCAATAATCACAGATATCACAGAGGTTCTTGTTTTAATTCACAAATCACTTTTTTCCTGAAAATTTTTTAATTTTTTAAACTTTTTTTATCACTTAAAATCTTATGAATTAAAAAATTTTCAGTTTTGTCTCATAAATTTTCTCACATACATTCATTTTTTCTTATAAATTTCCAGTTTTATCATGAAACTTTGCCAACCTTTTAGTCACAAATGCAAAAAAAACTTTCAGTTTTAATCCCCCAAATTTCCCCCACCTCTTTCAATTATCATTATTTTTTTGTTTTACAAATTTGTTTTTTTAGGATTCTGATAACTTTTTGGTCCCAAATATTCGTGTTCACTCCCACACATTTGCCACTTTTGTCATAAACTTGCCCGGTAATTTCTCACATTTTGGTGTTATTTTTTAAATTTCCATTTCATTCTCAGAATATTATTCTTCTGATATTTTTTTTTTTTTTTGGCCCTTATCTTCTTCCGTAGCAATTTTTTTATAACTGAGTCCGGAGAAAAATCACAGACAAACATGGTCATCTTTGAGCCTTTGACTCTGACATGACTCAAACCTAAACCTCCCTCATATTTTTAACTTTCATGTTTTTAACAGCTTTTAACCTTCTTGTTGTTTTAACTGTTTTTAACCTTCCTTGTGTTTTTGACCGACGTCTTCCTCCTTTTTGAATCAGACTCAATAACACGGGCCTCCGCCTGCAGGTATCCTCCCTCCGCTGAGCGTTAACACCTTCATATGTTGATGTCGGCACTTTCACATCAGAGCCATGATTTGAGTGTGTTTACATTCGAGCGCAGACCTGGAGCGAGTCTTTTCTCTCTGAGGGCGAATCCTCAGAGACTGAAGACTCAAACAGGAAAAACAGTCAAGAGCGACCCATCACGGCGCTGACACTGTGTGCACACCATCCACGCCATGTTGTCAGGACCCGCGGCCCGGCCCTTCCTGCCTTTGTTGGTCTTTGTTTAGGGTGGTAAGACTTCATCCACTGTGGCCGTCTTTGTTTGTGACCCTCGCTCCGCAGGTTCTTCCAGAATAAATCCCACTTTCAGACGCATTTTCAGGAAGTTCGAGGTCTTTTATTTGTAAATCGAGCAGAACCTGGAGGGGCTTGTGTACTTTCACATGAGTATCAGAGAAACTGAGAGTTTTCTGACAGATGGTGGAGGTGGGTGCGACCCTGAGGGCCTTAAAGGATTAAGATTGAGAGGGCGAGTTTGGACCTGCGTTTTAACTTCTATTCACTTCAGCTTGTAAAGACCACGGACTCTGAAACAAAACTGAAAAACACAGAAATAAAACACACAAAAATCATCTGATAATGACTGACCCCCGTGTTAATAAAATACAGAAAGGCCTGAACACAGAGCAGACCTTTTACTGCGACCCTTATTCACATGGGTGTGAGTGCACGGGTCCATGCAGAGGGCAGGACGCTGCAGGATGGAGGTCAGCGAGTTTGAATGGAGGGAAGTGAGCGGAGGACTCCCGGCCTCCTTTCAGGGATCATCTCTGCTTCCACATTCAGGAGCCACCAGCTCTCAGGGGCCCAAAAGGCAAACAGCGCTCAGCATTCCTCCACGGCAGACTGATCGGTCTATTCATACGCAGAGCGGACGGCGACTCATCACCCTGCTCATCCCGACACGCAGAGGGGGATTCTGGGGGATTTGTCTGGCAGGAGAGAAGCCTCACCTGTCAGAGGTAGAAAAGCCCTTTGGCAAGGACACAAAGAGCAAAACACAACCTGACAGATGCTTCCTATCAACACACAATCGAACACACACACACATGTGGAGAGGAGGGGGGAGACAGGAAAAACAACTTCACCTTCACCCAAAGCAGGAGATCCCAAACTTCTTCAGAAAAGGAACCTGAAATAAACTTCAGGATTTAGGAAGTTTAACAAATCTCAGCTGAACCAGAGGGGTTTAAAAAGACGAATCACAAGAACGAAAAGTGACGCCGTTTTTCCACCTACAGTTTTGTTGGTTGTTTTGTACGTGACGAAGTGATAATGAGCTGATGGGGACATGTCTTCACCAGTGACTGTAAACCGGGACAGGGACATGAGTCCAGTTTGAGTCTGTCGTGACTCTGGACGTAAACCTCAGAGGGTAAAACTACACACCCAGGCTTTGTTCAGGATATAAATCTGCAGGATTGAGTCGAGGTACGCTGACCTTTGTTCGGGAACACACAGCGATGGGAACATTCATGTTTACTGATCACCAACAGCGAGACTTCTGCATAAATCAGGGTGGAAAGACAAGATGACAACACGTGTTTGTATTTTTGTGCATTTTGCTTCATCTCCGACTTCACCTTTGGTTAAATATTTGGAGGGGTTTTAAAAAATGCACAAATTCCCTAAAGCTCAGGTATGAAGTTAGCTGAAGAAAACTCCGGAGAAGCAGCAGAAACATTTTGTCCTGCTGATCCAGAAATAGTCGGCAAAGAGAGTTGAAACTGATCTTCAGCTTCTGCAAACATCAGGAGGAAGGAGAACGCTGGAGCTCAAAATGTGCAAGTGGAGTCAAAATGTCACGCCATCTCAGGGTGACCTGTGAGGATACAAAAAAATCTACGCCACACAGAGACAGGAGGGACAGGGGAGGGTTTCACCAAATATCTCCCACGGTGCATCTCTGATAACACTCTCTCATTATTGGGAGGACAGTAAACAAGAACATCTCTCAAAGATCTTTAATTTGACGTGTTGTTGAAATCACACAAAGATCATCTCCTCCTGTTCTCCTAAAACAAGTTCTTTAGGATTATTTCAGAGTTCCTGAAGCTGCTGCTGCTGTTGTTGTTTTCTGTAAAACATGTTGAGCTCAGTGCAGAGACACTCTCTGCAGAAAATGAGGGAGAATCCGATTGTTTCTCGACCCCCCTCCCCCTCTGTGGCTATCAGCGGGTCTCTGGAGAAGGGGCTGGTTTCCGTAGACGTGATGGGGAGATGTTTCCTGTGGCAGGTCTGTCTGCTGCTGATTAGAGCCCATCCATCAGCTGGACCTCCTCAGAGCTGAAAGGAGGGCACTGCTTGGAACTGTCTCCAAATCTAGACCAGGATTTAAGGCGGAGGACTGGAGGCTGTGACGGGTCCACGCCCCGCTCTGCACCACAGACAACCAACCCCTCAGATGGAGCTCATTCAGGCTCATTTAGACGCCAATTTAAGAGCACACAATAAACAAAGAGGAGAGCTCAGCCAAGACTTCCTTTAAATGTGTGATTGGACTTTTCTCTCTCTGTGGTTCTTATCTCCGTTTCTGTCTTTTAGATCTGAACTTTCAACGCTCTAATTTTCACTCTAACTGTTTCACAGCCTCCAGGCTCTCTGAGGTCTCAGGTTTTTGTTTCTCCTCTGCAGACCAGATCCTTCATCAGCTTGGGTCTGCAGGCGCTGATTGCTCTGTGCGGCAGTGAGTCGGTTTCTCCCTCTGTGGACCTCCATCCCTGCAGGATGACTCTGGTCTAAAAACAGGCTGCAGAGCGTCCCCCCCTGCAGCGCCGAGGCCTCTCTCTCCCGCTCCCATCACTTTCTTTGGCCTCCAGCGTGGAGAGTAAACAGGAGGTGGTGAAGGATCCTCCCTGGTCCTGCAGAGGAAACCACACAGGGTCTGGAGGTTGAACTCTCCTGTGGTCAGATGGTCAAATGGACGAGCGGGCAGTGAAATAATGAGTCTGAGAAACGCCGTAAAAGCTGCGCTCCATTGTTTTGGATGTTGTTTGTAGATGGATGTCAAACATGGCGTGACCTTGCATGAGAATGAACCATCTCACTCCTTTGTCGGCCGTCTGAAGGAGCCGTTCGTAAAAAAAAGAGGAGAATCAGTTCAGAACATGAAACACAAGCAGGAAAGATTTAATTCTGCGAGTTGGCACAGGAGTGAGCGCCTCAGGTGGTCGGACGATCATCGGAGTGAACGCAGCTTCAGAGTCAGAGGGAGAAAAAAAACCCTGGAGGTGATGAAGAGACAAAGACGACGCTCTTCTTCAGTTCTCACTCAGGCTGCTCCGTCTGAATCTGCAGAAACTCAAGTTTGAGTTTGAAGAAAGGCTCTGATTGTAGAGGGTGGAGTCCCTGACATCAAAATATTACAGTGGGTTCATGAACCAAACTTGGATTCAACGGTACAAACGTTATTTCTTAATTATCTTTATTATGTTTACATATTTTAACCTGCTGGTCACCTCTAATTTAGATATGATAGGGTCAAACTCACCATAACACCGAGTTAGACCCCCCCTCCAGAGATGAATGTTGTCGACCGCTTGCTTCTCTAGTTTTACCAACTTTAGTAACGACCGCAGGATAGCAATACAGAGAGCCACGCCCCCAACCAAAACACCACTCTATAGCCACAAATAATGCTCAGAACAGCACCTAACTTCATCAACAGGACATATAGGGTCACAGACATAGTACTAGACACCAAACATCTTTTTAACTTTGACTCATTTCTTTAGCAAAGAGACTAAACACAACTCACCTACTCTCTTCCAGCAGCCGCTTGTTTGTATGGAGACCTCAGGCCAGTCCATTACAGACTACAGCGGGGTGACACAGCTCAAGGAAGAACATTTATGATCATTTCTTCATGGAAATACAATCAGACCGAGACGCTAAGACAGAAGAACTACCGCGTCTGTAAAATAATTAATATGGTGATTATTATCCAAATTGCATATTCTCTTTAACTGTCCATCTTTATACCTGTATGTTGTTTTTATTTATTTTAACTGTGTTTTTAATGCCCTGTACAGTGTCCTTGGGTGTCCAGAAAGGCGCTTTTAAATAAAATGTATTATTATTATTATCATTATTATTATTATTATTATTATTATTATTATTATTATTACTTTAAGGGAATGATAAAGAAATTATCATAAATGTTCTTCCTTGAGCTGCGGCACCCCGCTGTAGTCTGTGGCTGGGACCCTATATGTACTGCTGATGAAGTTAGGTGCTGACTTAATTTTACGCCGGAATATCCCTTTAAGATCTGACTTAAATGTGATTTCTGTTACTAACATGCAGCATTTAAACACTTCCTTTGTTTACAGAAGCTCCTGAAATATTGATAATTTCTGGTTTACCTGCAAACTTCCTCCTCCTGTCCACAGCTCACTCTCAGATTTATACCTAAAGAGTTAATCCCAGCATGAATGTGACTGTGTGATAAAACTTGTCCTGACCTCTCTCCCTCTCTCTGCAGTACAGCTACAAAAACACGGCGGACCCCGTCAGAAGAAGGACCCTGTTCAGATTTATGTCACACTTTGACTTCAGACCGCGGTGCGTTTAAGGGCCCCCTCCAGGCATGCGTTTGTGCGGATGTAAGATTCCTCAGAGAGCCGTAAGTGACCGGAGTCACCTCAACCTGTCAGCCTATTGAACCTGAGGCTGACGCTCACAATGCCCAGGTCAACAGGTCTGAGCCGCCGTCACTACAGGCAACAGATTCCATTACTCAGGTTTGACCTCTGACCCCTGAGGGAGTGTCAAAATAAGATCAATAAAAAGGAGGAAACGGCGTTGAAACATCAATCAGAGAGAAAATTTACAATGAAAGTCAAAAATACGTGATAGTGAGCTGAGATTCACCTGAGAGGACGTCAGGGAGTCAGGAGGTCAAACGCTCCTGTTTGTGTTCACACACACCGCTCATCACAGGCGTGAACTTCACGACGGTTTCAGAATCAGACATATTTTGATCTGCAGACCCTCCAACACACAGAAATAAAGACGCTGACCCTCCCAGCAGAACAGGATATTATATTTTATCGAGCTCCGATCTGGGGTTAATTTCCATCTGCATGCTTATCAGCACTAAAACAGGCCTCTTGATTGGAGTTTACTTTCTGGACAGGAAATCGACTAAAAACGGGTCAAAGAGCGGTCCGGTATTTTGGAGCGCCTTCACCTCTTAGACTCGGCGGAGACACAGAGGCCACCGTCGCCGGCTGCATGGCAGGAACGTTGAGCTTCTTTGGCAGAAGAAAAAGGGAAAGAGGAACTTCCAGCTGCACCGCTAAAGGGGGAACCAAGAGGGAAAGATTTATCGTCTCCATGACGGTTTCACAGGAAGGATTACAGCATGACATTGTTAGTGTGGAAGTATTAGAGGAGGAGGAGCAGGCCGCGCTCGGCTGGCCGGGCGTTAATAGCCTGGCCACCGCTGCTGTTATTGTTGAGGAGATGCAGGGCCAGGCCGTCTCCTCTTTAGATCAGAATCAGAGAGTCTCTCTGAGGCAGACGCTGAGATTTCCTCTCTGCCATCCAGCTGCTGTCTGTCCTGACGGAGAGCCTCTGAAGTTACAGCCAGCTGCCCCTGCAGATCAACTCCGTTTATTCTCTGCAGCTGGATACGCAGCATTAAGTTTCACACAGAGGCAGAAGTGAAATATGTGTTAATGGTTTCTGGTTTGGATGAAGTCTGCAGGATTCAACTCACAAATTTGACGACACCAGAAAACACGACCAACAGAAACCCTCAAATATGTCTCCAGCTTCCCATGGAGAAGTTTAATGAGAGCTTCTGTTTATCGTTTCATTTCAGCGTCTATCTGACCTGAATTACACACTAACTAACAGACCCTTCAAATTCCTCATGGGCTAACAAGCCCCACGAGGCCGAGAAGGAGAGAGGAATCTGCGCAGTGGAACATCTTATCAGGCGAAATACCACCAGCACGCAATTAGCTGCCCAGCTCGACCGTTTAGAGCTAATTTTCTGTGATGAAATAACTGATACACACTCCATGCTTCGTGGGAATTTTGCAGCAGCTCTCTGCGTTATGATCCCGGTACATTAAGAGTTACAGTGAGGAGAAAAAAACTCTTCAGGTTCTCATTAAAGTCCGACTGGACCCGCACAGATCGCCCTCAGCCTCAACCCTCCTCTCGTCTTTTGTTGCTCGGGCGTGGGTTGTCAGATCGCATGTATGCTGACTGTCGTGCACTCTGTAAGAGGAGGGTACGCTCGGTGAGAGTTTCAGAAGCCGGCGGCGTGACCTGACGCTGGCCCCTGACCTCCACCCAATGAGAGTGAAGCTCAGCAGCAGGACGCCACGGCTGACATGACAGCTCCTGCTGGGAGGGGAACGGGGCGAGGCAAGGCACGGCTCACCTCTAATCCCCACCAGATCTGGCTTCACCAGGCCGGTGCCCTCCTGCGCTGCTGCGCTCACATTCCTGCATAACCTAACAGAGCGGAGACCCCGCCCCCCTCGGAGCGGAGGAAGAGCCCCGCTGAGCCTCACACTGAGAAGGAGGCGAGAGCATGAAGATGATGTCTGAGGAGTGAAAAACTGCATCATACATGCAGACGTTAACTCAGTCTTTGCATGCGAGTCAATTATGTGGTCATGTGAGCGCGGCGGCCGGCGTGCAGCGGCAGGTTTTTTAAAACGTCACGTTTAGGCTTCAGATGTTCCCTCTGGGGCACAATGCCCAAAGCAAACACGGCAGATCTCTGAAGAGTCAGAGAAACAAGGGTGAGGCATTCAGGGGCTCCCTGAGAGCAATTATCCTGGCATGCATTCACACACACACACACACACACACACACACACACACACACACACACACACACACACCCCAATACAAAGAGTTGGGTCAGTCAGAGGAGAGCGGCTTTACTCCTCAGGCTCTGACTCTCCAAACACCCTCTTCCTGTTTTATTAGGGAGAAAATGGGAGAGAAGAGGAGACACACAGCAGGGTGAAGGTCTGAAACCTGAGACACACACACACACACACACACACACACACACACACACAGGTTTCTAACGTTTTAAAGTGACCTTCTCTGCAGTGAGGGGAACAGACCTGTCCACGCTGCGTTTACGGGTGAAGGTGTGTTTTGGTTGGCGCACAGGTTGACTTCGCACATGCTTTGGCTCGACCATCGAGGCGGTTTGTGGATCCACATCTCAATTTAATGTCCAGTTAATGGTCAGAGTGGGAGGAAACGGTCTGAGCAGCAAGTTTAAATCTTTTTTATAATGTTTTTATTCTCACAGATCTTTTAACTTAAACTATAAAAAGCTGAACATTTCGATACAAAGATATGATGGATTCTCAGATGATGCAAAAACACCTGAAGGATAAGAGAAGGAGGGGAACATTAGTGTGAGTGTGCAGCCATGAGGAGCTAAATACATAGTAGAAAGAGTAATGAGTAATGGTCCCAGTATGCCCGCCGCCGCCATCGCCGAAGGTCGGACTGTTGAAGTAAACGCTTTTCCCACATAAAAGCAGAAAACAAGAAGAAACCAGCAGCTTTGATCCACCGCCACGAGGCGCGCAGACAGGCGGCGTTAACGCAAACATCACGTATGTTAGAAAGAGAGGGAAGTACCCGGAGGTAATCGTGTGGAGACATGGAGAGATCTGTGAGTTTAAGGTCATGAATGAAGGAGAGGGGAGTTAGGAGGACGCCGTCTCTCTGTGTCGCCTGTTTGTCAGGACACTCCTGGTTAGTCATCGGTGAATCAGAAGAGTCTCAACCTTGAGAAAAGGAATAGAAGTATAAAAGAGAAGAGGAGGAAGAGGAAGAGGAGAGCAGTGTGAGCGGCTGCTCGCCTGTCGTCACACTGAGTGGATTCCCGTTAACGATGCCTTCCTGTGCCCCCCCCCCCGTCTCTATAACAGAGCTTTATACTGGCAGACCATCACTGTATTCACAGCACAGACTTCATGATACAGCTGAAGGACTTTATGATGTCAGGGCGCCTCGTATCCGGGCTGCAGGCTGGATGAAGTGAGGAAAATCTGTATGCCCATGGCGGCCATCTTTTTAGGAGGTTACACTCAAGGTGGGAAAACCTTAAATCACCTCCATGTGATACTAAAGAGCTCCAGGTCCTGAAATCTACAAAATCTCACTGATTAAAAAAGCAGCCACACAATCAGACCAACGTCAGCTGCTCAACACAGACCCTGTCAGTTCATCACATATCCAGGCCCTGTAACCTCTCATGATGTTATGAAACACTAAAATAATTCATAATAACACTTTAAAAATCCACGTTTTTGCAGCTAAACTGGATCACAGTTGTTTTTGGACTCATTTTAACACTGAACCCTGAAAGTTTAGCTCCATGAGAAGAGAAAGAGAAGAAATCCAGAGGAAACCATGAAACTGAGGAGACGTTATGAAGCAGATCTATCCTCCTCTCCTCTAAACTATCTGCAGCCTGTGACATTTCACCTCCCCTCAGAGGTGAGGAGAGCCTCACCCATGACGTCAGAGAGATATCTGCAGCATGAGGACAAAAACAGGTCTGAGGTGGAGCTCCAGCTGGACCGGGTACAGATCTCCAACACACGAGCGCTGCAGCGGTTCTTAAATCCATCCAGCCAACACAAGATCATTCAAACTCCAAACCAGCTACTGACCTGACTGACTCTGGACCGGGTACGAGTCAGGAACAAGAGCTAACTGATGAGAGTCAGCCCGCCAGGTCAGAGTTCATGTTGATGTAACTCAAAGTGGGATTTATAACAGTTAAAGACACTTAGCTGTGACCAATTTAGTCGATCCTTTAGAGTATCAGATAACATAGAGCTCGATATTAGGACTTCTTCAGACTGACGTTAATCTTTGGAAAGACAGGAAGTCCAGTTATTAATAGTGACCACGGCGAATACGTCTCTGAGGACTTAGAGACGAGATTTTTAATAAAACATGGATGTGACGTCGTATTCACTTATATTCACTTTTATATATTTAATATCAAAGTTTAATGTCGGCTTGGACAGTTTAGTCAGTAAGTTTATCGCACACACACTAAACACAGAGTCCCACAGACGGGCCTCTATAGTCCAAAGAGCCACACTCAGGTTTGACCTCATGATGATGTGTGACTCCCACTACAGAGTCAATCAAAGACATTCAGACTGAAGCTTTTCACAGCAGACCTCCAGCTGTTTACTCAGGTAATACTTTACTAACCACTCATGAATCCTCATCCTGAGAACCTTTAATCATAAAATCAGATTTTTAAAATTAATTATGAAGAGTTAATCCTGCAGTGTTTCATTATTAATGATCAGCAGTCATATAGAGGTAAAAACTACTGTAGTCAGAGCTCACTGTCTGTAAAGTAAGCTCTTTACCCAGACTCCCTTCACTACTCAGCTTTACTAATGACTAAACTAAACTAAGACCAGAACGAGCCGGATCAGCTGTTACTAAAACCTGGAGCTGTTCATCTCAAAGATCTTCATGAAGCTCAGAGACCCATAAAGTGACAGAGCTGATGAAGTTAAACAGGAAGTTAAGTGTTCCTCAGACATTTTCTATAACAGCATCATTCTCAGGTCATTTCTCGACTACAGAGCTGTGTAAAAACTAACACCACCGAGCTGTGTGGATCTTTCTATTGTCAGAAAAGCTAAATTAGTGTTCCTCAAACAAAATGTTGAGCTCCAAATCCTATGAAAGCTCCTCCATAGGTGTCCCAACAAAAGCTGAACATGAGTAGAAACCCTGTCCTTAAAGCCCCCCCCTTCTTGGTGGTAAATTGGGCCTCATATATAATTAACCCCAGCAGCCGCCCACGGTTCGATTCAGGCCTATAAGATGTCTGTCACCTGTTGTTCAAACAACTTCAACATCTATAGTCGGCCTGTCGGCCCCCTCTGCTCTTCCTGTGCTCGTGTCTTTGATCAATAACTCTGCGGCTCCCGGTCAGCCATCAATATGTGCTCCAGAGAGGGCTCATTGTCATCTAATTACAGGCCTGCTGCTCTCTGTGACGGAGCCAGTGCCTGGGTGAGTGTGATTAAGAGTCAGCTGGGGCATGTACGGATCCTTACAGCTCTTTCAACCAGAACCAACAGCCTGGAAACACAGACCAGGAACACAAAGCTTTCTTCAGCAGGAAACTCGGAGCAGGATCGGTGGCAGAATCATGACTGAGCGTCTAATTTAAGAGGGAACTGAGAGCACCTGTGACATCTGGAGAGGCTGGAGTTGACTCACACATGAGCTCATCTTCAGAACAACAGGACAATGGCTAACAGAACCACCTGAGTCAGAGACAAACACGGGCCGGAGCTGTGGTCTGTCTGTGCTCAAGGTTAGGGACCGCCAGGCTAAAGGATCTGACATGCAGATCTGTGTCTGTGTGCATGTCTGTGTGCATGTCTGTGTATGTACAATATGTACTTTACATGGACGTCAGCCCCTCCCTCATGTTGACAGCGAGGTCATTAAAGCTTTGTTTGATTTACAGGCCTGCAGCAAATCAGTTCAAGATGATGACCGAGTCTTTAGCCTGCATCTCGTCCACAATAAACCAACAGAAGTGGACGGAGGAGGAGGAGGAGGACTTTTCCTGCGGGAACACTCACAGGAAACACCTTCCTCTTTATTATCTTTCCTGCTGTTATCGCTGGCAGCGCCTGCTCGCTCTCTCCTCCTCTAATCTTTGTGGCCGGTGAGGCCCTCACGCCATCCTGACCCTCGTTCTCAGGGCCTCGTCCCTCATGATCTCCTCGTTTAACCTCGCGGTTCATTCAGAAGATCAGATAGCTGCACGTATCTTGATAAAGTGCAACCACATTTGACCCTCTTCTTCTTCTTCTGCTCTTTAAAACTGCACATGCACAGAGAGGGCAAACCCAATAAAGCATCCGTGCCCGGCTCGTGTGTTCCTCTGTGATTACGCCTCAGTGCTTCTTTCCTCTCATCTGCAGCAATCATGTTCTTACATCTATCATGATCTGAGGCCTGGAGCAGATGGAGGTCTGGGGTTGAGTTTAGGTGACAACAGCGCACATATGCAATCACGACCACAGTAAGATTTATGATATGGTATAATGAGTTCATATTAATGCATGAGCAGAACCTCCTCAGCAGAAGCTCACAGTCCAGATGTGCTCTTATGTGGCTTCGCTGACTCCAGTTACAGTCCAGATCTTTGCTCTGTTTATTTTCTCACAAGTCTCTGATGAGGTGCTTCAAGTTGCGAAGGAAACTTTCCTAAACTGCGATACTTCTAAATAAAACACTGCAGCTCCAAAACTTCTCACTGATCAGAAATATATGTAACTTAGAGGAGAATAAAAGCAAAGGTTAAAACATTTACTCTTTCTAAAGGTCTTTAATTATTGTTTTAACCTCGTACTTCCTCCGTGCAGCACATGAACCGACCCTTTCTGAGCGGCATAAAGAAACCTGTGTTTCATCGATCATGCATCTGCAGACTGTTGGATTTATTTCAGATCAGGACGCCAAAGAGTGGAGGATTGTCCTGCAGCTGAACCCGATCTGAATATCTGTACGTACATAGAGAGCGAGCTGCCAGAACAGAATTAGTCAACAATCAGCCCCTGTGAGTCCTAATCTAGCGTAAACCAATAATATTTGGGGTTCTGATCCGGCCCATTGGCTACGTGTGAAACCTGCGGTCAGCCGCTGCGCCCTGATCCTCCTCGATCAGAGCGCAGGCTGGAGATGAAGGAGGTCTGTCCGTGCAGCTCTGAAGACACAACACCCTCTGTGCAGAAACTGAGCTGCTGTTTCATCCCCAAAGATCATGTCAATATCAGAAAAGCCAAACTGGAGCTCTGTCCATGGGAAACAAACCTGCTCTGCGGTTCCTCGCCGTGTTTGTGGTCCTCTCAGTGCTGGACTCAGGGTCAGTGTCTGTAAGAGGACATAGAAAAAGATCGGTTAATGAGGCTCCAAGACTCGACCTCACACTTACAAAACAAGAGTTTATTCTGATTTTACAACAGATTAGTCATTATGAACGAAACACTGAGCTAAAAATAACAGAGGTGTTTAAAAGTTTGGAGATTCTCAAAAGAAAACGAGGAAACAATCAGAGCGGCTCCCCACCGTCGAACAATAGCGCTCTGCGTCACTTACAGTTTAGGAAAAGTTGACAATGGAGCGTTTAGGAGAAAGAAGAAAGGGAGGACAGAGCATCACTCTCACTGTGACCGTAACTGTGTCAAACTAAGTGTGTACAAATATAGGGCAGGTAATGAGTTTCATACAAAGGTCTGATTCACAGTTACGGACATTAGATATTTTTCTGCAGATGATCGTTGGAAGGTTAAAAATTTAAAGTTCACTAAGGGTTTTGATTTTTCAGAAACTGAAGCTTGAACAAATATCGAACACGATGAGCTGATGTTCAAATATGTCGCCTCCACGACTGTCCCCGACCACCCCCAAACAGACCCTCAACATTTATATGACGGAGCGTAATGAACATGCCGGCCCAACCAGACTCTGAAGGAAAACGCCGTCATGTAAAGAAAATGTCTGATTAGAGTTTCAGTGACTCCAACTTTCACTGTTTTAGTTTACCGAGGTTAAGAGTGTCATTCAGCAGTCAGGTTACGATGAAAGTACGGCCTGACGGTCTGATAAAGTGTTCATTCTGAATTCAAACAGCTCAGTATAGTTTGAACAAAACTCAAACTTCAGATTAAAAAGTGACACTTGTGTTTGCATGAGTTAACTGTAAAGAATAAAACCGTTGGATCAGTTTGTAAAAGTTCAGATTCATGAATTAAATAATGAAACAGTCGAGCGTACTGGACTCATGAAGTCAGCTACATGTTTAAAATGTTTTCAGTCAGTTGAATTGTAGTTAAATCAGCTTCCTAAAAAGTTAAAAGGTCACCCAAGATAGGATTTTAAATTGTTTTTTAATAGAACAGTTAAAACTGTCAGCTAAACATTTAAAAGCTTTAAAAGTTGGCCGTTAAAATCGTTGGTACGCTGTCCAGACTGTATGAGTGACCTCCACATTCACAGTCTGAACTTTCATATGAAATCCAATATAAAATAATAATTCAGTTTAAGAAGCATTTGGACATTTTCAATCATGACTCTCTGGTGGTTCTCTGCAGGAGGTCGCTCAGCAGCTCTGCAGAGTCCTGACACAGTGAAACAGTCGGTCTGACTGACAGCAGCACAGTCAGGAGCAGCTCTCTGCAGACGGCCAAGAAAACATCTCCACTTTAAGGGTTGATGAGCAGCGTTAATGGAGTGTTAGAGTTAACATTTCCATCTGTTGGTTTTATTTGAACCGAGAGTCCAGTCTGGCTCGGCGCACGCACAAATCAAATGTGAGGAGATTTCAGGGTCTGCAGTTCAGAGTCGTTTTCAGTCTCAGTACAGTGAAAGCATCAAACAGCAGGGGGTCTGAATTAGAGCCTGAGTGTCGATAGAGACCTGCAGGTCCAGCAGAGCGATGACAGTCGGAGTCATCAGAGAGACTTTACCGCCACTGCACCTCACAAAACCCCCCAAACAATGGCAGGAAGGGGCCGCCAGTCTTCAGGAGATGAGCCGCACAAAAAAAACATCTTCAAGCAGGATTCACTAGACTGGCGCTGAGGTTGGAGGGGGGGGTCGGTCCGTTTCCTGTTTTTGCCTCCGAGGTAGAGCGTTGACGAGGGCGTGTGTGTGCCAACAGCACTAATGACTCAAAGCCTTTAAACTACAATCATTCAGAGCTCCATTATACAGGAGTGGAAGTGGGGCAGACTCCGTATCCTCGGTCCACACGTGTGTGTTGGCAACAACATCATGTCTTTATTAGTATTAGTGATGAACAGATATGATGCCAGTGAGTGTGTGTGTCTCCATCCATGAACACAATGGTCTGTTGAGAGGCTCGAACACAGAGGACATCCTCCCCATATGGTGGAGGGAGGGAGGGAGGGAGGGAGGGAGGGAGGGAGGGAGGCTGGCTCCAAAACTAATCTGCTCCCACTGTTTATAAAATAAACAGACCCCCAAACGCTAACGTACAGCCTGCCCAGTCCAAACCCCCCCTTGCGCCTGCAACATCGCATCTGGTTGACCTTTGACCTGCACTGTTTGAACTGTGCTTCCTGTCCAGTGCAGCGTGCACATGGCATCGCGGTAAAATCTGCACTGTCGGCATTTTCATGCAGCGGAAAAGGGATTACCATCGCATCCCTATGGAGGTGGCGGCACATGTGGCAGCTGCCATCCCACATATATATGGAGGGTTAGAGGCTGGTGCTTTGATTATGAATCATAAAAGGTCACAGAGGGTTATCAGTTAATTAAGAAAAAAGAGGATTAACACCAAACTGCAGAGCTGTAAAAGTGCAAATGAGCATTCATTTAGATAAGGAGGAGCCTTTTAGGGGTGTAAAGTTACCTCTAATTACTAAATCTGTGCCACAAAGGCAACAGCATTACCTTTTCAAAACAAGTCTGTTTTCACACAGAAATCCCCACCAGACACCCCCCCTAAAAACCCCCGCCCCTTCTCTCTGGGAGCCCTGAGCCTGCTCGGCCGGCCGATGGTGGAATGAGACGAGATAAGCCCGTGGTCGGCCTCCATCAACACATGAGGCTTGCCAAAGCGAGTAGAGTTACAGACAGGCGCTCCTCTGGGGCTCGGTGGGAGTGGGAGCAGGCTGGGCCGGAGCTGCTCAGACATGGGAGGCTGCTAATCTGCCCCCAGCCGGCCCGCTGATGCCCACCATCTGTGTCTGTAACTCATCACCCACCAGCCAGGAGCCTCGGCAGGCGCACAGGCGAGTAAACAAACACCCAGAGAGAGCTACTCGACGGCCCGGTCTCTACCTGACTCTGTTAATTACTGATTATCAGAGCTGGGGGGGGGGGGGGGCAGATGTGAGGGGAGGCCCTGGAACCTTCATTTAATCTATTCACAAAACAACAAAGCAGCAATGAAACTTCAAGATCCTGTGAGGAGTTTCTGATCGATCATAAAACAGACTGAAATAAACAAAGAGTTCCTGCTTTGTCCTCAGGGGGCGCCAAAATCAACACAAACAGAAGGTCAAATATTGATACTGTGCTTAAGTCTGAGCCTATGGTAATACTGTATTTACTGTAATACTGTGTTTTCAAATGTTTTATTTGAGTGCAAATGTTTGACTAATCTTGTAAATTCTTTTAACTAATTTTTGAAAATTCAACTATTTTTTGTATTCTTTGTATTCTATATGATTAATGTGATTATGTTTTGAAACTGTATGTGCTGACATTCTTGGCCAGGTCGCTCTTGCAAAAGAGATCTTGTATCTCAGTGGGACAAACCTGCTTCAATAGAAGTTATAATAATAATAATAATAATCATCATCATAAATACTAGGATAATATTGTTATCATGATGTTTCATGGTCACAGCTATCAGCAACTGATTTTGTGACATTTCTAACGTTTACACTCAACTAAACAATAGTAGCTCTTTATCTGCTGTCCTGCATTAGCAGATATTAGCATTAAGACGCTAACTTAAAATGTAATATTAAGATCTTTAAATCCTGAGCTAGAGTTTAATGTTAGCTTGTTAACTCAGTGGACTATGCTAAAAAATGTAGCCTGCTAACAAGCTAGGTTATGGAAAAGGGTGAAGCCTGAGCTTCAATGTGCCGGCCGACTGTCACCTGTTAGTAAAGCAGTTTTCACTAAAACATGGTTGAATGTTGATGTTAGCTAACCTCAGACTGTTGCTGCTGGAGTTTACGTAACTGTTTGTTGTTTTCTGAGATGATATTTTTTGGCCTTTTCTCTTCATTTGAGAGAAGACAAAAAAAAAATAGCGGGAAACAGGAGGAGAGTGGGGGACAGGGGCCTTGGTCTGACTTGAACCCCAGCTGTCTGAGCATGGACTCGCCTCTGTGATAGACCTGATGACCCTCCAGGTGTCCTTTTGTAGCATTACTGATCAGGAAACAATAAAATGAGGATTTGTCGTGTGATCTATACATGGGACCCGGAGAGACCTGAAAACACTGAGACAACCCGATCCTTTAGATAGTTTACGTTTGAGCTGCACCCTCAGGTTAAACAGCGTTGCAGGAATGTGGGAATGTGGTCGGTTGTCGTCATTATGGAGGAAAAAACAAAACCAGAAACAGAAAAAATCTCAGCAAGAACTGCGGGGCATGAAAAGATGATTGTGACAGGTTTAATCACCACCAGCAGAGAGCGAGGACTGAGCCACGTCCACAGACTTCAGGACTGTCAGAAAAATGGAGCGGCTCCTTCTGCTTCATTTACCTGACAAGATTTCACAGCTGTAATTGTGCATGCCTGTGGCACCACTGAGTCAGGGGATGTAGAGGGGTCAAGGGGTCAGGGGGGACGGTGCAGGGGGACAACTGATGGAGATTAAATGAAATGCCTAAATGTCCTGAAGGAGTGTGACGGCCTCACAGGTGTGCAGCACTTACCCCCACATAACCCCCACACATGAGCTGAAATGTGCTGTAGGCGTAGCAGCAGGCAGGTGATTAACAGACACAATTACTACGCCTCACTTACCTTTTCACCGTTCACCCGCATGTTTGGACCAACTGACACAAACGGCGCTGAGGCCCGAGTGAGGTGACCCCTCATGAAGACTGGACTCTGCTGACAGCCGAGGGGAAGCACTGCAACCAAGAAATAGAAATGAGAGAAAAGCCACATGACTGTAAAATCCTCTTGAAGCAGTTTTTTTTTTTATATTAAAAAGGCTGTAAATAGAATAGAAGCAGTCTTCATGTTGAGACTGCAGCACTGAGTGGATGTGAAATACTAGAAGATGCACAGGTGAGTCTGAGAGCGTACAGTTTGAGATACTTTATTCAGCTGGTCTGCAGAAAATCACTTCATACATACGTGCACGCCGCTGTGCAGCTGTGTCAATAAGAAATATTAAAAACATATAATTTCAAATAATGACTGATTTATTTTTTGAGCAGCATCTTGTAACCTTTCCACCAGAGTCTCGTGACCCCAAACATGTGACCCACTGTGCAAAGGGACTGTCTGAAAATTACACAAACTGTACAGGATACAGTTCAGCTACAGGAGGCTCCAGGTCAGGACCAGCAGGCTGAGAGACAGTTTCTTTCACAGAGCAGGCACTCTCTGGAACTCTCACCCCGTTAAAGCATGCTAAAGGCACTTATGTAAATGTAATATAATGTAATTAATGTAAATATTGACAATAGCAAATTCATACTGTCTCTTATTTATATGTGTAAATATATATATCTGGGTATGCATATGTTTATCTATGTTGTAAATATTATCTGATATTTGCTCTATTGCAGAATCTACAACACTTCATAATAATATTTATGTAATATAAAGGGTGTAAAGGTGTATGTTAGGGAACATTCATGTCCATACTGTAAGTCAGCCTCATATTTTTGTTTCTGTTTAACTGAATAGATTTAATTTACTGGTTGTTGGTTCAAAAACTGATAAAAACTCAGTTAATCAGGGATTTTTTTTTGCTATCATTCATGCAACAGTTCATTTTATCCCTCAGGCATGACTTAATCCGTAACATTAATATCGTCAAACTAAGATAAGGGTTGATATAAAAGAGAAAGACTCTCACATATTTTCCAGATAAGGTCCAAGGTTCGACCCCCACCCTCCAAAAATAATTTCCCTACAGCCCCTAAAGTTGGGCGGCGTGTCCACTGGGATTTAGCTGGAACGGGAACAGTGTTGACATTTAAAGTACATTTCTAAATGCACCCCTGAGAATTTTTGGTTGTTTTTCTATCTTGAATTTACCGACTGAGTATTAAACGTTTATACAAGCATTTGTAGACCATAAATGGAAGAAATATTACACAGTGGAAACAGCAGAGGTGCCAAAACTACATTTCCAAGGTACACAGAGCCTTGTATATCACATGTTGGAGCAGTTTAGCCTGCAGGCGCTGTTCCAGATTAAAACACAGAGGAGCTTTTATAACATAATTTAACAGTAGTCTTTGTTTAGGACGGACAGAGTTAGCTGAACGAAGCTAGAGGACGGAGGATATTTATAAAACTACGTCAGGAGAGAGAGGGAGGGAGAGAAAGAGAGAGAGGTGTGTCTCGATTCACCTGTAAGGACAGAGACATAAAGATTGTAACAGAAATAAGGTCAGGTGTAACAAAGACAGACTTTAGTCAAGTATTTACCCAGAATAAAACGAGAGAGGGGCTTTTCCTTTGGCAGCTGAATAAAAGAGGTCCGTGCTGCAGAAACAACACAAGCCTGATTCAATTATCCACCCTGGCTCTTGCAGGGATCACCCTCTAACTAATGTTCTCCCCTCAGTGCAATAAATAACTTTTTATTCCCACTGTCACGGAGAGTTCACCTGCACGGACGATCACAATGTCTGCCCTCGTATTTGTTACTGCGGCCTTTTAATTCGACCTGAGCCAACCTGTCATGCTCCATCAAACGTGGGAATCGGATACCTCAGGAACACAGGCGCCTTTGCTTTGCGTTATGCCATCCCCCCCACCTTCTTATACCCCTGTGTCTTAACACGCTGAGCCTGGGAGCAGAAAGAAAGTCACCCGCATCACATGAATCAAGCACTGTGACAAGGGTCCGTTGGGTCTGGGATCACACGGAGGATCACAAGTCTCTCTTTTTACTGCTCCCTCTCCGAGCTCTATTAGCTGGGGATGAGAGAGGCGGGATGGTCCTCTAAAGGCCGATATTTCCGTTGATGAAGAGATAAATCAGATCATTTCTGGAGTAAGGAAGGGAGCACAGAGAGCGCCTTCTTGGTCATCTCCCTTTGAGATGTAAATGGCACCGTGGCACTGAAAGAGGGCCAGGTGTCCGATGCAAAGAGGGAAAGCGTGACGGTGCATGCATTCCTCTGGGACCTCCACCATTAACTGTTGCTGTGCCTCATGTGGGCAAACATCAACAGATCCCATAATGGTCCATAATGGCCTTTGAGGAGTGACACAGTGGCTAAGTATGATTAATAGATAAGGGGTCCGTTTCACGTAGCAGGTTTAGTGGAAACTCTGAGTTTGTTAACCCTGAAATCAGGGAAACTCTGAGTTTTCCGTTTCACAAAGGAGGGTTAGTTAAACCAGGGAGAGAGGGGTAACTCTAACCTGTTTCACAAAGAGAGGTAACTCAACCTCGCGGTCAGTTACCACAGTAACAGACTCCGTGAACCTAACCTGCTCGGGAGCAGGTTTAACTCAGTAAACCCAGAGTTTCAGGTGAGACATCGGCATTTTCTCATTTTGATCATGTTTTACATTGTCAAGTAAGTATTAAGTGGCAGTTTGATCTCTTAAAAAATGCTCTTTTCACACTCAAAACTGAATTTTACTCTCTTATTATGTTCCGTTAAATGATTAGGAATAGTAAACTAACACAAAAACGGGTGGTGGCCCAGCAGCCCCACCTTTAACGGAGGCAGAGGAGCTGCACTTTTAGGAGTGTGCTTTCAGTAAATCTTACACACAGCTGACCAAGAGTTCAACTGATGGAGACAAACGTATCAAAAAACTACTGAAAAGCCCGTAATCGTCTGTGAGTCCCTGCAGAGCAGAGGTCAACAGCTGCAGCCCACGCCCTGCTGGACGATTAGAAATCAGTTAACCGGGCCCTCCGAGGTCATCAAGGTAACGATTTCCAATGAACTCTTTCAAGCCCCGAGCTAAACTGTCCAGCATCCCACACCTCGAGGTGGAGAAACAAGGCATTTGGCAGTTCAAACAGTGAATTAAGAGAAGAATAGCAACCTGTTATTAGTCTAAACGAGAAGGAGACCAGAAATGACCTCTTTGGAGGGGGGAGCAGCTCAAACATGAAAGCCTTAAAGGAGAGGGGTTAACGTTTGTGTCATGAAGTGATACGACCCCACAGGAGTTTCACAACATTCAGACAGACAAACACATGACCACCGACTCTTTTTGGATAACCAAGATTTGAGAATGATTTGGTTGTGTCAAATTTAGCTGCATCCTCCCAAAGAAATGGGGTGAATTATGCAGAAGTATGCTGAAATTAGTTTGAATTGAATGGAAAATCACAATTGTTTTATTTCTGATGATTTATATTAGAAAAAAAACTCATATTATAGAAGCAGTAGATCCTCACTCACTCTGGAGGCTGACATGTTGAATCGCCATGTTTTCCACTGTAGCTCTGACTGGACAAACTGGCTGGAATCTTCTGGCTGGCTGCAAAATCTGAAAACATAAAGATGTAAAATCAGATCAGGCCAGAGGACAGGAGAAAATTAGGGTTGACATCTGTGTTTTATTTTCATAGATGGAACTCCTGATGATACATTAATGTTTGAAGAGTGATGCTGAAATTGTCAGTTTTCTGCTGGACAGTAAGAAACTTAAACCTTCTGAAAAAAGTTCTACTTTAATGTTGTACTGATGCGTGCAAATGTTAAGTAAATATCAGAATCAGAAATACTTCAATAATCCCCAGGGGGAAATTGCTTTTTGTTACAGTAACTCCAGTGCAAATAAAGTAGAAAGAGGAGATAAATAATAGATAAAAATAAGTAAAAATAAAGAGATAATCAAAATGTGCAATTATGTATAGAGTTTTACAATATACAAGTATGTACACTATATGCAACACAAAATAGTAGAATAATATGCATTCACAGACACTTAAAGCTGATTTAAGTGTTCTTATCTTCCTTTTTAATATGTTTCTATCATCTTTATCATGTAGATAAAGATTATATCAAGCTTAAGAAAAGTACCTCCTGTGAACAGAGAGGTTTATCCTTTTATATATTTGTCATGTATGAAATCCACATTAATGTTTTGTTGGCCCATTGCCTTACTATATGAATTAAATTCAAGTTTTAAGTGATAACACCTGATTAGTTAAACCACTTTTACTTTAAAGTATGCTGTGTCCACCTCTCTGAGGTTGTTTAATACCTTACTCTCTCTATTTAATGTGTTGAAATGGATCTTCACTGTCAGAAAATTACAATTCATCATTTTGACAGATAGAAAGAATAAGAAGTTGATTTCGGCCAGTGTCTTAACAAGTGAATTTCAGGCCCTGGTTAAGAGTTTAATTTGCTGTTTAAGTGAGTTAAATGAATTAGTCCAGTTTTAAAATACAAAGTTCACTTATTAACACCAATAAATAGTCAGCAACATTATTAGAGGTGAAAAAGAAACTCAAGGGTTTAGAAAAATATAACTTTTGGCCACGAATTAAATCCGAATATCGATAAAAGCCTTACACTGACAGGTTTGTTCGCATCTGTGGATTCATGACACGAGCTGGTTAGCTTTTAGCTAGCGGCAACCGTTAGCTTATCTTGTCCTGGGCTAAAAGCAACAGAAACTTCCCACAGAGTCCTCCAAAATCGTCTAATTCAGACCAAAAATAAAATAAAATTGTCTTATATTCGTGCAATACTTTGATAAAGGCTTACATGTTAGTCATCCGGGGTTTCCTGTCGTCGTGCTAAACTAAGCTAATTAGCTGCTAAGCTAAGCTAGCTGTAGGTTTTCAGGTACCTTCACATTCAGAGACACAACTCAAACAAAGAAACACCTGTCTAATCACTGACCAGGTATAGTAAAGGTGCCGATTTTATAGAGATTTTTGTGTTAAAACTTTATTTAAAAAACAGCAACTGAAACTAATGTTAAATATGTGAAATGCAACGTAAATATGAAAATAAAAATAATAATAAGATCGTCTTCATCTGCTTTGGAAATTCATTTATAAAAATAAGTTCTTATTTTGAAATTTTTTTGTATGTTTTTAAAACTTAAATGGGCAAAATTGAGCCTGTTTAATGGGCTTTTGTTTAGTTTTTCAGTCATCTTTTAACAGAAGGATTAAAACTGTGAAATTTTATTTGTTCTGAAGTGTTTTTAAATACAATTCAATAAACACACACATTTATAGTTTTTAAGAAATCAGTAAATATCCCGTCTAAAAACCCACTCTTATCTTTTATCTTTAATCTCTTTTACCTCTTATCTCATTTCGACTTACTGTCCTTTTAGCTTTTGTTTTACTTATACTCTTTTCTCATTTAACCTTTAAGGCCTTTTATTGTTTTTCTTGTTCATTTTTGTTATTCCATTTTATCATTAATATTACCATCATTATTTGATTATGATTTTATTATCATTATTAATATCGTCTTTTTATATTTACTATCCTGTGTCCTGCTTTCTACCCCCACTTTTTTTTTTTTTAATCACATTTCTTCTTCTGACCTTTTTTATGTTTTTATTCTGGTCCTCATGGTCTCATTTTATGTTGTAGGGTTCTTGTATTGTCTGGGTTTTCTTATGACAAATGAAGTTGTCCTTCACTTCAGAGTCCTTGTTTTTAACTGAGCTTTTGTTTTTTATTTGTTTTTATTTCCATGTGCTGATGTTCTGAGCTTTACAACTGTTTATCAAAGCACTTTGATAACTTCTGTTTTTAAAAGTGCTATAAAAATAAATAAAACATAAATTAATATATTATTACTTTTATTCCTTGGCTTTTGACCCAGCATGAGACTGCATTTGTTTTACTGCTTTTTTTTTTTTTATTATACTTTAAAACTACTGTTTATTGTTGTTTTATGTTTTTATGTAAGCATTTCGTGTCAGCTTTGGCTGTATATAAAATTCTCTATAGATACAGTTGAGTTGAATATGCATATTTTTGGACAAACGTTCCCCTTTTCTAACCTGCAGTACCTACCGTGTAGAGTCTGCTCAATATCCGAGTGATGACTCTGCAGCGCCATCCAGTGGTAGAAAATGAACCTCACCTAAAAAGAAACCCATTATTTTTGAAATAAAACAAAAAAACAATCTTTTTCAGCTTTTCAGAAATTTTTATTTGAAGAATTGAAACTCATGATAATGCATACTGCCCCATGCTTGCTTATATGTCTCATATATCCCAAATGTGAATGGTAATATTTTACCAATATGTCATTAGAGTAAGAAAACTTGAAAACTTGAAAAAACTTACTCTTCATTTTCTGATTAATTTCTGTCTAGTGTTACAAATGTCGATCAAATCTTTTCAAATGATTCAGAGATCAGTTTCTGTAACAATAAAATATAGCATTAAAGTTTGAAAAATAGATTTCATTACAAAACAAATCGTTATTTTACATGTTTTATCTACACAATGAGCATTAAATTAAAAAGTAGCGTCAGCGAAATGTGAGGTGTAATATAAGCAGTTAGAAAACTATTGCATAAGGAAAATGTTTTTTTTTTTTCAATCTTTTTAAACCCACTCTTTACCTTTTAAAATAGACCAACACATTTTTTGTTCTTTACCAGAGGCCCTTTTAGTATTAAACACATTTAACACGGGTCCTCATGCTTGTCAGACTCCCTTTACCTTTTGGCATTTTGATAAAAGTTAGAAAACAGAGATTGTCCAAAAGGTTTGAAAGGAGCGAAAAGAGCCCCCAACCCTGAATATTTCCATATCTCCCAAAGAAATGATCCAGCTCTTTTTTTTTTGTAAGAAGAAATGATAAAAATATCCCAAAATACCTTGAAATCACATGATGCCTCTTCGATGTAACAACAGAATAAACCTGATCACAGGTGGCGGTCAAACAAATCACAAAACAACACTGTCTTTATCTGCTTTGGAAATTCTAGCACATAATTTGAGAAAACTTGACACTACAGGATCTTCTTGGCCTCGACTGGATATTCAACGAATCCCAACATGGAGGTCAGGCACAGTGAGCGATTTTCAAACCACCAACTGTCCAAGTTAACTCAGGAAACATGAGCACAATCACATACATGACACAGAACTGCATTTGGCCAGACACAGCTTTTCACTGATTAGATTGAACAAGGCAGGAATGTGTCTTACAGTGAGGAATGTCCAGTTTTCTCCTCTCCGCTGCCAAACTCATGAGATAGTGCTGCTCTAAAGTGGCACAAAGTGCTTGGCACAGTGAGTGTTGGAGTTCACACAGAGTTAAACCACATCAGTTCCACAGCTGATGGGAAAATAAGACCACCTGTGCACCAGCAGGGTATGTCATCCTGAAACGGTTCTTTTTAAATAAATAGTGCTTGTAGAAAAAGACGACGCCGTGCGCACGGGTACGATGATGAAATGCACAAACTTTCCAACTAAAAACAACCTCAGAAAGAGAAAACCTCCCAAACCAAATTAAAGAAACCTGATTTCTGCTGTGAGAGAATGTAACTCTGCAAGGCTGCCCTCTAGTGGACGAAACCCTGAATTAAAAATAAGGGCATCAGAAAAAGACACGAGTTTACGCCCCTTGTTGCACAGTTTAAGTACTCAATAGTGTTGAATATGAAGGGAAATGTAACGAAGAACAGCCTAAGCTGTGGCCCCTCCCACTGAAACCTTTAAACCGCCTCCCAAAGACTCAGTAACATGTCTCCTGTGCAAACAGAAAAATAAGACTTGTGGTCTAGAGCACCAAGAGTAGAAACAGCGTTAGCATCAAAGACGTACACTCAGCGGAGATGCTTTAGTGTAGATATTGATAATATTGTAGGCAAAACAGGTTTAAATGAATACATGAATACACAACAGTCCAACAGGAGAGTAATAGTGATGCCAACCAATCAGAGAGCTCGGTAAGGCAGGCTGGTTGTTGGCTGTAGAGTGCTGGTGCTTCATCAAAACACACAGGTACACACACACACGAACACACACGCGCGCACACAGGAGGAGTCGGCACTCTGCTGCAGAGCTACAGGTAGGTGTCCTGCTCTGTGCTGCTAAGGCTGTTCGTCGATTGCTTGAGAGGAGATTCTTTGGCAGAAGGAGGGTCTGCAGGCGGCTGCTGGTCGGTCGGGTCTGTTTCAGTCTCTGACACGGTCTCTAAGGTCCTGCTGCTGACGGGGGGCGGGGCTGGGGCAGTGGTGGGCGGCGGTGGAAGGTCAGTGGGCAGAGAGTATGGATTGGGGATGTCCTCGATGGGCTGGGACTTCTTAATGCTCCTCTTTTTCTTACTCTTCTTCTCCTCTCTGCCCTTCTTCAGCTTCGGGGTGGGCTGGGGCACCTCGAGCACGATGGTGGGGTTCTGCTGCAGGTCTTGGCGCCTCGGCGGCTCAGCCATCATGATGAGGCGAGCGCCGTGCATCCTCGGGGGTGACTTGAAGTTCAGCTCTCCGCGGTTCTTCTTCCAGCGCTTCAGCTGGGTGTGATTCTCTCTTTCCACCTCTCGCGCCGTCACTGGGACTTCGAGGATCTGCAACAGGAAGAGACACGTCAGCAGGTCACAGCTGAGTCAGTAACATATAGATCCTTTTCAGAGGAAACAGGAGGAAAAAGAAATGACCGGCCTCTGCTGGAAAATACAGCATGTTCTCCCATGCCTGAGCATTGTGTAAAAATGTGATCTTTGTCTGTAAATGCCACAGAGCCTCAGGGCTGGTGTCAGGACAACCGTCTTCTGAGAGGAGGCTTTGTTACGGCGGACAGAGACTCTCACAAAGCTGGGCACAGGAAGCAGACACTGAGCAGCCAACACTCGGCTCAATCAGTCTCTATTTCACTTCAATACTCAGAGTCTGTTTCCTCGGCTGCAGTTATGAAAACCCACTGTCGGCGGCTGACACAACACTCTAACACGCCGTTACAGGATTACACCGGGGTGATATCATGGCGGTAACAAAGACGGTTTCTGTCCTGGACTTTCTACATTTCAATGTCATTTCAATGTCATGAAAAAACACAGGAGGAGAAGTGCACGCTGTGATGTTTATGAACCTGCAGTTTCTCACTTTTCCATTAGTCCTGCTGGTTTGGATGTTTCCAGGTTATGGTAATTTCCCAGTATGTGGCAAATGTAAGAGAGACGCCTCACATGAGGATTATATTTGACAACCAAACAAAGCAGCAGCATCCTTATTGGCCCTAAAAGATACCTTCACTCTACAACACTGTAAAAACACCAAAAAGACTGAGCTGAGTCTCTACAGTCTGAGATTAATTCAATAATACTAGTTTACAGGAGTTTTATTCCAGAACGTTCTCGTCCCTCCTCTGATGTTTATAATGTGAATTAAAGAACCGTTTTTTAATGATCGTTTTTCTGAAATCTTTACCTTGAAAATAAAAGCTCTTCTATATTAATCGATTTGTTTCCTCTCACTGATTATAACTTTCAACCTCTTCACTCTTTTTAATCAAAAGTTTGATTCCTCATGACCTTTTCAAAGCCTAAACATTTTAATAATTCTCAGTTTATCATCTTATTTACAGGTTAACATTTGGGAGACTAGAGACTGACAGCAGCAGCTCCTCCAGCCGACCTCTGTGACACTCAGTTCGTTTACAGTCACAGTTTAATCGGACTAAACTCATAATTCGTCCTTTTCTCTGAATCAGACTTCTCTCCTTGTTCTCGTTTACATGTTTCACCTGTTTCCGACCCCATCCAACCGTCAACAACAACAGCAGGTCGGTGTCAGACGTCAGAAGTGTCTACAACTGCTGCTGGGCATTTTGGAGAAACGAGAAGATGGAGCATCGTACAGCGTTGTTTTTGTCCGACATGATGGACGCGCTACTTTTTCTAAAGAGGAGACCAACGCTACTCCTCTACTCTGGGGGTTTGGTTACGGGGTTACAGGGGCGTGGCACACATGCATTGTCATACTCTGACTGAATTCCAATCGTATTATCTGGGTGTCTTAATCTGAGTTCTCAAACTCTGATTATAGTCGGACTAAGGTGTTTACATGACCTTCAGTTGTCCGGTCTTTATCGGAATAAGGCGATAATTCGGTTTTCTCGAGTGTCACGGTAACGGACTGACTGAGTCACTTCATCAGGTCGCTCTTACCTCTCGGACGAGGAAGCCCTCCTGCATGTATCGAGGCTCCACGGCCCTCAGGAGCTCCATGGTTTCATACTGGCCCTGGCAGGCCTTCAGCTTCTCCCGGGTACCCAGCATGCATTTCAGCAGCACCAGACCCACACGGAAGATGATCTTCACCCCTAATAGAGCAAGCAGAGTCATGTGGTTAAGCGTCGTAGCGATGAACTTCTCAGATACTGCAGATGTTCATGCTGTTGTGAGTAACTGTTACCGTCGCAGAGGAACATGTCCCAGACACGCAGCACAGACGCCCAGGGCAGCGTCCTGGAGAAGGCGCACATGAACCACTCGGTCATGTAGAGGATGGGGTCGATCTTGTGTTTCTCCAGATGGCGGTAAGCTAACGGGGAGACGCGGCGCAGCAGAGCGAACAGGATCTCCCCGTCCAGTTGAATCGCTTCCTGAAAGAGACGCAGGTCGAAAAGATTGAGAAGAAAAGAAAAGAGTCCGCTGACACACGACACCTGACACACACACATATTCACTAAAAATAAACCTCTCTGAATTCATCCTGTTGTAATCCAACATGAGTAAATAATCCAGAGTTTAATCCTGATCTAACGGAGCAGACAACGCCCTGTTGTCGGTTTCATCACTATGTTTTCCACACTGGCTGTGATTATTGTGAAACCCGTGTGAGTGTTGTTGTTGTTGTTCTTGTTGCTGCTGCAGAGTGAACAAAGTCCAGATTATTCATCTGGATTCTAGTTCTTGGAACAACAGAGTCACATGACGTCACTTTCTCAGCACATGTCCAACACCTAGAGATGTCATCATCAGTTTCAGGTGTTTCAGTCTCACCAGGCCGGGACTGTAGTAGCCGGGAAGATACTTCTCACAAATCTGGACCAGCCCCCAGAAGGCGTCCTGAGGAAACACACAGAAGATGACGTCAGAGAAACATTCACGGACTTACAGGAGGTCTGAGCGTTCACACGGAGGGCAGGTTAATAACAGAAAAAATACCTAGAACTGCTAAAATAATCCTAAAATCTCATCCATGAAAACTGTGAATGAGTTCCCAAACCCCTCCTGTGAGACAGGTCACATACAGGACAAAAACAAACCCACACTCTCTGCAGCATCACGTCTATGTGGGTTCATTTCATCTGTGATAGCGCAGAACAACATCTCACTGGATTTTTACATGACCTACTCAACTGTTGTTCTTATTTAAGTTTTACAATTACATTTTGGTTGTTTTGTATTTATTAGAAAGGACAGAAGAAGATCGACACGGAGATGAAACAGTGACAGGGACTGAAGCATCTGTTTTTGGGGCCTCAGCAAACTGTTGAACCACTGGTCCTCCTCTCTGGATATTCTCTTCTATGCTGCGTTCGAGTTTCCTCAGAAGTCAGACGTCGGAGCTGAAAATGACGCCACACCAGAGTTCCCAGCGTTTCAGTTACCAAGTCAGAATCTAAGGAAAGCACTAAAATAGCGTGCGTAGATGTAGCCATCTTGTTTCAGGCCTCCGATTTTGCTTTTTTCCGACTTGGTAACTGAAACGCTGTGAACTCTGGTGTGACGTCATTTTCAGCTCCGACATCTGACTTCTGAGGAAACTCAAATGCAGCATAATTCAGTTTCTAAAGCAGAAAATAACTCGAGTTTGACCAAAAACAAGTTATTACACGAGTTAATCAGTCTAGAGATTTTCATTAAAGGGTCATTTCACAAAGTTTTATACATGAACAAGAATGTGAACCTATAATCTACCAGGACTGATTCAGTTTGAGTATTTTTCTCTAGAGCAGTTTATTACACAGGGGAGGTTGATGATTTTTACAACTTCATGAGAATGATGAATTGACTCAAACTAAATCTAATTAACGGGTTCACAATATCCTACAGAGAAAACTTCTTCATTGACACTAAAAGCTTCAAACTGTGAGTAAAAAAGCGTTGAAACGGTCACCACGGCTGCTGTTCTGTTGTTTTCTGCAGCAGCTCAAAGATTTATCTCCAGCTGACATTTTCTGTACAGTCTGTCTCTGAGCCGTTCAGCTTAAAAATAGTCTCCTTCAAGGTCTCAAAGTAAAAAAAGCTCTGGAAATTCTCTAAAAATAAAAGAGAGGCCATGTGTGATTGTTATATTTGGGTGGGTTTGACTCTTAAAGGCGGAAAACTTTAGAGCTTTGTGTTGAAGCGCTCATGCAGACAGACAGACAGACAGACAGACAGACAGACAGACAGACAGACACCACAAAGTCTTCAGACTATTACAAACACATGGTGACGGTCCACCCGCACCAAACATGGCAGTTTATTTGGTGTTGGTGGTAAAGGAGGAGGAGGAGGAGGAGGAGGCGTACCTCGGCAGGCATGTGCATGAGCAGAACAGCAGCGATGGGCGCCTGAGCCTGGCAGTACCCCTCCTCGGGTCTGTACAGAGTGTAGGCCTTCAGGACACGGAACAGGTCCTGCTGCCTGTCAACGGTGACAACACTCAGAGTTTACAAAACCACTTTACCTTCACTTATCAGTGTTTAATGTCACTTCTTATCGGACAGCTTACCCGTGTCCTCCTCGAGACACAAACATCTCGTGAAAGGGAAACTGACGGTGGAGGTCTTTCTCAATCACATCTATCCATTTGGGGTCTCCGGGTTGGCTGTCCAGCTCCTGAATCAACACAAAGAGTTTCAGGTGAGACGCTTTTATAACACCAGGACAGCTTTGAGGCCCACTCAGACAGAGGAGAGTCTCTAAAACAGACTCAACAGAGGAAGAACCTCCTGGGTGGGTCGACAAAAGCTCTAACAACAACTTTAAACGACCATCTCTGAACAGAAATCCAAACATCTCTGGTGAAAATTTTACATATTTTATATTTAAATGTGACAAAAACTCAAAGGTGCTGTAGTCAATCTAAAGTAGCTGCCAACACTGACATTAAAAGCAGCTCCTGGGGCATGACCAGTTTCAGTTAGCGTTTCGGATGAAATGTAAAAATTGAAATGAGACCAAAATAGAGCAAAAACACAGCAGTGGTGAGGAAGTGAAAGAGCGAGACTCTCTGACCTGAAACTTCCCGTGGTTCTGCTCTTTCTTCATCTTCCCCCCTGACAGGTAGAGCCAGGCACGACCACGGAGGGCCGGAGGGATTCCTTTCTGACACCTCAGCCTCACCTGAACCCCAGAGGATCAAAATTCACCGCATGAAGAAAGAGAAAAGGGAAATAAGGAGGTCAGAGGTGAAGCTCGTACAGTCTGTACAGTCAATATGAAAATGTCCGGCCCTGAAACTTGGACTTTGTTCCTTTTGTGGTTGTGTTTTCAAACGCCGCGCTGCCAAAGACCTTTAATATCACATCAACTGACCATTTATTAGAGACGGGTATCTTGAATGATAGCAACATGATGTCTGCACAGTCAGCTGTAAAAAGGTCCAGATACACCGCACAGACAGTAATGAAAGACAAAAACAAAGACTTGGATCATTTTAGACATATTTGAACACGTGCTGCTTCTTTCCTCCTCCTCCTCCTCCTCTTAGACATGCTGAGGATCACTCATTCATAACAGCTGTCACTACATCACTGTTAACTGTAAATTCTCATGATTCTGACTGACATTAGTCATGCAGACCTGCCTAAATGTTGTGACCTGCATTGATCAGTTTCCACCTCAGGTCTCCCCCTGTTCTCACACTCACATCACAGAGCGCGTTTGAAGACGTACTCTTTCCTATAATCGGGCGGTAAAGACAAGGTCAAACTCCTATCATTCTGATGCTTCAGTCAGAGTTCCCAAGGTCGTTTCAAAACAAAACTAAATTATCTTAGATTGCAAATGTGTCTCAGCATCGTTCACATAACAATCATTTCAGAACTGAAGTTATAGAGGTCGACTGATTATCAGCAAAAGGCCGATTATAAGAGCCAATATTCAGCTGATTATCTGGATCGACCTTTAATTTCACAGACGGCTGATAAAAATTAATTAACATTTATTATAATTTATTAAAATAATTTATATTTTTGCTCTGCTGTCAGCGCTTCATTCCCTTTGGCTCTACTTTCCAGCACTACTTTGTCCCACCCACAACACAATCTGATTGGCTAGATATCAGGCGACTGTGTGACATAACTGACTCTGTAGTCCTGTATATGATGATGAATGAGAGTGTAATATTCTCAATTCTAAATCTGGACATTTAGTGTTTGATTTTTTACTGCCAGGGCATGTCGGCTCCTGAAGGTTGGTTATCAGTCTCATGATAAGCACATTACACCTCAGGTTATAACCGACACGAGAGATTTCTACAAACTTCGTCACCTCGGAGGCATGAAGCAGAACTTCATCCTGCTGAAGTTACAGAAATGTCGGCTGAACTATTTAATAATAAACTTCCTTTTATTCCTGAAGAGGAGGGTCGAGACTTTCATGGACCCTGATTCTCCTCTAGAATTAGTCCACATCTCTGTGGTGGGTGGTGTTACAGCGAAGGGTGTAGCTTTCATTTCTTGTTCCAAGTAACAAGCTTCTGTTGACACAACCTCTCAGCGTATCTGAGTGATTCAATAAACCACTGATAGTGATTTGACTCTGATTTACAGTTTATAAAATGCTGGTGAACCCCTCCCTACGGATTAAAACCACTACAACGGTTATTGTGGACTAAAGGAGGACAAGAAGGGATCAGGGACCTTTGAGCTCGCTAATTCAACAGAAGGAGGAAAACTGCTTACAGCTCAGAAATGTCGTTTCTTCTCCTCATGAGGTGTTTTTTCCAAGTAGGAGTCTGTGTTGCATTTGGGGACAGTTATAATTTAAACTCCGAGCACCTTTATTACATGGTTTCTCTCAAAGGAAGTAAATACAGCCCCACCCTGAATCTGAGACTGTCAATTTGTCACATGGTGCGATAAAGGGATGGGTCGTGTCCTGCCTCGCTGCTGACTCATGGAAATGAGGTAAACTTGTGGGTCTGTGCTGAAGTGCTGAGAGCGTAACGCGGAGAAACCAGTCCGACGACTGACGCTGCAAACAATGTGTCCACAAAAGTCCTTTCCTTGTGCAATCAAATACTTGGGGAAACGCCGTCCGCCTCGTCTGATTATGTGTACAAATATAGAGGGAGGGAAAAACTGCAGCCTGGAGAAAACTGAGATTCCAGCTGAGATATGGGTGAAGAAAACAATCTGGAACCAGATCAGGTCGAAAAACCCGTTCAGACTTTGTGTCACAGAGTCAGGACCTGGTACTGACCTTATTGAACCTCTTAATGATCCATTTGTCCCAGTGAGCGAGCATTTCCAGCCACTTCACCTCCCTCTGCCTGAGCACCTCTGGAGGGACTTCTCGAGTTCTGGAGGAAAAAAAATGACAGAAATGACACATTCAATACTTTTACTACTGAATACAGAAGTAAAGACAATAACAGGAAGTCAGTACCAACTTCCTCTCTTGATGTATTCAGTTATCATCTATATTTTCAAACACAGAGTAACCCTGCAGCCTCTTCATGTCTCATGGTTGTGGCGTCCTGTTGCCTCCTAGACTGATCCCAGAGCGTCAGAGTTTACATAATAAAATGTCAAGAAGAGCCACAGATGAAGTTTAAGATGTTTAAGAAGATTTTAAATCGACTCAACAGCAAAAAGAAAATTCACTAAAATAAAAGCAGATATGACGGAGGTTACTCTTTGACTTTTAGAAGTTAAATATCAAACATATTTTCTTCTTCTCTTTCACATTCGCTCTTCCAACGACTGACCACAGGACTAAGGCACATCTTAAGAATTATACAGTTTACAAGTTTCATCTATCCATCCATTTTCTACTGCTTATTCCTGTTCCTGGGGTCATCGGGAGGCTGGAGCCTATCCCAGCATCTTCAGGTGAAGGCAGGGGACACCCTGGACAAGTGGAGACGAATGACCATCCAAGCTCACATTCACACCTACGGGTAATTTGAAAGTGGCTGATTAACCTAACCCCACTTCTGCATGTTTTTGAGGTGTGGGAGGAAACCGGAGTACCCCGAGTACCGGAGTAACATGAGAACTCCACACATAAACACCCTGACCAGGATTCAAACCCACGACCTTCTTGCTGTGAGGCGACAGTTCTAACCACTACACCACTGTGCCGCCCATGGTTTAAAATTTAGAGAAATAAAACAGTTATGCTTTCTAACTGTTCTTGAAATGTTTTCTTTCAGTATTTCAAAATAAAAGCAGTTTCACAAAGTAGGAAATAAATCAACCTGAAAACAAGACAGATAAAAATAAAAGTAAATGTGTGGGCGAACAGCTGGTCTATGAGGAAATGTCTTTTCCAGAGAAGTTTCATAAATTTGAACATCCTCAGAAATAGATAATGACTGTGAGTGAATCATTTTCAGTAAAGTTCATGAGGTCATGTGTTGCTTCACCCTTATTTTTATTTTATTCAGTTGTTTTTATTGTTGTTTTTTCCTAACACCCAAATAAAACCGTTTACAGCCACAATAATCCTGAAAATCTGATATTTTAATCGCTCCAGCAGATATAAAGGTTGTTCTTTCACAGCCTGAGGCAGTACGTATGAGTTATATAAGCATCTTTGAGTTTATAGTTTAGATAAACAAATACAGGTTTAGGATTAGGCTATTCTGGTTATATGAATTGATTTATTGAAATACTAAACTGTTCAATAGTCTTTTATGTCATGTTTGTTTCAGCCTCTTAAAATAGCTCCAGTTTAAGAGACTTAGTGCGCTCTTAGGAGGCAGGTCTGCGAAACGCTGCCACTCTCTCAGAAGATAAGTTTTCATAAAAAGACAGTTTTTGACAGCAGACAAAAGAAAAGATCCTCAGAAAGGCTGTCCGTCACTCTACATGTGAAATAAGATCGAAGTGTGTGGCCAACACTCACGCAGAAGTCAAAAATAACCTCTACAAAGAGATCATCAGAGACACAAACACAGATTTAGCTTTTGGTGGTAACGCCTGTTTAACGTCCAACAGCTGCAGTAAAGATATGAATGTATGTGCGATATAGTTTCATCTGAGAATGATTTCAGGACTGCACATTATGTTCTCCAGAGGGAAAAAGAAAACATAAGTGTAACCCACGTTACGGAGGAGGTACGGCGCTCCACACAGCTGTGTAATTTTCTCATTGGCAATAGTCTGTAATTGTGCGGCTCAGAGTTCTTCAAAGAGTTTTCTTTTAATGTGGGACAGCCCTCTTTGAGTTTAAAAAAAGAAGCAGGCTATACGCAACGACAATATGTTTCAGCTCCCAAAGATGAGTTACTTTCAATCACTGCCAGATAGTGGAAGTTAAACCTGGGTGTGTGACCACCTATAAAACCAGGAGCCAAAAGAGGCCCTCTGCAAACACGGTACCAAATCTGAGGCTCCAAGTCTGCCAGAACTCCTGAAAACAGGAAACTCCCAGCCAGCCTGCGCTTGGCACAACTTTCACTCACTCCTTCTTTCACTTTTTCAGAGCTGTGATTTAGGCTTCAGGCCTCCAGTTACTAAAGAGAGAGAGGCCCTCCGAGGAGGAGGAAAAAAAACACTGTCTCTTGTCTCAGAGGCTATGAATAAATGACTTCACTGACTAGACAAGACACACACAAAATAAACAAACCAGACAGAGAGTATCACTGATTCAGAAAGTAAACAAGCCACATACTTTGAACCCATCCTCATCTGGTTTCCTCAAGCATTTACACTCACCTTCAACAACATTAGGTGGACCAAGACAACCTGATATAATCCACAACAACAGATATGTCATTACTTTTGGGAAGCCTTAACATTTTCAGTTTTTGCTGATATTATCAGACAGGTAATTCACATACTCTATCCTTCCTCAGATGTTATGGATGGTAAGCTGAAGTGTGCCTTATCCTTTAATTTTCCATTTAGGAACACCTTTCATTGTAATCCACTTCAGTAAATCACCATCGTTAAATACAACTTTAACAACAGATGACCTTTAAATGCAAATCAGACCATCAGCAACAAGACTTACAATATCGTTTTATAATAACTTTGACTGTCAAACTGCTGTGAGGGAGCAGGAGTCTGTTCAAACAATCAGACACAACAGTGAGTGGATAACAGAGAATATTGAACAATTTAAACACTGTCACTATTACAGCTGTACAACATGACAGTTTCCTCTGCCATAGATTTTCCGAACATGTTAACATACTGAGTGAGTGATGGATTTTAATGTTAAAGCTGCTGTGAGAAACTTTTAGTTTTGGTAAATTTTGGCGCCCCCTGTGGATAAAGTAGTCATTGATCCTCTTGTCCCTGCATGTATCTTTTAACTCTTCTCAGTCCGAATTTTAAGAGTTAATTTTTGTGAATATTTAAAACCAAAAAAAGTAAAATCAGGTCTGTTTGCACTGGTTTCAGATATTAAAAAGTATGGTGTAAAAATAACCAATCTTGATACTGATGCTTATGATTACTTTTGTTTATTATAAACAGAAATTGACTTGAACTTCGGTCAATTTCATAACAGTTAAAAACTCTTCACAGGAGTTTTAATAAGTACTTTTGCCTGAAATCATTTCATTAAAGGTAATATTGGTTTATTGGTCGTTTTCTTTCTTTTTTTCCCCTTTATTTATCTCAAACTAAAAAAAAAAAAAACTAGAAACAAAAACGCCAAACAAAATAATACATATGTACACCAAACAACTGTACATGTCAAAGATAAATTAACACAACATATGTATGTCAAAAATGAACAGTTTGAGAAGGAACAGAATGAAGCAAAAAGCTCATCTAGTTCAGACCTTTCCTTGCAAATGATTTAAAAAAAGAAAAAATCTATTTGTTTTTACTATTGCCTTTTTTGTAAGCACTTTGAGATCTGTTTTCTCAGATTTAAAGTGCAATATAAATAAAGTGTATTATTATTAATATTATTATTATTATTGTTATTATTAAAGTGGCACAAGGATAAAGTTCCTCACTGGAGCTTTAATGAACAAATTGGCCATAAAAGTTGACAAAAGTAGAAAATGTATGAGTTTCTTTATGGCAGAGATACAGTACTGTGTTGCATTAGATAAATGAGTTGTATAATGTCATGTTGAGGTGGGTAACTGTGTATTATCCTCGTTTTAAAGGGAATCAGAGGCTCTGAAACTCTCACTGTGCCACGCAGCTGGTTTGGAGGTTTGTTGTGCAGAAGCACCAGGACAACACCAACATCAACACTGAAGTTTGTCTCCATAACTACAGTTACTGCTGACCCTCTACAGTCCTGATCTGTACTTTTAACAGTAATTGTGTTAATTTTAATGTGTAAAGAGAGTCTTCAGTCAGACTTACTGTCCCTCCGGGCTCTGCTGCGCCCCTCCAATAAATCCATATTTATCGGTCTGTCTGTCGCTGGTGAAGCCGTTTATCTCAGAGTCTGATCCCAGAGAGCTCTCGTCGTCCAGATGGGCGCTGCTCACAGTCTGGATACTCCTGGTGTCCGCTGTTGACAGTTTTCGGCCGTTTTCGATCTTGGCCATGTTAGCAGCAGAGGAGCTAGCTGATTAGCCAGGTTAGCCCAAAGTCAAAACTGCTCCCCAGAATCAAACATCACCGACGACATCATTTCCCGTCTTGACTTTAACTTTTCTAATTATCTCCTTTCGTTAACTTTAATTAAACTCTGAGCTGTAACTGTCAGGCCTCGTCAAATTAGGTTAGACTTTCTAACTCAGAAGATTATCCAGACTAAACATAAACGAGCTAATGTGGCTAACGCAGAGTTAGCTTGACCCACTCGTGCCAACACTCGTCCAAACTCTTTCTACGCTGAGCCTTCTTTAACAAAATAAACCTACATTATCGACTCTTCTCTCATAGTTAGACACTTACTAACTATCTCAGCTGGTTAACTAATGAAACATGTTGTTTTTTCAGCTAACGGACTCCTGGTTTGCGGTCCTGTCAGACCGACTGTGCTGAGATTTCTGCTGCCGTCCTAACCTGGACTCATTGCTCAGTGTCTCCCCCAGTGGCTGAACGGGAAACTGCAGCTTCAGTCTCCACCACACAGCAGCAGCAGCAGCATGTCTGTGATCAATACCAACCTTAGAATACAGGGAGGGCAGATGTCCAAATAAAGCCAATCCATTCACTATTGTGTGAAGTCTAAATCCATAATCTGGAGTTTTAATCTCTTGGTAACATTGAGGATAAAGTGAGCACTTCTCTTTGGGGTGTTTACCGAGTTATTTTTGTTTCTTTTATTGGGTTTTCTTTTGTCTGCAGGCCTCACTGCCTCGCAGTATGAGACGGAAACTTTCCACAAGTATTTAGATGTGTTAGTATAAATAGTTCACAATTCTTCCATGTCTTGTTCTATTTATCAGCAGTCTTGATGTGATTTGCATACTATTTTACTATTTTGTGTTGTATTGTACACTATATGGTGGTGGACGGCTCCTCTCTCTTTGCTGCAGGACAGAAAGATTCAGAAGATCTTTTGTACCAACAGCCGTCAGACAGTATAACTCTTGTGTAAATGATAGATAACTTTCAGAGACATACGTGAGACAACAGACTATTGAATTTCCCTTCTGGGATTAATAAAGTTCTTCTTATTCTTATAGGCCAAAAGTTTGGAAGCAAGGCCATTACAGACCGAACAGTTGGGAGTAACTTCAATTTTTTGTTCACAATGCTTTTTTTTTTAAACCCAGCATGAGTTGTTTGTATTTTGGGATGTATTTACTCCATGATCAGATGTTGCTTTCAAGGAAATGCACCATTTTCCTCCATTTACCTTTAGATATACATTGATGTTAACTGACTGTTGCCAAATATATGCCAAATAAGGGCTTAGTTTTAGGATCTAAAACATTTGCAAGAGTCACAACTTCAGTGCAAAAGCAAAAAAACAAATCACAGTTGGATTATTCACAAAAATCGTAATGAGTCTCAACGTGTTCAAACTTCCGCAGAAGTACTTTGAAGAAAGCAAAGTCGAAGCAACAATAACTGAAATACATAATAATTATAGTCAAAATGTCTTCCAAGTTACTCTTTACACAATAATCATGTTTATATTGTTGCAAATGATATTAATGAAACTGTGATCTTTATTTGTACAAACCTGATTTTGCTTCCAAGCTTTTGGCCTGTATTGCACATACTTGTATATTGTAAAACTGTAGTGTATACATTCTGCATATTTTGATGATCTCTTTTTTACTTTCTATCTATTATTTATCTCCTCTTTTTCTTTATTTGCACTGGATTTACTGTAACAAAAGTAATTCCCCCAGATGCAGACTGATGTTTTATTCCTTTATTTAAATGTATGAACATTTTGGGGCTCCACATGTTCTTACAGGTTACCTTAAACAAATATATGATGATCATGGAAAAATCAGGAGCTGAAGAAACGGTGTAAAGACATGCCTGTCAGTAAATATATACGAGGAAATTCATTAAACATTTTCACAGACAGAGAGGGAAACTTGTGTTCTTAATTAAAGTTAAGAAAAGCACAATGTCATTCTGTAAAATGTAAAATAAACTCAATACACATGACAGGAAACATCCAAAAACACGTATTTCCGTCTTCCTGCACGGCTCACTTCTTCCTTCCACCTCTCTCCTTCAGCGCCAGGTGAATGATGGAGCCGTTGTTCATGTTGTAATAAGCCAGGGAGTTGGAATCCTTAATGAAGATGCCCTGTAACAAACACATAACACACATTTTATTTAAATCAGTCACGTAAAAAAGTTTTACAAAAATGTTCAGATGTTCAAAAAGAAACGTTTACCTCATACTGCAACTTCTGTTTTCCTGCTGGCATGCCTGTAGCTTCATGGATTTTGACTTTAATAACAGACACCTGCGGAGTAACGGCATCCATAATAATTCAGAACATTTAGAGTCTGTATTTGGTGAGGAAACAGGAACAAAAAGCCAACATTTACATACCTGGTCTGTGAGTGGGACGGTGAAATTCAGCACTTGGCCGTTCAACTTCCATTCAGTCTTATCCTGCATGTTCGGGACTTGGACTTTAACGGCAACAGGACCCTAAAAAAAGGCAAGCAAGTTTGTTTATCGGTCAAAAATAAGAATAATAAGAAAACATACAGGCTTATTAACTCCCCTATTTAATTAAATTTACTACAACAAAACTACAACAAATGTATGTGAGAGCTGCCTTTTTTATTTTGAATATCTAAAATACCTGAGAGTATTTTTATGTACAACTGCTCACACAAACCTTATTCCTGCGAAGGAACTCCTCCTCTGGGATGAGGTTGTCCTCCGTCTTCATTTTCTTGCTGACTGGTTCATCTTCATGAGGCGGAGGTGGGTGGGCCGGTGGTGCAGGAGCGGCGCTGGGAGGCTGCGGTACCGGAGGAGCGGGGACGAACGCTGGAAAGACAGAGCCGTTATATTTGAGTTTAATCAAAATAATGACGTCCTCTCACGGCTGAAATAAGTGCTGGAAAAAAACTTACCGGCTGGAACAACCATGGGCGGCGGTCTCGGGGCCATGATGTGAGGTGCTGATGGTGGCATGGGGACCACATTAATGCGGGGAGCAGGAATCATGGGAGGCATCTGCGTTATAACTTGTCCCGGTGCAAGACGAACCACAGGAGCCACAGGGGGTCTTGGAATGACGGGAACAGCAGACAGGAGAGTCGTCCTCACTGGAGGAGCCACCTGCTCACAGAGAAGATATCAGCGGGTTGGAGGTAAAAACTTTAAGAGTGAATTCATGAGTGAAAATCAGTTTTTCTGAAGAACTCACTGAGGAGGGGGGGCGCGGCACCGCTGTGACTGGAGGACTGGGTTTGGGTAAAATGGATGCAGACGAGGGGATGGGAGGGGGATGGTGGATTTCACTGGGCTTGCTGGGTCCGATTTTCTCCTTGGTGTCGTCCTCTCCCACCAGTCCTTTGGCCTTGTGAATGGCTTCAATCTGCTCCTGCAGGGTGATGTTGGCCTGTGCAGCCTGCTGGGTACGAGCCATGCTGCCCGAGTGTCCGTCCCAAGTAACCTGGAGTCACAGAAATAACAAAGATATCAAACATGAAGACTCAATCTGATCTGAATCTATACTTTACTCAACCTAACCTTGAAAATAAAGAAATACAAGCCATGGCTCTCACCTTCTCCTCTGGTTTCTGGATCTCCTCCTCACCGATCTTCTTACCGATGGCCGTCTCCTCCACACCAAAGATATCAGTACGTCTCTCGGCCAGCTGCTTCAAGCTGCTCTCGATATCCAAACCAGGAGCGTAGACTTCGTCTTCGGTCTGCCGCTCTTTGTTTTTTTGGTCGATTTGCTCCAGCCAGCGCGGATCCAGCAGACTGATGCGCATGTGCTCCTGCATCTTACTGGCAGGAATCTTCTCACCGGTGATTGGTGAGATGAGGTACTCGCCTAGAACCGAGGTCGAGGGCTGAGGCTTGTTGGCTGTGAGGAAAAGAATGAAGAGGTTAACAAAATCAGCACACAAGCAATGATCTGCACACTAACTTCTATAAAACAGAGCCAGCGCTACCTTTGGGGTCGTAGTCTTTACGGATGATGACCTGGTCAGGTGTCGGGGGCAGTGGGGGCGGCATTGGGTTGTCTGGAGGCAGAGGAGCCTTCATACCATCATCGTCATCATCAGATCCCTAAAACACGAAGAGGAGAGTGATTCTTTGTTGACAGCACTTGTTAATGTAGACGCCTTAGAGCAGGGTAACAGTTGGCGAGTCAGAGTAAAAGTTGGCGTGTTAAAGTTTAGTTTAGAGATTCTGCAACTAATGCAAATTCTACACAAATGCCAGTCGGTTCAGCTACAGTCCCTCCTTGTTTGTGTACAGGAAACCATGGAAACTGAACAGAGTGTAATATGTTTGAACTGGAGTGAATAAATGTTGTGCAGCGGTTGATTGTGCTGCTTTTATTTCATGAACAAAGGAGAAGAGACAGACGATAAGTCTGCTGAGAACGAGGACCGGGGAAGGCAGTGATATCTGAACTGTTTACCAATAAGCAGACCAATCACAGGGCTTGTGGTCCATGTTGTTTCAACACATAATTACAGTTTTGAGGAGGTGCACAGAGGCTTCTGTGAAAGTACAGGGATACGTGGACCTACAGCACAGCAAATGCTGTAGGTCTGACACAGAATCATAAACCGGGCCTCAGGATACCTCAAAGCAGACCACAACAGACCACAGCTGAGCAGATGTCATCACAGTGACTCCTCCTGTACTAACCTCATCCATGTCCTGCACATTAGTGTCTTGATCAGGCTGTGAAGGATGGCCACCATTACGACCTTCCCGTTCATCGTCCTCATCTTCACTCTCCACCTCCATCTCCACCTCCTCGCTCTCTCCATACTTCTCGTAGCGCTCCTGGATCAGGATGCGAGCGCCGAGCTCCTCAGGTGTGGTGGGAGGAGGGAAGTGACCTGAAGAAACAAATCAAGTTAAGTTTATCTCACTACATTCACAGACTGGAGGATCGGCATCATTTTGGTTTGACTACCTTGTTCGTTGGGCTGGAAGTCTACGGTCTCGACCACCACAAAGTCATGCCAGTCAATCTGAGCGTAAGCCACTCGCTCTTTCTCTCGCTCCTCTTCCTCCTTCTTCCTCTCACGCTCCTGGAACTTTGCCCACTCAACACGGTACCTCACCTGACGGTTTATCAGAAGATCAGCTGATTAACACCAGGAACATACCGACTAAAAACTTAGTCTGAGAAATAAAACACTTTTTGAAGAGATTACCTGGTCCATAACCTCTTTTGGATTCTCCGCCTCTCTCTTCAGTTTGTTCAGGAGACCTTTAGGAGGGATCAGAATCTACAGGTCCAAAAGACGGAGAAACACTCAGTTTAATTTCCCACCATAAAAGACAATGAACACTCAATCACAGAGATACTTTTTCTCAGGTCACCTTAGTGTATTGCTCAACCAGTTTGGTGAAGTAGTTGAAGAGGCTGTGCTGAGGCCGCAGGAAGTCGAACTGGTAGTTTCTCTGTTCTTTCTGCATGAGCTGAGTAAGAAACTGGCGACCGTTACGAGCCACGAACTGGGCAGTGAGCTTGACGACATCCAGATCAAACGCTGAGATTGACGGAGGATCTGCGATGAACTCGAACTCTGGAGGTGGTTCTTTGGGGATGACGGTCTCTTGGATCACCTGTGATTGCACCTGATGACAGACAGGTGATATTTGTTTATATATATGAATGATTTTAATAATAAACCATCAAATAAAGTTATGTGGCTGCAGTGTCTTACTTTCTGAGGAAGCTGCTGAGACTGTTGCATGGCCTGCTGCATGACCTTGGGCACTGCTGCAGATGGTTCCTGGGCTTTTCCCTCTTTAAATTCATTGACCTTGTGGCGGTAGTAGGCGTGGTAGGGGTCATTAGGGTTGAGGAAGTTAAATTTGGGGTTGTTGATCTCATTTTGACGGATTCTTGCTTCAAACTCAGGTCCATTTCTGTAAAATTATAAAACACATTTAATCACAGCAACATGAAAACCTATGATAAGGAAAATAATGTGAAATAAACACGTATAGAAGAACCAACCTGGCAACAAAGCTGGCTGTCTTGTCGACGATGTTTCGGACCTCAGGAGGTGGATATATGATGCCAACGATGGGTTTAGTGGCCGGAGTTTCTTCTACTGCAGCATCATTCTGCAAACAAAATTCATGTTTGTTCGGCTGTGAGTAAAATATGAAACAAAAGAGCTCCTACAAACTTCATATGAACTTCAACACAATATGTTTTAATCTTACTTCTAACACATATGATCCTATTAACTCTAGCTTTAGAGAAACATAACGGAGGGAAAATGTTTAATATCTGCTGGTTCACACTTAATTTTTGCAAAAGTCTTAAAAATACTTTTAAACATAAAAAGTCCTTGACCTGCATGGGCAGACAGACCATCAATTCACAGACATATTAAAAAAGTTACTTTATTTATGAAGTTTTCCATCGTAGTTTCTCAAAGAAATCTTAAATATTTTTCTGAATTCGGTATAAAACAGAATTTAGCATCAGAGCTAACAACAAGCTATCCTATTATAACATAAATCCCCGTTTTGATCAACCAGAATCCAAATTTGACCATCTTTATTTTAGTAACATAAGATTTAAGTTAACTGCTATTAACTCTTCTCTTTAAGAACAGTCTGTTTTAGCCTCGGTTAGCCTGAGCTAACTAACTAGCCTCGGTTAGCTTGATCTAACTAACTAGCCTCTGTTAGCCTGAGCTAACTAACTAGCCCCGGTTTACCTTGTTGTTGGTCTCCGGCTGAACGATCTGAACAGGCCCGGGAGGCATGACTGAGTTTTCTGTGTGAAATCAGGAAGAATCTTCGGAAAAACAACAACAAGAAGAACATCAAATATATTTCAAGAGAGGTGCCATGTCAGCTAATACCTTGATTAACGCAAATTATGAGATATAAATACGTACTTTATCGAGTTCGGCACTTACTGCGCCGCGCTTCTGTTGACCCAATGGAGGATAACTACTTCCGGACACACGCCGCAGAGCATTATGGGGGTTGTAGTATTAGTGCAGGTTTCCACGGTGATGTTTGGCCAACAAGCTCCTTTCTGCAGTTCCTCTGTGTTTGACAGAAGTAAACCGCGGAGTCATGAGTGAGTTCCTGGGTCGGCAGGACTGTATCGAAAGTCTCCGCAGAGACCTGGTGGACCTACAAGGAGCGACCCTGGACGTCTTCTCCAGAACCGGACCGGTCCGGTGTCCGTCCTGGAAGTTTCCTGATAAACTCTCCTGTAATCTGGACATGGTGGCTCTGCTGGATCAGTATGATTATACAGACGGAGATGAGGCTTTCAGTCAGCACTCACACATAATCTTACTGGAGCTCGTCATTGACAGGTAACACCAGAGTTAGGTTATTATTTCATATTAAATATTCTCACTAAGACTCTGAGTGGACTTTTATTTTCTTTCTGCTCTTCCCAAACAAGACTGCTGCTTCTTCTGCAGAGCTTCAATGCTTTTGTGGAGCTGTTGAGGTGTGGCACCAGGAGAGAACAGCCTGATGGATGTCAGTCAGTTGGTCTTGTGGTCAGAAACTATTGGAGAGATTTGGTTGAATTTGTCAAATGTCAAAACTCGATGGTAAGAAAACGATTATACGGGGGCCGAGAACTGCCACTGCTGCAAATAAAAACTACAGAACGGAAGTTTCTGATCTGCTGATCTGTTTAATGCTTTCTCTCTCTCTCTCTCTCTCTCTCTCTCTTATATCAGGGCACATTAAGATACAACCCAGAGCAGACAAAGACCAAAGAGACATCTGACAGCAAACAGACATTGTCTCCTGTCTCCCATCAGATCAGCCAAAGGAGTGACCTTTGCAGACGATGTTTATCTGCAGGTTCTTCACCGAGTTCCTTCAACCCCTCACTCAGTGTTCATGTAAACTGCCCGACAGCTGAAGCATCTTCTCATCCCTGCGACACATGCTGTGAAGTTCAGTCCATCCTGAGAAGAACCGGACAAGCTTTTGTAGATTTGTTACAGAGTGAGGGTCTGCCCTCGTCTCTGCAGCCCCTCCTGGTATCTGTGGAGGACACTCTTGGACAGATGACCGCGGCAGACATCACCCAGTGGGCCAATGAGCAGCTCAGAGACATGCGCCGTCTGGGGAAGCATCTCCAGGATGTGAGGAGTACGGTGCAGCCTCTGACAGATAAACTAGACGCAGCACAAACACAGCGAGATAAATTCAGGTCTCAGCTGGACAGAGTGCAGAAGGAGTTCAAACAAGAGACTGAAAAACACCAGGCCAACATCGTCCAGCTGGAGTTTTCCCTGCGGAAAACACAGAGGTCCCTGAAGGAAACAGAGCAGAGGCTGCAGGAGGAGCGAGAACAGCTGAAGAGAGGTGAGAAAATACACAAATGAAGATGATCTGAAAGCACCGACAAACCGTTTAACTCTGTTCTCATGTTTTTACAACAGAAACTCTCCGTCTGAAGGATGATAACTCCGGCCTGAGAGAGAAAGTAACAGAACAGCAAAACACAATTCAAGCACAAGGTGAGGACGCACAACACTTTTTATAATATTCACATTTTTCAGATTTGCATGAAATATGCGTGAAAAAAATACACAGCTGTTTGTCTTTCAGTTATACTCATGAAATGTGTTGAGAACAGCCCTGTTTTATCTGATTTCACTCTGTAACAGAAAGAGAAAAGACTGCGCTGCAGGAAGAAGTCCGCACCCTGCAGGTGGACAGAGAGGTTTGTTGTGAACTTCGGCAGAGGGTCCAGCAGTTAGAGAGTCAGATCCAGGAAACTCAACTTCAGCTCCACAAAGAAAATGCAAAGTACTACAGCGCCTGTCGTCAGCAAGAGGTCAGTGTTGCCACATGATCGTTTTCACCAAACAGAAGTTAAAGTTCAGGGTTGAGCAGTTTTGTTATTTTTGTTGTGTTTGGTTTTGTAGTCGATGCAGGCAAAGCAAACATCTTTGTTAAAGAGAGTCGACACTCTGGATGAGGAGTGTGAGGAGCTGCAGAGACAGTTAGGAGAAAGAGAGGAGTCACAGATCAGCCTCAACGATCGGCTACGACAGATGTCAGAGGAGAAGGAGCAGGTGGAGGCCCGGCTCACTCAGCAGCAGGTAAACTGGAGGTGTTTCAAAGTTCATATCCCTCTGTCAATATTGTAAAAACTTCAGAGACTGATGCTGTGAAGCTTTTCTCCTCCAGGAGTTGTGTTTACAGCTGAGAAAGGAGAAGAAGAGCGTAGAAACACATGTAGGCGAGCTGCAGAGGAGTGTGGCTGAGATGGAGGAGTACGTTCAGGTTTTAAAGGAGAGAGAGAGACTGTTGGTGGCGTTCCCTGAGCTCAGCCCTCTGGCTCGAAGCCAACCTCAGAGTAAGAGATCATTTTGTATTTTACTGTCTGATCTACACTCAGACTGTTTACACTCCCCTACAGAGAACCTGTTATAGACCGAACACAGAACCACATCGTAAAGATAAATACTGACGCTATCCTGTTGTTAAAGTGCTCAACTGTTTATTTTGTCTTCTAAAGGTACAGGAAATGTACTCTTGGATATGAAGCAACAACTGAAGGCAAACGACATCCGTGTAAAAATTCTGGAGCAAGAAAACACGACTCTGCAGACCAGCCTGATGAAACTGACGGAGAGGGTCCAAACTAACGGAGTCAGGGTGGGTGTGGAGGAGGGTTGAGGATGTAAACACTCGGCTTCCACATACTTACGGTTAACTTTAGTGTATATTGGTATATAGTAACAGCCTTTAATGGGATTTAGAAAGCTGTCTTAAAGAATCAGAATCAGAAATACTTCAATAATCCTCAGGGGGAATTTACTTTTTGTTTCAGTAACTCCAGAGCAAATAAAGTAGAAAGAGGAGATCAATAATAGATGAAAATAAGTAGTAATAAAGAGATAATATACACGTATGTACACTATATACAACACAAAATAGTAAAATAGTATGCATGTAAACTGTGAGCAGAGTCCAGGTAAAGACTATTGACTGAGGGAGGAGTTAAAAAGTCTGATGACCAACGGCAGGGAAGATTTCCCGTGGCGCTCCGTGGTTCATCATGGAGGGAGGAGTCTTCTGCTGAAGGTGCTCCTCTCTCTGTAGGACCAGTTCACTGTGGAGAGGGTGAGAGACATGGTCCAGTATGGAGTGGAGCTCGGACAGCAGGGGGTCCAGCTCCACCCCCACAACATCACCTGATCCTTTCTGATCAGTTTATTGAGTCTGTTGGAGTCAGAGACCCTCAGCCCGCTGCCCCAGCACGCAGCAGCGAAGAAGATCGCACCGACCACAACAGACTCATAAAAAATCCTCATCATCGTCCTGCAGATGTTGAAGGAGCTCAGCCATTACAATAATCCAAACGAGAGGAGGTGAAAGCATCAGCACCTCTGTGCTGGCCTGGGAGAGAAACAGGTGGACTCTGGTGATATTCTCAAGGAGCAATGTTTCTAACGTGGGGAATAAAAATGAGCTCAGAGTCGAAAATCACACCCAGGTTTTTTTTTTCTACAGATGTTGATTCTTTAAAATCTTGTAGTTTTTGTAAAAGCGTCTCTCTCAGGCCTTCAGGACCAATAACTAAAACCTCTGTTTTGTCCTGGTTGAGCTGCAGGAAAACGTCTAAAATGCGGTTTAAAAGGACATCAATCGGCCCGCTATCATCAGGAGACACAGACATGTTCAGTTGTGTATCATCAGCATAGCTGTGGAAGTTGATGTCGTGCCTCCTGATGATGTCCCCCAGGGGAAACATGTAAAGATTAAAAAGAGTTGGACCTAAAATTGACCCCTGGGGAACCCCAGACATGATTTTATGTAGACGGCCTCAGTATTCCTGGTCCAGTTTACGGTTTATTGTTTTTTCTTTGCTCTAATCGACCATTTCTACCTACAGGAGGCCTCACCTGAGCAGGTACGGAGCCTCTCTGATTACAGCACACCAGAGCAAAAACTACAAACTCATCAGACGCTGATGTTGTAAGTTGAATTATGAAACTGGATATTTGTCTGTAAATGAAACACAGAAGCTTTAAAGAGCAGTTATCAGCTGATTGACCCTGCAGCGTTGAGTTAGATAAGATTGTCAGAACAGGAAGTCCCTACAAGGATCTCTGACGTGTTTCCATCTTGATTCTTTGTTCTCCAGGCAGAGCAGCGGAGCAGCACGGCTGGGATGCAGTAACAGATGGAGGGAAGAGAGCCGAGGGGAAAGCGGTCAGGACTCAGCTGGGTCGGGTGATCAGGTGTCCACCACGGCTGCTGTTTCCCCCTCATCCCTGCAGCTCCACCTCCAGACCCTCCACCTTCACACAGATACCAACAACGCTGCTGCTGCTAAAAGCTGCACAAAAAAAACACGCAGCAGATTTATCCTCTCTCACTCCAGGAGCTCAAACCAGAGAAAATAAAACTAAGAGAGACAAGGAACAAAATGTCATCAGGTGGAGGAAGGCGTTAACACGTTTACACACTAATGTTACTCTGATTTCATGTCATTATTATATATTTTTATATGTTAACTGTCATGGCTGCTTCTTTTTGTGATGCAGAGTTAAATGAATAAACCTAAGGTGTATAAATAGACCGTTATTTTACTTGGCGGCGACGGTTTTATCATATCGTGTTTCTTGTTACTCGATCTGCTTCTCAAACAAACCTGCACGTCTCTGAAAAGACGCCTCACAGCTGATGATTCAGACGGAAACGCTCGGCTCGTACGGCCTTGAATGTCACACAAACAATGACGCGGAGACAGATGTGATGGTGGCGCTAAGTGCCATCTGACGAGGGAGGAGGGTGGGCGTTTCCATGGAGACACACGAGCTCCAGGATTCGTGCTGTGCTGAATCAGTGGAGACCTTTTGTCTCACGCCCCGGAGGATAATCAGTCGGTAAACCCTCAACAGCAGAACACACACACACACACACACACACACAGACACACACAGACAGGGTGTGGATCAGTGGGACGTTTGTGTGCTCCACCGCTCACATGAAGCCGCTCTCAGGTGGTCATTTGAGAAGTCATGCGCTCAGGTGTGTAACACGAGCCGAATATGAAGCTTCAAAACTCTTCAGAGCTGCTGAGCTCGGTCAGACACAGTCGGTATTTTCTCCTCACACTCTGAGTTCTCACACGTCCGACCTGAACGAACACCTGATCTGTCATTTTCCTCACTTTGACGACAGCTCCTGACCTGAGGGTTAATCTCTAAATTGGTTTAACCTTTACGATGTGATATCAAGCATGAAAGTGAAGTTAGCTCTTTTTCAGTCACAGCCTCAGATACCCGGGGAGATTAAAATCAGTGTAATGGCATTTTGAACATTTTTGTGGGTTATTGTGTAACTGTTGAGTATTTCCTCATCTTATTCTGGTTATTCTGGTTCAGTTTTTATCAGCTCAGAAGGTCCGACAACGATAGGCTGTGTGACCCAGAACTCTAAACTGATGTCTGAATGAAAACACCATCATCCAGATTTTTGTAAATGCTGCTTCAAAACATTTATTTTATATGTAACACATCTTTTTCTTTTTATACAGACATACAACATAACAGAAAGATTTGATAACTTAATGTGCAAGTACAGAGTCCAGTAATATTCAGAAGTAAGAAAAGATTTCTTGTATACCTGTGCTACCTGGCACAAAAAGAGACGAGAGAAAGAGGTGTGCGAACGTTGAGCGTTAAAAAAAGCACCGCAGTGTGAAGATCTGCATCCTGACATCAAAAGCTTAACAGTGACACGAAGAATCGACGGGACGAGAGTTTTCAGTGTGCAAAGTCGTACAAAGTCTTCGAGCTGACTCCTCTGTCGCTGTGCTGTCGGTGTTTTGGTTTGACGTCCCGTGTAAGAGTGATCAGCTGACAGAGGAGGAAACTAAAGAGCTCAATGATGAGGATTGTTTTTGGGATTCAGTCTGTTTCTATCACAACACACTTAAGGCCATTGGTTTTTCATGAGACATGCAAACACTAACTCAAAAGATCAACTTCATTAGGCTCGTTTTTTTGGTGCATTTATTAAAATAAACCGTCATTTGCACTCCGCTGTTGTTGTTGTTTCGTCGACTGCAGGAATGTTTTCTGTTTCTCTCACATGTGCTGATCTCTAATCTAGGTCAGGCTGCAGACCGGCGACAGGGATTACAGCGATGAAGCACATCCCTCCTTTATCATGACAACAAATGTCTGCAAGCCTGCCAATATTATTTACCCTGTGTGTGAAGATTCCAGTTAAACAGGTTTGTGCTTGCCTCATAGATCTAATAATCTCTAGTCATCCGACCGTTAAATAATGTATGTGCTTTAATTTCCAATCTCATTCCAACATGGAGAAAGTGCTGGCGTCTGAATGAGCGTGAGAAAACGCCGCGAAGTCAGTGACACAAAAGAAAGGGGTCATGGGATGAGATTAAGGAGATTAGGTGAAGCGCTGCAGTGATGTCCAGCCACTTAAAAAAGTGAGCATGAATCACAGATGAGGACGAACAGAGGTCAGGGTCTGATAAATATAACACAGGAACAACTGCAAAACATGAGGGAGGGAAGAGTACAGATGGAGAAATAAATACGCAGAATATGGGATTAAATCAGCTGCATGTCACTGTTAAAGAAAGGTGAAAATCTACTAATCTGAAACGTAAACGCTCATGCCTCTGCGCAACTTAAACATGCTGACTGTGTTCAAACTAATGCAGCGGGTTTTCTGAACAACAAGATAGACGGATGTTGATTCTGCAGCTTTAGATCTGAGTGTAACCTTTAAAAAACTTCCGCTGAGTCTTCGTCACTTAAAATAAGAGTTATTCATCATAAATAAAAACCAGAGAGTTTCTGGAGAAACTTGCAGAGTTGGAGAGAAAAGAGCTGGTCAACTTTGATGCTCGGAGTTCACAGGACAGAAATAAAGCTCTCTACTGTACATTCGAGTATTACAAGATATACAAATATGCTTCACAACGAGACAGAGAGCGTGCATCCCATCCTGTGGTGTGCTAAGATCTGCAGAGACATGAGTGCAGGCTGAGCAGGCCGCTCACAGGCTAAAGGGAGTGAGATACAGAGAGGACAGCAGGAATACGAGAGAGTGAGATGATACCAGGCAGTAGTCAAGACTTGGTTTTGGTCACATATCATCTCTTCCCTGTGAAGTCCTCAGCTGGGGGGGCAGTGGGAGAGCTGCTGGGGAGGGCTGAGGGGTCCACCTGTCCCTCAGGTTGGACGGACTGCACAGTCTCTACCAGGCTGCCGCTCGGTAGCACCACGTATCGAGCAGCCATGTCTTTGGGCTGCAGCTCCCGCATGCCCTCCTTACTGTGCCAGATCCCGTAACCGAAATACACCAAGAGACCTGAGGGGGCGACAGAGAGACCCGTGAAGTTCACCTGGAGCCGTTTTGAGTGAAAACAGTCTTTGAATGAACTTTAAGGGTCCTTTTGTGTTAAAGGAATCGGTCTGGTTGTTTATTAAAGTGAGGCTGAATAACTTAAAGGTGGCGTAGGAGCAGGAATCCGTTAGAGAAGCATCTTTTTTTGTGGTGTATTTACAAAAAATCTTTGAATATCAGTCAATAGTTATTAGTTATTGATGACATTTGGTAATATATCGATATCTCTGTGTTCTCTTATGTCTGTGTCGTCAACATTTGAACATTTTTGAGCGGTCCGCTCTTTCTGACTGTAAACAAAGCTGTTCTCCACCTCCTCTAACCTGATTGGTTGTGAGGCAGACGCTGCTCCCCCGTGTCGTTCAGGAGCCCAAACAAAGTTAGCGTGCTACAATATCGGACAGTAGAAACCAACCAGAAAGTTCGGAAAATTGTCTGAATCCTCCTTTGGCCACGACTGCCGACACAAGCAAGAAAACAAAGTAAATACCGGAGACTCTGGAGGAATAACGGGCGCTTAAAACGGAGGTAGACCGGACAAGAGCTAAAAAGCCGGGTCAACATAAACGATGGGGGACGCTTGGGGATCTTGGTGACCCTGTAACCTTTCTGCTGGACAGGTAAACCGCTTTAACAAAGTAAGACAAGTGTCTGTAACAGAAGTGTTTCTTGTCAAACGGACCTGCTGTAGCGTGTTGTAGCGCCATCGCTAAACTGTCCTCCCTCGGGTCCTGGACTATGTCACTTTATCCTCGTTGTAGAAGTCCTGCAAACATTGTGTTTGCTGGTAGTCTGTTGGCATCTACAGTAGCACCAATGCTTTTGACTTTCACCTTGACTGGGCCCCATTTGTAATGATCTGAAGTATTTATCTGCATTATATCTGAATTTAATTGGAACGATACGAGCGAGCAGGAGCGTCTGTTTGTGGGCGGGGCTTAAGAGGAGAGGAGGAGCTGAGGGGGAAACTGGTTGGGAGGGGTAGAGTTTACATTCAAGATTTCTCCTAAAAACTGGAACTAACTCAGATCTTGACTACCCCACCTTTAATTTCATAAACCACCTTTGTTTAAGGGTAAAATAAAATCAGTTTTTCTCTGGAGAAGGTTTTCTGTGGAGCCCTGTCGTGTGTAATAGTCTGTGTGTGCATCTTATTATCTTGTCGCGGTCTGACAGTCGTGTTTAAACGGTTTAACTGATCCAGAGACGCCTCGGGTTAATGAAGCTAATCATGTTAGTCCACTGATCCTTTTACTGACTGAGCTTTAACTCCAACCTCCAACACTTTGGTACATGAAGTTCTCGGGTAACAGAGGTCAGATGTTTCATGTCTGTGTTTTAAGACGACTCCCTGAGATTAAACTCATTAAAACATGTGTGCATATGTGGTGTCGTCTGCCTCTGATAAAGATAATTGAGACCAAACATGCGAGACAGTGTTTGTGCAGCAGGGAGGTAAATATGAGGTCAGGTCACAGAATTCCTCTGAACTCTGATTCTTACCGATAGCGATCCAGACGGTGAACCGAACCCAGGTCAGAGGGCTGAGCTTCATCATCAGGAAAACATTAAACACGATACTGACGCCTGGAGTCAACGGAACCAGAGGAACCTAAACGACAAACCACCAACCGTCCTCAATGTCATTTTAATTATGATAATATTTATCTTTAAACAATCATGCGCTTTATTCAATCATCAAACACGTTCAGCCGTCACACCTGGTGCTCACCTGGAATGTTTTGTTGTTGGTTTGCGGCTCGTGGATCCAGATGAGAGCCAGACTGGTAAGAAACGCTAAACTAAAGATCGCCAGCAGCATGGCGAAGCTCCAGACCGGCAGCTGCAGCTGTTTGGTTCCAAATTCCAGCACGGCACAGAAGGACACGGCGCTGACGATCAGCATCATCACGCAAAAGGCCACGACCTCGCCCGGCTCGCAGTCCCCCAGCAGCCTGCCCAGGTACGGCTCCCAGTACGCCTTCAGCTGCCCCGCCCCTCGCTTCTCTCCGGTTGTCTGCCTCTCCACCAGCTGCAGCTTGTCAGAGAAGGACTCGTACTGCTTCAGCTCCCCGCTGTCCTCAGCTATGGTCTGGGACTCTGACGGCACAGGGGACGGCCCGGCGTTGGGGTTGGGAGATGTCGAAGCTGTCCCCTTGTTGCTGGGTTTCTCAGGCTGGAAGCGCAGCACGATGACGCTCGCCGCCACAAAGGTATACGCCAGGAGGGTGCCGATGGACAAGAACTGGACCAAAGCCTCCAGGTCAAAGATGAGAGCCATGGTGGCCATGAGGAACCCAAACACCAAGATAGCAATGACCGGGACTTTAGTGACGGGGTTGACTCGAGAGAAAATGGTGAAGAACAGTCCGTCTTCAGCCATGGCGTAAACGATCCGAGGGAGGGAGAAGAGGTTACAGAGGAGCACCGTGTTCATGGCTGGAAACAGGAGCAGAGATTCATAATCAGAGGAAAGTGACAGAAACTACAACCAAAACACTCAGGGGTCAATGATATGTGCCAAATTATAACAGCAGTTAAAGACTGAGAATTCAGTCAACTAAGTAATCAGGTGACTTTATGGCATTTCCACAAAATCATTGGCTTTCCTGAGGCTGACAACAACATTTAGTAGTTTTATCATAAGGGTTAGGGTTAGGTATCGGCATCATAAATTGGCCACTAGCAGACCTGCTCTCTCATTATCATTATCGGTATTGGCCGATAACTGATGATGATTGACCACTACTCTGATGACTTTTACTTCTGCCAAAAAGGAAAACTTCACTTCAACAGGTCCAAATCTTAATCCGAACCAGACTCACTGGCAGACTTGTAGACAGACATTTACTGATCGGGTTAAAACATGTTAAGAAATGATCCAAAACTGAGGCTGTATGTGAACGATGTGATGGTAGAACAAGTGCATTTAAAACCAAACTTCTAGGAATAATGTTTGATAGTAAATTAACATGGGCGAAAGGAGATGTGATTTATTACCTGTAAATGTAAGGGGAAGTGTGATTATGTTATCACATTTTGATTATTGTTCAGAGGTTTGGTTGGTCGTGCGCTGCTTCATAACTGATAAAGAAACTGCAAATAGCTCAAAACAAGGCAGCACGATATTTACTTTGCTGTCCATACAGAACCAATGTTAGTAAAACGCACAACTGTCTTGCCTTGTTGAACGTTAAGAACAGATTTACTGCCTCATTAGCAGCTTTCATTAGAAGACTATCTGTGACGAAATTCCCGAGGGTTCTTCACAAACATTTGTCTTCCAGTTCGGATGAACACTGTTACAGAACAAGACATGCTACAGAGGGTAAATTCCATCCATTTTCTATCGCTTATTCCCGTTCCCGGGGTCGTGGGGGGCTGGAGCCTATCCCAGCGTCTTCGGCGAAGGCAGGGGACACCCTGGACAAGTCGCCAGTTTATCGCAGGGCTGACATACAGAGACGAACGACCATCCGCGCTCACATTCACACCATTTGAAAGTGGCCAATTAACCTAACCCCACTGAGCGAGAAGATTGCTGTAAGGAGAGTGAGACTAGCAGGACACTGCCAAAGGCATCAGGAACTGCCGGCCAGCAAACTGGTGCTGTGGGAACCAACACATGGGCATCGGTCAAGAGGACGTCCTACACTAACATATGTGGACATACTCAAGAAGGACGCAGGAGCTCAGAGTACCAACGAACTGGCGAGATGTATGGAGAATCGGGATGACTGGAAGCGACGATGGAAGGCTCGTCTGAGGACGACCTAGAGAGATTTGTCTTGTAGGCTCTTGTGAGTTATCTGAATGTCTTTGTGTTTGTGGCGTGATGTTTTTAGTGACTGTGCACTGCAATGGAGAGCTAATGGTAAATGTAGACTCCAGGAAGAATAGCAATGACCTTAGCCAAAGCTAACAGAGATCTAAATAAACGAAATGAACTCACCACAGATCGAGCCAATGGCCACCACGATCCCAGCCCAGCTGTAACCGCGGCGGAAGAAAGCATCTGCCAGAGCTGAGTTGGGGTCCAGGGTGTGCCAGGGTACCATCAGGGTGAGCACGGTGGAGACCAGGATGTACGCTGCCGCTGCCAATCCGAGTGAGATCGCTGTGGCGATGGGAACGGCTTTCTGCGGGTTCTTTGCCTCCTCACTTGAAGATGCGATCACATCAAAACCCACGAACGCATAAAAGCATGTGGCCGAGCCTGCGAGTATCCCGGACAGACCGTAGGGGGCAAAACCTCCTTCCTTCTGGCTCCAGTTGGCCGGCTCGGCCAGCATGAAGCCAAAGATGAGGATGAAGACAATGACCCCCATGCTGATGGTGGAGAAGATGTGGTTGAGGTAAGAGGACACCTGAACTCCAAAGGAAATGAAGAAGGAGGCAACTATGAGGATCCCTGCTGCAAGGACATCAGGGTAGTGGGCCAGGAAGGGAACGTTCCACTGCATTATGTGCGTCTCCGTGAAGTTCTGGATGGCGTGGTTAAAAATGGAGTCCAGGTAACCGCTCCAGGCACGCGCCACAGCAGCTCCACCGATCATGTTCTCCAGAATCACGTTCCACCCAATGAGAAAGGCCCAGACCTCCCCCACTGAGACGTAGGTAAACATGTAGGCAGATCCAGTTTTGGGGATGCGTGCGCCGAACTCTGCGTAACAAAAGGCTGCGAGCAGAGAGGCGATCCCTGCAAAGAGGAAGGATAAGACGATGGCGGGCCCGACCATGTCTTTAGCCACGGTTCCTGTCAGGACGTACAGCCCTGAGCCCACCATGCCCCCCACCCCCAGCAGGGTCAGGTCTAGGGTGGAGAGGCAGCGTTTCAGCGACGTGGCCATCATGTCATCATCCAGCGTCTTCAGACGGTTCAGTTTCTGACAAAGGCGCACCGCTGGGGTGCAGCCTCGCGGACAGCTCGCCATGGTTTCAGAAGATGACAGGCCAGCCGTGCAGGATGGGGTCGTGATGGTCACACTGGATCCATTAGCTGTCTATAACGTTGACCTGAAAGACAAAGATGAGCTTTAGTGTTTTTACTCGGGGTGGGAGAAAAAATCGATTCACACAAGTATTGCGATTTTTTGTTTTACAATTTTTTATTTGATTTTTATGTTCAAAGATCGATTTTTTTTTCAAATTTAAGAATAAACCTAAAACCTGACTAACATGTGATGTGTATTTTTAGGGAAATATAGTTCCTGGAATCGTCAGTAGACAATCATAATCATTCAACTGTTTCATTGGTGTTAAAAATGCAAACTAAAGATCAAGAAAATCGACAATATCGTAGAATTGCAATTTAAATCGAATCAGGAGAAAAGCATATCCTCCCAGTCTTAGTTTTTACCCCTAAGACAATAACTGTGTCCGTTAACCGATCAATACAAAACTAATAAGGTCACATGACTGTTTTCAGGCTTTGAGGAAACGGTCTCCATGTCCACAGAGAATACTCAGTAACCTGAATTATAAATGCCTAACGTTAATTTGACTCCTTTCTCTTCTTTATTGATTTCAGGCTCAGAGTCAATAACCCGTTCCTTTACAAAGAGCAGCAGAACATTGAGTCACATATACAGAAACACAGAGGATGGTGTTTTAATTTATCATGCCCTGTAAAAAAAAGGTTAAGATGTTTATCACTTTAATAATCTTTTTAACAATAAATGAAACATGAGTATGGCGTACAGTGATCCTGAGTTTATAGCAGTGGTCCTTTATTTGAAACACATGGCGAGCTAGCTTTAGCATCCCTCTGAGAGATGACTCAGCACTTTATAAAAAATGATATTCAAAGATTTATTATGAATCAAAAACAAAGTTAGAGCTTCTCTCTTCTTAACCAATAAATAACTTCATAATTTCTGTTTTAAATGTAGCCTAGATGACTGTTCTAAAATCAGGCTACCACAGGTCTTAAAATGAAAGTTTTTTTACATGTCTAGATTTAGACCAAGTTTAGGCCAAGTCTACATCTGGACTATATCTATACTACACTGTTTATTGCTCAATGGCTATCATAATTATTTTTGGTTAAGTACTTGGAGATCAGTCATGCAACTCTATGCTTTTTGAAATAAATAGTTATTGAATAATGGGTCAAAGTGCAACGTCTAAATTCCATCTGAAAATATACAGAATCTAGGCCAGGGGTGGGCAATCATGTGCCATGGAGGGCCGAGAGGCTGCAGGTTTTCTTTCCAACCCAAAACTACACCAGGTGATTTCACTGATTAGTCCCTGCTCTCAGCTTGGAGGTAATCAGTGAAATCACCTGGTGTAGTTTTGGGTTGGAAAGAAAACCTGCAGCCTCTCGGCCCTCCATGGCACATGATTGCCCACCCCTGGTCTAGACGGTTGAAATTAGGTCTAAAAACAAACTAGACGTCTAATAGCTGTCTATTGCTCAGTGGGTTCCTAAACTTATGAGCTGTTACGTAATAAAGAATAAGTCCATTTGTACATGTAGGTCAGATAAACCAGTACAACAACAACAAACTAACAACAAACATGCTCACAGGGTTGCTGGATTGATTTTGTTTAAGACAGGTAAGTAGGGCTGGGTGATAAAACAATTACGATGTATATCGAAAATTAATTTCCCTCAGTATCAATATAAAACATAGTCAATATACTTTTCGATAGTCGGCATGAGTACATGTTCTCACAAAGTCGGGGACCTCTTTTGTATGTGGATATAAATCGGATATGTATCTGATGTGACTGCAGTGTGGACGCTCAGGTCGCGTTCATCCGACCTATACGTCATCAATATGCAACAAACGTCACCATTGTTCGACGACACAAACAGGTGCGGAAAGCAACTTGTGCTTAGTGCGCATGTGGGTCACTTCACGGACGCATTCTGTTCACATTAGATGATCGTTGTTGTAATGTGAATGGAATGCGTCTGTGAAGTGACAACAAAAAATCTGAATTGTGCATCATAACCTGCAGTGTGAACGTAGCCAAAGAGACACAAAGACCTCACAGATGCAGAAGATTATTGTGTTGCAAAAGACATGCGACCAATAAACACTGTTACATGTCATTTTTTATATTGTGATAAACTTTTGCCTGTACCGCCCAGCCCTACAGTAAGGTTATTGGTTTTGATATGACAGGAGAATATGATAATGTATTTTAAACGATGCATTATTATGTATTTAAGGAAAAAAAGGTTTGTCAAGATCTCATGGTTGATTGTCTTTTTGACAGCTGGGGCTCCTGTCTCTCTACAGAGAACTCTTAAATTCTTGCAGGACCTGCCTATCGAAAATAATCCGAAATTAACGCTATAATTCATCCGAATTTATTGAAACGCAGTCACGTGACTCTGAAGCGTCTTGTTGTGTGTTTTTATTATGATCTAGTTTTGCTCAGAGGGCCTCAGAAATGTGCAGAAATGGAAACTCATGTCTGTCTACAGCTCAGTCCACGTCAGCTTTAAGGTCTTCAGTGAGCTCCTGTGTTAAATATAAACGCTCAAAAACACCGATCATCTAATAAACACAGACGGTAACGGCCTATAATAGATGATCTGTTATTGTTGGAGTAAATTATCGGCAGCACCGTTTCCTTCTCCGGGCGGTGCAACATCCCGATCCCTGCCCTCACAGACATATGGCGACCACAGGATGGCTCTCTGATCAATTACGTAACATTTAATCCTTTCGAAATAATAAAACTGTCAAACACACGACCACCCACGCAGTATTTACTCACGGTATTCCAGCCACATATGAGAAAAACACGCGAGGAACACGATCGACATTTAAATGCAAAATTAATAATTGATGAGAAAATGGAAAGAGACGCAGAAAGGGGCTCGATAGTGGGCTGTTCCTGCTCTCCTTCCTGGATCTGCACATCTTCATTTATAAGGAAGGATCTCCTACAGAACCACACAATCACACATCAGTACTCTAATTTAAAGTAATAATTAATGCCTCACCTTTGTTCTCCGGGCGGTGTCATCTGTGCTGCAGACTGGGCGATGTTAGAAGTTACCGGGATGATGGAGCAGAAGGTGCACGCAGGAAAAAAACACGCACTGGACTGTTTCTTAAAGAGACAGTCACCTCCACAGTCCTGCTGGAGGGTTTTCCCACTGCACCACCCCACCCAGAGCACAGCAGACCGGGGGAACAGGCCCTCTATTGATCAGAAATAATCTGATCGAATTACGGATTAAATCAAACATAATATCGAAAATCTGATCACGTTTGAAATCTTTGCTGTTGTTATGAACAAATGCATGTGTTGTTCAGATTTAGAGGGTGGGATTGGGATTGAGTGGATAAATTGGGATTATTCTGATCCCACTGTGTGTGTGTGTGGTTGTGTGTGGTTGTGTGTGTGTGTGTGTGAGGGGTCATGAATAAACACAACAAGCTTTTAAAGTCTACTCAACAACATCGAACAGATTAGTCTAATTTTCTTCCATTGTAGAGATGAATTTGACATTAAGCCTGATTTGAAGCTGTTGAACTAATACACGGGATAATTAAAAATTGTTTTGTTCTTATTTTTGACCATAAAGTAGTTTAATATGTTTGTTAAAACTGCTCTGCTGCTTTTACTTTGTTTCTTTTTACTTTTATTGTTAAATGTCTTATATATTTCAAGATCTACAAAACCTGAGTTCCAGCACTTACTTGTTTTTTTACTTTAATTTTTGTTTAAGCTCCAGAATTTGTTATTTGCACCGAACATGGGGGGGACAGAGCCGTCTCCGTTGCCGCCCCCACCCTCTGGAGTCTGTACAGACCCCCACACTTTTAAATCACTTAAAAAAACACCTTTTTAAATCGGCTTTTAACCTGTGAATCTGTTCTTTTATCGTCTTTTTTTAACCTTTTTACATCATTGATGTTATTTCTCATAATTTTCTGTATTTTAAATTGTCATTTTTATTTTCTTCTTTTTCTTTGTAAGCCGTCTTTAGGCACCTGTAAAAGTGCATTATAAATAAAATGTGTTATTATTATTATTATTTAAGCACAGTAATAGGAATATCCAGTAGTAGACAGGGTCTTGAGGAAAAGGGGGGGGTTTGTGGTTAATGTTTCCTTTGTGTCTTGAGCTGTACTGTATTCATCTGTATAAAACTAATAAAAATATTGTTGAGGAAAAAAAACTGGTCTGCTGCGACTGTGATTGTTGTCAGAGGTGGAGCAGCATTCAGGACTTTTACGGTACACTTGTGGGGTCAACATGAACCCAGTGAGGATATAACGAAGGGCTGATAATGGCTGATTATTGTGGCGTCATATCAAAACATTTATTGATGTTCATTTACAGTTTGCAGTCTCTTTGCCAACACAACTGAAAAGAAAAAAAAAACAATGAGCAGTAAAGACGTAAAGTGGAAAAAATGTTCATAAAAATAAAAAAAGAGTGTCTAAATAAATACAGTTTGTACAAAATTCACAGCGACCACATTCACACCTCGTTTCTGTTTCACCAACAACCTCCTGAAATAGTCCAGACTCTGTCAAAGGCCTCCTGTGGTTCCTAATGAGAACAAATTCACTGCAAGAAAATCACATTCATCTATTTTGAGTCATCTTTGTGTCTTAAAGCATCGACCTACTTCTGTTTCACATCTGGAAAAACCTGCCCTCTCCGCTCTCTTCACACTCCGCTCAAACACGGAGTAATCTGCTGGAACAGGAACACAATGAAACAGGATTCATGGGATTTACAACCTTGTTGACACAATCGTGTCCTGAAAGATCTTCGTCTGACACTCAACAACCGGAAATCTTCTGCAGGCTGAGATGGTGCAAGAGCAGGTGATGAACTCACACATGTTGAATGTCACAGTGTCAGTTCGGTCGATCTGGAGCTGGTGCAGAACTTTCTCCTCCTCCTCCTCCTCCTCTTCTGCGTCTGACTCACATGATTCCAGATTGTGACTCTTTTTGTTGAAGTTTGAGGATCAGCTCAAGGAGGTTCATCTGAACAGTCAACTCCTGAAAGACCAAACAACGGTGGAGACACAGTTAGAGCAAACATCGCCACCTGCAGGAGATAAGTCAACACTACAAAGTGTATCTTATCTCCAACAAACTGCAGGAGAACACGTCTACAGTATGAAGCTCCTTTTTCATGCCCTGAAGTCACGGCCCCCCGAGCTTCTAAGGTTTAAAATAAAAGATTTGCTGCATCTTTTCACACTTTGGTCTCTTTGAACTAAACGGTAACAATAAAACAACAATCCCGCTCATGAATAATAAAATATATGTTCGTGTACGAGATATATAAAGACCACAGATGGGCTAAAAATCCATTCTGTGGTCCATGTGTAGGAGCCATGATGTTGCTTTGCTGATCGGTTATCCTGTGTTCAGTTACTTCTGTCTGGTTGCCGTTGGTTTCGCTGGGTTTGGGTCACATGGTCACTGTGTTTGAAAGCCGGTAGGTTATATAAGGGGCGGTCTTACCTGCACTGGGGTGGAGAGGTGAGTCCGTGCTTTATGTTCTTTGTTTTGCAATGATACACGTCGGAAAGTGTACACATATTATATCTGATGTACGCGTGGAATCACTGGTCACTGTAGAGGCGTTTTCTGAGTTATTAAAGCTACAAAACTTCGATGGACTGTGGGTTCTTCTTTGGAACAGCAGTGGCGTGTCACACAAATATACACGAGCTATCCTCTGCCTCAAGCAACTTTTTTAAAGTTACTAGGAAAGCCACAATACCGTATTTAGAATGAACACAGAATATAGAATCAGATAAGTCTTTGAAAGAGTGTTAATGTTCACGATTCAATTTTAAAATCCAGTTTTCTTCACACTAAATAAATGCTTCACCAATCATCTGAGGGATATTCTTTACAATCTGTTATAAAACATTTAGATAACAATTTTAGCCAATCAGATAACCTGCAGATTTCAAGTTGCTTGTGTTGTTTCCTTGAGGTTCGCATAAATTTATTTGAGGAAATACAAATTGATGTTTGAAGCTGCATCAGTGTTAAACTAGCAAATGTAAATAAGAGCAATTTCCTGCACTGATGGTTTGATCCAATGATTGTCCTGGAGGTGCACATCTGTGTGTGAAAATGCTGATGCAGTTTCAAAAGGTAAAACCATCAAATGTTGAGAGAAACAACTCTCATATCCAGAAACCAGAAAACAACATGTATGGATCAAAGTTTTAACATTTTAAAAGGACTACAGAAAAAAAATCCTTTAAACTTTACCCCGAACTTCATTTTGAAAACATGTTAAATTTGCATGTTTGACCCTGTGAACTTTCTGTTCTGCACACCCAGACATGACACGGCTCAGCGTACGGTTCAGCAACAGAGAGAAGAAATGTGCAGACTTTAACCTGAGGGTTCGTGGTGATGTAAAATCCAGGAACTCCTGCTTTTTCCAGAGTGTTCTGCTGATCGATCACTTTCTGATCCATTTCCGCCACAATCTTCCGATCCATCATTCTTTGTTCGTCACGCACACGGACCTCCAGAGCCTTAAAAGACACACAGATATCAAAGAATCAACACTGAGAAAGGAGAGGGTAGGAAAAGTCTTTTTAAAGTGATACAAGCTCAAAACATTTGATTGGTTGGACGAATTCAATAATAATTAATTAGTACAAAGCCTTACCTCTAACTCCGTTTGTTGGTTTGATTTGAGAAGTGCGAGATTGTGAGACTTGCAGGACTGCAGAGCTTCTTTATGCTTCTTCAGGAGATCTTGTTTGAGCGCTGAACACAAACGGAATAACAGTCAAACATCAGGACACTGATATTTAACTAACAGTCCGTTCAGAGAGGCAGGGTTGGTACTTGGTGCAGTTTTTGATTTGAGCAGATCTGCTTCATTGTTTCCCCCCTGTTTCCTCTCTGTTTCCCGTCTGTTTCCCCCCTGTTTCCTCTTAATTTACTCCTTATTTTCTCTGTGAATCTCGGCTCACTAACCTTGGTGTTCACAGTGCAGCTTCTGTCTCTGGTTGTAGAGGTTTTTCTCTGTCAGGTGTTGAATATCCAGGAGCCCCTGAACGATCTCATAGACAGTCCCATCAATCAGAGCCAGAGCCAGGTCACTCAGAGTGTTGTAGGACAGGCGCTGCTGGAAGGAGCTGAAGAGACAAAAGTGGATTTATAACTCTAAAAAACAGATACAAACAGACCTGAATACAGACAAAAGTGGATTTACCTCGGTAAGTCTTTGACTAATGTTTGCAGCTCAGACAGCAGGTAATAATGTCGTTCTTGTTGTTTAGTTGAATCGCTGCTGATCACTCCAGGATATCCATCCATCTTTACTTTATTTACCACATTCAGCTAGGTTAGCAGGTTTCACTGTTTTAGGTTTAAAGTTCTCCGTAAAAACAAAAAGTCTTTTATTCGAGGCTCAAAGATGTCCGAAGTTTTAACCGAGCATGTTATAACGTTTCTATTCCGTTTTTAAAATGTATTTTATTCGTAAATAGTGAGTTTATTTCGTTGTTTTGTCGTTTTTCATCCATTCCGTTTGGAGCCCTGAGAGACGATTCTTCTTCTTTGACGGTTTGAGGCGTCAGCGGCGTGTTGCTGCCCCCTGCTGGACCCTGGACAGTTAACATGACGAAAAATAAGCTGCAAAATAAACATAAAAAATTCAATAGAAATCAGAGATAAAATTATAATTATATTGCAATTATTTCTTTCAATGTTATATAAATATATATTTGTTCAAGTGTTGACAGATATTGATTTTTCATGCTGATTATGAGAGATAATATTGATAAAGAAGGATGATCCCATAGTGATTGCTTTGTGTTTTTGATAAAATACAGCTATTTATTTATATATGTAGAAGGAAAATTTGTTGGTTTGGTGAAATATGGACGTACATGACTTCTGTCCATGCTTCTGTGCTTGTTATAGTAGAAATAATACGAGATCAATACTGACTTATGTGGGACAGTTAAGCCTGAGTGTATGTATCTCCTCTCCAACACTGAAGTAAACATCATTGTGTAACACAGTAAAGAGAAAAAAATAGCAGAAAGCACACGTTTATTGACAATTGCAAATAATGAATTTTAAGAAATAGGTCATGCAAATTGATCGGGGTTTTAGAAAAGGGAGTTGAATGTCTGTTGGAGAGAGGTCTCTCAGTTGTTCTGGACTGTGTAGCTCTTTGGACCCAGCTGCTCTGTGTAAAAGCACACTCAACAGTAGTTTAAGCACACCTCCAATATGGACACAGATACGACAAAGAAGGGTGACTGACTTATTTTACAAAACAGTCCCACATCAAAATCTACTCAATGTAAGTAATCACTCAGATACAAGAACAGGATCTGACACCAGATAAGACAAAGACGACTGACTGACTTCAGTCTGTGTGACTTACTGAGTAGCTGCAGCAGCATTCATTCATTCATTCACACCTGAATCTGATCAGATCATCACTGCACACATGACACCACAGACCCAAGATGCTCCTCACAGTCTGGTCACTGCAAATCAAGAAGAATCAAACTGATCCTCTCTGTTGTGTTGTTCTTTTATTAAAGCAGGGGTGTCAAACAGCTGATATCACACGACTCTGCTGATGTGATTTGGTTCATCTTGGAGGAACAGATATCAAAAGGGAAGTAGGCGACTACGTAAAATCCACTAACACGTCAATAACAAACGCACTGTTAGAATGAAATCATGTTCAATAATGCTGAAGTTTAAATAATACTTAAGAAAATACTTAAACACATAATACTATATGTACTATATAAAGGTATGTAAAACTGTAAGACTGTAAACTTGTGTCTCTCCCATATTAAATTAAGCTTCAGGGGTCTGGGGTTATAAGGAATCCAAGATGGCAGATTCTACAGAGAACAGAGCTGTTCGCTGTTTCTTGGGTGTTCATAAATTTGTTCCAATTCTGGACGCTCTGGGTGACATGGGTTGAAGTTTAAATGTGAGATGATTAGACTGTGGAGTCGTTTACTTAATATGCCAGATGACAGGGTCAATAAGAAAGTGTTTATATGGAGTAAATTCAATGGTTCGCCATGGGCTAAAGAAATATGTGCAGTATTTGAAGAAGTTGGACCACGGTTTATTTATAGTAATAATTTAACCTGCTCAATAACTTCAATAAGAAAGAAGTTATTTTCTCAGTTTGAGACAAAACGGTCAAATGATATTTTGTTAAAGCCCAAATTATGAACATACATCCAGATGAAGCACAGTTATGACTCTGAACTTAATGTTAAAGCAAACCTCTCAAGAAATCAGTCTTTAATGGCACAGCAGAGAACAGGAATCAGCAGACTTAAAAACATCCCGAAGATGATAGATTGTGTGAACTATGTGAACTGAATGAGGTGGAAAGTGAGTCACATTTTCTGTCATATTGCCCTTCATATGATGAACTGAGAACTCCATTATTTACTGCAATGTCTGTTTATAACCCAGACATTTTCTGGTATTCTGATGATGTTAGAATGAACCGGCTGTTAAACTTTAATGTCTTTAAGTTCGCTCATTTTGTTTCTGAAACCTGGAGGAACGTCAGGATTGTTTATACACTTAAATGACTTAATGTCTGTTTCCTGTTTTTCATCTGCGATTATATGTTCCTTTTCTTTTGGTGATCAATCAATCAATCAATCCAAAATATGATTGTATAATTCAATCCTGTCTGTAATAATACACGCAGTACCCCTGAATGTCCACTGGGTGGTGCTTTGTATCTGAAAAGGGTCGCTCCTCAGGTCTCAACGTTTCACAGGTTGTCCTTTAACGTTTATTAATGCAAAACAGCACAATTTACATATACAACAGCGTCAATCACAGAGTAGATAAACATCCAAAACAGAACATTAAAAATCATTCTGCCATGAAAAAAAGATTCATATGTGATTTTTTTGTTTATTTTCTTTGTTTGTTTCAGATTGTTGGACATACCTGATGATTCACCCCTCCTGTTAGAATGATGATCAGCTGTATTAGAGTGACAACATGAACACACAGCCTCCCTGCAGCCCACGCTCAGCCCCTCACTGGTTAACCTGCGTGCTCACTGACTGACTGACTGGGCTGAATGCGCGCCTGTGTCGCGCGCTGCTGGTGGGCTGTGCGCCGTCACGCGCTGAAGGTGCCACGAAATGAAGCAAACTCAGTCACGGAGGGGAAGAGCAGTGTTCATGAGGGCGCGGATGGGAACATAAGAGGAGGACCTGGATCTGGATTAAAAACCGAGTCGAGTGAAAAATGGCCAAAAACACATCTCTGTATTTTCGGATTGTCGAGGGCAGGAACCTCCCAGCCAAAGACGTGTAAGTAACACCTGAGAGACATGTGCTGCTGCTGCTGCTGCTGCTGCTGGGCTCAGACACTCAGATATCTGCAGATATACAGACTCACATACTGCATAAATACTGATAATAAGAGGTGACTGATGAGGCCGACTGGGACAAGAAAACAAAGTTTAAGCTTTCATTTAAACACCTATTGAAAATTTAGATGAAAAGAATTGATGTAGATAAGTGTTTTTCATTTAGATTCACATTTTTATTCACCAAAACAACATGCAGCTATAGTTGAAATCATTATTCTGGGCTACCATTTCTCATATTTTCACATATTTATCTCTTTTTCATCTTCAGATCTGGAACCAGTGATCCATACTGCATTGTAAAAGTTGACAATGAAGTTGTGGCCAGGTGAGTCCTCTGTCATTCACTTTAAAACAGTCTGAAACGGCTGAATGTTTCTGTGTGGGGCTGATTATTACTCCTGTTTGACCAGCCTTCATCATCATCATCACAGCTCAGATATTTGCACTGTGTTGGTTTCTGGCTGTGCACATGTGTAACCTGGGTGGAGTGTGTATGATCACCTTATAGGCGCCCCCTCCAACAGTGAACCTGATACCGGTCTGGCCTTTAAAACAGCCGCAGGTAACCATGGAGAGGCTGCATCAATTATCACAGGTAGCTCCTGGTGTTAGCAGGAGCAGAGTGCATGAGTTCAGAGGTGTCAGAGCGCAAAAAGACAACAGGTTTTCTCCTCTTACATAATCAAATAAATATCTGCTGATTGCAATATTACTTTTGCTCCATATTACTGCTTTAATGTAGTTTAATTTTTTTAAAACAGAGGCAGTTTCTTTAAAAAATAAAGTTTTGTTGCTGGTTTGAATTGGGTGGCTATTGTTCCATCTGGTATCATGTGGGAAAACGGCGCAATGATTCACAGTAAACACACACACACACACACACACACACACACACACACACACACACACACACACACACACACACACACACACACACACACACTCATTATCTTGTAGTGTTTCTGGCCAACTGACTCCTCCAGAGTGATGTTCATGGATGATGTGGCTGTTAGATTGCAGCAGTAAATAATGAGTACAGCCATTAAAAACAGCAGTACAAGGTTCTCAAATGGTCTATTACTGGTATCACAAGTAAAGCTCTTTGCACTTTTATATAAAGAATATTAACTCTTTAAAAAAAATGTCTTGAAATTCAAATGTAAAGAATTAAAATTGTGCTAGATTTTTACCTCATCTCGATTTTGGCCATAAAATATCACAACAACATTATAGCACATTGGTATGGGGGCCTTTTAAGACTCTCGCGAACAAGAGTATGTTTTCATGTGTCTATGTGTCCATGTATCTGTTTTATTTTTCCTTTTCTTGGTAATATATTGTCTGTTCCTCTTAATGTTGTGGTGTATATCATGCTATTGGGACTTCAGCCTGAAATAAAATTCGTGTACATATATATATATATATATATATATATATGAATTTCTCTTGTAAAGTTGAAAGTAAATCATTACAATCAGTTAATTTATAGGCCATCATGGATTTATAATGATGTTCAAATGTATGATTTTTTCACATCACTTGTGGCTGAACCATCACAGAGGAAATTTATTTTGACATTGTTGTTAGATCTTCTGTTGTTTTATGCGCTGTTAAAACAGGGCTCTTATTTTGAAGCATGAGAGACTTCCGGTAGATCGTAAAGTTCTGAACTGAATTAAAACGGTTTTGACAACGTTAAAAAGTGTAAATAATTAATTAATTAGGAATCTGAACAGACACAAACTCTAAAGTTGTTTTAGGGTTCATAAACAAGCAATAGATGTCATTTTTTAAAGTGCTGAATCATTTTCAGAGCTATGTAAGCTAGCTAGCTAACAACCAGAGAGAAGGACCAGTTCAATAAGCTAACGGTTTTACTGTTAGCTCGTCTGTTTATCTCGATATCCGTCTATTTTTGTTTATCTCGATATTATCTGCGTATTTAAATTTGTAGAGAAGTGATCCTTTGTCTTTTATGAAGTATTAAAATAAAGGACTTCCTGTTTGGTGGCTGCATTAGTCAGTAAATTGTGAGCTAATCAAAAAGGAACTCAACAGAATGTTTCATTGTATAATTCGACCAGCCTTTTCAAAATAAAACCTTTAGTTATTTCACAGTAAAAGCCTGGAAAGAAGATAAATATTTTTTTTTTGTAGTAGATTAATTTGTCCAATATTGTCCCATGCTTTTAATCTGTCTTATGTTTCCTCTGAGGGGATCCAAACCCTCCTGAGTTTCACACACTACTTCATTTGTAAGAAATGTTCCATAAGAGCTTTTCCTGAGATTTCTGACTCCTTCTCCCTAAATGATGCTCTGTGATGTGTTTGTAGTGTTTTCAGTGTTGCGTACATTTCTGTTTCATATGTGAAATGTCTCCTCCAGGACTGCCACTGTCTGGAAGAACCTTAATCCTTTCTGGGGTGAAGAGTACACGCTGCACCTCCCGATGGGTTTCCACTCCCTCTCCTTTCACGTCATGGACGAGGACACGATCGGGTAACCAACCTGTCTGAAAATGATCCCGTTATAAACCATAACTGACAGCCTGGCAGCTGATTTAAAGTCCCCTGAGTCGTGGATGTTTGCTTTACTTGTCTCTTGCGTTGATATATCTGGGTTGAAAACCTTGTGTACAGTTGAAAAGTTTTGGGAATTAAAACTCTGAGCTTTGAGTAAACAAACATGGTCAGGCAGATGGTCGCCCAGACTGAGTGATTAAGGGTTGTTTTCCTCTCGTCTTCATATGACCACCAGCAATCTGTCTTCAGTTTCACCTCATTTAACTCTTTAAAGACCCCACAGTCCTCATGGTCTTTGATACACGATGAATCTGAGGATCTTTGTCTCTCTCTGCAGCCATGACGATGTTATCGGGAAGATAACTCTGACCAAAGAAGCCATCGGATCTCAAACTAAAGGTATGACTAAACAAACTTCACCGGCCTGCTACAGGACCAAAGGTCGAAGGTTAAACACACATGGCCCCTCATGACCAAGTCAAATGTCTGAATGATGAGACATTTCTGTTTTTGGACGAGGACTCTGGGAAAGTTTTTTTTCTTCTTAAATCTGAGGCACATTTAACCCTCCAACACAAAACGGTACATTTTATTTATTCAGATTCTTTAATTAGAAATTAGATTTTCCACCAGTACTCTGATAATATAGTTATATAGGGATATTTAATGACCATAATAATGGTGAGGTAATTATCTGATATCATCACAGTCCTTAAAAAGGGAGATTCCACCTGTTTTTTTACCTTATAACCACACTTAGACGAAACAGTAAAACCTCCTTTTTTTGCATCTTTATGAATAGAATGAAGATTACACTGTTGTTAAAACTGTGTCTAAAAGGCGGAAGACTCTCTGGAATAATCTAGACCAGATCTAACAAGTCCAGGTTAAGTGGTTCTGGATCAGGACTCTGTTCCTCTTACTTTGTCCTTTTCATCCAAATCAGAAGCTAACTTTAGGTTTTTCTTTTGGTGGACCTTTTGATACTTTCTGACTTATTTATTTCCTCATTATCTCATTTATTTGTGCATATTTTAAAGCAGCACACTATGTTCTTGAAAGTCCGTGACCCTGGTCAACACAACACCGAGTGATCGCAGGAGAGGAAAGAAGAAACACAGAGTCCTAGAAAGTCTGGAGTCATTTGTTTGGCTTTCAGGGCTGTAAAATGTTCAGTTTCATTATTTAATATAAAAGACATAATCAGGGGCACAGTGTCAGGTCCAGTGAGAAAATTCCTGTGAGGGAGTCAGTGACTCAGTGCATCGTGTAGCCGTGAATCAGTGGGGTGAAGGCCGCTGTGCCAGGTGGTTCTCAGGAGAGATGCATCAGTATGCAGCCAACACGGCGCGTAAAAACACTCTGAGCGATTGGAAAAAAACTACAACAACATCACGACACAACATGTTTTAAATGCAATGTGTCAGGCTTCGACAGTGAAGAGAGAGAGAGAGCTGGAGTTCAGGCTGAGACAAACACGACTGAAACGCCTCTGTACGACACTCAGTCTTTGATTTACTGCACTTTGGGTTTCACTGAGTAAATAAAGGTTCAAATGTAGAATAAACAGGAGGGCTCTCATATTACTGATGTGGAAAAGTCCACAAACAAACAGGGATTAGGCTGCATCAAATGTTGCAGAGTAAAAAGCAACTTTTCCATGTGCAATTTACTGATTTTTGGAAATCCTTTAAAGCATTTACATCGCTGATACATCGCTGTATTAATACATGAGCTGTGGAAAAGCTCCTGTCCTGCTTATATGTTGTCATAGACTATAAATCCAACGAACAAAACAGTCTTTTCAAGCGTTTATAAAACATTTGTCACATTATCAAGATATGTCTCTCCCTGCTCTCCTCTCTCCTCCTCCTGCTCCTCTCTTCACCTGTGGCTGTCTAATAGTACCTGTTGCTCCGTCTGTTGTCTCCAATCTTTATGGTTAGTTTCAAAAGGAGGATCCACAGTACAACAACCAAGAGGGAAATTTGACATCCCTCTTTTAGTTCGCTGTTCTTTCTCAATGGGAAGTTCTGGAGGGGAGATCTGGTTCTGGCTCTGAATGTCCAGTAAAAACTGCTCCTGTTTGTGTCGTGGACAGGGTTGGACAGCTGGGTGAACCTGACGAGGGTGGACCCTGACGAGGAGGTCCAGGGAGAGATCCACCTGAATCTGCTGCTGCTCAAAGATGCAGAGAAGATCAGCCTGAGATGTCAAGTCATTGAAGCGAGGTGAGTGACCAAACTCTGAGATTAAAAGTGCCAAAACACGAGGAGAGGAAGTTAATCTTGTATGTCAATGAGAGTTTAAGGGGTGAAACTGCGGATGAACTTGAGTGTAGTTTGGCACCAGGCTGAAGTTTGTGTAGCTGCGACCCGACAGTATCATCACTATCAGTGTTCCTGTGCTGAAACGTTAACACCATCACCCCGCAGGCCTCCACACTCCCCTCCTGACTCACTCGGCCTCCATCACACCACTCACTGACCCATCTGTGAGTCCCATCCCTCTCAGGCACTAATGAGCATGTCAATCAGGGTTTGACGCTGCGTTAGTCAGACAGGCCCCAGTGGATGAGAATCCGGCCTGAAAGAAGAAGAAGGTCGAGGGAAACGTCGTTGTTTTAACGTCCGTCTCTGATTGAATTTGCAGAACAGGTTACAGGAGCTTGTTTAGCGTTTAAGTGTTTCCATCACCTTTTATTGTCTCTGCAGAGATTTGGCTCCGAGAGACATTTCTGGAACCTCGGATCCTTTTGCAAGAGTTATCTTCAACAACCACAGTGCAGAGACCTCGGTGAGCCTCATCTGCATCTTACTGCATGTGCTGTGTCTTTTATTTTTAAAGTGACAGAAAAAAACCCAGACTTCTGCTTTTTTCCTCTTCAATGGTTTAATCGAATGACGAAATAGTTACAGGAAATGCAAAAATCTAAAGTTAACAGTCAATTCCCCTCAAGGAAGAGTCTGCGGTCCATCAGGGCAAAAAAAAAACGCTCACCACAAGAGCAGCTCCGACCCCTCTTAGCATGTTGCTATTGGCAACAAACTGACTCTGAGTCCAAACAAAGAAGTAAATAGACAAATGGCTAAAAACTGAACAAAACAGAATAAAACTATAGTCTCTCAAACCAAGCGGTTCTTCTGAGCATGTCAGTGTATTTTAATATGAATGTATTTATGAAGGAGTCATAACGACCAGGCGTTCAGTGTAGAGAAGATTGTTTGTTGGGTTTTAGATCATCAAGAAGACCCGTTTCCCTCACTGGGGAGAGACCCTGGAGCTGGAGCTGGACCCAGAGGAGCTGAGTGAGGAGGGCAGCATCACCGTGGAGGTCTGGGACTGGGACATGGTGGGCAAGAACGACTTTTTGGGGAAGGTGAGGAAGTCTGAGTGATGAGATAATTTCATTATTAATAGATATTTATGCTTTAGTCTCCCTGAAAGAGGATTTAAACTGAAGCTCAGTGGACTGTCTTCACTCTTGGATTCCTTGATAGGTGAATTTTGCCGACCTATATCGTGTCCTTGTTTGTTCTCTCCTTCCTCAGGTGGAAATCCCTTTTGCGTGTTTGCTTAAAACACCTCTGCTGGAGGGCTGGTTTCGTTTGCTGCCCTTGGGAAACAATGAGGTTGATGCGGGGTGAGGATTATGGGTGTGCTTGTTTGTACAGTGTGGCGAGTTTGTGTGTTTGTAACTCTGATACACACGTTTGGCTTTGAACTATTTGAAGGACAAAATAAAACCGTATATTTAGTGTTTAAGATGCACTCAAGGAAATGATGGTTCCCCTCTCTGCTTTCTGGTTGGCTGCTCTAAATCAACACATGCAGGCGTAAAGCAGGTCTGACAGCATCTGTTGTTTGAGACGATTATAGAAAAAAGACGTGAGAGGATGGTGCCAAAACCTCAGAAGGAGCAAACTAACCGCAGAAGATCTCATGAAGAGGCTCCAGAACTTCCTGAGGGTCTGAACTAAGACCACAAAACTTAGGATTTTAACCTCTAACAGGTTTTCTCAGAGACTATTGTTTTGCATGTTTTGCCCTCTTCACTGTTTCATCCTTTTGAAGAGCAGCTACTTCAGACGATTTTCATGCATTTTCACTGAAAGGTTACCAGAAAGGCCTTTTTTAATGTTTTATTTACTCCAGAATCGTCCAAAGGGCTTTTTTTAGACACTAGAGGACCCCTCCCTGAGTAGACCGCTGTGATAGCAGAGACCTCTGAACATTAAGACCCCTCCATACTTGATTTTATGTTAAGTAAGAAATAAGTAATATAAATAATATAAATAATATAAATATAATACAATATATAAACAATATAATAATAATAAATAAATAATAATAATAATATAATAAAATAATATAATAAAATAAATAACAAATATAATAAAATAATAAATAAATAATATAATAATATAAATAATACAATGGACTGTGACCAGTACAGATAGTTAGTAAAATATTAAAGAGAGATTATAATTTCAAATTAAAAGAGTTAATAATCTCTTTTAACGTTACGCCTGCAGATAAAAACCTTCAGCTGCAGGAAATCTAGAGTTCTGTTCGTCCTTCCTGTCTGAAAAACTAAAGAGTCTGAGAGTTTGTGTTTGTTTGAAACATTCATCAATGTTCATGTTTCAGTCGTAGACGACCGTCTTCGTCCTCTCCTCCCTCAGACACGGTGGAGCGCAGAAATCTTCTCGTCTTCATGTGTTTTTTTCTTTCTCTGTTGTCAGCGGGAAGCTGGGGGCTCTGCGCCTGAAGGTCCGGTTGGTGGAGGACCGGATCCTGCCGTCTGTTTACTATCAGCCTCTTATTCACCTGCTGGTGGAGTCCGTCATCTCCCCCACTGAGGTCAGCGCCTCTGTGTTAAATGAAGTCCTGCTGTTTTAATCTCTATTTTCATATGAAGAGTCATATGTTTCAGTTTGTCAGAGATCAGGCAGGAAAACTGCATGTATGGAGAGCAAAAGCAGGCGGGAAAATGGCGTCCCAGCTGCTGTCGGTGAAAATCTAAAGCAGACAGATCATCAAAGTTCAGACCCACTGACTGACGGTTTATCAGACAGCAGGTTTCATGAGTTTCATCGAGGCATAAATCATCAGACGTTTGCGGTTTTGCGGTTTCTGATACAGACTCTGAGTCTGTATCAGATTCATGATGTGAGTCTCTCCTCAGGTGGAGGACACCAGCGCTCTGACCATGCTGGAGGAGGTGACCACGGTGGAGAGCCGGCAGGACGTGGCGATGACTCTGGTGAAGATTTACCTGGGTCAGGGCCTGGTGGTGCCGTTTCTGGATTACCTGAACACCCGGGAGGTCAACCACACCGGTAAGATCACAGAACCAGAACTGTTTGAGAATCACTGTTGGTCGCGATGCGGAAATGAGAGTTTAGATGTTCACGTATCGAAAGAGACGAGTTTAGCAGTTATTTGGGAACATGTTTCAGTTTATAATCCGCTCACTTTTTAGATCATTTCCGGAGTGATTCAGCTTATTTGTTTTTCATGGTTTGATTGTCAGTTAAAGCTAAAAGAGGAGATACAAACAGAGGAAAATTCAGGCATCCACGAGCTTACACGGCACACGACATCTGACCTCATCTGTGAAATACTGAATTATGACCAGGCAAAATGACAAATCATGTGCATCTTCAGATAGAAAGAGATCTCAGTCTGGACCACTTTCATCTAAAGACTTAGTTTCTGATACTTGGCGGTACGACCCTGATCTGAGAGCTCCCTGCCCTTCGCCATGCTAATATGGAGGGGCGGAGCCTGCAGTGAGGAGAGGACGCAGAAAAAGTCAGAGCAGACATCAGAGAGATCAGACCCAGCAGAAGAAGGATGAGGTTCAGGTTCTCAGAGCGTCCTGAGCCTCATTAGACCCGTTTGTGTTTTCAGTTTTACTTTGTCTTCTCCTGTTATCTAATGAGAAAAAGAGAGAAGTGTTATTGGAGTTGTTTCCCTCACTAATGTATGCAAAGCAGCAGCTGTGATTGTGTAATCCACAATGTGCGTAAGATCTAAGTTTATCTGGATTAGTCAGAGTTCTGGACCTGCCTGTACGTCGTCTCCCTCTCCAGAGAGCCGATCACTGCCTCTATTTAACTCTGAATTGACACGGAGGTCTCTGAACAACACATCCATGTTCTGTGTGTGGGCAGCTCCAGTCGGCCCACACTATATTTACTAACTCGACGCCAATTATTTACTCACCCAGCCGTCTTTTTTTGGCTCCTCTCTGGTCTGTGTTAGTCATCGTTTTTTGCCTCCGCACCACATCCACATCGCTAATTCACACCGAGTTGTGTTTTGGTCTTTGGCTTCTGTTGGTGTAGCTCGAGATAATAAGCATAGTGCCGACGTTTCCATAGCAACTCCACATGATCAGAACGGTAAGCGCTTGATCAGGAATAGATGGTGGCGAGCAGGCAGACAGTGAAGTTGGGCAGAGGGGCAGAGAAAAGGAAAATGTTCTGGACTCCCGCAGAGCCGCAAAAACCGCCGAGTTCTCCCTGAAATCCAAAATCTGATTCTGAAAGAAAACCGTTTCACCTGTCGACCCGGTCCAGTGTTGTCACCTTGAAAGATATAAAGGATGCAGCTGCTGCAACAACAGGCTGTTTAGTTTTGTTGGTGAAGCAGATCCAGATCAAACAGAATAAAACTGAGACCACACAACGTCTAAACCTCACAGGGGACTTCGTTTAGCTTCATCTTATTCAGGAGGAGCTTTTCATGCAGTCATTTAACCTTCTGGTGTCACTGTTGGGAGTTTGGGGGAATTATAAATCTTCATCCTGCGTGTAAAAGTAAAAAGACGATGAAATGAGAACCGTACAAAAGTCTCAGGTCAGATGCAAACGGGAGATGTAAAAGGGGAGAAAAGCACAAATTCAAAGAGGACAGCAAGTCTTGGATGGAGTGAGAAACGGACAGGATCAGAACTCTGAGACCGGCTTTAATAGAGACTAAATAGAAACACAATAGAGGCATTTATTCGAGTCCACGCTGATGACCGTCTGGACCACAGAAACAGGTTCGTCATTTTAACACCTGAAACTTGTGCGAGGCGGTCGTGTCAGTTTTAACAATCTCCTCATCAAATATTCATATTGAGTTATAGATGCGTCTAGATTTTTGTTAGTGAGATTTTTCTGTCACAGCGTAAACATGTAGAGGACACGATGAGCGACAAAGTTCTTCACAGGAGCTTTAAAGTCGTCAGGAATCTGGAGACTGTCATGAAGTCACAGGTATAAAGACGTTCAGTCTTTAACAGGGTGAAAATATCAATAAATGAAGTTCTATGTGATCGTTCTTCTCTGCTGAGTCATTTATGATAATAACATGTGACGACGAGCTGAGCCTGCTGTTGCTGTTAGGGATGTAAATGAGCGCTGTTTGTCTTAAACTGTTGAAATCCTGCTCATGTCTCTCTGCTCTGAGGATCCTAAACTCCAGAGATGTGATTCAAATGTTCAAACTCAGAATAAAAATTAAAGAATAGAGTAAATAAATCTCTGAAACTGAATAGATAAATAAATAAACCGGATCATGAAACACTGAACAGAGTAAAAAAGTACCTGATCATCTCTCCTCTCCATTTTCTCCTCCTCTAGCCGATCCGAACACGTTATTCCGCTCCAACTCTCTCTCCTCCAAGGCCATGGAACAATTCATGAAGGTGTGTTGGCGTTTCTCACCTTTGTTTGATCAGAAACGGTTAGCTGCTGATTCCTCCATCTTTATTCTTCGCTCAGTTATATTTCATGTGTTTTCCTGCTGCATCGAACTCGACGTCTGTCTCTGTGTGTTTGTGTACGAGAGCCCCGCAGCACAGATGTAAATGAGCCATCTTGAACATATGCTCCTGTTTGCTGGCAGGCTGTCGGTATGCTGTATCTGCACGAGGTGCTGAAGCCCATCATCAACCGCATCTTTGACGAGAAGAAATACATCGAGCTGGACCCCTGCAAGATCGACCTGAACCGCACCAGGTGAGACCAAAGCCCGGACCGTCAAACAGAACCCGGTCGGCCTCACAGGTGTTCACGAGCGTCGGGGGGGCTGGGTCATAAATTTCTGAGCTAAAACAGTCAAATGGAAAATTGCCTCTGGAGACTTCCTCTACACTTCACTCCGGAGAGGAAGAGGAAGGCATCAATGTGAGAAAATGAAAAAAAAAAGAAAAAAGGCTGTAAAAAGGGGGGAAGGCTGTTGCCAGGCAACTGCTATGAGCCCCCTGAGATGTCTATCTGTGACATGGAGGGAGAAGCAGGATCTAACGTGCTCTTTGTCTGCTGTAGATCTGCCCGACGTCTCTCTTATTTGTTTTTCCATCTTTATAAATCTGAGCGAACAAGTTTGAAAATCTGTGTTTGTCTGTTTACCGTCTGTGTGTGTGTGTGTGCACGCGCTCGCACACGTGAGGACGTAAAGAGGACACAGAGGTCATCCATCTGCTGTCACTGACACAGCGTCTGACCTGTCCTCCAGATAAACTCGATATTCATTCATTCATTTCTGTCGTCTGTCTTCCTCCCTGAAGGCGGATCTCGTTCAAAGGTGCGGTGTCGGAGGCGGAGGTGCGGGACAGCAGCGTGGAGATGCTGCAGAGCTACTTAACCAGCATCATTGAATCAATTGTTGGCTCGGTCGATCAGTGTCCTCCCGTTATGAGAGTGGCCTTCAAACAGCTGCACAAGAGAGTGGAGGAGCAATTTGCTGAACCTGAGAATGAGGTCAGACACAAAGACGCCAAAAAAAAAACCACAACACAGTTTCAGAGCGTTTTAATCGACCTCTTCAGCTTTTTACTTCCTCTTTGCATCACAGGGTTATAAGTTTAGTTATTTAGCTTCTCCTGCCTTTAAAGAAACACCTCGGCTCTTAAACTCATGATTTTCTCTCTTACAGGATGTGAAGTATCTCGCCATCAGCGGATTCTTTTTCCTGCGTTTTTTCGCCCCTGCAATCCTCACGCCTAAACTCTTCCAGCTGAGAGATCAACACGCCGATACTCGCACAAGCCGAACGCTGCTACTATTAGCCAAGGTACGCACCACAACACAACACAGAGACACACACACACAGACAACACCATGAATAATTTATCCACGTCCAGACATCACACTCCAGGGCTAAAAAAACAAAGACGAGGACACATGCTGCCTGACAGCAGAGAGGAATCTGAACCAGGAATACAGCAGACTCTGTTTGGACCGTCAACATGAGCAGAGGCTGAACTCGCTCTTTCACCTCCTAAAGTCGATACCTGATGCTGATAGGTCAGCATTATCTTCCCTAAGATTACTCCCTGTCAATAGAACAAGTGTTCGACCTGCAAGTTTAATTGCTCCACGATAAACACGGGAAACTATTTCGATCAATAAATCAATGAATCCTCTCAGAATACAGCGAGCGTCTGGAATAAATAAATAAATGATCATAAATACACAGTCCAGCTCTGAACAGGCTCCTCCGACAGGTCTGCAGGTTCTGGATCAGAGGATCCGTGAGGAGAACATGTTACGCAGGACGCCAGAATCAGGACGCCAGAACCACTTTATTTATGCACAATTTATTGTTATTTATTATTTATTTATTTATTTATAATAATAACAACAACAACAATAATAATAATAATAATAATAATAATAATAATAATAATAATAATAATTAATTATTATTATTATTATTAATTATTGTTTATTATTTATTTATTTATTTATTTATTATTATGATGATGATTATTATTATTATTATCATTGTTGTTATTATTATTAATTATTGTTTATTATTTTATATTATTATTATTATTATTATTATTATTATTATTGTTGTTGTTGTTGTTATTATTATTTATGTTTCAGTGAAGGGTGAAGGTACACGAGTTTTTCGTCCCTAAGAGTGGAGCAGGGCTGACAAAGTTCAACTTGACCTTTTACACTAAAGCTGCGTTGAAGGTCACTCGGAGGTCAGAAGTCGGAGCTGAAAATGGCGTCACACCCGAGTTCCCAACGTTTCAGTTACAAAGTCGGTAAAAAGCGAAATTGGAGGTGGAAACAAGATGGCTACATCTATGAAAGTTATTTTAGTGTTTGCCATGTCCGAATATAAGGCAAACGCTAAAATAACTTTGGTGGATGTCGCCATCTTGTTTCTACCTCCGATTTTGCTTTTTACCGACTTTGTAACTGAAACTCTAGGAACTCGGGTGTGACGCCATTTTCAGCTCGAACATCTGACTTCTGAGGAAAATGGAACGAAGCATAAGCCCGAAACAAAAACCCTGATCCCTGAGGAAGAACATGAACGAACAGAGGAGAGACCCTGAGGAGACCCTGAGGAGACGGTTCGGTTTACTGTGGGGGGGTCAAAGGTTTCTTCAGGTTTCATTTTAGAGCCTTTCGTGTGTTTTCTAACACGTCAAACCCTGATCCGTCTCTTAGATCAGATCCATGTTTGTGATTCAATCTGAACTTCAGGATCTCAGACCAGAAGAAAAGTCCGACCTCGGCGTTCTCCGGCTTCTGCAGTCGCTGTCCGCGGTGCTGAAGTGCTGTTGCCATGGGTCCACTATAAAGAGAGGGAACATGCTATTTTTACCTGTGTGTGTGTGTACACGTGTGTGTGTGTGTGTGTGTGTGCGGTTCAAAGCCCTGCTTCAGAGAGGGCTGCAGAGGGACTTCCTCCTCGCCCTCGCCCAGGTGTGGGCCGGACAAAAGGCCTCACAGCAGGTTTGGCCTCAGGGACCCATTTGATCTGGAACTTTGAGATGTGCGGTCCGTCACACTGAGTTCTGTGGGTTAGTGCAGATCTGATGTGCCGGAGGCGTGTGCTGATGTTGTGTTTTCATGGTCGCCAGGCGTTGCAGAGCGTCGGGAACCTGGGTCTTCAGCTGGGCCACGGGAAGGAGCAGTGGATGGCGCCTCTTCATCCCATCATCCTGCGCAGCGTGTCGTCCGTCAAAGACTTCCTGGACAAGCTGATCGACATCGATCACGACATCGGTGAGGCTGACACGAGTGAACACACCGCCAAACATGTAATCAAGTAAAGAAAGGAGGTGGAGCCCATCCCCCACAGACCAGCTGCTGGACACATTAGGATTAGATGAAACAATACAGCAGCACAGACGGGGTTAAAAAATTAATAACCAGCTGGAGGCCCAGAAAAGAGATGACACGCTAAATGAGCTGGCGGGGAGCTGGAGTGAAAAACCACAAGCCAGCAGTGGTTAGGCAGCATGTCTTGGCGTTGGCTGTTGTTGTGAAACATCTTCCCCCTCTGATGTCTCATGTTTCCTTCTGCATCACGCCCCCTCTCTTTGACATTTAACACTCTCTGTCTCTGTCTGTGTGGATCTGGGGGGACAGACGTGGACGTTCGCAGGCGTCTGTGAACCTGAACAGAGCTGCTGTTAATGACCGAGTCCTGAAATGAAGACTTGAACCTCACTTCACTAATAAATCTGACTCTTTGTAGATTCTTGCAGCGCCACCTTGTGTCTGTCTTCATAACTGGTTTCTCTTCTTCTTCTCCTCTCCCTGCTGCAGTGTCTGAGGTTCCTCAGAGAGCGGTCTTCATGCCCTCGGTCACCGTTAAAGAAGGATATCTGCACAAACACAAAGCTGAGGGACCGCAGCTGCTGTCCCGCTTCGCCTTTAAGAAACGCTACTTCTGGTTGACCAGTGAGACGCTGTCCTACGCCAAGACCGCGGACTGGCAGGTTGGTGCTGAACAGGTGGGTCACAGCTTCTTATTACATATAAATACATTTATAAAAGTATTTATTTATTTATATATTAGAGGTCTGTATTTTTATATAAAACTAAACTAAACGACAGCAGCTCTCAGCCTTGATTCGTTCACCTGGTTTAAAGTCTTTTCGGCAAATTTACTCGATGTTCCAACTTGAAGTGAGTCTGTTTAAGTAGAAAAGCTCAAATCTGTCGTGTAAATCGTGTCTTTAGAAAATGTTTCTTGTGAATCAATGAAAACACGGATTAATTAACCCTTAAAAGACCTAAACCAACGTCTCTGTACACCCAAACATTTTGGACATCTTGGACCATTCGATTTGGGCCCAAGAACTTTTTTTCAGGATCTGAAGCTCCAGACTCGATAATTCAGACTCGGCGCGGACGCAGGGTGATAATCCTGTCAGGTCTCCAGGATAAATGTGTATTTCTGCTCCTCGGGGCCTAAAGTAGACACGGTGTAAACTTTGAATCAAAGTCATGTGAAAGTGACTCATCCATTATGAGGCGCTGATACGCCCGCTGATGATGAATTACTCTCCGTGTCTATTCTTTGAAGGGCACTCGTCAGCTCGGCTCATAAAAAGAGGAAACCTTCTAGTCATCCCCAGTCCTCGCTCCGGTCTATTTGTGTTGATCTCCTTGTGAGAACATCATTAGTGTGATTACCATGCGGTGCCTAACCTCGTCATAATGATCTCCTCTCATTCACCAGCCGCAGACTGAGAGAGGGAGAGAGAGAGAGAGGGAGAGCACGAGAGGGGGAGCCGTGGTCTTTCTCTCCCCAGCGCGGTAAAAAGCTCCTCTTTGAGTCGGTCCGGTCTTTGTGTGAGCGGAATAAAAGCGAGGGCTAATTGAAGGCTGTGGATATTCATGCTAACATTGTAAATCAGCGCGCAGACAATGTCCTGGCCCCTTTCCTCCATGTTGGAGCACTCCAGTCTCAGTGAGGCGAGGTCCCGTTGGAAGAGGCTGATTTACACTTTAAAGTGGCCTTTGCTGCCGTGCTGATCTCATCTTCATTTCCTCCTCGTCTCATGTGTGCAAAATATTTCACTATCAGACGCCGCTCCCTTCATTCGCTCTGTGATCTGGTGTCACTTTAATTTCACTTTCGCTCCTCTGAGAACCACCTGAAGCTGCAGCAGGATCCTCATCAGCAGCCCGTGCACACACACTCACTCACTCACTCACTCACTCACTCACTCACTCACTCACCCGTGTTCACTGGAGATGTGGTTTTGTGGCTGTGATATTGCAGGTGCGCTCCTCCATCCCCATTCAGTGTGTGTGTGCGGTGGAGAGGGTGGATGAAAACGCCTTCCAGCAGCCCAACGTGATGCAGGTCATCACCCAGGACAACGACGGACAGCTGCTCACCATGTACATCCAGTGTAAGGTGTGTTTGTACCGACAGGCATCAGTGGAGTTTATCAAACAGAGTTATGAAACAAAGACTGACTGTGGATTATCATAAAAAAAAACTATTATTTTAAAGGGGACCTGCCATAAAAATGTAATTTTTGGGGTTTTTTGTGTCAGATAAGGTCCATATTGTGTTCGTCTTATGTTGTACATGTGAAAACAAACCGTTACGTCGTTTGCATTCTGTAAAGGTTTAAAATCAAGGAACGAGTAAACCAGGCCAATAGAAAAAGCCCGTCGGTGTTACGTTGCGCCGACCTTGCTCATTATTATTCACGAGCGCGTCCTCGGTGAGCCGCGCCCACTCTCTCGTTCTCGTACTCAGTCACAGCCAGAGCGAGACCCAGCTACCACTGTATCCGCTATGGGTCTCTTCCAAACGACCGGTGTTTCCTTCGGTTCACTGCCGGGAAAATTAACTTAAAGCTGGGCAGAATGAATGAGAAAACACCGCTGGAGATCTCCGGCTTCTTCCTCAACTTCCACCTCCTCTTTGGACTCGGGGTCTAAAATATATGGTTTAATACCTGCCGTTTTTAGCCTTTAGCATAAGGTGACCAGACGTCCCCGATTTCCGGGGACAGTCCCCGGATTGGATGACCTGTCCCCGGCAAAAGCTGTCCCCGAAAATGTCCCCGATTTAAGCGTTTCATGAATGAGAGCAAATATGTTGCGTGTGGGCTCGAACAACGGTTATTACAGTAGCCGAATTTAGTTAGCAGTCCTGAACAACAGTTCTTACGGGGGTTATTACAAGGGGCATGCGCTGCTACTAAATAGTACAGAGATTTTGTCTGTGATCACACAGCCCCTGCAGCCCCTGCACCACCGCCGCCGCATCAAATATCCCCGGATATCATTACAGACGTCTGGGCACCTTACTTTAGCACACATTAGCATATGCTATTAGCATTAGCATAATAACAGTGGATAAACCGAAATCCGAACCTCCACTGCTGAGCCAATCAGAGCACAGCAGGCTTCACAGCAGCGATCCAATCAGAGCAAAGCTCATTACCATAAATGTTAATGAGCCAAAACCAGTTGGTTTTCCTGTAAGGTTTTTTAGGCATACTAAAACAAACCATCAAATAACTTTTCAGCTAAAATTATGTTGCAAACATGATCAGAGGACATCAAGGATTATGAAAAATTGATAAAAATGGGGATGAAATTTTGGTGGCAGGTCCCCTTTAACTTTTTTTAGACCTTTACCCCGCTGAGTGTTTCCATCAGGTATAAAACAAATCAATAACACACACTTCACTCAGAGGCCTCTGGAATATCACCGAAAATGTCCCTTTAAGGAGCCACTGATACTTATATTTACTGTGTTTGTGTCTGAACAGAATGTGAACGAGCTGAATCAGTGGCTCTCAGCCATCAGGAAAGTCAGTATCTACAACGAGCGCATGCTGCCCTCTTTCCACCCCGGAGCTCATCGCAGCGGCAAGTGGACCTGCTGCCTCCAAGCAGACCGAGCCGGTAATCCTGCCAAACCTCCAGGAAGAGGCTGAAGCAGCTGTTTTTATTCCGGGGTGCTTCTTCTTGTCTTATATAACAAATGCAGATCAGGTGCAGAACAAAACTATACAACCTATTCACAAAGCTTTAAAAAGCTGCTCCCAGTGAGAAACTAAAAAAAAAAATCAGTTTTCTAAGAACTCCTCAAAAGGTTCAGACTGGATCTTTGTGAAGTTTAACAATAAGAGAGTGAGGAGATGAAGGAAAGATGGTTAAATTGGAGGAATAAACTCTCTGATCTGTTCTCACATAAACAAAATAATTCTTCTAAAACCTCGAGAATCTCAGATATTCTCAGATTTTTGTCCCGAGGAGCAACACTTTGTGATTACGGCCACAGAAAAAGTGAAAAGTGTTCAGAGAGCATAACCAGCTTCAGTCTTACGTTTCCCTCACGTTATCTCAGCTGAGTCGTGTAAAAGTGAGTGAGCTCCAGCTGATCCATATTTAATGACGAAAACCCTGGATTTGTAGCTGCCATGTTTTTGTTGCTCCAGTGAAGATTGAGCTCCGAGGATCATAATTTGATTTTCTCTGACCGGTTACTTTTTATTGTCACTTCGACTCACTGCTCTGAAGATGTGCAGGTTTATATTTGATGTGGTGCGCCGCTGTTGAATCAGAGTCTGTCTCTCAGTCACAGGCTGCAGCCGGACTCACTCCGCCGTGACTCTGGGGGACTGGAGCGACCCGCTGGATCCTGATGTAGAGACACAAACCATCTACAAGCAGCTCCTCCAGGGCAGAGACAAACTCAGGTGGGTGGAAACACTGTGTGAACGTCTCCAGCCTGGGTGCAGTTCACTAAGTGGACACTGGAGGTCACTGTTGTAACACAGGACTGCACTCACCTGCTGCTGCTGCTGCTGCACAATGACGCCACACTCACGGTTTTTCTCAGACGTTTGGGCGAATTTGTGGAAACAGTCTCAACTTTCTCTAAACTGTAATTATCACTCAAATTCAATAATACATTATAATATATTATTATATTTAGTTTGTTCAGAATCTGTTTTTTTTTCTGTCTGGTTATCGGTCGGTGTCACTAAAATGAGAAGTTAGTATGAAACTGTTTGAGCTGCTCAAAATGTAAAATGTATATCATGATTATAATGAAGATAAAATGACTTTCTTGTGAAAAAACAAAACCAAACAAACATCCTTAAAAAAAACCTCTGCACTTCTTCATAATGTTGAACCTTTTGTCATTTCAGTGCTGAACCAAAGAGAACGATCTAACCCATTTCAGAGTAAAACCCTGACGACAGAGAGAGCAGCTTTTGGACAGTGATTATGTTTCTAATATGATTGATTTTGCAGGAAAAAGTATCTCGAGGTGCCAGACGCCGGTCAGACATCCAGCAACAAAGAAAAGATCACCTCTGACATGAGACCAGGTGAGGCGGCTCAGAAACATCTTTCTTTTCTTAAAGGAGTTTTCAGGTGATGAATTTCTACAGTATGAAGCAGGACTGACACTGTGGCCGTTCAGCCACCATGGGACCAAAGTAAGACATGTTCCCAGTGACTGCTGACCTCTGTCACAGATTCTGTTTGTGGTCTTCGTGGTCCAGATCTGCAGTTTCAGCTGAGGCACAGGGGCCTCAGAATCTCATCTCTGTCTTTTGGTTTCTGATGTGGTTTTGTTGGTTTCTTTGGGCTCCGACCTCAGGCACTGGTTTACAGCTGAGTGTGAAGTGACTGGGATGGGAAACCAGGTCCACACTGATTAAAAAAAGCCCATTTTCATTTCCTTTCACAGTGGTTAGGATCTTTCTGCTGTTTTTGTTTATTCTAACTGATCGCAAAAAGATTTCTTTCTCTACCAGGGAGGGTTTTTTTGTATTTATGATCGTATTTTCACTCTCAGTTTTGATGCATTTTCTGTCCCACAGGTGGTGCAAAGTCCAGCGTTCAGCATATGAAGTCGGGTCAGAGTGTTGCTGTTCGGCTGTTAACGGTAATAGACGATCTGGAGCAGGCTCACGCCACTTTTCAGCGCAGAGAGAAAGAGGACTCCACCAGTGTCATCCTGAATCCCTAAACTCCACAGAGACACAGACTGGGACCCACTGACACTCAGCATCTTGTACCGACATGAGAGTGAACATCAGATGTTCACTCTCTTGATTGTCAGGGACTAAAAAGTGTCCGCAGGGTGAAACCTCCTCCAGCCTTTTAGTCCATGTCCCCGCTGTACAGAGCAGAGGGAGTTCTGCCACTTTGAGTCTTTTTGTATCCGATGAGTGCCACCGACTTCTGCAGCGCCAGAGAAATTATCATACTTGACGATAAAGGGGGTCGGGAGACTTTCAAGCATGATTTGATTTTTTTTTAAACTAGATAACAAGCAATCCCTTTGCATGGCCTGAACCCACTTGTTGTGAAATGTTAAAAGAAGCTTTTATATTTTGAAATATTGTACAGGACCTCGGTCGCACATTTTTATGCAAAAAGCTTAAGTCGTAGTGTTATCTACAGTATCTGAATGTAAGGTGTTTTGATATTGCTTTTATGGAGGTTTTGTATTTTAATAAGGCATTTTATCACAATGTAACGGTGACGTTAGTGTTGTAGGTCAAACTAACATAAGTTTATGAGAAGCTGGTGCACACGCCACGCTGACACGCTGCCTGTACAGTGAGCAAAATGTGTTAATTTTATTGTTGCGTTGGTCCCTTTATACTGAACAATGTGCTTTTGTTTTGGTGCTATGGCCAGTCAACTTAATTCCAATGTTATATACTAATATTAATATTAAACTGTTATTTTATTTGAAGCATAACTGAGGTCCTAAAGGTAATATTTAACAATAAAAAACACGTGACCCACTATGAATCAGATTTAAATAAAGAAAAGACAACACTCCTGCAGATACAACACAATATCTAGAGTTAGGATGTGTATAAGATGCCAAATTACTTCCATAATTTTAATTTTAGGAAACTTTATTTAGGACACAAAAGCTGTACATCGATATTAGGGCTGTCACAGTAAACCAATATAGACGATAACCGTCTTCAAAGTAAAATAAATAAAAAAATAACACTAATAAAAATCGGTTAACTACAACACCCGGAGTTCATAGAAGAGGCTACAGCTAGCTAACGAGCTAGCTTTAGCATCCCTCTGAGGGAGATGATTCAGCACTTTCACAAACGGATATTTACAGATTTATTGTGAATCCAAGAACAACGTTAACGCTTATGTCTCTTCAGGTTACGGATCAGTTTAACGTTTTCTACTTTCTATCGTTATTTTAATTATTTTGAAATTTAGTTCGCTAACTTTAGTATCCGCCAGACGATGTGATTTCAAAATAAAAGCATGACAAAGACTCGTTTTCTGAATTAGTCACAAATTTGACTATCAGTATAAATGGGATATAATTTGTGACCTAACTGTGTTTTAATGATAAAGTGTAATGAAGCAAATATGTCGGTCCATTCACATTTTAACTGATTCCCCCCAAGTTTTCCATTTTAAAATTTAATGGCAGCTATGATCATAAGGGTAAATTTTAAAATTGTGACAGCCCTAACGGACATGTGTTAAAATAATTTCTTGGTCATCATCTTGTACAGGTGCTAATTTTAGTGGATCATATATTCTCCTTTGATTTAACACTTTTGTACACATGCCAGACATCAAAACATGACGCTACATTAAAAACAGCTTTATTCCTCCATGTTTGGGCTTTTTCTGCGCTACTTTAGATAAATTTAACTAAGTTTTTAAAAGTAAGAATGAACTGATGTTTCTTATACACTTTTAATTTTAGATGGGGGGGGCTTTATTTTGAGGAGAGAAAAGAAAAACAATCCTGTTGTTTACTTTATTGTGATTGAATTTAACACAACTGTATAATTAAGTAAACTCTTATTAGAGCTCAGTATACTTAGATAAATTCTCTTTTATTTTAGGTAGAATTACATTCAGGAATTGTTGGTGCAGGTACCTTATTTTTTTGTTCTATATCACACCTGTGTCACACTTATCAGCAGGGACGGCGAGATTCAAACAGTCATGGTTTCCAAAGAAATGTCATTAGAGATCTTAAATCCGCCTGATGTGTCAGACTTATCGTGCTGCCTCTTTGTTCAGATGAAAAATTTAATCAAACCTCCATAACTGCAGAGTATAATGTTAAATCATTTCATATGAACAACGTTTGCAGCCTGTCTTATTTAAATGCTAATGAGAGCATTGATGGAGAGGAACCTCTCTGCAGGGTCTTTAATTTGACGTTAGACAAGGCGGGGTCAGCGGTCCGGGTACCAGAACCAAGAGGAGGCTGAACCCAGGGTCAGAGCAGGGAGGGAGATGAGTGTTTGCTGAAGGTGAGGCTGATATCCTGCTGGTCTCAGTGAGCGACTTCAACCACATCTCTGAACCATGACGGCGATGCTCTGAAGACAGTGACAGAAAATGACCATAAAGTAAATTTACTGCAGGTGAGGACAGTTTGAGCCTCAGCAGAGCTCATTTATATCCACGCAAAACTGCTCAGAATGAAGGTAACGCTGGAGCTAAATGAAGCTGGACGTGTTTCAGAGGAGGAAAAATGAGTAAGAAACAAAAGGTCAAACAAATTACCCGACCAGGGCACATTTATTTTTCCACAGAAACACACAAACATGCAACAAGGTCATCACAATTCAATAAAGACTGATAGATTAAGAAGCCCTTTATAGTTTAATCAATGTCTCTATATCTTGCTTTTAGTTGATCTCAGTTTCTCTGTGTTTTTAATAAGGAGACACTGCTTCAAATCAAACCACAAAAACCATGATTTGAAAATGTCAATTAAAATGGGCACTTAAAATGCAAAACATTCAGATGTTTCACATGTCAAAACAGAGAGGAGAGCAGCCAAACGCTGCATCGCTCCCCATCTGTGGAAATCAAACCTGAAAGAGGAAACAACCTTTTTAACGATCCGGAGAAAGATGCAAAAACCACAGTGCTAAACCCCCAGAAGAGCCGAGGGATATATCTCTAAAGAAGCTATGATGAGCTATGCATTGTCAAGAAACCTGCTCACAGTTTGGTTAACATGCACCTCTAGGAGAACATTACTGTATCTGTAAAGGACATGAACCGCAGACTCTGCACACGTCCACGCACACTCGCACAGACACAAACGAACAGCATACCCACAGAAAAGAGAAGTACAGTCTGCAGCTGTGAAAACTTCTGCAAAATCACTCTTTATCCCACGTTTCATCAGCAATAAGAGTATGGATATGAGTAACACAGCAATGTCACATTTTCCTTTAGAGACAATCATTATTAAAAAAGAAAAAACATCAAAAATATATGTTTTCTAATACGTAGCATGTGGACATCCTCGGGCTGCGACCCCTCTGTTTAAAAACCTGGAGGGAGGCACCCTGAAAGAAAACATCCATTGTCATAGAAACCAAAATATCAGCCTTGTTGCTACACATAAATCATACAGAATATCTTGAAAAATAGTAAATTGCATAAACACCATCTCTCTCTCTCTTTATCATGACAAATACCAAACCACGTTATTATTTATTTCCATAGAAGTCTGTACACACCTGAAATCGAAGCGGCCTACAGCCCTCATACAACAAGGCCGATACACCGAAAAGGAAAGTTAAAGAAGCGACAATTTGGGTTTCTCTAGATAACGTGACTTCACTCAGCATGGAAAAGGTTCCCTGATAGATTGGAAGCATCGTCTTCAGCTGTCCAGTTTTAATAAAGGGAGTCGAAAGGGCCGCGAACGAAGGAGAAGAAGAAAACTTGAGATGGAAAAAAACAAACTGACTGTTTTTAACACGGCTGGGTCTGAGAAAAGATCAACAAAGAGTTTTAAATGTTTGCCAAACTATTCAACTGCTGACATAATAAACTGTTTTAAACATGGAGGTTGTTTTTTTCTCTCAGCTGACACTGGAGGAAGAGCACAAACACTAATATTGTCATTTTCTCCTGGTTTTATCTGAGTATATTTTCCGTGTACTTCCTCTGTCGTCCAGTCTTGTTAGTTTTCAGTCTGACCCTGTTCTCCTCCTGTTCTATTAGATCCTATTCTTTAGATCAGTTTTCAGTGTTTATTTCCTGTTTTATTTTGTAGGAGTTAATTCCTTGTGTTTTTAGTCTGGTTTTACTTCCCTAGTTTTCCCTCCTTCGTTAATCACTCATCAGTCTCACCTGTTGCTTGTTTCCCAGTCTGTGTACATAGTCCCTGTCCTCTCCTCTGTCCTGATTGGTTAATTGTGTTTTTTATGTCTGCCAGTTGTGTTTTCTTCCCCCTGTGCTTTTTGTTTGATTTTGCCCTTTGGGATTTTTCAGTTGGACACTTGAAGTAAGTTTTGGTTGCTTTATCATAAATCCTTTTTTTTGGGTCCTTTCTCTGTTGTTTAACCCTGCGCTGTGACAAATATTAGATCAAAGAAAATGGATTTGCTTAATTTTCCATTTACAACCATTAAAAAAATAAACTGAACTCTGAATATTTTAGATGGAAACTTTGATCTCGAGTTTATTAAACTCAAACAAACACTTGAAATCCTTTGCGGCTCGTCCCTGACCCAGGCGTGCCCTCGTGTTTCCACCCTCGAACTGCGTCCTTTCCCATGTTCTGGTCATGTAGAAAAAGAGAAATTGCCCGTTTGTGGGGGACGGCCATCTTCATGCTGCTAAAGCTCCCCCACTGATAATAATAAAGACACATCGACTGTATTTATTGGGTTCCCACTGGGATCAACTACACAGATTCTACATTAAGGTAACGACAGCAGCATACGCTAAGACTACTCGTAATATAAGACGTCCATACATGTCGTACATATTTCAACAGTCCCTGACATATACTGACAAATTCAGCTTTGCCAGATTTGATGTATTCATGTTCACGTGTGCCTGTGTATAGATATGTGGGCCAGTCAGTATATTTTAATATTTTCTATATAGAAGAGTATAAAAATAAATTAAACTTACACCATCGACTCAAAATGAGCTCCAATTTAAAGGTATATCACATCTGCAAATGTAGATTATTTCTATTTTTTTAAAGCATCGCAAGCCAGTTTATAAACATCTGAACTAAAAAAAGACGGACTCAGCTGCAGTGTAAGACATGTCTCTGAAAGGAAAACCACCGGGTCGGCACCGGCGTGCTCTGGAAGACTATGATTCACTTCGATTTAAGCTCACAGCCGGACGCCCATATAAGGAGCTTTACATCCACAGCCCCGCTCGTTAAAACCAGGATCATATTTATGGACGATTATGCAGCTCTGGGTTTTTCTCTAATCTCAGAGTAGGGGAACATCACAAGATCTCCACCGAGGACCTTCAAACTCCTCAGATCTGAGGGGCGAGAGCAGGAAAAACAGATCACATGATGTTAGACCAGCGTTTGTCCGGTTCTTCAGATGAAGAGCTCTGCTGCTGCTGCTGCTGAGGAGGAGGAGGAGGAGGAGACTCGGGTCAAGGCCATACATCAGGATTGGCCCGCTCCAAGAGAGCGCTCACTGGGGAGAAGATATTTCACTGCAGTGGAGCTCTGCACGCCGCCTTCAGCAAACAAGCTCACCAGAGACTCGTAGATTCAGGCGTGCAGGCAGGAGCGCTGCTGGAGCCGCGTCTCCAGAGATCAGCTGTTGATGTTTAAAAGACGTACGTCCATCTGTGAGGAGCGTGCTCCGCTTCACTCCTCAAGGACTTCCAGCCAGCAAATGAACGCCTCAGAGCGCACAAGCACACGCTCGCCTCTCTCTCTCATGTATGGTCAGCATGATGGATCGTGCCAATGCCGCGGTTTGCTCCAGCAGGGGGAAAATTAATGCGGGCTTTATATTCACAGAGGTCAGCGTCATCAGGGTGTCAACAAAACAAATGAGAGTAACCTTGGAGCGCAGCAAAGCGCCGCTTCACAACCGCAGCCCTCCTCATCACAACACGCCTCTGACTGACTGTTTCGTCTCTTTCAGGTTCAGAGTAAAACACGTGTATCACCAAAGATCACTAAACATCTCAGGACCTCTCTGCTCCATGCACAACAAACAAAACACTCCTGTCTGACAGAAACACTGACCCCGACAGGAACCAGAGGAGGGAAAAATCACTGACTGGACTTTATTTTCATCATCTAAAGGCCAAAATCCTCCTTCAAAGAACATCCACTGACTTTAAAAGACAAAGGGGAAGGATAATTATCATGAATCAGGGTTAATTTCATCCAAAATCATCAGGAACTCCTGACTTTGTAACGCAGCGTTAGTCTGGGCCATGCATCCTCCAGCTAAGCTTTTAGAGACGCCTCTGAACATCTCCATCCCTCCTAAAGAGGACCGACTGAAATCTCACAAAAACCAACGAGTAGATCCAGATTTCTCCTTTAAACTCCGAACATGAAGACGCCACGCTCCAGCAAAGAAACAGCGGGGGGTCATTATAATCAAAAAACTGATTATAAACATGTGGATTATTTCACTTCCTTTGCTTTTGTCCCTCTGAGTCTGCAGGGTGGATTTATCTGTGGAGAGTTTTCACCCAGAGTCTCTGCTCTGAGACCGCAGTGAGGCATGATGGGATGTGGATCCTGTGGATCAGTCCTTCAGGTTGTCCTCGCCGACTCCCTGCGCCGACAGCTCCGTCAGGACATTGTCCAGGTAGTTGGGGTCGGGGTAACCGTGTCCGGTCAGGTTCGATCCGAATTCTGTCTTGTGGTGAATCTCGTTCCACACCACCGTGTCCGACTCGCCCGTGGTGCTGGACGTGCCGATTGTGAAGATGAGGCGTCGGTCCCACGCCATGATGAGGAGTTTGAGGACCTGAGGGACAGAAAGTTTAGACTAACAGACACAAGGGTAGGACACAAGGAAAGGATGAAAGGATGCATCCGGGGTCCTCCTCCTCTTACCTTCCTGCCTTTGTCGTTGTCGGGGAGGTAACAGTGTCGGGGAAACCCTCTGGCACTGAACTTCTTCCCGGGGTTGGGGTGTTCATTGGTCTGCAGAAAATGTCCAGAACAAAAACAAACATTACAACTCCGTCTGTTCCAATTACGACTTAATCGTCCAGCAAATGTCAACGGCCCCCGCAGGACGAGCGCTGGCGTTTATGTCGGCTCCAACGGCCGCTCTGTGTGAACGCCGTGACAGATCTGCGACTGTAAATATCAATGATCTCTTTAAATATCATCGCTCATTTGAGCCTGATTGATGGAATCGGACTCCATCTGCAGGGCGGCCATCTTTGCTACACTCCCTGCATCTTCATCAGACCCTCCATCCCTTCCCCCACCTCCATCAGAAACCATGAACAGTTCTCCCTCCACATGTTTTTCTCCTCTCTGCCTGTTTTTCTAGAAAAGCTTCGATGGTTTTGGTAAAAAGGAGCTCCTCTCTCTCTTTGTGTTTTTTTTTTCTGACGCTCCAATTAAGCCGATTAAAATGTCACATTTCTATTCAATGACGGTCTTTCTTTGTGTTTTTACTGGGAAGCAGAAAAACACTGAATTCATGAGTTCTTCTCTCAGATATCTTCTGCGTTAATTCTCCTCTTCTTCTGAATATTATCCTCACTCAAAGCTTTTCCTTTTTTCTGCAGTCATGGAGGATTTAGAGGAGAGAGGAGAGGAGGTGTCCTTGGAGATGCTGCTGCTGTGCGGACCTGAGCGGTCAGGTGACCCTGCTGCTATCCTCGGTCCCCTGGGACGCTGGTCCGGCTCCTCTGGAGGGAAAAGGTCAGTTTATTGACTCTGTTAAAGCTCCTCTCTACAGTCAGGATGATCTATGCGACCTTCTCCTCACCGACTCGCTCTGCTCTCCGATACAATCAGGGATAAATTCACTGAATACAGACCAGAGCTTGTTTTTTCATCTTTAAAACCTGCCGTGTTTGATACGGAGTGTTACGGTGGCCGAGAACTGCTGCAAAATAAAAAAGAATGAAAAAAAAAAGAAACTACAACAGAAGTTAATGATCCAAAAAAAAAAAAAGAGAGAAACCGAAGCCCACTGCAAAGAAAAAAAAGAAACGGTGCAGATGTAAAAAGTAAACGACGCAAAAAAAAAAAAAAGTAGCGATGCAAAACAAATAAATAAAGTTACTTACTGTGAAAATAAAAGGATGCAAATAGAAAAAGCCACAACAGAAGTGAGCTGCTGGGGACCAATAATGATGAAACACCGGTGTTTTACGATCGAGGCACAGAAGACGACGGTAAGAAAAGTGAAGCTGAAACTACATCGGCATCCTTCGGTTCACCCCGATCCTTTGTGGCCTTTTTTTTTTTTTTGCATCCTTTTATTTTTGCAGAAGTTACTTTTCTTTCTCTGTCGTTAACTTTCGTTGTGGCTTTTTTTTAAAATCTGCATCGTTTCTTTTTTTATTTGCAGCAGGCTTCTTCTTTTTTTTAAATTTCTTTTCCATCGGTAATTTCCTTTGTGACTTCTTTTTTTTGCGTTCTTTTTTATCTGCAGTCGTGGCGGTTTTCGGCCACCATAGTGTATTCTAAACTACCGATTTAATATGTAAACAAGCTCATTAAAAAGACGACGATCACACTTATGTTTTCAACTCAATCTGCAGAACATCTTTCCAACAACATGAGGTCTCTAATCTCAGATCGTCTCCTGTAATCCAGAGGAGGTCAGAGCGTTTCTAAGGTCGGCCTCACGCTAAATAATCATGACTGTACGCCAACACGTTTGACCTCTAATGACCTCTAAAGTCTGCTCTGTCAGAAACTCACAGAAAAACCTTCATTTCAAAAACTGAGAGTAAAAAGGTGAATTAATGATGAAACACGTGCAGGACGGCGCAGACTTCTACGAGCTGATCAGGATCATGTTAGGAGAAAGTTCCTCCACACCGACTCACTTGAAAACCTGTAAAAAGAGCGTCTTTCTCCTTCTTTTGTAGGAAAATTATGGTTTGACATTTACATCATGAAAAAATAAAAGTATTTGCGACCTCTCTTTGAGTCGAGACCCTTCATGGGGTCTCTTCTTCAGTGTTTTAAAGTCTAAACTCTCATGCAGGATCCCTCCGATCTTCCCTGTGTCGGCTCCTAAAACACACACACCTCACCTCTCTGCACCAGAACCTTCAAACTTAAGCGGATCAGCAGCAGGTGTAGAAAGGGCGCGGATTTACAGAGAGAGAGAGTGGATCAGGGCACAAAAGCAGCATGTCGGACTTAGTGAAGGATTTGAGTTCTGACCTGGATCCCAGCAGGAATGTCGTAGACGATGCGGATGGTTTTAGAGTCGGGGTAGCCGGGCAGGCAGTGGGGGATGACGTGGTACTCCATCTTCCCTGGAGGCTGAGTGCCGGTTTTCTCCCCGTAGATGGTTTTACATGTGGGACACTGAAGGCTGCCGTCCTGGAGTGAAGAAAGGATTACTTCAGGATGATAAAGACGGTTTGTTAAAAGACGTATTTCTGAAATTTCTGTGGAGGGGAATGATGTGATCGAAATATTAACAGGCGCGTTCAAGCAAACCCCCTTAAGAATTGTCTCAAAGCTATACAAAGGTTTATTGAAGAACAGGGAAGAGACACAATGTATATAAAAGAGAAATGGGAAAAGGAACTCGGCATTGAATTATCTGAGAGTGATTGGCAGACCATGCTCAAGACCCAACATACATCAACAAGTTCTAAAACATGGAGGGAGTTCGGTTGGAAAAATTTGACATGTCTATTTATTACACCAAAAATCAAAAATAAACAATTAGGTCAACAACAGCATTGTTGGAGACAATGTGGGCAACTGAATGCCAACCACTCTCATATATTTTGGTCATGTACGAAAATACAGACATTTTGGGATGAGGTCCTGAGAGTCATGGGTAAAGTTTTTGGATATAATTTACCCAAAGATCCCCGGTTTATTTATCTTGGACTGATATTAGAAGATGTAATGGGTAAAGAGGACATATACCTGTTCAAGATCCTATCTCTTGCAGCTAAGAAAGCCATCACAAGAACTTGGCTAAGAACTGATCCACCTGAACTGAGTGACTGGCTGACCATTGTAGAGGAAATCCGATCAATGGAACAAATGACTTACAGACTACGAATTAAAGCTGAGCTATATGCTGTAAGATGGACTAAATGGCACCTGTATGTAACTGAGTAGTGTTTGCCCCCCTTGTTCTTGTTCTTGTCTTGTTTTGTTTTGTACAGTATTTGCGTGTATGTTTGAAAGTTTGCCTTAAAAGATAAAAATAAAGTAAAAAAAAAAAAAAAAAAGACGTATTTCTGAGTAAACACCGAGTTATGTAACAACACCGGGTTTGTTTGTGAAAGAGCGCCCTGGACCCTCTCTAAAGAACTTTCATCAGATCAGCCCGTCCCAAAGAAAAGTTTCCAAGACTAAATGTGGACTGAGTTCCTGAGAAGGTGCCAATGAAGTTTCCAAAGGCAGCTCGGAGGTCCGGGACAGGAATCTGAAAAGGTGTGCCCAGTCTGTGAGGATCTGACTGATCTCTATGAGGTCCCATCTGTGTCCTACAGGATCTCAGCCTGATCATCTGCCAGTGGCGTGCGCTCCAGTCAAGCTGTGTAACGTTCGGAGTTTATAATTCGAGCGTGAGTGACATCATAACGGCGTCTGGCTCACAGGCTCTTACCCACCTTATTGCCATTGTTGTACATGGCCACCAGGCACAGCAGATGGTACATGTGCCCGCACTTGCCAAGTTTGCCCACCAGCTCTGGCTTGATGCCTTTGTGCTGCAGGACGCCTTCGTAGCCGGATGACATGACCAGCCTCTCCATGCAGATGGTGCAGTCCTGGAATAGCCCAGAAAAAAAAAACGCTTCAGCCGCCGCTCCGCCGCGTACTTATGAGACTTTAACACTCTGTCAGGTGACCGAGGGCGGCGGCTATTTGTGGGCGCCAAGCTTTGTCTTACCTCATCTGGGACCACTTTGATCTTCTCTGTGTATCTTCGCACCACGTCCTCGGGGTTTTTTCCTTTTCAGGGAAAAATTCAAAAAGGAAAAAAGATGAAGCACAAACCTCCAACAATCTGATCACAGACACGATGTTCATTTAGAGATGTTCAGAAACAAATACAGACACAGGAAGTGTCTCTGAAACACGTTCAATGCTTCATTTTGTTACCGTAAAATATTAGCAGACAAAAAAACATAAACCTTCACTTTTAGAAATGAGCCGCTGTAAAGAAATGTTTCCATGTGAATCAACAGAAACATGATGATCTTTGCAGAAAGATGCTTTAATTTCAGAGATCTGCTTCATCATCAAATATAAAGTCTGTATTTCTATTTTAAATCCAGATAATTAAAACCTGTAAGAATAGAAAATAAAGTCGGTTCATGTGAAGGATGTGTGTGATTTCCTGAGAAGAATTATTATTGTTATTGTTATTATTATGAGCTAAATAACCACATCTAACAGGAAAATAATCAGAGTGTGTTTAGGGTTATAAAAAGACATATTTTAGAGGACGATAACCAAAGATGGTGACTGCATCACCTTTTAAAGAGAACCTGATCTAATAGAGTTTCTGCTGTGGAGGGGGTCACCTTCAAACCCACAGAACCAGCAGCCGTCCCTGAAATAATCCTGCAGGGCCGACATGGCAGAGAGCGCAGCCGCAGCTTACACCTCTAATACGCTTAAAGGCAAACTCCCGTCCCCTCAAGTCTTTGTTTGTTCGTTTGAGGGACAGCGGGTGAGAAGAGGGAGGCGGAGCGGCGAGAAGAAACAGAGAGCTAAAAAAAAAACATGATCAGGTAGAAAAGGAGGAGAGAGAGGGAGCAGAGGAGCAGAAAGAAAAGGGACTTTGTTGTAAATTTAAGAGTTTTTACTTTCAGATGGGTTTATTCGGAGAACTAAAACGCTTTTAAAGAGAAGTAGGAGGAGTCTAAAGTTAACCACATGGGGAAAACGCCGTCCAAAGAGCTGAGCTGTGTGTCAGTGTACGTCAGGTTAGTGCAACATCAGAGAAACTGTGAGGGTGATCGATCAGAAACCTCTGATCCTGATCAATAAAGCTGCTGCAGTTCCCTGAGTGTCCTCTAGAGGCTGTCTGCAGAAACACACACTCTCAAAAGAGTCCATTTTTAGAGCGAAACTAAACTGAATCTGCACCTTTTGGACGAGGAGTGAATTATTTTTTTAGAGACCGACACGGTGACCCCAGATTTCTGCTTCACAGACCAGTGGGTGGTCCCACAGACACTCCGTCCGTTCATTATCCAGTCTGATGTGTGGGTTAGTATCTGAATGTTGATTTCTGAAGAGTGTGTAGTTGTGTTTGTATCATCCTTCTGTTGAATTACAGGCCGATGAAAAACATAAAGCGCTCTGAGGGATTGAAACGGACAATCCCAGAGCAGGAGTGGAAACCCAGCAGTCTCACTCATCAATTACTACAAAGACTCCCCGGGGAGGATGAGTGTTTCTGCGGCTCTCCATCGACCTGCACTTACTCAAACCCACAGCAGTCAGACCGCCGAACACCAGATCAGCTCTCACAACGGTCTCATGTTAATGACTGTCCTTATAACATGGAGGGAACATGTGAACGTCACTGTGACTGTGAACACGGCAGCGTGAGCTCGTAAATCTGAACCTGCTGATATGGAAACCTCCTCCTCCTGATGGCGCCCTCTCTCACCTCTCCTCAGGTGCTTCTTCTTGGTTTTGCGGCGCATCCCGTTGATCCCAGGCACAGGTTTCATGTCGCTCTTGTTGATGGGGGGCGGGTGCAGGATGGGTTTGGGGGCTCTGGTCAGGCAAACCGGCAGACCTGCAGCGCACATCAGGATACCTGTCATACCTGATGCAAATGTAAAAAAAACACACACAGACGTACGGACAAACAGAAGAGTGGAAAAAGGCACCGATTGTGATTTTCAGAATCAGAGTACAGACCACAAAACACACTCTGTCGCTGTTTCTGAGCGCATTTAACAAAGTGGGTGTGGTCTAACCTGCGAGCGCTGGGTGTACTGGTCCAGATCCAGTCAGGTTCTTTACTGGGAGTGCAGGAACCCTGAGGGACAGAGAGGAAGACTCTTCAGACTGAGGAATCAGATCTAGAGAGTTTTAAAAACTCTCATGTCCATTTATTAAAATATTTTGGTCTTCTGTCCGAAAACAGAGATAAAGAAGTTCTTTGGTATAAAACATTATTTTGGATCCTAAATCATGTTTTCTTGTTGTTAATCCTTCGTCCTTCTCTGGTCACTCTGTTAAATTGTTGAACGTTATGTTGTTCGCTGCACGACTTTCAATTTTGCATGTTTGGCTTGATATAAATCCACCCACATTATCGACTTGGTGATAAACTTTCATTAATTATCCCATATGAACAGTTGTCTCATGTATTGTTGGGAACTTTAGATGCGTTTGTTAAAGAGTGGTCCTCCCTCAGCAGGTTCTTTGGTTCTGAGTGGACAGGAGTGATAAGTTTTAGTCTAAGAAGGTGAAGCTTCCTAATCCTTCAAGTCCCCACACTCACCCCCTTTTCTTTCTCTTTTTTTTTCATTTTATTTTAATTTTCATTGTGTTGTGTATGAGGTTGTCTGCTTTGTTTTTCATTGTCTCAAAATTAAGAATTAAAAAGAAAGTTAAAAGCAAAAACGTCAAACAAAAACTTCACTGGTGGATGAGTGGGTGGATTTGTTGAGTTTTTACAGTCTGACTGATCATACTGCTATTGATTTTAAAGCTACTGTAAGGGACTTTCAGTTTGTGTTAACTCTGGCGCCCCCTGTGGACAGAAACAAAAATCCTTCTCTCCATATAGTCTTAATTGTGAAGAGCACACGTCTTATTGTGAATATTTAATGTTGAAAATTTAATAACAGGCTGTTTTTCTCACTGATTCACAATAATGAAAATAACAGCTGAACTCAGACATGTGTGATAATATATTATATAATATATAATATAGTGATAACATCGACTCCTCACAGTCAAACTGACCTCCTGTTTTCATTAAAAAATCATTTATAAAAATCAAAATAACAGCAGCTCAGGGACGGATCCCTGTGGGACACCAAACCAGACTCTCTGATCTGATTTCCTCCTCCTCTGACACTAATTTAAAAATTATGATTATTATTCTGGTTCTTGTCAAACTCCTGCGTCTGTTTTCTGTTTTTCCTGAAGTGCAGTAACTCTATTTTCATGTTTTTTAAATGACCCCAGACCTCAAACAGAAACAGAAAATTGTGCTGATTGTGAGTCGCCTCCTGTGAGGTCAGAAAACAGCGGCTCGTTGTGATCCGAACGCCGTAAAAACACTCCAGCTAAATGTCACATGAGCTCCACGCCGAGACGGAGTCAGTGGAGATGGGATGAGACAGTTTGACTCATGTACAAAGCGCTGCAGCAGAGTCTGATTCAGGGTGACATTTGGAGAGGTTGGAGTATGTGGCGACGCAGACGACAGAGACGTTTGACTCGTGCAGTTTTACAGATCTGTGGAGCAAAGCGAAATCAAAGGATCTGGACTTCGATGTGAGCGGATGAGTCTGTTTTCAGGGAGTGAGCTTAAACTCTTCCAGATCAGGAAGGAATGAATGATTTTATTTCAGTGTAATATGACTGAAAGGATGTAGGCAGAAGTAATGCTCATAAAGACCGACCCCTTATACCAAACATGGAGTCCATCATACAGATACACTCTAATATTCACTCTTTAGATCAGATAATGAACATGTTTTACACTTTACATTAATAATCAGACATCATTTTCTCTACAGTATTGAGAAATAACATTATTCTTGTTAATTCTCTTTTACCAGAGAACGACATTTTCATATTTCTACCGGACAGTCGTTCCACATTTTCACCTCTTTTTACAGACACACAGAAATTTTTTACATTTGTTCACGCTCTCAGGCTCGGTTTTTAAAAAATTTAAGGAAGTAAAAAGGGGATGAGTTGATTCATGGTAATGGTTATTGTAGATGACTCTTACAGCTCGCTTTTGTAAAAGAAATACTGGGTTTGTATTTGTTTTATAGGTGTTTCCCCAAATCTCAATGCAGTAAGTCATGTACAGAGTTATCAGGGAATAGTAAAGAGCGGCTAAAACCTTTTTGTGAAAGTAAATCTTTGGCTTTATGGTGATAGATTTTAACATTTTTGATTTAATATTATTTATGTGTGATTTCCAACGAAGTTTGTTATCTACTATAACCCCAAGGAATTTATTCTCAGTTACCACCTCAGTTTCCTTCTTGTCTAAAGTTAAATTTCTACATTGAATTTCTTGCTTATTTCCAAATATAATTTATTTAATTTTGCAGAGATGGAGTTCAAGTTTATTCGTGTCAAACCAAGTTTAGTATTTTTCCAACTCGTTCTCCATCGTGTCCAGAAACTGTTCCAGATTATCGTTACTACAAAACACAGTCGTATCGTCAGCAAACAAGATAAACTTCAGCGATTCCAACACCAGATTTATATCATTAATATATAAAATAAACAACAGCGGACCAAGAACAGAGCCTTGTGGCACTCCACAGGTGATTTCCAAAAGTTCTGAATTATCGTTATTAAAATGAAAATACTGATACCTCTTCTTTAGGCAGCTAGTTATCCAATCATGGGCAAGTCCTCTAATTCCATGATTTTGTAGTTTGGTTAGTGATATTGTGGTCTATTTTCAGGATGTTCCTGTACTCAGGTGAAAATCACTAAAATAATGTTACAGCTGTATGTCTGTGTGTTTTCCCTGAGAGGTTAAAACCCCGGAGGTATCAGGAGGAGGACTGCTGCTCTGCTGCTGTCTGTCTGTCTGTCAAAGTTTCAGACACATCGATCAGCTGCACCGTGGACCCGTTTGTTAGTTATCTGCTCATGCACTTGTGTATCTCTGCAGCGGAGATCTTTGGCCCTGCAGCTCTGAGGCGTTTCACACATCTGCACCAAGAAGCCGCTTTGATATCAGTGAGAGTCTCTGATCCTGTGCCAGGGGAAGCCCTGCGAGGAGCGGAGCGCAGGAACAAAGAGGGACACGGCTGAGGCTGATGTGTCCGATCTCATCTGTGGTGAGGACTTCAGAGTCTGAGCGAGGACCAGGATCATGCGGCTTCAGCTCTGTGCAAGACTGACGTGAGTCAAAACAAGAGCAGCAAAGATCTGTGGGAAAGATCTCGAGTCCGGATGTTGAAACCATGAGTGGTGTCATGATTTCAAATTGTCAAACAAAAGCTGCAGTAAGTAATTTCACTCCTTTGGCCACAGCGAGCGCAGAGAGATTAGAAGGAAGTCACCTGCTGCATGAAAAACTAAAGAAGGGTCAAAAGAGCAGTGCAGCACAAAAGGTGAGTCAGGAAACGTTGTGTTTCTCCGTCTGAATAAGGAAGACAAAGGATGGAGTAAAAAAAGATAATCTGGTGCAGAATAAAAACTGTTCAGAGACTGATCCCCTCCTCCTCCTCCTCCTGTTAAAGACGCTCTCAGGCCTAAATCTGAACCAGACGCCTCGGTTTATGAATGCAGCGTGTGTAATTGAGGTTGTTTTTCTCCGAGAGCGCTGTGATCAAACAGATAATTTTCATTAACAGAAGAAACAACGAGAGCCCTTCAGACCAGCTCTCTGTGTTTCCTCCTATAAGCACACAACGCCATCAAGGACCCACAACACGACATTAATTAGAAAACTTCTCATCTCAAATGCACTTCAGCTCCTGCAAAGATCGGCGTATCAGCCCCACAGCATTATGCATATGAAATGAGCGATGTCGTACGCGTGCATTTAAAATAAAACAACCGAGGATCCTGATGATTAGTGTGAGAGAAACAAGCTAACACACACATCTGCAGTGTGTTCATTTTTACTGACACACACACACTGATCCACATCCTGCTCTGCAGCGCCTCATTATTTCTGTAGAACTTCAGATTTCCTATCGATGCTCTGCAAAACGGCTCCTGCACAAATCTGCACCTTAAACAGGCAGCCGACCTGAAGCCTATTGTGCTCTCTCTCTCTCTCTCTCTCTCTCTCTCTCTCTCTCTCTCTCTCTCTCTCTCTCTCTCTCTCTCTCTCTCTCTCTCTCTCCTTGTTATTTCTGAAATGTGCACCTCTGCAGGCTCTGACCCGGTCCGTCCTGGCTGTGCCTGGAGCGGCCCGGCTTTTAGACTCCTCCTCACATTCTGCTGACAGTCTCTAATGCTCCGTGACTCTCAGGGTTTAACTCCAGCTTCAACTCTTCACTTTCGCTCCTTATTTCTCTAATTCTCAGCGTCACAAACATGACAGCTCAAAATATGGATCATATACTTTCTAAATAAGTACGAGTGTTATTGGTCTTGATTAAACTGTTTTTAGTGTGATGTAAATAAAACTTTCACTGTCATTATTAATCATCATCAGTGTGACCTTTCACCTCCTTCTTTCTTAATACAAACATCAGATATAAAAACAAAAACAATATTTTTAGAGAATTGGGTTAAAAACAAGATTCTGTTCGTTTCATAATTGCTCAACGAGGACGGTCGATTATTTTCATACACAGAATTTTTAAAGACCTTCAGTATTTCAATACCTGAACGAGAATATTGTTCAGTATTTGATGGAACAACAGCTGGTTTCTTAAAACTATTAACAGGCAGTAATTTATTTAACGAACAGCCCATGTTAAAGACTGTGAACGGCATCAATATCAAAGATAAAAAAATGTAAAAATAAACTGTTTAGACATACAGTATCTTTCAGTGTTCTTCTCATTAAAAAGTTTTATATTTCATCAACATTAAAGTAACTGAAGTTTATTTCAAAATGATTCACTTCATCTATTCATGAACCAATTTCTTTAAAAATATAGACCTGATATCTCAGACTTCTGTGTATTTTGTAACTTTGAAAAAGAAACAATTGCACATTTATTTATTGACTGTTTGCATGTTAAAATTATTTTTATTTTGAAAAAAAGAACATGGACCAAAGTCATATTTATTCGTTCAACCTTTTTACTTTATATGAAATATTTTATAAACATAAATGTAAAAAGTTTAATAGTCTAATAGTCTAATAATAAAGCGATGCGAGCTCTGACTTTTTACAAAGCCTTGAGGTCCTCTCTGTGATCTGAACTGAATGTCTGATCCTCATGTCATCATTTATATTATAATTTATGTGTTTTTGTATTCAGGACTGTGATTTTTTGTTTTTCTTTTGCAAATTCTTGATTCCTCTGAAATGATTGTAGCTACCCCATCTTCAACAGTGTTGTTTCATTTCTTTCACCCCCTCATCCTCTCTTCTCTCTCACTCGTTTCTTTCACCCTCTCATCCTCTCCTCTCTCTCACTCGTTTCTTTCACCCCCTCATCCTCTCTTCTCTCTCACTCGTTTCTTTCACCCTCTCATCCTCTCTTCTCTCTCACTCGTTTCTTTCACCCTCTCTTCTCTCTCACTCGCTTCTTTCACCCTCTCATCCTCTCTTCTCTCTCACTCGTTTCTTTCACCCTCTCTTCTCTCTCACTCGTTTCCTCTCTTCTGTCCATCTTCACACCGTCACCTTATAAAAATACTGCTAAGGGTTTTCCAGGAGCGGCGTTTCTCACACCTACAGCTGCCATTCATGACCCAAAACCGATGAAAGTAGGTGATAAATCTGTACTTCCTGTACAAGCCCGGCCCGTTAATACCACATTAATTACAGCCGCTGTCAGGTCAGGGCATGGGGGTCATCCTCTCCTCCTTCTCCTGCTCCCTTCCTTTCCTTCCTGAGGGGATCTCCAGTCCGCCCCGAGGACTTAATCAGAGTCCAAAAGACGTGATTCCCCAAATCCGGAGCCCCCGCATTAGACCTGGTTAGGAAAGTGCTGACAGAGGACTAATACTTCCTCATCTGTTTATTATGCACAATAAAGACGGGGCGGGGGGTGGGGGGTTAGCAGGGAAGCAGCTACAGGAGAGCTTAATTGCATATTGATGCGTGTAGCAGGAGGCGGGACAAATCCTACCTCCTGATGGGAGGCGGTGAAACGTGGAGCACCTGAAAAACCCGGTGAAACAGCGATAATGAAACGGAGAGTTTCCTGGTTGTATCAGCTGGGTCCAGATGAGCTGTCATGACTTATTCATAATCTTATATATTAATTTTTATCTTGCAGTGGGAGTCGGTGCAGCGGCAGACTGAGGGATAATGATCTCTGCTCTCCACACTGCCCTGCAGCCAGAACCAGAACCAGACCACGGTCTAAAACACAGAGAGCTCATAAACAAAGCCAAAGGCAGCACACACACACACACACACACACACACACACACACACACACACACACACACACACACACACACACACACTCAAAGTTCTTTCTGCGTGTCAAGTGGACTTCTCCTGCACCTTCTTTAAAAACTGTGAGACCGCTTCATGACAATATGAAGAATTATAACTCCTCTTATGATGTACAGAATCATTTAATACAAATATCAGCAGTGAAACTATAACAACCCAACAGGTCTATGAAATATCAAAATAACTAAATCAATCTCAGACATGTAACTAACTTTGAAAACCTCAGATAAAAGATTTAATGATTAAATGATATATTTTAACCAGCTCTTGCATGATTTTAAGTTAATTATCTCGACAAAGTGAAGAGAAAAAAGATCAGAAAAATCTGTTCACCCAATCAGGTGCAGGGCTGCAAAAACATTGACCAATGGGAGCCATCCGTCCCGGACAGCTCCTATTGGTCAATCTCCTGCTCCGCCTCTCCATCCAATCACCTCGCTGTATTCGACACACCCCTCTCCCGTAGTTCTGACTCATCCCCTCCCACTCTCCCGGCCCTCCTCGGAGCTCTGAGCGGCTAACAGTAGCGTAGCAGCTTAGCTACAGGAGCTGTGATGGAGAAGGACGCCAAAAAGAAAAAAACACTTCTGCTCGCCCCACCGCCAAAAGTGCAAAGACAACACAATCCTACAGAAGAAAAGGCGGAGTCAAAGAGGAAATGTGACCAAGCGAGGAATCTAACATGAATAACCATCGGGTCATCCTTGGAGCGGTGGAGAAAACAGACGCTGAGACAGCCGAGTTTTAGTTGAACAGGTCATTTTTATCTCCTTTTATCGTGGCTCATGTTACATAAATAACTCTGATTAGTCTCTGACATGTCAACACGGTAGCTGTCCAGGCAGCTGCAGACGGTTATTTGTTATAAAATGTTATTTGGCTGTTTAAGGACATCTGTCTGTAAGTATTATATTGTTACAAGATGTTACGACACATTAGATTCTAACAGGAAGTTCCTTGAAGCTAGCATCCCTATGGGTTTTTTAGTGTAAATTAGCATCATTCTAAATGCTAGTGATTAGCTAGAGATTCGTGTGTTAATTCAGTTGCAGTTTAGCCTGCATTAATGATTTTCATACATTTAGCCTATATTACTGCTGGATTTACAGTGTTTATGTTACAGCGTTAGTTCTGATATGCACCTTTTTGTGTGTTACAGTTTTACAAAGAAAGAAAAAAAAGGAAAAAGCATCTAATCAGTTCCAATAAACGTCAAAACGGTGAGAACCTTCCTGGTGTTTTTTGGAGTAACTGTTAGTTATCTGTAAAGCTAGTTTAATACGATAGTGAAGGCAGAATAATCTGTAAAAGGCTGTTTTTGTGTCATTTTTCTTCAGCTCCTATATGAAGTTTCATTAAAATCAAACATGAACAGTCTGAGGGTAACATCGCTCTGACTGCTGCTGACACACTTTCAGACATTTATTCTCACTTTACAGCCTGAACAGTTCAGCAAATCAGTCAAGAAAATGATCCACAGACAGACAAATACTCCAATTAATCCTCGGCTGCAGCTCAGTTTCTGTGTTTAAGAGTAAAATAAATGATGAGCGACACAGTTTTTTTCTCCCATTTCAGAGCAGAGCGACCGCTGGGTGAGCTCAATAATTCAGAAAAATCTATAGCCGCCTGCATGACCTCGTTTCACAAACCACAGGCCCTCAGCTTATATCTGCTCACATGTGCGGCGTGCTAGCAGGTGGTGATATAGTGGGCTGTGTCAGAGCCGGTAATAAGATAAACTGATGTGTTTACACAGACCAGCAGATGGTGCCACTTCTAATATTGGTGCACGTGAGTTAAACGCATGAAGCGACACCCCCTCAGCTGACAACATGATGAGTCTCTGGACAAAAGGGTCAATATGTGCGACGCAGACTCCATCTGTGATCGAACATGAGTCACAAACACGAAAGTCTGTTTCTGTGAATTATTTTTATATTTGCAGGTTTAAATGGATGCCGTGTGCGTAGCAGCGACTTTGACCCGTGTAAATAAGCCTCACTCTGCAGCGTACCTTTTCAGCAGCAGCAGAGATATTAGCTGGGTGTGGGTGTGTGAAAAACAGATCTGATGCTCCTCTCTCTGTGTGGGTTCCTCTGTTATCTGTCTGCAGCGCTTGTGGGAAATCTACGAGGAGGAGTTCACATTTCAGTTCGGGGTGCGTGTTTGTGGTTGCGAGCTCTCGTGTCCTGCTGCGTGTACGCTAACCACACTCATCCTGTGTGTCGAGCCACTCGCCTGGGAACCCGGCGCACTCTGCCTCGCCCCCCCTGTCTCTTCATCTCTTTTGCTTTTTCAGACTCTGCAAAAATTTGAGGTGAAGCAGACACACATCATACACGCTCCACGTGCAGCTGAGCTCTCACCGGAGTCTTCAGCTCCTCTGAGGTGGTCTCCTTCACTCAGAGACATCATTTCACACCTGAAACAAGGTTACGGCCCTCCATGACGAGCTGAAGCCCCACATGTTTCCTTTCAGTGACACAAATGAGGCCAGAGGAAGTGTGTGTGAAGGAAGGTGAAGGACGGGAATAATCAAAAATGCAGTAAGTGTGTCTCTCCCCATGAGCTGGAGAGAATGAAAGGACTGAAATGAGATCAGGAGAGGGTTTATTTTAGTAAAAGAAAGCAGGATAGAAAGGGACTGAAGAAGTATCAGTTACAGAGCTAGACACACTTCTTTTTTCCTCGCCTCCCTTTCGCTGAATCGCTCTGAGGTCACAGCGCTCTGCTGAAGCTCCCATTTTTCCTTGATCCATTATTCATTCTTCCCCAGCGGAGCTCTGCCTTCACGGCAAATAGGTTTCCACAGCTACACATAAAACAAAGACACACACGTGTGCAAAGATCCGGACCCTCCGAGCAACACGTCAGACTTTCTTCTGCATCTGGTGACATAATGGCCGCGTCACCGAGCGATCAGAAGCGACGGGTTCAAAGCAGAAGCAGCAGCAGAAGCGTCAAGAGGAGCTGCAGCATTTCACGCCTATTGGGGCCAACATAAGCTCATTATGGGGAAGTAACCGCTGCAAACACACATCTGAAAAGGATGAGATGATCCAGGCGAAGAAGAACCAGAGGAGACCTCGGGCTTTTCCTGCACATCCATTGATCAGCACATTAACGAGAGGAGTCATAAATCAGCAGAGAGAGCGAGGAGAGAAAATGACAGAATACACACACACACACACACACACACACACACACACACACACTGAGCTTTGTGAAGCAGACATGCAGAAATGAAGATTGTTTGCTTTTTATATCCTCGGTGCCTCAGCTGGGGCTGAAAATTCGACCAAATCTGAGCGTCATTACCAGAAACAGCCGACTCCTGAGAAAAACGAGGCTGCGAAATGTGGAGATCCTTTTTTTTAAGTCATGGTGACATTTTTATCCAGGAGGAGGAAAGAGAAGGAAACTGGTGCAGATGTATCTGACAGCAAGAAGACGAGCTGTCAGGAGGAAAACACTCCAATCTGACCCGAATCTTCTGATAAATGATCCAAATGAAACAGGAAGGAGGGCGGCGTGAAAACGAGCAGATTTACTGATCATTAACTCTGAGAATCTGGTGCAAAAATCCTGATTTATGGCAAAGAAATAGGAAAATGTTTAACACTTGACTAAAACATATGAACTGTTTGACAGCCATATGGTAAAGTGTAGAATATAACGAGGGATACAATATAAACAGAGTTAATTCAGCTAAAATGTTTTATATTTGTTTTTATTTATGGACTAAACTTCTCTTTGTATCACAGATTTAAAGTTATCACACGTTCCTTTTCTGCAGACTGAGTGTCAGATTCTTGAGATAAAATAAGAGACAGAAGTTTTGAACTTTTGTTCCGTGTTCATTTTTTAAAGGTTCAGTTCCTCGTGTTTTTACGACGCTGAATTTTAAAGTTCATATCAGGAACTTTTCGTCTGTTTTCATTTTAAACTCTTTGGTCTGTGTTCACCTTTTGACTCGTGGTCTGCCCTGATTCTTCGTCACCTGTGGAGTCTTAAATGAAGTTTGTGGGTTTTACCACTTTGGGGCTTTTTGAGCCTTTTCTGGGTTAATTTTTAAAGCTCCAGTGAGTAACTTTTGGTGTGTCTTTTTCTGTTTAATTTTCACTTTTTTAAGCCTTATTTTTTTTCAGATATTTTAAAATCCTGTGAAACTTTTGGTCTCTTTTGATTTCCCATTATGGACGAACAATCTTTGCTACAGTTTCCTGAAAATCTCCTCATCATGAAGTGAGAATCGTTCCTGTTGAATACATCTGTAAAGTCGTCTTGTCAGGTGTTCGTCATATTAGGTTTAACGAGGTCACACCTGTTCAAATTAATAAATAAATATTAAGGTAAATAAACGACGACAGCTTTCTTTACCCTGGTGGGATGGCTCCTCTCGTGGTTCCCATGGAGATGCGCTGTGTTCCCGGCCGGTTCAGGTTGTTCTGCCCGTTGATGGTGAGAGCGTGGTGACCATGAGCGGATGAAGGCGACGGCATCACGGGGGAGCAGGGGAAGTTGGCAGACGACAGCGGGGACTGCACCTGTTCAGCTTTGGCGTGCCCGCCGCCCACACTAATGTTGTTGTTGTTTGACCCGGGGGAGGCGGATGTTGGCGACCACAGGGACGTCCCAGCGAAGGTGTTACTCTGCCGCACTCCAGAGAGGGTCCCTGTAGCGCCCGAGTTGCCCCCCGTCCCTCCGTAGACTTTTCGGCGCTGAGAGGCGAGGATGGCGTTGGAGGCCGCTCTCGTACTGTTGACCAGGATGCACTGCTGACAGGAGCACGGCTGTCCCGAACTCGCTCCCACAGGCCAGGACTGGGATTTGGGGATGGAGCCCATGATGAGCGGGTACGCCAGGTCCATGCGTCTCCGTAGACGCCTCTTGCGCTGGCTCTGCCGGTTGGTCTGAGACATGCTGTTGAAGTCGATGAGGTAGCAGAAGCCCAGAGAGGTCAGGTCCAGCCAGGGGTGCTGCTTCTCGTAGGCGTTCTGGATGGTCACGCAGATCTCCATGTCGTAAGGCGTCCAGGAGCCGTTGTCGTTCTCCCACTCCCACACCACGCCTTTACCCGGGGCTGACGAGGGCTCGTAGAAGTTCCTCTGAACCGGTCTCATGGTCCCTGAAAGGAAAGAGGAGAGAAGAAACATGAGGACAGGACTTCATCAAACTATAACCAGAGACCTCTTCAGGGGGTCACGTCCCCCTGTTAGGTCAGGGTTAGACAGGATTCTGTTAAAGAAGCATCTTTTTTTGTGGTGAATAAACAAAAAATCTTTCAATATCAGTCAATAGTTATTAGTTATTGATGACATTTGGTAATATAACGATATCTCTGTGTTCTCTTATGTCTGTGTCGTCAACATTTGAACATTTTTGAGCGGTCCGCTCTTTCTGACTGTAAACAAAGCCGTTCTCCACCTCCTCTAACCTGATTGGTTGTGAGGCAGACGCTGCTCCCCCGTGTCGTTCAGGAGCCCAAACAAAGTTAGCGTGCTACAATATCGGACAGTAGAAACCAACCAGAAAGTTCGGAAAATTGTCTGAATCCTCCTTTGGCCACGACTGCCGACACAAGCAAGAAAACACTCAAACATAAACAGTCAGCAAGAAAACAGTCAACAAGAAAACAGTCAACCATAATGAGTCAACAAGAAAACAGTCAGCAAGAAAACAGTCAACCATATTCAGCCAACAAGAAAAGAGTCAGCAAAAAACAGTCAACAAGAAAACAGTCAACAAGAAAACAGTCAGCAAGAAAACGTCAACCATAATCAGTCAACAAGATAACAGTCAAAAAGAAAACAGTCAACAAGAAAACAGTCAGCAAAAAACAGTCAACAAGAAAACAGTCAGCAAAAAAAACAGTCAACCATATTCAGTCAGCAAGAAAACAGTCAACACCAAACCAGGCAACAAGAAAACAGTCAACAAGAAAATGCTGCTCCCCCGTGTCGTTCAGGAGCCCAAACAAAGTTAGCGTGCTACAATATCGGACAGTAGAAACCAACCAGAAAGTTCGGAAAATTGTCTGAATCCTCCTTTGGCCACGACTGCCGACACAAGCAAGAAAACAAAGTAAATACCGGAGACTCTGGAGGAATAACGGGCGCTTAAAACGGAGGTAGACCGGACAAGAGCTAAAAAGCCGGGTCAACATAAACGATGGGGGACGCTTGGGGATCTTGGTGACCCTGTAACCTTTCTGCTGGACAGGTAAACCGCTTTAACAAAGTAAGACAAGTGTCTGTAACAGAAGTGTTTCTTGTCAAACGGACCTGCTGTAGCGTGTTGTAGCTCCATCGCTAAACTGTCCTCCCTCGGGTCCTGGACTATGTCACTTTATCCTCGTTGTAGAAGTCCTGCAAACATTGTGTTTGCTGGTAGTCTGTTGGCATCTACAGTAGCACCAATGCTTTTGACTTTCACCTTGACTGGGCCCCATTTGTAATGATCTGAAGGATTTATCTGCATTATATCTGAATTTAATTGGAACGATACGAGCGAGCAGGAGCGTCTGTTTGTGGGCGGGGCTTGAGAGGAGAGGAGGAGCTGAGGGGAAAACTGGTTGGGAGGGGTAGAGTTTACATTCGAGATGTCTCAGATCCTGACTACCCCAACTTTAAAACCAGCATGAGAAGATGATAAACCTCAGTCTTAACGCTGTGATCTGCAGTGTCTGTTTATTGTTAGTAATTATCTTGTTGTCCATTAGCAGGAAACGAGTCTGATCTAAGGAGGAAAAACACCCGGTACTTCCTGGACTCTACTTCCTGGGACAGTCTGAACTCTGAAGTTAGGTTAAGAATTTCACGTTTAAATGATTAACAGTCAGAGACGATGAGGCGCGCTGACGTTAGCTGGAGGGAAGATCCCGTTTTAATGATCATCAGGATAACGGCTGATGAGTGTTGAGGCAGCGTCCTCCTGACCAGCTGAGGAGGCGAGGTGTGACAGTTCACCTCCAGCCTGAGGGGACTCGGCTGCAAACTGTGGAGTCAGAAACAAACAAACTGAGGAGGCGGACACGCAGGTAACCTCCCCCCTTCACCTGAGCGTGCACATGCATGTTGAAGGAAGTGAACCTCTGTCCCTCTGCTCACGGCGACTCAGCTCCCACCTCCATTATAACACAATTACTGTAGTCACACGGGAAATCAGGACACCTTAGTCCATCCATCTCTCTGCTGCACATCAGCGAGGGTATCCAGGCGCTCCGTCCAGCAGAGACCGCCAACCCCTCCATCCCCCACCTAATTTAACGGGTAAATGCACAGCCCGACCCCGCCAGGGAGGACCAGGGTGATAATGGAGGGACAGGAGTGTGTGTAGAGGATGAATGAGTTTGGGGATGGTGGGCAGCGGTCCCCCCTCGAACAGCAGCCCAGAACCGGCTCCGGAGAATCAAGTGCATCAGCAGAAACAGCGAGTCCGACCTTGAGTCTCTGCTGCAGACTGCTGCTAAAGGACTCAGCTTGATGGCTAATTTCATTTGGAGCCGCTGAGAACAACACACACACACACACACACACACACACACACACACACACACACACACACACACACACACACACACACAGATGCCTGCTCAGTGAGCCAGCTGCCTCCGTCTCTCACGTCTTCGCTCACTCAGCCGTGTTAAACTTTCTCTGCATCTGTACCTGCTCACGGCTCGCTTACGTCTTTTATTTTAGATTTTCAAAATAAAGCGCTCATTCTCCCCTCAAAGTCGTGTTGTTTTTTTTCCCGTCCTTTCAGCGCCGCAGGAGAAAGTGCGGCGATGGTGAGCCACACGCCTGGATCCTTTATCACTGCGGCTCCTCTGGGATGCATTAGCGCTCGCGCTCTCTTCGCAGCTGTGAGGTTCAGACTCCATCAATATCGGTGCAGCTTTCACCGCTCCGTCCTGCTCGGTGGTCACTTGAACACAACTTTTATAAATAATTAAACATGTGGAGACGTTTTATTCCCCAGTCGGTTTAAACAATTCCACTTTGGAGACAAACAGAGTCTGGATCTGGGAGTTTGATTGTTGGTGAGGTGACGGAGTGAGATGAAAACAGCGGGGTGAGGCGGTGAGGTGACAGACTGATTATTGTGAAAATTGTCTTTTTTGAATGAGTGTGTATGTGGTTTCTCCTGCTTCTGCAGACAGCCTCTAGTGGACACTCAGGGAACTGCAGTTTTAATCATCATTTCTAAAGACCAAAGGTTCCTGCAGCTCCAGCTGACTGTGCAGCAGTGTGGATAAAAACAGTGACTCAGCTGCTGATGATGATGAAGACACTTTAATAACGAGACCTTAGCATTATTAATAGTTTTCATTTCAGACAACAGTCGTGTAATTGCATGTGGAAGAGAGGGGGGAAGAGTTGAGTGTATCTGCTGCAGATTTGAGATGTAAAGCTGATTGATTTTCATGTTGTCCTGTTACTCTAACGGCTAAAACCCACAGGATCTGGAACGGCTGTGCGCCGCTCTCCTCCTATAGCGGAGGCGGATCAGATCCGGTAGAACCCCCGGGTGAAATCTGAAAAGTTTGAGAGTTGATAAATCCCCGATGTAAAGTCTGGATTCTTGTGTCTTTTCAGAAACGCTGCTGCGCTCTCAAGATGATCTAAAGCGGCTCTGATTGAATATTTGAGTCCCTGAAGAGACCATGAAAGGTGAGAGTCCCACATGAACCCGCCTCTGAGCCGGGTCGCTCTGTGACCTCTCTGTGACCTCTCCTGTGTGTCCTATCAGGTCATGTCTGACCCTGCGGTGGGTTCAGGGTAAGCCCGGCCGTCCCCTCTCCTCTCAGACTTCAGGGTTCAAACTTCCTGTTCGGCGTGCTGATCTGAGCCCGCCTCCACCTCTCACAGCTTTTGTGTTTTTTTCTTCTTCTTCCTCCTGAAGTGAAGGAGTCCCGTCTTTTAAAAGGAAGGACATGAAAGTTTAACTTGTGACATCCTCAGATGTCCTCGGAGGCTGCTGCCTGGAGAGGAAACAGATTGGCTCACTTCTGCTTTGTGGCTCATATTGGGTGAATCTCTGTTTTTTATGAGACGTGTCACCCAAGGCTGAGAGTTTCAGAATCTATCCAGTTAAAAAATCAGTTCTCATCACGCACAGAGGAGCAAACTTCCTCACAGATATTCTCCTCTCCCTCAGTTTAGACACGGACACGAGTTTTTATTTAGTGCTGATTATAAAGTTTGTGAGAGAGGAAGAAACTCACTAAACATGCGGACGAGCTCAGAGGGTCTAAGGAGGGAACATCGTAAAAAAAATAGAAAGAGAAAGACACACTTTCGGTCAGAGGTAGTAAATCTGCTTCAGTCTAACAGACTCAGATCACTCTTCGAGAATCTGACTATGTAAGAAAAAAAATAAAAAGAAGTTTAAACTGGTTTTCATCTAAACTTAATGATTGTTTATCCTCCTGAGGAAGAGCCTATACAGGCTTCATCCCCAGTTTCCACCACATCCAGAACAGCTGCGAAAAGGCCGTATGCGCCGATCACCGCTGATCGTAACCATTCAAGTTAACATGTCAGTTTCCACCGACTTCTTTCCAGCCCCCTGCGTTTTAGCGAACTCCTCAGCTGATCAAGAGTTCGGTTTTCTCTGGACGCCGCAGCATGGCGGATAAATTCAGCACAGATTAACCCGTGCTGGAAATGAAGTCGGGCACAGACACAAGTGAAAGGTTTTTAGACGTCATTTCACCCCGATGACACCATGGATGAGGAGATGCTGATTCTAGAAGTCTAGAAGTAGATTTCCTCCTCTGGAAGGACACAATCTACTGCTTATATGTCTATGTGTCTGTCTTTATAGAGACAACTCGTTATCTCGCGCTGATTGAACGTGAATTCATGGGTTCTTGTGAGTTCTCACGATTCCTGCTGAACTCCACGTAATTTGCCTCACAAACACATCCGGTAGGAAGTGGCGGACAGTGAAAACTGCTGCTAAGCTGTTTAGAAACGGTGCGTCTGCACTGTGGACTAAAGTAACTCGTTTTTATTTCTAATCTGTCGAACAGTCAGAGCTGATTTTTGTGGATGTGTGTCTGAGGTTATTGACGTGTGCGTTTACTCACACTGACGCCTCTGTGGTCAAAAGTGAGACGAAAACACTCGGAGTGGAAAATACAGTCAGCGAGGTGGACCTGATGAGTTACCGTCTGTAGTACCTGAACAGCTGTTACAAAATTCATGAGCTTTCAGCTTTGTTGTCGCAGAAACACTTTGGGAAAGAGTCTGTTGTCACGAGAACCGTCCCCTGGGTTGGAAGTAATGGGAGGGGGAGATCGGGGGAGATCAGGGGGAGGGGGAGTCCTCCTCTCCTCACCATCGCTCCATCAATGAGCCGTTCTGCACATTTTCCGCTCTGTCACTCGCTGGACGCCGTCCCGCTCTCACACCACGCTCCAGCTCGGACAGAGAGTGGAAATCTGTGTCATCGAATCAGAGCGCACATCACCTCCGAGCGGAGCCGGTCCTGGTTCTGCTGCAGAGGGAGGAGAGGTGAGGAGAGCTGCCAGGTTCAGCCGCTATCATACATCTTAGTAACTGACAAGCCTCATCAGTTTCCCAGAGGCCGAGGCGTCGAGCTTATTAAAACAAAGTGCTGCATTTCTCCTTTTAACTACAGCAGGAGCGAGGCCACTGACAGGTCCGGCTTCATACGGCTCAACGTGGCTGAGAGGTATTTAAAGACGGCTCGTCTACCTGCAGTGCAGACCTCTGAGGGAGAGACCAGAAACTACACACAGAAGAGAAGAAGAAAACTGACATCTGGGCTTGAAGACGGACATCTTAACCTCCTCCAGCTGTGCAAAAGTGAAGCCAAACTTCCTCACAATGAGACGTTTGCTGACTCTTGTGTTTCTGTTTGTAACGCCTCCTCTTCATCCTGCTAATCTGGTGCACACACTTCTGCAAGAGCTGAGGGATTAGTAAGACCTGCAGGAGATGCATATGCAATCATGAAGTTACACCCAGAAACCAAATAGAGACGTCGAGACAACGGCAAAGATGAAACGCTGCTGCACATCAAATCTGCACCAAAACAATCTGATCTGGGGTTTCACCGAGCGGGTCACCATCACCTCGCTCAGGTCGTCAGCAGAGCTCAGATCCTTCCTCGTTCGTAGAAGCTCCTGGTGATAAAAAACTGATTCGTTCATCTCCCAAACGGCTCTTCAGGTCAGTTTTTAAAAGCGTAGTCCCTCGTGACGGCACAAACCTCCAACCTACATGTTCTTCACCTTCTCACACCATCTTTGAAGGAGGAATCATCTACGGAGGTTTTCTCTCCTCTTCTGTAAAGAAGGGGCAGCCAGAGCCGTTGGGTCTCCTGTGTTAGAGGACTCGATGTTCAGATGTGAAAATGACTCACAGGAACATGAATCTGCAAAAATGACTCAAACCGCTGCAGTACGTGTGCACACCTGTAGTTGGTGGTATAAGTTTAAACACTGTGTGACACACACCTGTGCAGCTGAGCAGAACACTTCAGCGGTCCAGGTCTCAAACAAACGAAGTCTGTTTCCAAAGAAACCAAAACTCAGAGATTTAGAGCAAAAACCGAGCAGAAGGATAAAAACTCTAAAAGTTTCTGTTTCAGTCTGAGCTCTCAGCAGCCACAGCTTGTGTCTTGTGTGAAATGAAGCACACCTCCCTGTTCAGTGGCTTTTTGTTCTTTCATAGCAGACACAGCCCACCACAGCCCACTGTTCTCACCCTGATCTCACTTCAACTTCAACAGAAAAACCTTTTTATTTTATCCTCGTGTTTCCTCTGGACTCTTTCAGGCTGCAGGAAGAACAGGGACGACCAGGACATGTAGAGAGGATCGAAAATAAACCTTTTTCTGAAAATTCAAAGATGGAGTTAAACCCTGCAGGTCAGGACAGCTCCTGGTCGAGTCAATAAAACAATAACGTTGATGTAATTTTATAAAACGGTAATTTAAAGTAATGACTCGTACTGGTGTTTGCTAACAGCCGATCATCACCAGTCTGTTCACTCAAACAGGCTGAATGCACCAACATCTTATCTTGCACGTCTCCACAACAAATACAGCGTTCCCACCGCTAAAGGAAGGAGGCGGGGCCTACATTGTAAAGGTTCATATCAGCCATCAGTGTGGCGGTGCAAAAGCAGACAGAAACTGAGGTTTTATTTACAGAGAAATCTTCGGTCAGAATCCGGTCTTATTAAGAGTTCTTCAGAGTTTCTCCGAGCTTAGGTTCTGATTCAGATCCACATAAAAACACAGTTCGGTTCCTCGGTCCAACAGTCTTTCTTCTCCTCATCAAACAGCTGATCATCTCTCGCTCCGACAGAGAGATGTACAGAGCTGTGAGAGGCTCAGCTTCAGTGTATTATAATATCCCACATGTGAAGAGTGAACACATGATGAATATGCTAATGACTCCGACTGTATGGGGGGAAATAAAATAATTGAAGTGCGTTTGATGTTTCCACATAAACCCCAGAGCTCAGCGTGAAAAAAGGACTTTCATCTCAGAAAAAAGAGCAGGGGGGGGGGGTCTGCACAAACAATAAACCGGCGCTGATGATGATGAAGATGAAGGGGCCGAGTGCTGCAGAGCGGTTTAAAAATGCATCAGAGACTGAGAGGAAGCATGTGCCTGAAAACATCTGAACGTACACTTATACCAACAGGATAAGGAGTGAACTCGTGAACCCCGGAGGCTTTAGATGATGTCAGAGAATCTGTTTCAAAGACGCCGTCGTACCTGAACATCAAAGCGTGAGGGCGTTATCTGCCTGTTAACAAATACCAGAGATCACAGACCATTCTAATGAGGATGACAGGCCGGATTTAAGCCGCTTTAAACACTCAAGATCATCTCCTGCACTCAGATGACACTTTGATTTTCCCAGAATGCACCTCTTTATGATGACTTCCAGGAGTGAAAAGGATTCCCTTAAACACGCTCGTCCTCTTTTGTCTTCACAACATGATGGAGGAACAAAAGTGGGGAGTAGGGCTGCACGATATGTCGTTTGAGCATCGTCATGGCGATGTACGTGTGCGGTATAGTCACATGTCAGAGCCTGCGATGTCAGAGAATAACGAGCTCATCTGATTTTAAGGGTAGCTGACTGAGATACGCTACATTCGTTCTTTACTCAGTTGCCAATCAGACTACCCTGCCAGCTGTCAATCAAAATCAAAGAGGAGGAAACCACGCCCCCACACATGGAGTGGGTCGCTGGCGCTGCCGGTGTTGTGCCGAGAAACAACATGGGAACATTCCTCATCACAGTTTATCCCAACAAATAACTGTATGGGTTTGAAATTATACATTTCTGTGGACCACTCTACTGTAAGCGGTGCGTGTTTAGCAAGGTGGATGCAATTCTCAGCACAACACCGGTAACAACGACAACGATTGTAAAATGAGAAAACCACCAAAGATGAGGATGAGTTGCTAAAAAGAAAATCAACATCAGTTATCTGGAATTATTTCGGTTATAAGAAGGATGATGTCGACTAAAACACGTGTTCTGAGTTCATCTGTTTCCACAATAAAGTCCCAGAATAATAAAAACTTAAAATATCTCTGAGACAGACAGAAGACGGTCTACTAACATTCAGATTTCAGCTCATCTGATAAAAATTCCTCTGTTTTTTAATATCATAATGTAAATCGCAGGGTTGAAAAATATTGCAATGTTAGTTTTTTGCAATATTGCGTAGCCTTAATGGGGAGCGGGTTAAAAAGAGGAGGAAGCTGCAGGAAAAGGAAGGAAGGAGAGGAGGTCAAAGAAAAGGGAAGGAAAAAAGGAGGAGGGAGGCGGTGCTGATGGATGCATGTGATGAGGGGAAGTTTCCTGCCAAAAAACAACCGAAAAGAGGATGTCTGACTCGGTCCCTTAGCTTCACTGCAGTAAAACAGGCCTCACTAATACAGCAGCCCCCTTCACCTCCAAAAACTCCCCCACACCGCGGCCAAGGGGAGCGGGCCAGGGACGGTGCTCTCTCTTGTGCAGAGTTTGCACTTCAGGTAACAAAAAAAAGAAAGAGCCAGGCTGGATAAAAAGATGTTGAGAAAATGAAGTTACAGTCTTGTCCACCTGCCAGCTCCTGCACTGCGGTGAAGCAACAGACCCTGAAACAACCTTCTGACTCGCTGGACGTCGTGACCAAACTCAGCTGAGCAGCTTCAGCTCTGCCAAGGAGCCTCTATGACTCACTTTGTGTGTGTGTGTGCGTGTGTGTGTGTGTGTGTGTGTTTGTGAGAGAGAGAGAGAGAGAGAGAGAGAGAGAGAGAGGTGTTGCAGGCTGAAGAGGTGAGCGTCCCTTAATTCGTGTGTTTCCACTTCACACCACTTCAGCCTTCATCACGTCCAGCAGGGACCTCGTTAATGTGTCAGCGCCGAGCCGTCGAGTCACCGGGGCGAGGGAGATGGAGGCACCGCTCCAGGCATGTATGACACACACACACACACGTATACGTGCACAAACCTGCAGCCTTGGCTCGGTGTCACAGGCCAGCAGGGTTACAGCGAACAGGTTTCTCGTTAGCAGAGGAGTCACTTTCAGACGGTCAGACCCAATCCTGCTAATGCTAGCTCCACCATTAAAGATAAGAGCTTCTCCCATTTAATCAGAGCGGCTCCTCACAAACATGGGTGTGCAGCATTTTCTAATTATCTGGGATTTCTTGCCTGCTTATCCTCCATGCACTTCAGAGGCTTTTATTATATCACAACATTTCTTCCCATCTCTGACAGCTGCCAAGTGATGACTTCTCATGGCGGCGTGCTTCAGAGCGCTCTCACTCTGGCATCCGTCCAATCCCAGCCCAGAGCTGCCAAGTGAAGCTGCACGACATATTAAAGAACTGAATGGAAAAACCAGAATATCAGAACCTCACATGCCTCTCCCACATCATCACCGAGCAAAATCAAACATCGAACTTTCACGACAGAAAGTCTGTTTGCACAAAACTTTATCCTGTTTCGTAGCTGAGTGGGACTCACTGTTCGACATGTTTTGAGCTTTTAGACCTTTCAGTAAAACAAACTAAGTAAACTTGATAATCATTTTTGGATTTCTCTTTTTGAAGCCATCAGCTGATCTCTGAGTTGCTCTCCTCCTTCGCAGATGTAAACCTGCAGTGATGATAAACAGATCTTCAGGTACGTCGTAGTCCAACATCCTGAGTAAAGATGGACCCTCTTGTAAAAGTTACGCTCAGCTGGTGCACCATCGTGTCCAATCAGGGGTCTCAAACCCGGGCTGACTTTGGACCATCGTTGGTACCTCCATCTCAAAGGAAATCCACCTTAAAGATCAAGTGTAAGAAAGCGACATATCTCTGAAAACATCTTTTTATTTTCTGTCTTTTCTTCGTCTTTCTGAACCGAACAAACACTTTTTCATATCTATGTTTGAGATGATCGTCCTCCAGAATGTTTCTTCAAAAATACTGAAATCTCCGTCTGTCTCTCCTTTTCAGTTCAGGAGGACACGCTTTGTTAAAGGACCACCAAGTCCAGGTCCCTGTGTGCGTCTAATGGAGCTCGGCGACTGTTATGTAACAGAGAGGCGCTGATAACTCTTTCACTTCATGGTTTTATCGTCTGTGATTCATGGATGTGTGCGTCCTGTTGTGACGTCTATCAAAAACATGTGAGATGGATGTTCGTATTTCCTGTTGGGTAAATAATGTCGTATTTAAACTCAGATGGTGATTTCTCCTGATGACAACAAACACATCACGCTGACCTTGAAACGCAGACCCCTCCCTCCGCCATTTAACACAGGAGAAAGTGAAACGCGCACTCGCCCGACACTCGGCGTGATGCAGTTCTTATCTGTGAACGCTCAGTATTTCATGTCGGCCGTCACAGCAGCTCGACAGACTCTTCATCAGTGAGGCCGTTTCACTCGCTCAGCAGAGACCTGATTGATGGTCGCACGCCGTCAGACTTTGAGGCGGAGCTCCCGTCGTTCTCCGTCAGATGACCTCTGCCACCCTGAACATGCAACGCGAACTGCTACATGTCGGCGCCCAGAATCAATCACGCTTTGTGAAGACCACTTATATCCAAGTGCAACGACAGAGAAGGTCGAACTGGAAGAGGAAGATATCCCACGCTCAAATACGTGGACTGCACCTTTAATAATCTGCTGCAGAGTTGTCGTGTTTTAGCCACAACAGACGCCAAACAGCTCCGCCCCTTTAATGGGAAACTGCTCTGAGAGCCGGTGTGCAAGCTAAGCTACAGTTTCCTGCAGACGGAGCGATCTGCTGATTTCAGCGTACGCCGCCATAAGACAGCTGATTTGTTCTTGCACTATTTGCAGACACAGCACACATACATGCTCCTCCGCCTGCAGGAGAACTACGGCTAAAACCCTCAGGATCCAGAACGATGGCGATTTTCCTACGGGATCAGTTTTTGAGGTGAATTTTGTGGCGGATTATAGACAGCAGGAATCACGAGAACTCACAAAAACCCGCAGATTCACGTTCAATCACGCGATAACGAGTTGTCTCTATAAAGACAGACACATAGACATATAAGCAGTAGATTGTGTCCTTCCAGAGGAGGAAATCTAGAATCAGCATCTCCTCATCCATGGTGTCATCGGGGTGAAATGACGTCTAAAAACCTTTCACTTGTTCGTCTCCGTCCGAAAAAGGAAAAAATAGAACTCTTGTGATCAGCTGAGGAGTCCGGCGATCCGCAGAGGAACGGAAAGAAGTCGGTGTAAATTGACACGTTAACTTGAATGGTTACGATCAGCTACGATCGGAGGATACGACCTTTTAGGAGACGATCAGGATGAAGGTGGAAATTGGGGGTTATGAAGCTTTATCATCCTCTCACCGACGACCTCTACAACTTTGACTTTTGTCTTTGAATATCAGCGAGAAAACCGAGAACATTGGTGCACGTGAATAAAAATATGACTGATCTGCAAAAGTGTAGAGGAGCACGCTCAGGCATGAACGGTGAAGCAGGATTAATGAGCTGCAGTCGAGGTCGAGGTGGAGTTCGCCTTGAGCTTGACTGAACGCCACACCGTCAAACAAGGACACCCATTTCTGACACATTACATCATGGCGTGGAGACCTTCCATTTCACAGGAAACACCGGGAGGAAAAACACGCTCCGAATATTACGTTTGACAAATAAAAGGGCGCCTGACTCACTGAGACGATCAGCGTGAAGTAAATGAGTTTGCTGAGACAGGCTTTTATAACCGCCGTCAGACACAGTCAGGTCTTATCAGAGGAAACGTCTGGCTACATAACGGCGCAGTGTCACCGCTGCAGACCGCAGCAGTCAGCAAGGATCAGCAGTAAAATGGTGTGAGAGAGGTCAGAGGTCACATCACCCTGCAGAGAAGGGAAATTAGATAATACTTTCACAAACACAACTTCACTTTAAATATCTTCCTCTTTCCCAAGGAGTTTTTAAGAAGCCCAGACCTTCTCCCCGCTGAATCACAAGTGTAATCACATCTCCTCTGCGCTCCAAAATTAATGGAGACAGTCATGTACTCAGTATTAATAGCTCTTCTTAATAGCTCAATTATTTTTACGGCCACATTTGTAGATGTACACTTTTCCTAAATTTGATTGTAAAATCCTCTGAGAGGAGCGGAGGAGATTCAGGTCGCCCAGCCCAGCCTGTCGAGGCTAAAAGTCAAGAACTGGAATAAAATCAGGGTCACGTCCTCGTTTTAAAGGGGCTGAAAGTTTTCTATCCATCTTGGAGCTTAAACTCGACAATGGCAGACTGTATGGAGGCTAACAGAGGTGTAACAGTGAGACCTTCACTCCCAGGGCCAAAGCTAATTTCACAAACCCACTTTGTGCGGAGTTGTGGTGAAGCAGAGGGAACAGAAAGCTACTGAAATACGATTATTAACGTCACAGTAAATGGATATTGTATCACGATGAAACGTCGCTCGCAGGGTAACATCAGTTCAAGCACACGACTTCATGCTCTCCAGGCGCTAATAGCTGCAAGAAGCATCCATAATTTATATAAAACTATGATGAATAAATCATTCCTGATTTTGTGGGAGGGCTTAATTACTCGAGAGCAGATGAGGGTCAACTTTGAAATTCAATTTTTGTTGCACTCAAAGGAACAGGGATTACTGGGCTTAGAGTAATGAACCATTCACAGCAAAGTTTGAAGTTTCACTTGGAGACATGCGACAAGAAGCTCAGCTGGATTCTCCTGTTAGCTCGGTTCTGAAGGACAAACAGTGACAGGCCAGCATGGGAAGAAGAAGTGGAGACGATGCTGCAAAAGTCTGAGCTTCAAAAGTAACTAATGAAGACAAACGTGCTCCAATTACAGGTGGACACCTTTACTGTTTTATTGACTGAACTATGCCACAGTTGTCCTCCATGACAGTCGGTGAAGAAGACATACTCAACATGAAACCCTGACACTATCAATATCTCCTTAGACTGAGCGTAACTACTTTACTGTTAGCGCTAATAGAAAGAGCTGCACATCTGCACAAAAACTGCATGTTGCTTAGTGCATGACTCGAGAAGACTATCTGAAAAACTGATTGAGTCTTGATGAGTATTGCAGAAATAGACGGTGCTGCATGTTTGGTTTTAGATGTTTTAGTTGTGCATATCACAGCAGCAGACATTAATGCTGTCATAGTAGTATTTTGACCAATGTGAGTACCACTGAAGTAGATTATGGTGCAAAAGCAGTAACTATTGAGCTTCACCGTAGACATGTTTTTTTTTATTTAATATTACGTTTGCAGAAAAGTAAAAAATGCATTTTAAATATTTTCTTGTTGCTCCAGTTTAGTCACATGAGCCAGACTCCACATGATTATATATCTGCAAACATTATTTAACATGTCTGCTCTGCATGTTGTCTTTTTAAGCAGGAACCGATAATTGATGGTTAAGATTTCCAAGATCCTTCACAGAGAGTCTTTTGAATTTTCACCTTTAGTTTAAACAGGAGACACACCTGACGCTCACCTTTCAGGCGGTCAGAGGTAAGTAGAAGCTGAAAGCTCATGAATCACTTAAAAGCTCCCTCTTCACTCAGATGTTTGACCTTCAGTGTGAGAGTGATATACTGGCACAGCTGGACATTAGAGGGGGTTTGAGTGGATTTATGCAGAGGGGAGGTCTATATGTGCCCATCTACAAACCTAGAAGTTAAAGTATGATCTGTAGACATGCACCATGTTTGCACTCTCACAGATCTGGACTTGTAAGATCTTTAAATGGTTCATTGATTCGTTGTAACCTGCTGGGATGAAGATATTCCCGGGTTGTTAGCTCAGGTCTATTTTTATATCTGAAGACTTTTGTTTCAGAAAACTCGTTTTTCGTCACTTTCATGTATATCTGTGTTAAATCTGACACTTTTACAAAGTTGGTAATTCTCACATGTCGAGCAGAATTCACACTGAAGGCCTTGTATTATTTGCATTATGGCGACGCTCCAGTTTCTCACATTTTGCGAAGCTGGAAGCAGATTTAATGTTTCAGTGAAAACCTTCAGACTCTGACTGTCTACCTGCTGCGTCCCATCTGCTGCACTGTCACTGTCAGAGAGAGGGCAAAGAGACATGGAGCCCAGTGAATAATGACCACAGACTCTGCTGAGGACACTGTCATTCCCACCTTTTCCATGCTTTTTCTACCTCCAATCACTTTCAATCCTCATTACAGTGAAAAACCTGCTGGATGGTTTTTGCAATTTAAATGCAACGCCGTATATCTTTGCCAGATCCTCCTTTTAGGGATGCACAGTATTACTGGGATGATATGTAAATTTCTGCAGATATGAATATGGTCCAAAAAGAGGACGAATGAATTCCGAGTATCCAATGACAGCCTGCATGTTGGTTTTAACAGGTCAATTCTGTGACTGGAAAAGCTTTGCTGCTATTGCAATGAAAAAAAAAAAGACGTATAGATTCATTACAGTGTCAGTGTCAGCAAAAATGAGTTTGAGAATATTTGCATACTGTATATCAGCAAAAATCCAACATCATACATCCTTACTTCCTTTGACAAACACAAGAATCTGAGAGAAGTGGGCAGGAGTATTTGGTTTGATCTGAAGTACTGGAAATGAACACACTCATTTGGAGGGAGTGGGTGGGAAGAGTCATCCTTATGTGACAAAAGTAGTTCAGCGTCAGCACAACTAAAGGATTTTATGACCTAAATCAAGATAATGATTCACTCTAAACCCAGATCTGGAGATGGTCTTAACTGTGTCAGGTTTTCAGGAGGAGGAGGAGGAGGAGAGGAGAGCAGGGAGAGGAGCAGGAGGAGCAGGTGTGACAGACTGAGGATGAGAGAGAGGCTGCAGCGATCAGAAAAACAAACCAGCAAAAACATTTGGGTTAAAAAGTGGGAGACATTGTAATCCAGGTGGTGCATGGTGGCCATCTTGCTACGGGAAGCTCACCCACTCATAACATTACAGTCTACGGTGCATGTATCATTTAAATAAACATAGATTGATTAATTTTTCAAATGGTTTGATTTGTAACAAACCTCAGGGTTTTAGTTATGTTCCTGTATACTCAAGAATAATTTTAACCATGGATTTACATTAATAAACATTAAACAGATAGGCAGAGCAATAGCTATAGGCCTACAAACACAAGGCAGTTATATTAAACCATTTATATATAAAACATTGAATCATTCCATGTATATTATATTAGTAATATTTCTATTTTAGGGATAACTATAATAACATATCACAATAACATAAATATTTATTTCTGAGCGACTCAAAGTTATCCCTTGCGCGCAAATATCTGTGATAGGCCTACTGTGCTTCATGATTAAATCTTTTTTTTTCTCAAATCTGCCTTTTTAATATGTCCAAACATCCCGACTCATAGCCACGTTATTGGGGTCTGTAATAAACTAAACCATTTGTAAATCTGTCAGGATTTCAGCGAGTTAAGAGTATTTTTGATCATGTAGATTACTCACCTCCATTCAGCTACCATAGAGCGGACCAGAATGGTGTACTGGAGTAAGATGGTCGCCGTTCAGGGACGCTTGTGACTCCACCTCGTAGAGTCATCTAGCCTTTCTTATAGATATATCTATGGGTGTGACAGACTGAGGATTGTCGCATGAGAGAGAGAGGGAGACAGAGAGAGGCTGCAGCGATCAGAAGAGCAAACTAGCTAAAATAATTTGGGTTAAAAAGTGAGAGACAGTGTAATCCAGGTAAATCTGAGCAGACAGCGCCGCCATTTTGCACACACATTAGTAGTTTCTCGCGGTAAATATCACCTAGTCTCGCGGTTTCTTGTAGTATCTCGCGGTATCGCTTCGACCAGTAATAGTTGAGTGTTTTGTGACGTCACGCAGCCATCTGTGTTGGCGCGAACTGCAGCTCGGTCTGAGGAGGAGGAGTAATGGCGGAGCGCTATCAGCGACAGGCTACAGGTGAGTTTTGCTTCATCTCCATCGTAACGGTTTTACGTAAACAACAAACGTCTTTAAACTCTGTCCTTATATCAGTTTGTAGGAGCCTTCTACCGCGCCTTTACTTCTGTTTTCGACGATGTGAAGAACGGTGTTGTGCGGCTAATCACCGAGGACAGGTGAGTTTGTTATTGTTAGCGTGCTAGCGTTAGCTTAGCCGAGCCCATTCATTTCAATGACAGCGGTTAGCTTAACTGTATGTTTACAGATGTGCCGCTTCTCTACATGAAAAACAAAACGTCTTTGACTGCATTCAGATGGAAATATGTTGTTTTTTTCTTCTGTTTAATGACTGTTTATAATGTCAACCGTTTAGTTAATTTTTTGAAGTTACAGCTACAGTTGAACTACAGCTCAACTAGTGCTTTAAGTGCTTTTAATGTATACACAGGAACTTGCTGTTGATTAATTGTATATGTGTATATTTATTTATATATAGTGATTTATTTTAACTGAGGTTCTGATCCCCAGGTCAGGTCCACAAAAGATGGCGAGCTTAGGAGCTACAGCGACATTACGCCTCATCCTCACCTCTCCTGCCAGGCTGGTAGGGGGCTCACTGTAGCCCACTGAAAACTCATACACCCACCCATTCATTCAATCAGCCCCCCCACGCACGCACACACACATTCCCCCTTCTCCATAAAGTCCGGACTTGTTCTCAGATGTGAGTCTTTCTTTGATGAACTGTGGGTGGGTTGCTTGGGTTTTTGGTGTTCAATTGGACTGTATGGTGAATAATTGTTGCGTAAGTTATTATTGTTTTGCCTTAATGGTCATTTCCTCACTGCATATATCTGCACTCTGGTTGTTTTGTTAATATTAGATCACATCATTCTAAAAAGCAATTTCCGGCTCCTCTCTGGTCTCTTGTCCAACTCTCTCCTTGAATGAACCATCGTCTTCCAGGTACTAACCTATCACCAAGGGTTACTGTGTTAATCATCACATAGATATCATTAAGTATTAAACCAATACTCAGTAGTCTGTGTGGTCTTCTTACATCTGATATCTGACATCTTGCTACAACACCGTTCTGAGTTCAGGTCTCAACGTTATTTTATAAAAGCTTGAAAAGTCTGAACAATGAGTTGGACCTGAAATGTCAGCGGTAAAAAAAGCTCAAATCCTTCAGTTTTTATGACACAGATTTATTTTACTGCAGGTCTGTTACTTTATTATTTGGTTCTTTAATAATCAGCTCTAAACAGCATACATCGACCTCTGAGATGTAGTGGTGGCCTCTTTCATTCCCTTCCTTACTGACAAGCATCTCTCTGACTCAGTGCATCCCTATAAAGGACAGCAGAGAGCAGAAGCAATTACCATTGAAGTCTGATAAAAATTCACCTTGAGGCTCCGCTGTTATAAATCCTTGGAGAGTTTGTGAGAGCTCATTAATAATGAAACGTCAGAAAAAGTGATGGTGTGTGAGGGGCTCGTTCCAAGAGCAACAGTCGGGGTTGTAGGGTCCCCGGCTGGAGCACCTGGCAAATATTATTCACCTCACAGGCTCGGCAGGACGTCCCTCACACTGACCAGCCACAGGACCTGGACTCTCAGCAGGAACAATGATTTAGAGGCACTTACAGGTGACGCAGAGGGAGGGGAGGAGGAGACAGAGACAGACTCGCATTAATATTCTGCAGACACCGGCCCGGGCTGCAAACGATCAAAATAAGTGATTGTTTTTTGTGTAGGGGGTTAGACAGAGTGTGAGGGGCTGTGAAAACGTGCCTGTCCAAGGCCTGGACGCTGTTATTCCTCCTCCCGTTTCTATCAGACCGTCCAGACAGGAACTCTGTGTGCAGAATGTAAGCAGCTCCAAACAAGAGAGTGCTGCAGTTTGGAAAAGTCTGTTTCTTGTATTCTCAGGAAGTCTGTTTAGCTGTTGGTGGAGAAGAGAGCGGCATGCTGGTGAAAAGAGAGACACAGGTTGACCCAGAGGCCTTTTCAGAGCACCAAGACCGTGCAGGGAAGGGGCCACAGGGCGGAATCAAACCCAGGCTGCTGGCATCCCCTTTTCTCTACATTTAACTATTGCTGTAGCGACAAAAAAGGCTGCTGGGGTTTAGGTTCGCTTGCATTTGTGACTCATTCAATTATCAGTCCAGTTTGAGTGTTAAAAAAAGTGAAGACAACACGCTGATCCAGGTCCAAAACCTTTTCCTTCAAATAAAAAAAGGGAGATGCTGAAATGAGGTTAAAACAGGATGAGTGAAACGGTGAAAAACGGTCAACAGAAAATTATCAGAGCTCACCACAACCATTGTCTGACTACACCCATGAGATTTAAATAACTCGCCAAACATCCCCAAAACCACACCCCTCAGTGACGATCCCCGGAAGTGACGTACCTGTAGAAATAATACTTTCAACAACTTTATTTTGTCTCCTACAACTGCACGACTGTGAAACCCTGATATCTTCATTTCAAAGTGGCTGGAGTAAAATAAAGAGAGCTGACTTTGAGAGTCTCAGGAGGTAAAAACATGTTCTTTTTTAAGGATATTGGGTAGAAAATGGCTCCTCATGATGATGTAGTTGTTAAACTGTTGGAGTAAAGGGCTCTCAGCAGCGTTGGGACTCCTGCCTGTGTGTTCACACTTCAGGAGGATCTCTTTTTTTACCATTACAGTGGCTCTGACTGGAACAATGACGACTGTCGTACCACTAAGATGCTTTCAAAGAGCCACCCCGGTTTTCGGATTTAGCAATTTGTCATGCTGCAACTGCGCCAAAGTGAGCTAAAGGAGAGCTGTGTGTGTTTTTTTTTTTTTTTTTTTTGAAAGTGAGTTAAAATGCTGAGACGGAAAACAAAAAGTCCTACGCTGTGTTTCTGTGGTTTCTCTGAGACTGATCAAGGAGGTTTGAAGTTTGCAGCTCACAGAGAAGACTCAGAGGTTTCTGTAAACGTTGGACCACACACTCCTGTAAATCAAAGACGAGTACACACTGTCTCTTTTTACTGCCACAACACTGAACATCGTCGCTCCTGAGTGCTTCAGCTTGAAAGCTATGCAAACACAACACAACTCTATTCATCACAGTTTATCACGACGACAGTCACGACTCAGAAGAACATGCTCTCCCATTTCTATGAGGCTCTGGTACAAGAGGAGAGAGGAGACATGAGAATTTAATCCACATCTCAGGATGATATGTCCATAAATGTGAGCAGGATCTGGAGGGAAGCTCACTCTGACATTTGATAGAGGATGTTTGACTCTCATCCTGGCAGCTGAAGGCCGACGGGCCGAGGCGGACGACAATCTGAGCGACCTCTGAGACCGACCCGATAAGCCAGCACATGAGTGAGCAGCTTTAAAGGCGAATCACTGATAAAAGAGTTTGATATCCACTTTGGAAGTTAAAAGTGTTGACTGACTGGATTAGAAGTTAAAAGGAGATGTGGAGAGCTGCTCTGCTACCAACGCCAGAGGCTGTGCAGGCTGCTGCTCATCACTGAAACGCAATAAGGATGGAGACGGAGCGCCAACGAGACCGCTCTGCAGAGGAAGCAGGACCTTTACTGAGGGATTTAACCGAACGTCATCACTGTTAACATGCTGAGGTTTCCCAGTTAGTCATCTCTCATTGTAATCTGACTGTTGAATGACACTCTTGACCTTTGGGAGTTGGTTACGCCACATTAACGACTTCTGCAGCTAATAAAAGACTCTGACTTCAGCTTGTTTCATTCAGTAAACATCTTTTTAGTCTGATAATTAACAAAATAAATCTTCATCAATTTTTAATCAAAATAAGTTCTTCTTGCATGAGCGGCTCCGCAGCAACAGGATGTATTTGTGTGAAAGAGCTGAGGGTCTTTTTTCACTGTTATTAACCCCCACCCATCCCGTCACCCTGACTCTCACTTTCCATCAGGAAAACGCTCCCCTCCCCCTCAGTTCCTCCTCTCTCCTCACCTCTGTCAGCCCTCCCTCCCTCGTCCCCTCCCTCTCCACAGCAGCACTCCAATCCCTCTGCTGCCGACATCATGGTGGAATCCAGCCAGCTGGTCGGGCTGTAATGGACCCCTGTGTACAGTGACACTCTCACTTTGGCTAAGCACCATTTTGATTCTGCTAATGACTAATTACACTGATTACAAAAAGCTTGGAGAGGGAGGGACTCGCTTGTTATCTGCAGAGCATCATATACAGCACGTCTGCTGCTTGTTTGGATTGATCAGTATTATTATTATTATTACACATAAAAACCTGCAGCGGTGTCAATGTTTGCGCTCAAGACCGTATGAAAGGTGACTGGAGTCAACTTCTACTGAGCCGTGTGTGCTGGACTTATACTTTTAGTGTTTTTTATTTGATTTTTGTTTCAGCTGTTTTCTGTTTCTGGAGCAGGAAGTCACTATGTTTGGATGACGGGGTGAACATGGATTTTTACGTTTGTACTCTTATGTAGAGGTCAACAAAAAGAGTAAAAGTCATCATGAACAAGCTAACAATGCAGCTATGTAAATCCTGCAGTAAGTGATTAATTTAGTCATCAAGTATCCTGGTGACTCATAAAGTAATCTAATAAAAAGTCCATGCACAGATTAATCATATTATCTTGTTTTATTGCTAAATCTAAATAAATTTACACATTTTATTATTATTAATTATTATTGAACAAACTATTCTCAGAGATATTTTATCTCTTCAACACTTAAATGATAGTCTTTAATGTAAATATTAAGGACAGAGAGGGTAAATGCTGATCTGTATGCACACATACTGTGGCCACCCAGATGTGAGTAACTAAATTGGGCCACCCCGATAAAAAAGTCTGGACACGCCCCTGGATGGCGGCACAGAGTAAACAATGTGGTTTGAGTCAAATTTGCAAACTAATCATGTTATTTGAAAGATAAAGAAAAGAGTGGGCTGAACTTTTACTCGGTCTCAGAAAAACAGTAAAAAGTGACGCTCGTACTGGCAGGAGGAGGTTTAATGGTGGGTACGATTACAACAGAAAACTACTGTTCAGTCTCTGCTGGGCTGCCAATAAGTGGAAATAAACTAAAATAAATGTCTTTTGTCTGTTGTACAGAAGATATTATTTTGTTTTATGTTTACTAACAAATAATTTATGAAGTAAAACATCTACTTACAGTTTAACAATCGTACATGTGTAAAAACTGGAAATCTAAATAACTTTTTTTTCAGAGCTCTTTCTTTTCAGACAGTCAATGATAATGCTAATAATTTAATGAATTCATCTAAAAATGCAGCTCCGTTTAATTAGCTGTGTTTGTATAACTGTTATATAAAGGTAAGGCATGTAGGGCTAATCAGAGTCTAGTACTTGTTATTGACAGCATTCAGCGCCTACTACAAAATAAAGAGTGTTCGCATTACTGGAGGAATCATTTTATTTCATCCTACTCAGCTGGTTAATAAACTCCAAACATGAAAATCTTTTAAAAATTGTAATAATGATGAATAAATTCTAACAGTAACTGAGTTTATAAACTTCTTACATTTACATAAAAAAGATAATCAGGTAAGTGAAGCAGTTTTCCACCTTGATTCATACATTTTAACTTTATTTTAAAGGCAGTGGAGTCGCCCCCTGCTGGCCAACAGAGAGAAGCAGGTTAAGAGCTCCTCCTCATTGGCTTCACTTTTTAAAATCTAGAGTCTACGTCATCTTTTTCATCCATGTACAGACACATATAAAGTCTATAAAAACTCACACTGACTATTTAAAGTACCTGAGTGGTCTGTCTCTTTCTATTCCCACTCGTTTCTTGACGTTTCTGTTGTAGATGTACAGTTCAGGAGCTCCGGGCTCCACTCTTTGCTCATTCTGCTTTCTTCTGACGCATGTGGGACTTCACAGTCAGAGCTGATGCATACAGCACTTGACCTTTAGTACAAACATAGCAGGACTCCTTTTTACAGCTTCCTCCCACGGACCACCAGAACAGTTCCCACACATCTTACTACATAGGAATCAACATAAAAGCAAAGCAACCTAAAGCCTCTGCTACAATCTGCAGCTCTGCATGCACTGCAAGTTTACAGGCAGGTATCCAGACCACAACCACAGCCACTGGTGTTTGTCAGCTTCACACAAAACAGACATGAGAACACGCCGCTCTCGACTTTCTCTTCTGTCGGTTTTCACAGTAATTAGTCAGGGAGGGCCGCCGTTAGCAGAGGGAAACCGGCCAGAGGAGAGGAGGTTCTCACGCCTGTGGAACCAAAACAAACAAAGCCCCGCTCCGACAACAAAGCAGCCAACAGCTGCTGATAGGGGTTATCTCTGCAGTCACACACAGGCCGTTTCACAGCAGCCAGAGCAGAGCAACAGTAGTGGCCCCACAACAGCAGACACACAAACACAGACTCCGTCTCCTTCACTTTGATTGGACATCTTCACTGAAAGACTTCCTTATAATTCGCTAAATGATCAAATATTCTTTTACTTCATCTACAGTCAAATAAAACCTCAACATGTCGACATGTCCAAGCCAAATATTAGACGCACACAATTTCCATTTTCTCTAGAATACACACTAAACATTTCACAAACTAAAACTTCTATTATAGTTTATTTTTATCTGGATAATAAGAGGTCGACTAAACTTCACCACATGTGTTCACTTAAACAGCTGACCGTGTCTGTGTGCCGGCTGAGTCCGCCCCTTTGTAAAGATTCAGAAACTAAAACCGTCTGTTAGTTTGATCAACAATTATCTGACAGTGTTAGATTTCACTTCTCAAACAGAGGAGGTTTGTAGCTTTTTCCAGGTAGAAGTTATTTATGTAGCTTGGCTTGTAAACATTCGCACTAATACTGACTGAATGAAACACTGAGCTGCTGATAACCTGCCGCTGCTACTTCTCATTGGTTCAGCTGAGGACGTATATAAGTAAAGGCTAAAGGCGTGTCTCTGTAACCTTAACAGTCTAGATCAACAAGGGGATAGCTTAAAGGTCCAGTGAGGAACTTCCAGGGTCGTGGTAAATATGGCGCCCCCTGTGGTCAAAGTTTATCTCGTCCTTTAAATCCTTAAACAGATTCCTCAGACACATCAAAACATTAAATAAAATGTGGTAAAATACAGTAACAAAGTGCCCAATGGAGACCCTTTGGGACATTAAATGTACACAAAGTCATTTCTGGTTGCAGTTTCTGGTTTTCCTTTCAGTGGATAAAATGTACATGTGTTTACTATTGGATTAAATGTAAACAAAGCGCCCTTTTGATTGTAAACAAAGTATTTTTTGTGGCCCTGGAGGAAATGTGATAAAGTGATAAACAGTTTTTTCCTTGGATTATATGTTTGGTTGTTGTGCAAAATCTGTATTAAGAATAATAATTAGTTTGGCAGACAGCAGGTTCCTGTCCAGTTCTTGTTGTTGTTGTTTTTTTTATTTTTTAAACATTCAGAGTTTATCACCAATGGATAATATTCTTGTTGTAGTAGAGGGACTGGATCATTGTTCCTTTGTGTCGTTGTCCCTTTTGGTTATTTCCCGATGCTTTGGTAGATTTCTGTCGCATTTATATGACATGAAGCCGCAGCAGTAGCAGCCTGTCTGTCTTTAGTGCAGAGCGTATGTAGGTTTGATGTTTTCTTGTATGGATTGGCACCGTGTTTCTATGATTACAGTCAGCATTTACTGTTCTATATACCACCTCTTCGTCATGAGGAAGAATTTACGTGGGAAACGCTCGAAGCCAGGCAGCAGAATCAAAAGCTGCAGTGTGAAATCCATCAGACGGGCCACAAGTGTGGGTAAGTGATGGAGATGGCAGATAAGCCCGTGTGTTTCGCTATGGGAGTGGGTGTAGTGAAAGGGGATCAGTCCACAGCAGTGTTTAGAGGTTCAAAGGCCCCTCTGGGGAGGAGAATGGATCGATCCACCTCGGCTGGGAGCCAATCCTCTCCCTGCCTTCAGCCAGATATTCATCCTCACTATATATAAGCCTCTAAGCCGTCAGTCATACTGTATATCCACAGCAGCGGGGATCAGGGTTTCCTCAGCAGTAGTGGCAGTATCTTGAACTTGGTGGCCTGTACTTTTGATTTCAAACTAAACACAGATGTGTTTACGCTTCTCCCCGCAGACAGGGCCCTGCTGCATCATCTGTGGGGAGCGTGTTGTCGTCATGATGCTGTGATTAAAGGGAGCCATGGAGATTAACCATGGCTGCCGTCTCATTAGTCAGAGTTACCCTGCTTGTTTCCCACCCACAGGAGCCCCTCCCAAACCCGCAGGAGAGCAGGGCACCCCGACGCAGCCTGACAGAGAGCACTCACAGCTCTCGCCAAATGCAGCTTTAGTGGACGAGATCACTGGCTTCATGACAAAATGGGGTTTCCCCGCAGGGACACTCCACAAGCCCGCAGCGGAGTGAGTGGCTGCGGGTGACCTGCTGAGCTACAAATAAAACAAACATCCGCTGTGAAACAAATACATCAAACTCCACATTTTAAACAGGCTGTTCCAGGCTCTGTGCAAACAGCGGTGCAACATCGCCACGGCTTGCAAGCTCGGCCTCGTGGGAGCTCATATTGATGGCTGTGGCGTGGCAGAGGTTATTCCATGAGCAGAGGAGGAAGGCAGCAGGCGACCAGGCTGCTGTCCGTCAGGCCCTGCAGTGACAGGTTTACTCCAGCTGAGGGGGGAGGTAACACAGCCGACGGCACAGCGAGGACCGATAAATGTCAGGCCTGGCCTCTGGGCCGCGGTAATGGCTGACAAACGCTTTGGTGGCTCATCTGGTAACCAATCAACCCCAGACACATGTGCTGCTCTGTGTTTTGTTCTATCTGAGGGGATAACAGCGACAGGGACAGCAGAGATCCGCTTAAACAGATCCTAATGCTACAAGACTCCCTGACTGTCGTGCAGAAGCAGCTACTGTCATGTCAGCATTTCAAACACAGGAGACCTTTGTATCATGGAGGACGGCAGCCCAATTTAAAGGCTATGTTCATGATTTACTGTTTATAAGAGGATCGAGGCATTTTCAGTCCGTCTGTGTCTTCACCTGAAGTCGTGAACTGAACTCTCACTGACGTCTGCTGATGTTAGTTATGAACCACTGAGATCACAGAGCACTCCTCATACTGAAGCTACAATTGTAAACAAACCGATTGGTGAGGTAAAAGCAGAAGTTTGTCGAACCCTTAGAGCAACATCCCTGCTTTTATAATGTGTCATTGAGGGGCGACCATGACCACAGAAAAAGAGGAACATTGAGAAATAGTACACGCACTGAAGCAGCCTGGCGAGCTCTTCTGTATGTCGTCCAACCCTGTCCCTCTTCCTTTAAACGTCCTCTTGGCAGCCGCACCATCGTGTAGTCTGTCACGTCTGTCGGCGAAGTAGCGGTACAGTTTTATGTCTCTGTGATCGCCAAGTGACGGACAGAAAGATTGTGTAGTCTGACCTCAGCATCCACGCTTCACAGGACTGAAAGCTTTACGGCGACTGAAGGACAACTTGTGGAGAGTCATAGCGTCGGATTTCTCATATGACGATGGTTTGTGAGCTTTAACAGTTTGATAAACGTCTTTGTTTGAACTTTCATCCGGCTAACGTAAGCTAACGGTTGTTACTATAGTTTCATGTGTTTATCTGGTACTGGCCCCAACTCAGTATTTGCTACCATGACAGACAGACGTCTCAACACTAGAGTCTAATCAGAACTGAAAGCAATCAGCGACTGTGATCCAGTTTCAGCTCCTGAACCGAGCAGTGAAACTCTCCAAGTTCTCTTCTTTTTTGTAATATCGGATCCACCCATGTGTTACGTTTCTTTATCTTTTGAGAAAGCAAAAGGAGGACCAATTCGCCATCACTTGAATATTGCGTGATTTCGCATTCTATATTCGTGTCGGCCCCGCTGTGTAAGGACCTTTAGTCATAAATAAAATTATTTATTAGCTAACTATTCTATTGAAAACTGCCATCTTTGTTTTGGTCTGACAACCACTCAGAAGCTGTGTCTGCAATCAGCTGACATGTTGAGGTCCAATCAGAAGCCAGGACAGTAGGGGTGATAAAACTCGTCATAAATTTGCTTACTTTTTGTTGATGTGTATTTAAAAAGGGGGAAAGCTCGTATCGTTTACCACCAGATACCACAGGATTTAAAGCTTGTGCAATTCTGTTACACTCATCTGTAAAAATGTCCACACAAGAAAATACAGTATAAAGACTTAGATTCAGAATCAGACAACTTTATTTATCCCCTAAGGACTATTCCGTTCACAGTTACCCTGCCATTTGATCCATCCAAACACACAAATCAGCAGACAAACAAACCAGACAAGTGCAAGACATATTACAGCTGAAAAGATCATTTGGTCCATAACTCCCATAATTTGCCATAATGAAACTAAATGTAGCCATCACTTATTCCTTATTATAAAAAAAAATGTTAGCTCCATCAGTGAATATGTATTCAGGTGTAAATGAGGCATTAAAGGTGACATAATGCAGGTGCACACACACTGCTCAGTCACCTTCTGTGTCTCTCTGCACCTCCTCAATGCTCTGATGTTACATAACACCTTCAGCTGAGGAGGACTTTCCATGCAAACATAACCTGAAACCACCATCCTGATACAAAAATCACAATCAGACACTTTTTTTTTTTTCACGGCCGTCTCCGTCTTTGTGATGAGTAGCCGAGTCAGGTGTGAAGAATAAATCAGGCAGCTGAGATTTATCCAAGGCTGCCTCTAACAGATGTCTGAAACCTCCCCCATATCTCTGCTTCAAACACTGGAACAGAAGGAAGGTGAATCCACACACACAGAGGCAAACACAGAGTGTGTGTCGAGGTTTGCTGGAGTACAGCGAAAACATCTGGTCATATTTAAAAAGGCAGCAGTCATCAGGGAGAATTACAGTCAACCAAACAAAGACTGCCGGGTGGATTTTTCTCCAGAGCAACATGTACTACCTACCACCATTATTACTGTTATAATAAACCAGGCTGGAGCCAAAGAGTACTTTTAAACGGACCTTCATACGTGGCAGAAGGTTAAATAAAATCAAGTCTTAGTCAGGTTTGATATGAAGAAAAAGGGTTTTTAAATGTCTGGGAGTTAGTTTCCATTATAGGGTGTGATATTTCAATTTGCGCTGTACTCAGGAAATTCTTTAAGAACAGGCTGGATTTAAAGATTTAGTAAGGGACTATTGGCTTGCATCGATTATGGTGCCCCTTGTGGACAGAAAAAGTAATTTCTGATTTTGTCCGTAACATTTTCAAGTAGTGTCTTATCCTGCTATCTTCTGCATATTTATGTAGACATTGTAAAAACAGAGCTGTTTCTTTGGCTGCTTGGAGACCCCCCAACCTGTTTGCATTTGTGTATCACAAATGAATGTTAAAAAACTCCTCATAGGAGCTTTAATGCATCCAGAAATGAACAGAACTATTAATTATCATCTTTACTTCAAGAGCACTTTTCAAAAAGCTTCTACAAGGCGGCAAAAGGAAAAATGATTTTTAAACGGGTCAAGCAGCTTGCATCATAAAATCTATAATATATTTAGAAGAAACATAAAACAGGGTCACTGTGAAGAGACTGAGAAAGACTAGACTGGTGTTAACAGGTCGGTGCTGTGAGTAACCGATCAATCTACAAACAAAAGTAATAACAAATGTACGGGTACCTCAGTTTCAAACCCAAAACACACATCGGTGAGAGAGAAAGGGATTGCAGTACCCTTTGTAAGCAGTAGGGGGCACTAACTACCTTTGACCTCTCTTAGTCAATGTTGAATGATGTTCATTATGTCTTCAGTTTCTTCGAAATCATGTTTCAGTGGAAACTTCCGTCTTCCTCAGAGGTGTCACTGGGTGGTATGTTCGATAGGTCATATCTTGTCTACCACCATATGACACTTCTGAGGAAGACGGAAGTTTCCGCTGAAACATGTCGAGGTACGTGAAAAAGATTACATGCCTGAGACAAAGGAAAAAAGAAAACGATCTCTTAGTCAATATTAACACGTCTCTGAGAGGAGCCAGTCCGAAATTCAGTTTCTACAGACGTTAGGTCTTTAGTTCTCACACACTGTACCCTGAAACGGATACTTAATGTTAGCCTAGAGTCTCAGTAAATATCGCATTTCGCTGACACACAAACACAAACACACACACACACTCACTGTTCTGCCCTGTTGGCTCCAACACAGACAAGCTGTAACAGAGGCGTGATCATCCCGCCTTAAAATGGTAGCAGAGACGTTACATAAGAGCGAGCGCACGTTCAGAGAGTACTATCACATTAACCTGTATTACTATTGATTTTTCGTTTCACTGATTTTATTTTGTAACCTCACTATTACTATCTGTCCTTACAAAATAAAAGCATGCATGTCATCGAAACAGAGACTGAGGTAATGTAGGTGTGATGTAGAATAAGGCGTCACAAATAACAGCTCTATGAATAAGCTTCTGCTCTTTGGGTGTCCTTCCAAAATAAAAGCATGCGTAATGTAATCTTGGTTGAAGGCACTAAAGTCTCGGCATTAATCTGGACTCTAAAGATGGAGCATAAACTGGGTTTCTTGGTGCCTACAGAAAATAGAGATAAACTGTTTAGTGAGCGCAGGATTGTGAATCGTCTCCTGCCTCGAGTGCATCATTACATCCCTAATGAAAATAATGGTCCGGTCTATCTGAGAGAACTTACATTAATCTGAGACTCTTTAGTGTTTAAGTCACATGGAGATATTATTTCATACAAGGTTTTTCCATTCATTAAAGAAAAATAATCAGTGATATTGTTTTATGTCTTCAAAAGGAACGATCAGATCACTTCTGTGCAGCGTGTGCAGCATCTCGCTGAGCTCCAGCACTCATCTGACTGATAATCGCACAGCCCCTCCGACACGGTGACATTTGGCAAGGTCACGGCTTTCCAGCAGCCGCACAAACACACTCCTGCTTGAATAATTTACCCTGATAATGTTGTCATCTGGCTGCTTTGTGTCCTGTTTGTTGAAACACCTCTAAACTCTACCTGTGGCTCGTTTGCATGAGTCCCAACGCAGATGGGACATCCAGGACTCTGATTTATTCCCCTGAAAGTTACATAAGATCCGTGTAGCAACCAAGTCAAGACTGCTTTGTTTGAAACGGTCCCAGAGTGACTTCATTTGAGGTGAGAGCATCCGTTAATTTACGTGTTACAAACATGAGAACAGCTGGGTAATCTTCCCCTTCATTCACAGCTAACTCTCATGTCAACACCTGCATATTAATCATATGTCACCTATATACGCAAACAGGGAACTCCGGCGTCTCTTACCTGTGTCCTGTCGAAACTGGTGCATGGACTGCAGGTCGATGACGTAAGGAGAGAGCTGTCCGTCCACCTGCCCCAGGACCACAGTCCCCCGAGCGTCCCCTTTCAATACATTCTCAATATGGTGGCAAACAGCCGCACTGTAGGGCCTCCATCGCCCGTGTTCGTTCAGCCACTCCCAGACCACCACCCGGGCCAGGTTCTGAGGCGGGTACCCCAGCCCGTTAACAGGCACCAGCAGCCCTGATCCTGGACGAGCCATCTCCTCTGCTGTGACTGAGCTTGTCCCGGGCTCGAACAGCACTGCGACCCTGTCAGTCAGCTGACACACTGGAACATGTTGATCAGCCCCGAACAGAAAAAGCTTGAATCAGCAATTAAAGAAGTTAGTCCTCATTTATCTGTGCTGCTGTTTTCAGGCGAGCGGCTCAGCTGGAGCCATCGTCTGCAGGTTCCCCGGGACTGCTGGAGCTTTGATCAGCCAAAAAGCAGCCTCTGTCCCCTCGAGTCTGGTCCTGTTTGAAGTGGCAGACGTTGATGATGATGAAGGTGATGGTAAAATGTGCAGCTGGAGCAGTCTCAGGGCTCCACAGCCGACCGCAGCAGATCAGCAGCAGCAGCAGGTACACAGGCTCTCTGGATAGAAGACAAGAAGCAGAAACATCCTGGTAAACAAACGCTGTGATTTCTCCCCCGAGTTCTTCCTCATCAGACAGACTATGTCTCAGAGGGGGTGATAAAAACATAACCAGCTCTGTGCCAGAGTCCCATTAGTGGCCTGTTCCTCCAGGCGATCCTGTTTACTTCAAGTGCAGTGGCAAATATTGTACATGAGCCACCCCTGGGCAGCAAAACAATGTTATTATTGTCATCAGATTGGAGGAGAGGGATCGCTTCAGAGCCAAATCCTAATCCGAGCAGACTGAATCTCAGACATTTTGCACACAGAAATCTGCTGCTGCTCAGGTGCAGCCAATGAAACGCAGGGGACACTGAGTTTCTGTGGGTGATAAATCACTCTGATGCTGATCTCGATGTTGTTTTGGTGGCATGCATGACAAGCACGGATACACCGTGTCGGTACAAACCTGTAGGCTGCAGCTGTGTTGCCACACATCTGTCAGGTAGAGGCAGCATCGAAAATCTGATTGCAAAAGGAGAAAAAAAAAACAAGGTGCAAATGTAAAAACGCACCTGTCGTGTCACATGTGTGGATCTTGTGTTAGCGTGGATCTTCAGCCTCCTCCTCCTCCTCCTCTAATCCAGCGCTGTTGCAGAAAAACAATACGTCGTTTTATTCCCGTGGATGTCCCTCAGACTACAGCAGCTTGTTGGTCCGCTCTCTATCTGTCTTAAAGTGGATTCCTGCTCCGGCTGCTCGCGCGCACTGTCTGATGTGCACGGACTCTACGCCGTGCGCGAGACCAGGCAGGCAGCCTGCACGCGACCGCAGATTGAAAACGCGTTTTTTTAAACCGTAAATCTCACGCAAATGTCCGTGCGCACCTGTACAGTTAGCCGCTGAAAAATCTCCCAAAGTGTCAAATCCACGAAAACAAATCTGCATGACTTCCGGTGAAATGTGAGATTTCAAAATAAAAGCAGTGTTGACACGTGATAATGCTGAAAACAAAACTGGAAAAACATGAAGAGATACCGGATACAGAAAACTGAGAACAAGAATACAAAACAGTATAAATGACTCTCACAAATACAATTAAATAAAGATAAATGTAGTTCATCAAATACTGTAAATAAATTCCAAATAAGGTTAAATTATAAGATATAACTGAATAAAAAAGCATAAAATACAAACTATTTAAATAAATAAATAAAAAATAATATAATGAAATGGAATACATCACATGAATCAAATAAAAGGTTAAATTACATTCAGATAAATTAAATAAAAACAATATAGTGCTGTAAAAAGGAATAAACAAAGTGAAAATATAATAACTTGAATTGGAATTTAACTTTTTTTTTTTACTTCTGCACCTTTTTAAAAACCAGTCATAACCAAAGCAAGGCAAAGCTTTTTAACTAATTTAAAATTAGTTTTTAAATTTTTAAATAAATTTAAAGAACTTTATCTATCCCCAAAAAGAGCTCTACAGAGATAAAACTTAAAGCTGTCTGGTTCTGATTCTAGGCTTTTGTAAACCTATCCTGGAGATTTGAAGGGTTTGAAGGCCCCAAAACAAACTTACAGTTCATGACCTAAAAACTTTGCTATGCTGCTAATTATCTTTGAATTTCAGTGTTACACGCTTTAGCTGGTTACTACTCTCAACCATGGAAACATATTTCACATGTTTATTTTATTACAGAGGATGGATCAGTCCATTTTAGATTGTAATTGAACTCCTGCACCCTGTCTACCTGTCATAAACATTAAAAAGCAGTACTTGTGGGGCCTGAAATAAACAGCAGCGTATGTGTTATGTAAGTCGACAAAAATTGGCTGAAGTTTCACAAATGCCAGTGATACTTATTAAGGGGAAACTGTAGCTAAGAAAATGTCCTGCAACACTGCCACCTGCTGCTGAAACACTGCACCCGCAACAGGAAACATTTTAATATGAGACTTTGTTCATGTTCATCCAAAAATTAAAATTAAAGATTAAGAAAACAGGTAATTAACCTTTAGTTATTTACAGATCAGCCTGATTGGATGGTGCAGGTCTTTTCCTTGTAAATGTCTTAAACAGGTTTGTATTTACTGTTTTGTATCTTCACTGAATGCAGTTAAGTTCCTTAATGTTGCAAGAGTGTCTGGTAAATGTAAATACAGTATATACACACAAATGTAGATTTTTTTCTTTTTTATTACTTGTACACCCTCATTATTGCTTAATACTAATACTGATAATAACTGACATACTTTTAATGTGCTTTTCACAAACACTAGTGACCTTTGGTAAAGCTGTCTCCATTTTTCATACCCTCTTTTTGTTTTAATTTCAAACTGCAGTGTTCCAGTTTTCATGTGGAGAAAACCAAAAACCATAAAGTGTATCATTATTTTAGTCTGACTGATGTGACCAAAGTCATGATTTAACATCAGACTTCCTCTCTTTTCTTTTTAAAATGTAGGTAAGAAGGTGAAATACAGACAGTGAATCTGACTCGAAGGTGTTAATTCCCTTGAAAACAGAACCATCATGTGGCCATTTGAGGTGGTGAAATTAATCCAAAATGAGTCCTGGTCTGAATTTGAAGTTTTAACTCAACAAACTCACAGGACATGATGGTTTAGTTTTGTATTGACTTATCTATCCTACAAACATGCACATTAAATAAGAGTCCATAAAACATGTTTCATCGAGTAAAATACATTTTATTCATGATACATCAGGAAACTCCTTTTTTCTTTTTACATTAAAATATTCCAACATTAAGCTGTTATTTGTTATCAAAAATGTGATGTTTTGAATTTTAATACAACGTCACTTTTATACAAATGTACATCATGATATACAGGATTCTGGAGGTTTGACTCCCGTCATTCAGAAACAGGAGAAACATCATCACAAACATGAATAACTGAGACCAAAGTCAGCCTCTCTGTAGCCGCACAGTCTGAGACTCACAGAATGACATAAATGAAGAGCGCCATAATGGCGGCACTGATCAGCCCGGAGATGGGGACCGTGACGAACCAGGCGATGAAGATGTTCCTGAACAGACGCCAGTCCACTGATTTCCTGGAGCGCAGCCACCCCACAGCGACCACCGACCCCACCTGTGGTCACATGATTTCAAAAAGAAACCACAGGTCAGATCACATGACTTTTCACCAACGACGTTTCCTCAGACCTGATCACAGATGGAAGAGTTGGACCTGGACACACCTGATTTCTGTCATTTTACCTCCACCTCACATCAGCACAGATCAAACAGCAGGATCGGCTGTTTTTCATCTCCTGAACAAATTTCAAGTGTTTGAGTTTCGTTACCTTGCAGTGAGTCGTGCTCACAGGAAGTCCGATGTTGGATGCCACAACAACAGTAAGCGCTGAAGCTAGCTCGATGCTGAATCCACTACAAATGGGAGAAAACATGTCAGCATGCTTCCACTGTGGGATCAATAACCATTTAAAACCTGCGGGGAGCAAATATGATGATTACCTGGAGGGTGTGATGGGCGTGAGGTCTTTGCCCATGGTCTGGATCACCCTGCGCCCCCACACCCAGAGTCCAGCACAGATTCCCACCCCGCCATAAAGGAGCAGCCAGATGGGCGTTGGTGCGTTTGACATCACAGAGCCGCTCTCATAAAGAAGCCAAAGAGCCACCAGTGGACCGATAGCATTGCTGGTGACACAAACAGCTCATGTGAAACCTCTGATTTAACGGCCTGTACATAAATACCTCAGAAAAACCTCCACCTGCATACCTGACATCGTTTCCTCCATGAGCAAAAGAGCCGAAGCACGCCGTGAGGATCTGCAGGAACTGAAAGAGCAAAGACACGGCCGGCTGATCCACCTCCAGCTCGTCCTCCTCCAGAGCCAGCTCCATGCCGGCTTCCTGCGTCACACTCCCGTCCTGGACCGTACTCCCGGTGGTCACTGCAGAGCTGTAGCTGCTGTAACTGTCCACTCGTGAGCGTCTCTGCAGCCCACCGGCGTCCACGTCCTTGTATTTGGGGTCTCCTTGGATGCCGTAGATGGCCATGGTGTAGGAGGTGTAGCTGTTGTTCCTCCTGATTGGTCGCTCCTCTGTGTCACTGTCACCGATGCAGTCTCCGACTTTAGCCATGTGCAGCTTGTGCAGCAGGTCTTTGTAGAGACCGGAGTCTTTGTGGATGGTGTGAGAGCGTCCGCTGTGAGGGTCAGTGATCGTCATGGTTCCCATGGTGCCGTTCAGTCCTGTGACACAAGAAAAACCTTAGTAATAATTCAAGAGTGGGCTTGACCATAAATGACGTTGTTTATTCAGAGCTCATCGTCCCTCACCGTTACCCATGTCCAAATCTTTGGTCTCCATGTCGTTGTTGTCCAGATCAGTTTCCTCTGAGCCTCCGAGTTTGAACGCCACCTTCTGGCTGTCCACAGGAGGACTCCGAGACCGGGGTTCTTGAGGAACTGGGGGCTGCTCTGCAGGTGCAGGTTTGCTGGTGGTCTTGTCCATGAGTGGGGTCTCACAGGGAGCAGGAGCGCTATCTCCTGCATTAAAAACCAACATGCATCAGGAAAATGCTGCAAGTCCAGCCTTCACAGAAGAAGTTTCTTTGTGCACCGCCTGACTTAACAAGCGTCAACACTGAGCACCGTGCTCACAGGAGTTTTTCATTCAGATGCATTTTTAATGTCGGAGTTTTACTCACGTTTGATCTTCTTCTTGAGCCGTGGACAGACGATGAACCAGACGATTAAAGCTGTGATGAGCGCACATCCCAGTGCAATGCCCAGCGTCCCCCACCACGGCACTCTGTCAAAGCCCAGCACTGATACAGACACACGAGAGATCCAGGACTCAGAGGAGGACCACACACCAACTTTACTGCTTCCTTCATTGGTTTACTACAGATTTTTGAGGAAGGGGAGTTAGTTCTGACTTAATTCTCTCTCGTGCCAATCAGAGAGAAATGAACTCCCTCCTCTCTGGGATTACCCAAACATCACTTTCTTGCCTCCAACTGGTCCAGGACGCAGCAGCTGGGCTTCTTACTGGTTTTGACCTTTGACATCACATCCCTATTATTCCTAATGTGGCCTCGATACTCCACTGTACTGTCTGGCTTGCCTACATGTTATGTATTTTGTTATACTTGTGAGTTTGGTCCAGCAGAGGGTGCTCTTGTCGTAACCCGAACTTTGGATGACACTCTTGATCTCAGTAAATTAATGCAGAGCTTATTTTTATGATCTTTACGACTTTGGTATCTCATTTCTCTCGACACTTAAAGTCACAATAGACTTCTTCTTCAGTGTTTAAGGACGTTCCAACAGAAACAGTATCAGCAGCTCGACACGCTCCTATCAGTTAGTGACAGAGAAACTGGAGTCTTGCAGCGCGGTGATAATGCACTGAGAGTACACGCTGTTACGGACAGTTTCACTTTAGCTGGCATCTTAACACAGACTGAATCAACTGTGAGGAGGAACGACTTACCTATTAGCTTTTAGCCAAGGTTAAAAACTAATAAAGGCCATGCAGTAAAAACGGGATAAACGAAGGCAGAAAATAAAAGTTTTTTCTGTCTCTCTGCGGCAGAGATAAATGCGCCCTGTGTTTGGCTGTAATTTTGCACAGCAGGAGTTTTGGTGTGTTATTTCTGTTGACCCACACCGGCCTGCAGCCTTCAGTGAAGGGCCCAGGCCAGCTGACTCCTTGATAAGTTCAATCCTGCAAATGAAACAAAAAGGAGTGGAAATCACCCGTTTAATGTTTGTTTTCTCGGTAAAACTCCCATCCAACTGTTGTGGTTTAAGTTTGTCGTCTGAGGGATTTATTCCTGATATTTAGAGAGAGGTTGGGGTGAACATATTTTTGGTTCATAAAATGACACAAACCGGCTCTCTTTTTTCACCTACTTTGTCCTAAGAAGATTCTCATCAACTCTCCTCTCCTGAGTCTCCTGTGACATTTATTCACCCCAGGAGTTCAGCAGCTGCTGTGGCGTGTTATGAGTGCATTTTAACAGAATAACGGGTGTAATGAGTGCGAATGTTACTCACGAGGCGCTCCTGTGAACATGATGGAGAAGAGGTTGACACCCATGGTGATAGCGTAGAAGACGGGGAGAGCTCTGAGGCCGTTTGGTACGGGGTCGGTCTGTGGAGGGCGGAGTCACAGTCAAACTTTTCATTTTGAAGACAGCTTTAGTAAATAATTGAAAGACATCAGCTGGATCTTGTATGAGCTTTTAAAAGGTCTGTCTTGTCATGTTTCTCAGATTTGATGGTTGTAAAGTCGGAGAGGCGACCTGTGCAGCAGCTGTATTTCATCACCTTTCAGTTACGTAACGTCTCAAAATGATTTAGTCCGCAGGAGCTGTGAGCGTCATCCACGCTCTCTGCCAGAGTAAATAATGTGGAGCTCTGTCACCAACACATGACCTCCATTTTCCAGACTGTGTGTTAAAATGTTTACCACATGTAGGCGTTCACTGACTACAAGACCAAAAGTTTTAAAGCTCCCCCTACTGGTCAGGCCATAAACCCTGTCTCCCTCTGTGTCAGATACTTTTACGTTACTTTACCGCAACACTGAGGTTTTATCAGGGGTCTTCAAGCTAGTGTGTTTTTAGCTAGTATGTCCACTCCTAGCCGGTGCAGCATATGATATTTATGTTAGCGTAATCATGAAGCGGCGGTAACAGGTAACCTAACAGTTACACAAACCTGCTGACAGTGATAGGCGAGCAGAAAGTAGACAATAATATAAGTTCTCTGAGTGTTTTTTCACTGACAGTGATATTACAGTTTCATAATAACAGCTGGTGTTAGCTTGTTTTAGTCGTCCATATTCTCTTGTTTACTCGTGACATGGAACAGGAAGCAGATCTGTTTGTTTTTTTTCTGATTTATTGTCGGGATCGTCGCCTCAGCAGAGAGTTTTTTCACTGTAATTTTCCAAATCAAAAATAAAGATTCTGGCCTTTTAAGCATAAAGTCTCACCCCGATAACAACTGTGGCCTTGTGTAGAGCTTAGACTGTTTTAGGTCATTAAAAAACATCCATATTCATTTCAGTGCATTTCATATGACATAATAACTCAGAAATACCCCATAATAACGACCGTGGTCATGGTTCAGTGTTTGTCCGGCTCACCTTGTTCAGGATGAATTTGCGAACAAAGAAGAACAGGATTCCTGACATGATGCCTGACAGCACAGGAGACAGGAACCAGGACGCCACTTTAACAAAAGAGATTCACAGCAGCGGTCAATAACAAGCTCTGAACGAAAACTTTCAAAGATTTGATCAAAGTTTGTTCTAAAATATTAGGAGAAAACCAAATTTGAGTCACCGATGCGAAGTATCTCTATCCATTTGACCCCTTGGTAACCCCTGGCTACCATGGAGAAGCCAATTGTGGCTCCAACAATACAGTGAGTTCCAGAAATGGGGAGCTTCAGGAATGACGCAGCCAGCTGCCACACAGCAGAGCCTGCAGGGATGAAATATGGAAAAAGAGCTCCAAAGATCAGGGACTGGACCTCCTGTCAGCCTGAGGTGGTCTCCATCAAACTAAAGGAGAACTTGTGAAAGCTCTCACCAAACATCGCACTGATGGATCCCGCCATCAGGACGTGCTCAGAGCCGTTGTACATTCGGACGTCGATGATCCCCTGTCTGATGGTCTCGCTGACCTTTGCCCCCAGCAGCACCGAGCCCACGGTCTCAAAGATGGTGGCCAGGACGCAGGCCTGCCGCAGGGTGACCACCCCGGAGCCCACCGCAGTGCCGAAGGAGTTGGCCACGTCATTGGCCCCCACAGAGAACGCCAGGATGAAGGCGATGATGAAGCCGATCACCAGCAGCCACAAGTATCCCGACATGTCGGTCTGAGAGGACAGAACCGCTGTGGTGGCAACGGCCAGAGACGCGAGTGTGGATGTATCCATGATGAATATTTTTATAAAAGGATAAAAACTAAGAAGACTTTGGCTGTTTTACAGTGAAGATCTGAGGTAACGTGTGTTTGATAAATAAACTTCTATTATCAAAAGATTAAAAAACGACTTGGTTCAGTCTAAAGTGCTAATGGGAAAAACTAAAGCTGCACTGGGAGTTTGATGTGCAGAGTTTATTTGTGGACTTCATCATAAAATGACTGCATATAAAAACTGAAGAGACGTCCATGGTGATGCCGAGCCTCTGATGGTGCACACTGTAAAAACACATGAGATATTGGTTAATCCTCCTTATTGACTGCTTCATAAATAAAGCTTCAGTTCAGTTACACATTAACAAAACTGTCCAGACCAAACAGCAGCTTCACTCCGGCTCCAGGACTGAGATTTACGGCAGAGGGACGTGGTTATGATGTAGTGTTTTATGTCAGTAATAAGTCATTAGTGGTGGAAGCCACAATACGGGTTAACCCCGAGCAAAGCAGCAGTTTGAGTTATCTGTCTGTCTGTCTGTCTGTCTGTCTGTCTGTGTGTGCGGGAGGCGCTGAGTTCATCTGAAAATGGTTTAAAGTCAGAGTTCACCTGTAGAGCTTCAACCTGCATAAAACTGACAATAAACTATTCTTATTAAACAAGAGGAGGACTCAGAATACACCTACAGTGAATCTGAGTATTACTACCTCTGAAATACATGCTATACTTTTATGTATTTGACCAAGTCAGAGTTAATATTTTGTCCTTTTTTACACATTGAGGCCTCACAAGTTTCAGCGGTGACTTTATACCAACTTTGAATTGTTGGTGATCTCCCAGGGCGTTTTAATAGGATTTGCTAAGACTTTGGAACAGCAGCAGTGAGGATTTAAGCGACTCAAAATCCATTTATGTAATAAAATTGTGACGACTTTTGCATCGTGACACTTTCATTTTAACACTCAACAAGTCTGCAGCCGATAATTAACCCCTAAAAACCGCTCAATTTAAGCTAAAAACTCTTCAAAACGACAATAGATTCACTTTAAGAGCTTATAGTAACAGAACATTCAAAGCTGTGAATAAATGGGTCTGTTCGGGTCAGTCTGGAGTCATTTCACACCGTGAATATAGAAAATATCGGTATGTTAATCTGATTAGACGCTCTTGCGTAATTCAACAGGAGCGACGGAGCAGAAATAAAACCAAAAAAGAAATTTAAAGAAAAGACGAAAAAAAGTGAAGTTTACTTACAGGTGAGACCGAGAGGAGCCGTTCAGTTTGCCTCTCAGGTGTGGATCAGGCAGGTACAGAGCTGAGGTCAGTCAGAGGATGGTCGGTCGGTTGGTTGTTGGAGGAGCAGACCTCTGAGTTTGAGGGTTTCTGTCTGAGGTCTGCTTTTATAACAGGCGGACTGAGTACACGCCTTCACGGTCCGGTCATGAGACCTCTGCTGCCCAAAAGCTAATGTTTAACGTGTTTGTAGACGCAGAGAAATAATGACTGTTTTCACTGATTATGTGACTTTGAAGGAGGAATCCTCCAAATTTCCCCAAACCCCCACAGAGACAGAAATGCCTCTTGTTTGTCCTGAGGAGATCTGCTTCTTGTGCCTGAAGGAGAAACAATTAAAGTATTTGAGGCTACAGGCTGTTTATAGTCATCAGGGTTTATTGTTTCTGTCAAATCACAGTCGTGTTCCCATAATACTCCTGGGTGCTATGTATAGTTTAAATTATTTAGCGTTAAACAAATAAAGAAAATCAATGTGGAGAAAATAGGCGCTAAATTGACCACAACTGAGCTTAATATTTAACTGCATGGCCTTTACTCTGACGCCATCTACTGGCCATACCTTATATTAATGCAACGACATAATATATCACGTGTGGTGTGTTGTTAATTTTTTACAATGTTTTTTTTATTATTCATGCAAACTTTACCACTATCTAGACACCAAAAATGACAGGTATAACAAGTTGGACTAATCAGAAATGCAGTGAGGTGTGTTATTTCTTAAATAAAAGATTGAACTTTTTGGGACTTTTTCCCTTGTTGTGACTCCATTTTGCTCTCTGGCACGTGTAACACATTTGGTAAAGTATGATATGTAATTTTAAAATATAAGGTCTGTTCAACAAATGAACACTGAAATACAAATAATTCTCTCCACATATCTAATCTTTTTGGGTTTAAGAGAGTAAACAAACATCCTTTTGAGTTTTTAACCTCACAACTGCTGAGTTTTTCCTCTTGTTATATCTCTACACACTTTTATCCTTCTGCTTTCTTGTATGTTAGGATATTAACACATGCTACGACCACCTTACATGTGTTGCCAAGCAGAACATGAAGCAACACTTACAGACTTTGTTACTGATCAACCTGTAATTTAACATGAATGGGCTCCTCATTGAGAAGCTTCAGTAAACCGTCCGACCTCCTCCAGCGTCAGCACAATTTGGCTCGTTTTCCAAACTGCTACACTGCCTCCAAATCTGCTGATCAGTTCCTCCTGATTACTCATTTATTAGGAGGTATTAGCACCTGTTGAATGATTTAGTGTGGGTCTGACATGTTAACACGTGTACACTAATGCTACCTGTGTGGAATACTGTGACCTCTGTGAAACATGTGACGAGTCTGAATGACAGTAACTCACAGCGCTAATGAAAGGAAATATGAAGTCAGTGGAAAAATTTAGCACATCATCAACCCGCACAAAACAAAACTATATATACAGCAGGATAGACTGCACTAACTACATACTGTATGCTCTTGTTAAAGCTCCCTTAAGAAGTTTTTTGAGGTTTATGAAACAGCAGACACAAAACCCTTTAGCATTTGCTACCTTTGCATTAAACCTCCTCTGCACCACCATAACTGCTCATGATATGGAGCAGTTGAAGAAAATACATTCAATTAAGTAAAGAAAAGTGTTAAGAAAATCTAGATTTATGATATCATCGCACTGCAAGTAAGTACCATGCTTATGGCATTAACCACATTTGCATGATACTTAGTTGAATTACAACCTAGCTCACATGACTTAAAACTGCAAGAAACATAAACAGATCATTCAGCAAGTACTGGATGTTTCTGCATGCATCTACATGTTGTCAAATCCACAAATGTGCAACAAATCAAGACAACTACAGTTTTCAGTGTTGCACAGCAGCCTTTATCAAACAATAATAGAGGAACAGCACAGAGTTGGTGTCAGGAAAAGTGATTAACTTAAAATAAACTCTATTTTTATGTTTTCAATGGCACAGATTCCCTAGTCATGTGTTTGACTGTTAAAATAAAGCAGATTTTTATTTTATTTTATTGTTTTTTTTATCAGAAACACGATTTATATATGAACAGGACAAATTCTGAAAAGGTAGTCTCCTCACATTCAGCAAAATACCACCTGCTTACTTTCATGGTGGTGCCTCTGTGAAATACACGCCAACATGAAGACCACAATTGTGATTATGAAACTTATTTGATATCTTTGTAAGTATAGGTCTACTGAATCTAAACACTCAAATCCTACAATTAAAATATAAAATAGTAAGTTTTATAGCTTTATTAACTTTATCAAATTCTGAGGAGTTAGTTACTTATGTTTAATTCAGGGTTATAAAGCAGTTGTAATAAGCCAATTTTCCTCAATTACATTTAAATTACTTTTAAGGTAGTATGACATGGGGGTTTACTTTTTCAACAAATAAATAAAATAAGAAATAAAATCACCGTTTAAGATTAAGAGAAATTTCTTTGACTCAAACTGTCAGATATCTTTTTTTTAAATAGAATCTTCACTTCGAGAATTTTTGATCGTCTGAGACGGTTTTTACAGGAACAGACCGTGAACGTCCCTTAACCGTTTAACTACAAGTCATCACTAAAACAGTAAGTAAATACGTCCTTTTTACACAATTTTCTACAATTGACCAACTAACTATGGATATTTTATCGAGTTCTGGACTCAACTGGCACCAGTTTTGGTTGTGTGGTTGTTTTTTTACGTAGATATTTACCGCGAACCGGAACCGAATCATAGTTTGTTTGCATACCGGCGCTAGCTTAGCCGTTAGCATAGCCGTTAGCTCATCGCGTTAGCTAACGGCTAACTCTGACAAGTTACAACAGGCTCAGTTTAGGCTCTACACAAACATACACTTAAATACTATAAAATCTACTGTATCATCACAACTTATCCATCAGCTGCCCTTAAATCCACCTTATTTCACTGTTCAGTTTTTAATTCACCTTTTTTTCTAAAGACACAGTTATGTTTGATTCAATGGTCACCTGTTTGGTTCGTAAAACACGGAATCCAGGGTAAATCTGGAAAACCAAATAACTGATAAACATCAGTAATATGACTAAAGGGTTAAATATGTACAGTTAGTGTGAAATGTTTGTGATGTTATGTGTTTATTGAATTAAGCTTGTTTATAGTGTGTTGATGGAGGTTACAGTCATTGTGAGGACAGACGGAGTCTTCCACAAAACAGTGAATGAGGGTAAACAAAGAGTTCAAGTGAGAAAGAAGTTTATTAAATGAGGAGGCATCCTTATGGGCAGAAGTAATTCATAATTCAATAATTCAGCTGAGTGTTAACCCTCCTACTCTGTATACTGTCACTCTGTATCAATCATTCATGTTACACCCTGTGATTGATTTCATCTTCTCTGATTTATGGTGGATGTTTCTGTGAATCTTGTTTTTATCAATCAATCAGTATTTGTTTACAAAGCACTTTTCATACATGACCATGTAGCACAAAATGCTTTACACAGAAAAAGGAATAAAAGAAATAAAGAATACCCAAATCTAACCCAGCCCAAACCCTCATTCCTACCCCACAATCGAAACACAACAGAAGCAGAATTAAAATGTATTTAAAAAGGGCTTAATTTTGTGGAAACAGGAATGTGCGCACTGAGGAAACACTATTTTAAAACTCAAGATAAGGAAACAGTGGAGGTTTAAAATCTAAAAACAACGTAACACAGAATGAAATTTAAGAAATAATAAATAAAATAAAATAAAAACATCAGTAAGATACTAAAATAAGAGCACCAAAATAGCTCAATAAGAGACGATCCTGTCATTAAAACTAGAAAGATAAATGCTAAAACACTTAAAGTTAATGATTTAAAATTTAGTTAAAAGCAAGACTAAAAATTGTTTTCAGTCTTTCTTTTAAAATAGCTGAATTGTACTGCATAAATGTGCCTTTTCATGCTTTTACTTTTGTTCTTTTCTTCAATATTATTCTGCATTAATAGTTTTATGTAATAATACTGTCACTGTTACAGGAACTTCAGGTCCAAAGTAGCAGGCTCTTCCATTAAACAGACATGTCTGTTATCGGCCTACTGTGTCAGAGGACTGACTTAGTGCAGATTTTCATGAGTAATCTGTGGGATGGTTCTTCTGGGTTGCTCCTCTATAGGGTTATGAATTATGTGTATTTAAAACAATGAAACACATGTTCCAAGTGTGGGAATTAGCATAAAGCTGATTTAAACAGCTTATTTTAAACCATATGGCCCCTCTCATTTATTATGATACTGATGTAAACACAGCTCCCAGTTTGGGATTGGAAACGCTGGGCTGTCTGTAACAGAGCAGCCATAATTTACACAATTACACAGATTTACTTTTATCATTTAAATACTGAGAGGTCGAAGAAGAAGCTCTAACATGAATCACTCTGCTGCACACCAGTCATTCAACGCAATCATGTTCTCAGGAGATCAGAGCTGTAATTTTGATTATTTACTAAATGCTTGATGCTTTGTTGACGGTGATCAAACTTTTGTAAGACTTAACAAAGAACCAGAACTTTCCCAAGGACTCGACCAATCATCTGCACTCTAGTGAAAATCTTAATGAGTACTGCTGCAGTCAAATTCAGTTAAATGATGTTTTCTGTCATGTTGGAGCTGTTCAGGATTATAATTATCTTTTATTGTTGCCTGGAGCAATTATGTGCATTGGTGCATCTGCATGAGAAGTTTTTTCTGTTTGCATTCTCATGACTAGTTGTTTAGTTTGATTTTAACTTCCTCATCTAACCTGCTTCATATCTGGACACACCTAATGAAGCCGTTTCTGCATGCATGCAGCTCTGCAGCAGGTACTGACCATTAACAGCAAATGTGTTAATGGATACATGCTTTTAAACAAAATTTAAGGATTTCAGACTTGAAATTGTGCAGATTCATGGTCTACCTGACTGCACAAGCCACATTTATGAAGAACAACACAGTCAATGTTTCAGTTGCAAAGAGGATTAAAAGTTTATGAATGGAGAATGGTGCACAGCCTGTAGTGAGGTTGCCCCCTTGTGGTTAACTGGGTGAACTGGTGGAGTATTCCTCCCCATAGATCTCTGTTTTAACCTCCTAAAGGTCATCCGGTTAGTCGAGCACTCTCACCTGACAACCAGTCCACCCTCAGAGTTTTGTTTTTATCTGTTTATGCGGCTCATCGTGCAACATGAGACCGTTTGTCTTTGTTATTGTTTTCAGTTTTAAAGATTTATGTACCTTTAGGGCCTCTAGGTGGCATCAACGCCTCTGTTCAGGTTACACTGGCTGATGATTACACTCCATGTGGAAATACCAGTTTAGACAGTTAACGAGGAAAAGGATTAAACTACAGTTTGATGATTAATTGCTCCTGTTTGTGTTTGCTCACACAATACATTCAGACATAAACTTAACGTGACTGTATGATAGACTGATGACGGTTATATCCACACGTCTTCACTCAAACTACAAGAAGACGCAAGAATGCACATTTATCAGTGTCTATTCCAGTCATTTTAATGTACAAACAGGTCAAGTTGTTATTCTGCGCCCTCATTTACAACTTTATTCCCAAAATGTTCTATTAATCTGAACATTTCCTGATTTCCCTGAGTTTTCATGCTAATACAGAATTGACTGAATCTGCGATTTTTAAAGACAAGAAGCCTCGTATTTTTCAAATGTCGCTTATCATATTTAAACTTGAACAAGATAGAACATGCAAATAAGTAACCGAAGAGCTCTGCTGGTTCTCATGCTCAGGCCTATGTCAGCCCAACCCTTCCTTCCCCGCTTCCCTCCCTCCCGCCTCTTGCCAAACAGGATCTGTAGGATCTTACAGATTCATTTTCTCAGGAGACAGGAATGTCAGAACACAAGGCCTGCTGCCTGCTCCAACATGCATCCTACATTCCCCCAACTTACAGGAAAAAAAAAACACACAAATGAGTTGCTCATACAACCATTTAATTTCCACTCAGTGTGTGGCAACAAGTCTGAAAGTAAAATGAGTGTGTGTGTGTGTGTGTGTGCCGGACGTGTTTCAGACACACACTGACTCACCTCTGAAATTAGGTTGTCTGGTGCACCACCCTGTCCACTTTTACAGAGAGTGCGTGCATCAGTGACCCTCTTTACTTTTTATTCAACTTTTATATCAAGATATTTTTTTTAATTAACAAAAATAAAATTAAAATCAGTTATTCCTCAGATAACAAGCTGACACTAATTTACAAATGAATGCAACATGTCCTCATCCATTTCTGATGTTTTTCAAATTTATGACTTATCCTCATCAGCACATCCAGCAAACTAAACCCAGAGGAAGTAGTGTTTTTGTCATGCTTTTATTTTGGTATTTTTCTGTTTTTTGTATTAGGGCCATGGATTAAGTCAATGATTAGCCTCATGATGCTATTTCGACTGAGAACACCATGTCTCAGTTTTCCCCCAGTCTGTTCAGAGTCCTGATACTTGGACCAATGTGGAGCTGGGGAGACGAAACATTAGAGACACTTTAACCAAAACTTCCTCAGTTTGGTGCAGACAACCAAAACTTTATCGACACTTAATTTTAACAACATGACGACTTTATTCTCCTAATGTTATAACTTTACAAGACAGTGTAAACTTTAATGTGACTTCAGTAAAGCCTGTATTGACTTTAGTACATAAAACGATGCCCCTGTTTTTAAGTCCTATACTTCTATTGGATTGTAACTTTTAGATCTGAGTGACGAAAGTTAAAGAACGGTTAAAAAGTATAAATCGATCAGTGTTAACCTATATTATCATGTTGTTTTTGGCTTCACAGTAAATCTCTAAACTGTCTAATCCTCTCTCAGAGGGATGCTAAAGCTAGCTCACTAGCAGCTGCTGCTTCTTTATCTTCCCCACGACTGTGAAGTCACAATATTACCATATGCTTATTTCGAGCACAGTATAAATGTTTTTTAAGGTTATCGTCAGTGTCAGTATACTGCGACAGCCTTGGATGACACATGCAAAGAAACTCTTAAAGGATTTTTGGACATTTTTATTTGTCAAAATCGTTTTAAAGTCTCTGTTTTGTGTACAGCTTAGAAGCAAAATATCACACAGCAGATAGGCAAGTAATCGAGACCATAAGAGACCCAGGCGTATCAGAATATAAATACAATAAAAACTGCGCCATAAAAGGATGACACAGTCGGAAATGTAAAGGAGTACTGATGATATTTTTCAATCATCCCACGTCACCATCTACAGATTCTCAGTATTCTGAGGCTATCCACAAGCAATGATGAGAGAAATGTAACAAAAACACAAAGTCCTGATTCCTGCTACATTCGTCTGCGTCTCCAACTTGGATACTCGGGGGTCCAACATGACGGCGCTCCTGCATCTTTGAGCTCACCCTCTCCAAATTACACAGGCTTTCCTGTTGCAGAGCAAGCAGAGCTGCACGCAGTGAAATGTTTAAAGTCAGAGAGTCCAGTTCCTGCTGCTTTTAGTTGACGGACCAGTGGCTGGAGGTCGGGGATGAACTGCAGGTGGGTTCTTTGTAGGTGGGGGAGTGGGTGACGCTCGGGCTGCTGGGAGGCGTGGAGGAGCAGGAGGAGGACTTGGACTTAATCTGGAGCCACTTGTCCCCAAGAGCCTTGGCGAAGTGGTCGTCAACGGAAACGCTGATGGAGAGCTGCTGGGAGCGAGACGCTTTCTGGTAATTCACACCGAGGCTTCTCTGGAAATGTTCTTCCACCACGTGGTCATAATTGGATTTTGAAATCACTGCAGGAGAAAGGATGGATGACAGACTTCAGATACACACCTCAGTGAGTCAGTATAAGTGAACGTGACGATCAGGGAGTGACCGTCTGCAGGGTGAGATCATTTACAGAGTGTGAGACTGACCTGATGAGGGGCTCCTGTGGATGTCAGACCTGCAGGAAGGGTTTCTGGACGAGGAGACGCAAGTGATCACAGAGGGACGCATCTGAAAAACAACAACAACGAAGAGGTGATGGATTAGAAAACCCAAAAAACAGGCTTGATATTTGCAGCAACACTGGTTTGAGCTCTTTTTCCCTCCGACATTATCCCCTGAACCTGACTGTGCACAGAGTTCAATTAAAAGCGATTGAACAGGTTGGGTTTGCCCATGGAAAAAGCAGATCCCTCCCTCCCTCCCTCCCTCCCTCCCAGTGCGGTCGCTTATGCAGGTCAAAGAGACAGACAGTCTGTTTGGTCTTGTTGATGACATTCCTCCCTCCATCGCTCACATTTTCTCCCTGAATCCGGCTGGATCGCATAGCTGGGACAAGCTTGGGCCTGTTCACACTCTGACTACAGATGGAGATGTACTTGCTGTGTGTAGCCTGAAGCTACACTACAGTGACTACAAAGGGACACACAGTACGACCACCTTTACCAATACAGAGGGCAGAAATGAGCGTTTTTCTGTGTTTCAGTACCTGGATCTGAGTGTTTGCAGAGCTCTTTGTCTTCTCTTCTGTGCTCTCTGGATCTTTTCTTGGTTTCTTGATGAGGGCGAGGGGTTCATCCATGACTGGTGTGTAGTAGACATGAGTGGGTAGGGGGCTGGTGGGGCTGGGGACCGGACTCCAGGTGGATGTGGGGCTCTGAGGCCCGTTGAAGACGGCTGGTGCTGGCGCCGCTCTCTGGGTGGCTTTCCCAACGCTCCTGCTCAGCACTCGCTCTCGCCTGAAACATTGAGACCATCAGAAACCTCACACTGGTGCACTTTTGGAGATATTTGTGACGGTTAAATCATGACAGTGAAGTGTCGCCAACCTTTCCTCCAGCGTCAGGCCTCTGTCGTGGCTGCGCTTGCGTTTGATTGGATACACAGTTGGCGCTCGGGCACGGTCGTTTGAGATGTGTCTGTATCTGTCCTCGCTTCTGAGGTGGGGCTGACCTACAAAACAAAAGTCAAAGTTTAGGGTTTGCATAAACAATCTGTCAATCATCCCTGATTGATCCGTCATTTCCCGTCCTCAGGAGCGGGGCGATGACCGGATCATTTCCTGGCATTGATGATGATTTTACTACGTTGGTGGTAGTTTGTGTCACCGCGCCATGACTCACTCTTGTTTTGATCCATGACAGCGACCTGCATGACAGCAATTCGTGGGAAAATATTTTTTTTCTTTTTTGTCACCGTTAATTGTAAACTCCGTTAACTTGTCGAACCCGATCTTCCTGATTAGTGAGCGTTACAACACCTCACAGCTGATTCAATGCTAACGGTAAATGATGTTTTTCTGCATGATGTTTGGCACTCAGCCCGTCACACGGTAAAGAGGACACAATCAACAGGCTGGGTGACACATATCAGACACCTTTGAGGGTTCGAGGACCCTGATTGGATTTGGGCGGCACCCTGTTGAGTTTAAAGGGCCGTTGAGGGGAAATCACGACGTGGACTTTTGTAATCCACAAGTCCAAACACATCAACATAAGCTGATGATTTCAGGGCGTGTTTGCTGAGAGAAATTCACTTTTAGTCAAGATTGCAAAACACACCAAAAGATCATCTGAGGTGTTTGAAGAGGTTACAGACTCATTCGACGTTAGTTTACTCAGAGGTGCGCGCATCAGTTAGCGAGACAATCACAAACAGAGGGCATTGTTTCTGAACGAGTCTCTTTGTCTGAGTGTCTGCTCGGTTTAGCACCTGAATACTCTCTCTGAAGGCTCATTCAAACCTCCTTAAACTGTATTCAAATGATCATTCAGGGAGGCCTCAGAGAAGTAACATCTACATCTACATATCTATACAGCTGAGCAGGTGAACAATGAACTTTCCAGTGTCATCACATCCTGAGTGCTCGCTCCATTACACTATCCTCCTGTGTGTTCACTCCAACACCTGTGAGCTGCTCCCTCACAGTGTGCCATTATGGAGGGGAGGGGAGGGGGGGGGCAGGTATAACCACACCTATGCTGATTTTCTAATGCCTCAGGCGTGGATATTTCTTCCTTATTGGCAGCAGGAATACGCTGCCTGACCTTCTGTTTGGTCGCCTTTTATCAGATTTTATGAAATTGGAGCAAAATTCAGAGACAATCAACGTAAAGTTCAATCTTTAGAAACCAGGGAGCCGTATAAAGAGGCTGTGGTTGATATTTTAAACACTTTAAAGGGACAATCTGTTTTTTTTTTTTTTAAACTTGATAATTAAAGGCAGCACATATTTCTTAACACATATTCTATAAAGCAGATGTTCCTTTCAGTTCATGTCTTCCATGAGACTGTCATTGCTGCTTAATTCTGATTTCATGAAAATACAATCCTCGGAGAAAAAGACGCTGATATGTACCTCACCATAATAAAACACTGTGACTTTACATTTTTAAGTTATTTTTTCAGCACAATAACGGCACACATTAGATTCCCCTGATCACATTTTCTCTCCTGAGGCAGTAAAAGTCTAAAAAATTCAGTCTTACCTTCTAGGATGTAAACCTTGAAGCCGCTGCTCATCCGAGTGATGTAGTGGAAGTTCGCCACAGCCATGTCTCCTCCTTCCTTTTTCTCCTTTCTTTGTCAAACACAGACGGACACCTTGACTTGAAGAGCGAGCCTCCACACAATGAGCCTCTCTGAAGGATTGTATTGGAAAGGTAATGAGATGCTGCGTCTGAGCTCAGCCAGGTAAAGAATCAGGTGAGTGCAGATAGGTGCAGTCACTTCCCTGTGACTCAGTCCTCGTGCTGGGATTGGCTGCTGCCTGGGCCAATCAGGAGGCCTCCTGTGGTCAGTGTTGTTATTGTCCTGCAGGAATGAGCTCACAGGTGAGTGTCTGAAAGGTACAAAGTGGAGTTTCTTAAAGTCAAAGTCACACAGATCCACAAAATGATTCAGTCACTTTTAGCTTATAACTCTTTTTTTAAATTCTTAAATCAAACTCTTTAGATTTCCTTCAGGAAGGTAAATCCACTCTTTGTTTTTCCCTGCCATGATCCAGCACCTGTCCCCCTCCCCTCTCCCCTCTCCCCCCTCCCTCCCTCCCACCTAATCTGCAATCTCACCAAACTGCATTTTTTCGAGCTCTTAGCCCACCGGAGCTCCAGTCATTCCTCTGACCTGCCTGTACACGCACACACGCAGCTGCACTCAGAGCCTGCCTCACCAGTAATCCAAAGGCTTTTGTTGATGGCCAGACAAAGACTCTTAAGTCCTGAAAATGTTCCTGCCATGAGAACAATCTCGCCCCAGCGTACAGAGGAGTTTGCACGCAGGTAGAAATTCTACAGACGCCACAAACTTCAATATTCTGCAACACTGGAGTTTCAAAATAAGTCATAAATATATTCTTTGTGTAGAAATTTAAATAATTTTCAATATTAATATTTGCACTTTGTGTTTTTGTGATTTTGCCAAAAACGTCCTAATAATATAGAATATGTAAGCATATTTAAAAACATGCAATGCTGCTGTAATTGTTCTCTTTTTAGTGTGATAGGAGTTACTAAATGAGACAAAGCTGCACACCTGAAGGTCCTGCAGTCAGTGCATACAGGTACAGTGTCACACAGAGCTCAATACAAGCTCAATGGTGCCACCTAAAGTCGTGGTCTACAATAACATGCCCCTAAAGTCATCCAGGTGTGCTGCATTATGCATAATATGTGAAATGAAAATACGAAAGTGCTGCTGTAAAGAATTTTTACCTGATGTCAGATTCCTAACATCGCTCACATTTCAAAATGTGAAGAATTGGAGTTTAAAATGTGAAGAATTTAACCCTGTTTTTCTTGTTTTTCAGCTTTATTACCTCATTTTAGCACCTGCTGTTTTTTCCCCTAAATGATGTAATTGTCATTTCTTCTGATGCTGGAACAAAGTGTCCACGACGACGTTACATCACAGCAGTATATATGTTGGGAGTTTGAATAGCTGTCACTTTATTTTTAAATAGTGATTTAGTGTGATTTAGAATAACCTCCAAATTTTAACCGCATCTGGAACAGCTATGAAAAGGCCGTATCCGCTGATCGTAACCATTCAAGTCAACGTGTCAATTTCCACCGACTTCTTTCCGTTCCTCTGCTGATCGCCGGACTCCTCAGCTGATCACAAGAGTTCTATTTTTTCTGGACACCGGAGCATGGCGGATAAATTCAGCACAGATTAACCCGTGCTGGAAAGGAAGTCGGGCACAGACACAAAATAACATCCTGACCTACAACACTTTTTTCCTCAGGTTGGAAACAAGCGTGCTCACCTCTAGACTTTAAAAGTTACCTGAACATTTTGTCACTTTTTATTTCATCCATCTATCACTTCTTACTTTACAAAATTGTGATGGGTCAGTCCAATTCACCGCAGCAGTCCACAGGAGCTCGTTCTTGAATGTCGCCCCCTGATTTCCTTCCTCTCTCCATGATCCTCTCTCTTCTGAACAGCTTGCAGATGCTTCCTGTTCTGGTGGATTTCTAACTTCTGTCTTTCTTTCTGTCTTTCTTGCCAGGATTACTTGGATTGGGTCGGCTTGTTCAGAAGAGATTCACACCTCAAAAATGTAAAAGCAGGAAACTTCTTGTGAAATGCACGGCTGTGTCATTACTAAATAAAAGCAGAAAGGAGAGGGTTCATCCTCTCTCTGTATTTTCTCTCAGTTAACTGTAAATGAAGACAGAGCTCCCATCTCCTCCAGATGCTCTCCTGTTATAAGACTGGAAACAGCATTTTTCTTGGACATGTTTCATTTTCCAGGTCCGGGTCTGTCTGACTCCCGGGTCTCTGTCATGATCTCTGGCTCTGGGTGTCACCAACAGATGGCGCATCATCAACAAACCTTTATTGACTCTGCTGGAGATCAGAAGTCACACCTAACCCCAGCTGACAGCGAGGAGCCTCTGCTGCTTTATTGATCTCACCAGGATGCAGCATCACATCAACAAGCTGCACCCTGAGGAGTAAACAGCAGCGAGCTCAGATCTCACACCCTGCTCTCATCAGCACCACCTCACATCAGCTCAGAGCCGCGTCAAGTCGGACACACACAGGACAAACAGGACAGGAAGTCAAAGTATATCAGAGTAAAAGACCAACGACAACAAGAATTATACAAACACTACTACTACAACTGATAACAATAATTATTATTATGGGTTTTATTTTTTTCACAGAATTAAAAAATAAGTGATGTGTAGAAATAGGTTATTAATTCTACGCCCATGTGAGGTTCACCCAAAGAAGGCCGAACCTACATACTTCAGTAGTAGGGGGGAAACAAAGATAACATCAGAGTTAAGAAGAATAATTACTTAAACTGTAACGGTGCAAAGCATTAATAAAAATTCATGATATAGATGTATGATAATTCGTTTAGATTTAAAGGTTCTACCATGGTAGTAACAGTAGATAATTTTATAAGATGAATTATTTACACCATACACAGAGTATAGACATATGCATGCATGGACTGACACACATAAATAGTGTTTAAGTTGCAGATACATATACATTTATTGTGAAGAAAAACCTGCTATAAGTAACTATGCTCAACAATGAAAAAATGACAAGTAGGGAAAAATGAACATAAAATAAAACAAAGAAAACTGTTTCCACAGACTAAAGTAAACAAACAGAAAATCTGTATCATCCTATTCCCTTTCTTCTTTATTTATCTCAAACTTTAGGAACAACGACAAAAAACAACTAGAAACAAAAACAGCGAACAAAATAATACATCTGAACACCAAACAACTGTACATGTCAAGGATAAATTTACACAACATATGTTTGTCAAAATAAACAGTTTGAGAAGGAATAGACTGAAGCGAAGAGCTTAATTAGAGATTTTTTAAAAATCTGTTTGTATAAATTACAAAGATCTGTATAAATACCTACAAAATATACACAAGATATCTGCTCAACACTATAAGTTACTGATAATAATTATTTGCATATTATAATAACTATCAGTGTTAAAATATTAAGAATTATTATTACTTCTATGCAATCAAGTATATCTAGTATAAAACCATATTTTTGTTATTTTATTTATATGAATCTTCCAATACTGCTCCATAGTTTGATGTAAATATATATATATATATATATATATATATATATATATATATATATATATATATATAATATTCTATATTTATGTTATTGGACATTTTTAAAGTGACATCCAGGCTGTTCCAGAGTTTAACACCACAAACAGAAAACAAATGTATGTTCACCCCTTAGATTATAGCCCCTCTCTCTGGTTTGGAACATCTCTGGTAGGTTTAAAATTGACTGTCATTTAATTTTAACAATTTTGATTTTAAAACAGAGGGCTGGTGTGATCTCTGTGTCCACAGTGATTTATGATCCGGATAACTCTTTTTTTGTACTGTGTATATCTTTTGTAGATTGGTCTTACAGTAAGAGTAAGTTTGGCAGGATACCTCTCTTACTCTCTTAGTCGATGTGATTATTTTGAAGGCTCCACCCGGAAGTCCTCTCCTGCACCTCACCTGACTTGACCGTGGTCCAGGATCCTCTCCCTCAGGAGGACAGGGAGTGACGCAGGGCAGACGGAACAAAACCGGGGGATCGAGGGGAAGGAAGGACGGATGATCGGCGGAGCTGGAAGCAGAACCGGACCTTTAAATTTCACAGGTTCGAGTCCAAAGACCCGCGTGCACAGAGGACATGAGAGTGTAGATACCCCCCCTCCCATCATCATCATCATCACCTCATCAGCTGTGGGGCGGATCAGTTAAGGACACACTTCCAGGTAGGTTGTTATGACACTAACTATGATTGGTGTTTGTTTGTGGAGGTGATCTGATTAAAGCAGGTGTGAGTGTGAATTTTAATCTGTTTATTTAAAGAGTCAAATATGGTCGGTTTGGTGTTTGCTCTCTCGTCTCTAAGGCTTGTCCCGTCAGCTGATCAGTCACGATTTTTGACTCCAGTGTGAAAATCGGAGTGTGTTTAATAAACGAGGACTCCTCTCTCTGTAGGTGACATTCATCCTCCATCTGCTCATGGAGAACTAGCCTAGTCATCCCCTTAAACCCCTCAAGTTGAAAATCGCTCCCAGTTTGAGGATTTTTGGACTCCTTCTCCGTCTCCATCATGAACTACCTTCGTCGTCGACTCTCGGACAGTAATTTCATGTCCAACCTGCCCAATGGGTACATGACGGATCTCCAACGCCCCGACTCTCCGCAGCAGCAGCAGCAGAGCCCCGCAGTGTCGCCCGGGCCGACGGAGAGGCGCCAATCCACCAGCCAGCAGCAGCAGCAGCAGCCTGCGGGAGGAGGAGGAGGCGGAGGAGGAGGAGGTGGAGGCTCCAGCTTCTTCTCCTCCATCTCCAACGCCGTCAAACAGACCACAGCTGCTGCGGCCGCCACCTTATCCGAGGCGGCGGACCGCGCAGGGGTCTCCAGCAGCGCCAAGATCCTCCTGGTGATCGATGACCAGCAGACCGACTGGTAAGAGCCGTGCGCAGATCCAGATCCAGATCCGTGCACGGGCGTCTAGACTCAAATGTGTGCCAGACTGTGGGCTGCAGTGGCCTAACATCTAGAGGTCATATGATTCACTCGGTGGTGCTGGAGGTTCATCACGTGTTCACACACACACACACACACACACACACACACACACACACACACACACACACACACACACACACACACACACACACACCCTGCAGATGCGTAAAAAAGCGCAACAGCCTGAAACCGTTTCCATCAGACCATCAGCTGTTGCTTCATCCTGATTTAGAAACACTGGGACAGAATAAAGGGGTGGGTTTCTGCTGCTGCTGCCTCCATGATGATTCGGGTTTTTTTCGTTCAGGTGGGGTGCATGTGAGGACAGCGCACTGCAAATATTCATGCACCACACCGAGCCGCTCCTCCTCACCAGGGCGGAGAGTGAATACTGATCGGAGCGTTTTGCACAGTCGGAGGAGGTGAAATGTTCAGTTTAGTCTGAAAATGACACCTTAGGTGGTGGTGGTGGTACATTCAGCAGATTTGAGAAGCCTGCAGCCCCCTCCCCACAACAGACAGAGACACCAGATATACAGACACCATTTAATCTTATTAATATGTCCAGTTTTCATTCAGCTGCTCACTGTAGATTTACCGGTTATTTGTGTTGAATAATGAAACCTTATCCTGATGGTCTGTAACAGCAGAATCCTGCACCCCTGTCACAGTATCTGCATGAGGTGGCATCATCAGCTGACTGTGTTCGATTCTTCACTCTGATTGGCCAAAACCCCATGGCATACTAAATAGGGAGGGATTAAAGGGGGTGGCTCAGGGCTTTTACTGCCATATTACTATTTTCTTGTGATACTCTTTAAAGTGTTATTCAGAGGAATAATAAATCTGTTTGAAACTTAAATGTCGTTTTTTAGAGAAGATATAATCCGGTATGTAACATTCAGCTCAGGAAGAACTCTCCCTTTGGTTTTTTAGTTGATGTTTCAGCTCTTTAAGGTTCATTTATCGGCTCTTAAGACCGGGCCCTGAGTCAAGTCCTTCACAGCTGACACCCACTCCCCAAATGAGCACAGATAAGAGTGTAAAAGTGGAGACAGGATTGTGTGAGATGGTGTGTTGAGTTGGTTTCATTCTCACCAGTGTTGGATAAAGGATTGTCTGTATGAGCAGATGTCGAATATTTACACACTCATATTTTGATTCACAACTCGATCAGAGACATCACATGAAGTCTGGTACTTCACCTCTGTCTAAAAACACAGCTGATTCTTTAATATCACATTTTCTTCTTCTCACAGTTTTAAACTTTAATGTAACTGAAGTAGAAACTTGAAGCTGTCATTATAAGAGAAATGTTTAAGATGACATTTAGAGTGAAGAGATTTCACTCTTTCTGTCCCACACAGGGTGAAGGTCTTCAGAGGAAGAAAGGTCGGCGGTGAGTTTGACATCAAAGTAGAACAGGTAGGTTTCATATATGTAAACTTGTTTCTTGATATTTTTGATCCTCTTATGTTACTCTAACAAATAAAATAAGTAAAAGTTCTGGACTCAATGAAAGAACCGGCTCAGCCCGGTTTAAACAGAACCTCTCCCCCGGTTAAGAGTCTTCACTTTCACGTGTTTATCCTCAGATATGTCTCTTTATTTTGGAGGTGCACTGATCGACCACAGGCGTGATACCGACATAAACTGATGTTTGTTTTTGAGATGAACTAACAGGTGAATCATTTAGTTCTGCGGAGGCTGTAACTGTTTGAACAGAACCCTTTGAAAGATGAACTCCCCAGAGACCCAGAGACACCAGAGAGGACGGCTGCTCTCATTAAAGTAAAGCTGAAAGTCTGTTCTGAATGAGTAACTCAAACGGTGACGTCTGTGAATCCTGGGAGCTGGTAAATAAGGAGTATTATGGGTAATTTTTTGATGAGAGACTTTGGTGATTTTGGTGTCAGTGATGATTTGTCCATTTGTCCTCTGAACAGTCGTTCAACAAGAGCCGTAAAGTTCAGAAACCTGTTTCTGTGCCTGAGGCGTTTTCCGTCCCTTCTATTTCCGTCCCTCTTCTCCACGTTGTGTCTGCGTTTCCATTATTTCCCCTGTGGCTCCTTAAAACGAAGAGCACACTTGAGTCCACCATGTCATTACTTCACCCTGTTCGACCCGGCTGATATAGAAGAAGTGATTAACCGCCCTCCTCCTGCTCGTATTTCTCACTGTTTCTCTCTTTATAATAACGTAGATGTTTTCTTTCAGGCAGAATTCTCTGAAATCAACCTGGTGGCCAACGCCACCGGCACCTACAACGTGAACATCGACGCCATCAGGAACGGGCACAAAGTGACAAAGTGAGAGCGGTTCAGGATAATCCCAAAGCTGCTCGGTCTGCCCTGCAGTTCAGTCTGAAACTTTGTTCATTTTCTCTCTCAGGTCCTTTAAACCGGACTATGTGCTGATCCGACAGCACGCCTTCAGCATGGACAAAAATGGAGACCACAGGAACATGGTGATCGGCCTGCAGTACGCCGGACTGCCAAGTGTCAACTCTTTACACTCAGTCTACAACTTCTGTGACAAACCATGGGTGGTAGGTATCACCTGTTATCATCTGTTAAAACGACATCTTCACCTGTTGTGCAAAAGTGAAGCCAAACCCCCACTCTGATTCTGTGAAGTCGGGATCGTTCAGGTGGTGAAGATGTCTTTACATAAGACTCAGATTTAACCTGCAGGTGAGATAGCAGCGATCGCTCATGTTGGTTTAAAGTAGACGTTCAGTGACTCCTCCTCGACTCTGCAGATCTGCACAAAGCTCTGCAGGAGCCGCCTTAACCCACAGAGCTGTCAATCATTACCCTGACACCCCCACACCCGTTCATCTCTGTAAATGGATCCGGAACCTTCGTTTATTCAGTTTCTGTGGGAGCGTTCGAAGCGGCGCAGCTGTCATTAAACAGAGAAGCGGGTCTGATGGACCTTCTGCAGACCTCAGCTGTCTTCTTGTTTGTGTCTGTTGAGGCTGAAGCTGCTCTACAGTTTCAGGATTTTATTGAACACGCCCCTTTTTTTTACAGAAAGGACTTTGATTGGTCGGGTTAAGTTGACACCGCAGGGGAAATCTAGCCCTTACTTGGCAGTTAAAAGGAGTGTGAGCTGATTGGTCTGGTAACCTGTCAATCATGTTTTGACTCTGTGATCAGCACAGGATTATTAAAAAAGAGAATTTGAAGATAAATCAGCACAAAAAGATCAAAATAAAACAAAAGGAGATTTATTTTGAAAGTCATTTAATTTGTGTTTTGATTTGAAAGTCTGACCCATCTGCTAAAATGGAGGCGGCGGGCTTTATGACCTTTACTGCAGCCGGTCTGTAGGCAGAGCTCTGATAATTTGGCTTCACTTTAGGAGAGCTGTCATGTCTTCACAGTCAAACAGCTCAGGTTCGAATATTTGTGTCTTTTCTTTCTCAGTTTGCTCAAATGTCTCGAGTCCTCAAGCAGCTGGGCCCAGAGGAGTTCCCGCTGATCGAACAGGTTTACTATCCAAACCACAAGGAAATGGTGAGTCCTCCGCCATCTGCTCTCCTCCGTTTCTCCGCCCACTTTTCCACTTGTGCTGATGGGAACGGCTCCATGCTAACAAGCCTTAAAGAGACACACACACACACACACTCAGAGAGGCCGTCCCCCTGCTCAGGTCACACTGTAAGAAGGTCATCTGCCTCCATGTCAATACTCCATCTCCTGGAGCAGCTGAAGCAGAACTGTAACCCTGGGAGTGTCTCTTTTTCCACTCTGCTCGTTTTTGATTATTTGTGTGTCAAATCAGTGTCAGTACAGTTAGAGTGGGACTCGTGTCTCCACCCCTGCAGTCACAGGCTGACAGCACTGGGCCGGCTTTCAAAATATCAGCATGAATCACTCCTGTTCGCCTGAAGAGGATAGACGTCGCAGTTTTTAATCATTGGAGTGTGTCAGAGTGATAAATGTGAGCGTGCTCTCCTCTCAGATCACCTCCTCTCGGTTCCCTGTGGTGGTGAAGATGGGCCACGCTCACTCGGGAATGGGAAAGGTAGGACATCATGTGAACACGAGAGTCTGACGTTTTAAGGTTCATGTATTATTTTTGTATAGATCTGCTGCATGGCGTCTTCATAATGACGATGAGCTGGTGTCATCCATCGATTCAAACCTAATTTTTCGACCTTTGACACTCCAGGTGAAAGTGGACAATCAGTACGATTTCCAAGACATCGCCAGTGTCGTAGCTCTGACCAAGACGTACGCCACATCTGAACCCTTCATCGACGCAAAGTACGACGTCCGCATCCAGAAGATCGGGGACAATTACAAAGCCTACATGTGAGTAATCTTCAGTTTGAGACGGAGTTTAAAAAGAAAAACTTGAGCTGAAAGTGGAATTTAAACTCTTCTTCTCAGGAGAACGTCGATTTCTGGAAACTGGAAAACCAACACCGGCTCGTCCATGCTGGAGCAGGTCGCCATGTCGGACAAGTAAGAGATGGTTAATGGAGCTGAGAGGAGGATGCTGGTCCTGAATGATTCAGTGTGCTTCACTGGTTTCTGTTCAATACGTTCTCACAGGTACAGGTTGTGGGTGGACTCTTGTGCGGACATCTTTGGAGGTCTTGATATCTGCGCTGTGGAGGCTCTTCATGGCAAAGATGGAAAGGACTACATTATCGAGGTACAGGAGGAGGATCTCAGGCTGATCTTTGCCTGTTTGATTGTTGAAGATTAACATTTATTTCTTCGTTTTATCGACTTTTAGGTTGATGACTGTTCAATGCCGCTGATTGGAGACCAGCAGGACGAGGATCGTGTTCAGATCGCAGAGTTGGTGGTCTCTAAGATGAGCCAGAGTGTTTCTCACTCTTCAAGCCCGTCCACAGCGCGTGCCTCAGCAGGACAGCCAGCACAGGTGCTCAGAGACGAGGACTCACTCTGCTGAAGCTGCTTTTCTTTATTTCTCTCACTTCAGTTTTGGGCGGCAGAGTTACGACTTTATTTCAGTCGAGGAAGTATAACTAAGAGGAAGAGCAGCATCAGCTGAATTATTCACTGAATTCATACAGAATCTCTATAAATAATAGATCATTCAGTGAAACACATATGTGCTCATCTTTATGTGATTCTAATGCAAAGACCATGAAAATGGAAGATAATCTCAATGAAAAAGACCCTGAAGTGGTTAAAATATGACGCTGTACCAGAAGCTTGAGCACCCAGCCTTTAAAATTTAGATTATCGTCCGAGATCGGTGCTCAAATACCTCACTCATACAGTATTTTAATCTATATGTGATCAATAAATCATACCTAAAAGATGTCAGAACTATTGGAAACATATAATCTAGTGTCAGCAGCGTAGTGTTATATGAGCGTATCATTAGATGTTTGCATTCAATCCAAATCAGACTTCTGCTCTGTGATTTAGCTCAAGTTGTCTGTGATCCATCTTCCCTGCCGAGTTTGGATCCTCTCGGGTAAACAGCCTCGGTTTAGACGCTCCCACTGATGGCAGTTTAGACTCTGTAATTCAGATCATTTGGCTCAGCAGGAACCGACTCGTAGAGCTCCAGAGCCGAGCTGTTTACCACCAACACACGATCCCACCTCAGTATAGACAGGCGAATGTTCTCCTGCAGTAAAATGAAAATGATTAAAAACAGAAATCTGAAAAATATAGAGGTTTTGATAATGGTTGTTCAAATTTAAGTCCAGTAAAAGTAAATAATAAGAGTAACAGCGATACTTAACGATTGGTGGAGCAAAAGAAACCAGTTGAAACTGTTCACATACACAAAACAGAACAGAAACCTGCGTGTGTTGATCCAGTTTGACATGATCTGATAATGGCTTTAGTGATCGAGTAACTCCAGAAGTCAGAAACTGATCGGGTTATTACTGTGCATGGAAACACACTCAGTGATCGTGCTGCACATGCAGAAATACACACACATGAACATTTACACAACCCTGTAAAATACATGAAGACAGATCTGTCTGAGTCTGGGGTCTGCACAGCTCTTCAGTATTAAAGAGTTGATGTTTTTCACAGTTTCCAGTGTCTGAGTCTCTGAATACTCGGCCGCTGTTACTTTAATCACATCATCATAAACTTAGTCCTGACCCCTGGGGTTCTCCGGACTTAGTGGGAGCTGAATCTGACTGTTTCTGCAGATGTCTTAAATCAATCTTTCTCACTTCCTGTTCGTTCCTCCTCTGTGTTCTGCAGAGAGCGGTCTCACCTCAGCCCGTCTCACAGTCCAGAGTACCGCAGGTCCAGCAGCGCCCCTCCCCTCAGGGTAAGGACTTGATTTTTGTAGGAAAAGGAGAAAACATGATTTTTCTTTGTCTTGGCAGCATAAATGAAAAGGTGTTTGTATATTTTCTCCTGCAGGTGGTCCTCAGCAAAGCCCCCCATCCCAGCAGAGACCTCAGCCCCAGGGTCAGCCTCCTGCCCAAACCCAGCAGTCCGCTGCCACCCCTGCAGCTGATCCCGGCTCTAAAGCGACCCAAGGCCAGCCGAGGCCAGCGGGTCAGGGGGGGACTCAAGGCCAGAGACCTCCTTCTGGTCAGGGCTCTCCTCAGAGAAGCCAAAGCGGTTCACCTCAGACCCAGAGGCAGCAGTCCCTCCCCCCGCAGCAGAAACAGCAGAGACCCGCCCAGCCACCCAGGCAGCAGTCCCAGGGCTCACAGCAACAGAGGGGTCCTGGTCAGCAGGGACGTCCGGGATCAGCCACCACTCAGCAGCCGCGATCTCAAGGTCAAGGGGGTCCGGGTGGACGACCCCCCCTGCAGCAGAAGCCTCAGCCCCCGCAGAAGCCCGGCCAGGACAACCCGGCCACAGGCGGCTCGCCACAGCTGAAGTAAGTAACCGAACGTGATCGACGGCGTGGGATCCGTCTCATTTTGAATGAGGCGATCTCACAGCTGATTGGCTGACGGAGTTTCTCTCTCTTCCTTTTGCCTGAATTGAAACGTGCATGCCTCATGGGAAACCTGTCCATGCTCTCTGCGGAGAAATGACCCGTCTGAATGTGCATGATTTATCGGTCCGCACATTTCTCCGTCCCACAGCCGCAGTTTCACCAAACATTTCAGAGTCTCTGGGAAACCTGTGACACATAAATAAAACAACAAGTGAACTCATCTGTCAAAGCTTTTCTGGGGCGCAGGAGACCAAACTGAAACCTGTTTTTATATTCCATCTTTACAATCAACGCTAATGACCTTCAGTACTTACAGCCCTAAAATGTGAGGCTGTATCAGTAACAGGTCACTGTTTAACGGTTTGATGGTTGCAGATACTAGAGAAGGAAAGAAAGTGTTTATAAATCAGGCAGAGGCTCATAAAAACTCTGAGAGCTTTTGTTGCAGCCTGCAAACTTGCCCCCTGCTGGTCATTAGTGTTTTAGGCGCATTGCAGCTGCAGAGTTTTCAAACCCTAAAGATGTTTTCAGGTTTTTGCTGCAAAGGAATCTGTATGATCGCCTCTTCCTCTGCAGCGAACACAGTCTGCACCCGAACACACGATCGCATCGAAACAGAAATTCAAAACAGCAAAAACTCAAACGTCAAACTGAACTTTGGATTGTTTGATGCAGAAAAATCTGTCATCATCAGTCTGTGATAAAAACATCATCTCTTCACATCCTGATCAGTCATTCAGCGTTCATATCAATCCAGAGCGAACTGAGTTGATGAGCTGATACTGAATGACTGCAGAGAATGAATGCACTTTTAATTTTCTCCACAGCTGTCTCTTTACATCTCTCTCTCTCTCTCTCTCTCTCTCTCTCTGCCGTGCTTCAGTCTGTTTCATTCCATGGGTTTGCTGCATGACTTTAATAGCCTCTTCCTCTCCTCTATTGCCGTTTTCCTCTCTTTATAGCAAGTCCCAGTCTCTTACCAATACCTTCAACATTCCAGAAACCCCGGCGCCACGAGCCAGCCTTAGCCAGGACGAGGTGAAGGCTGAAACCATACGCAACCTACGCAAATCTTTTGCCAGTCTCTTCTCAGACTGAGACGGTAAAAGCTCCCCTTCCCCCCCTCCTACTGACAGAAAGATGGACAGGAAAAACCGAAGGACAGATTCCCCCCAAACAAGGACCAACAGAACTCCGTCTACAATTCCTGTACATTGACCCTGATACGAAAATGTACACTCGACACACACTGCCTGTTTGAACCTTCTAAAACGAGCAAAAAGTAGAAGAAATCACAGAAAAATTTAGCCACTAACGTCTGAAACATTCCTTGCTTTGCTTCGAGCTAAAGTGAGTCATGAACCTGCATCACGCTTAACAACACGACACGAACGCCTGTATATGCATGAGAACACACACGAGAATACACACACGAGAACACACACGAGAACACACACGAAGAGAACACACACGAAGAGAACACACACGAGAATAAGAAACAAACGACACAAAGCCTTCTTCTGCTGGTGCTGTGAAGTGATTTTAACCTTTTTGTTTGGATTTCGGTCGGTTAGTTTGCTGATGAATCCAGTGAATTAAGGGGCTGTATGAAAATTATCCAGGATTGTTGATACTCTTGTTAAATTTTTAGGTTTTTGAGCATCGAAAATCATATTTTCGCGCTAAAACAGCCTCTTCTGATGTTGAAATCAGCCGTAAACAAAAACTAGCACCCCCAACACTTTCTCTTCAGCTTTTTTTCCAATCAGATTTATCCCAAAAATAAAAATATATGTCTTTAAATATAAGACTACCCACATTTCTAAAGACACAATCCCACATACCCCGTAATTTTTGTACAGTCCCTAACTCAGCACACCAACGCACATTAAGTATTCAGTGTTTCGCTAAAGCTCGATCTGTCCACGCTGCGGACCGCTCATGGTGATGTCTTTGCTGCATGTCAACAGGAAGCAATGGTTGCATTCCCCCGACCCCCGACATTGGCGCTTGTAACTGTGTCGTCACACGTAGTTGCATCAGTTAGTGCAGTAAGCTTGTAGCCTGTGTTGTGAGGATGTCGTAGCCGCCACTTTATTTTTCGTTGCATTAGAACAAAAAAGCCTGAAAGCGCTCCGCCTCGAAAGCACGCCTTACACAGACGAGAGTGTCGGATCAAATGGTGCTGTCTCAGGAATGTCCAGTTGGTGGCGACACTTAGATGTGGGTGAGGGTCTTCCATTGCAGTTTTATTGTTGTTGTTTAGCCAATAATGAAGGAAGAGCATGCGTTCAAATGAGGTCGAATGTTTCTATGGTTTCATAAGCATTTGCACACAGAGTATATCGATAAATAATACTTGAATAGAGAGACACGGACTGATGTTCCAGGTCTGTATTTTCAGGGTTATTCGTCTGTTTCCTGACAAAGCAGCGACTCAGAGACTGTTTACACCTGGTGTTATCATGAGGTATCCAATCACAACTGGACACCTGTTAGTACCTGTTAGTGAGTGCACCGAGACCCATCAGTACACAGTGAGGTCTGGTAGTGGAGATTTGGTAGTGTGCAGGGGTGTGTCTGGACTTTTTAGACCACAGGGGGGCGCTCACATAAGCCAAGTTTCTATGAGGTTTAATATTGTTTTCGAACCCTCACTAACTGCTGCAGACGGTTGCAAGGTACCTGTTTTTGTTTTATAACAAGAGCCCGGACTTTAACGCTTGAATTGCGATTAATTAATAACAGTAATATTATCTCGTTAAAAATATAAACGCATATTAATCGCACCTACTGTATTTACGCACCGCCAAAGTTTCTCACCGGATGAGTTTCAGGTATACCACTTATACCGGCACGTGATATTTTTTTTTGAAGGATGGTAGGGGAAGGTCACGCCTCCTTTGCCTCTGATTGGCCAGAAAAGCTGAAAACGCCATCACACGCTCATTTTACCATTATGAATTTTTTTATTATTATTAGTTTATGTATTATTAACTGTTTATTATTTATTTATTTATTAGTAATATACTTATTTATTATTAATTAATTAATTTATTATTATTAATTTGTCATTAATTTATTTATTACTAATTTATATATTATTAATATATTAATTCATTTTTAATAATTAATTTATTATTATTAATTTATTTATTATTAATAGATTTATTTATTTGAATTTCCCTTTGGGGAACAATAAAGTTATTCTTATTCTTATTCTTAATTATTACACATCACATAAATACTTTAAATAAAATAAACCAGGTTAAAGGTCAGGTATAACGGGCCCTCGTGATCAGATCACCTCTGTGGTTTGATGAGATCTGGTGTAAACGAGTCCTGAGCTGCTGCTGCGTCAGGAACAGGTGTGATGTTGGAGGTACGGCGATCGTAAGGTTGAGAGTTTTTAACGCACAGTGGCTGACGGATAGTTTAATTTCCCTTTATTCCAAAGCAATGTAATGTACAATCTTGTGAGTGTAAAGCAGCTGCAGACTGAGTGGATGTACAGAGAGAGTAAGTGGTTTATTTTAAGGTGTTCCCAGGGTCCAAGATGAAGCAGGTGTGTTAGGATTTTGCACATGAAGTCTGTTTCATTCAGCACAGCACAGTTTGTGAAAAGAGTCTTAATAATATAAAAGCAGAAATAACACAAGTGAGTTCAGCACTTCCTTTTACCCTTTCTCCACCCAAACAACTTGAGTGAAAATCTGAAACGATCCTGTTTCCAGGCACTAAAACGTCTTCCAGGAGGAGTTCTTCGGCAATATCACGCTTTTTAGAGGAGACCCGATAGCCAGAGGTCTAAAGGAGTGGTGGTCCCCCTGCTCAGCCTCCATGCTGCCTGTGATGGTCAGTCTGTTTGTGTAGCCACAGTGACCCCTTGTGCTCAATGGTGCATCAGTGTGTGAATGTTGTTCTGTAACCGGTCAAACCAAATCGATGTGTTGTACAGAGCTCTGAGTGATATGCAGATCGCCGCCTTTATCCCCTGCTGCTACTTGTGCTTGTTGATATTCTGTGTGTCTTAAATTTCTTTGAGTCTTCAGTTCATGCCTCTGTTTTTTTCTACGAGGCAGGACAGTCTGGGGCTCGTTAGTTTATGCATTAGTGATTCAGGGCTTCGTTGTTTTTTTCACTTGACAATGACTCAGCGTCAGTTTTATCGCGGTGCAGCCGACTGCCAAGAAAATCAGGACGAGCAGCCTCGTGTTGGTTCTGCACTGAGTGTGTAATTTATGAAAATGAGCCATCAAAATTAGCACGGATGGTTACCTTAGCAAAACTCTGTCACTCAGAGGCCGTATTAATCGCCATGGCAACTCTTAAGAGTGACAGGACGAGCTGCGACAGGACTGCAGGAGAGTAGAGGTCTGATTTTTGATATTCACACATTTCCTTTTCAGAGTTGACTTTATTTATGGTGGATATATTTGACTGTGAATGTACATTTTTCTTTGTTACCGCTCCTTCTCTTGTTTCTAAATGCATTGATTAACTATCGTGAAAAAAGAGGAAAATCTATTTATTTGATCTGAACTGATGCCTGCCAGATTATTATCATCAATGTAAGTGCAAGAATCAAACAGCTGAGGTTTTCATCAGTCAAAAATAAGAAACTGCGTAATGTAAATCATGGTGGAATCTTGAATTAAGTGTAAAAAAAACAAAACAAAAATACTTGATGTTAGATGCAATGTAGCTCTATTGTGTGGAAATGAGTATGTTACTGAAACATGCACACGCCTAATAAAGTCTATGACCAACAGTGACGGATTCATGTGTCATTTCTGTCTGAAAACAAACCAGTAACACCAGTTCAGGTCAAAAGTTCGACTTCAAAATGAAACAGGGACTGTCCTTATATGTGGCGCCACAATAAGAAATCACTGATATGTTCTTTATTTCAGAGATCCACACTCAGGTGACATGATGGCGTCCCAAAGTGCGGTGCAGTTCAGCCATATTTGGATCTGGAGAGTCTTGATAAGTCCTGGCTGTGTCAGGTTAGACTGGAATAAAACCACATGACCAGACCGGACCAGCAGAGACACGTGAGGTTTTACTGTCGTGAGTTTGTGCAGATTTTTGGACAACCTCAAACTGTCTGAACTTTGCAGGTTAGTCTTGAACATTAAAACTCCACTGTGCACCAGTGAACACACAGAAATACCAAACACCATTTTTTTAATCATTTCCTGAGAGATGATTAAAAAGTGGATTTTATAAGTTTTTATAAAGAAAACAAAAACTAGAGCAGAAAATAAAGTGGAAACAGAGTCCAGTTGGTTTTCCTGTCGCTCCTCTAAAGTTGATTCATGAGTTTTATTCCTATTTAAATGTATAAAACATTTTTATTATAATACCTCACTGTCCCTGTGAAACGTACTCTAATGGATCTGAATGAGGCACAAAAAGCCGTTTCTTCTTTTGGCTGATGGATCGGTGGATAGTGGACGTTTTTATCTGCCTCCCACCACGGTCTGTGAGTCAGCAGTACTCTGGACCCTGTTGGTGGTTCCAGCTCTGATAGGAGAGAGCTTCTCCTTTTTATATCTCAAATGATTCTGTTGGAGTTCTGGTATAATTATAATTTTAACATGGTTTCAGATCTGAGGACTGATTTAATCTTCCTCTACAGACTTCAGGACCGTGTCTCTTTAGGGAGGAAACTGCAGAAATAAAAGTGACTTACAAATTCATAACAGTTATTCAAAGAAGTATTTAATATTATCTATCTTTATTTATCTGCACTTGATTGTTTCATGGCTGCTGTTTCAGGTTTTGCACTGAACTGTATGTGACTTTGCTCAGCGACACTGAAGAACATTTAAAACGTCTTTAAAATAAATCTTAAAATGACTCTTTGGATCATTTTAAAAGTCCTTAAACACTAAAACTGATCAAATACGTTTTAGTAAAGTGCAAATTTAAAACATTTTAATCAGTGCCTGACTGACTATGTGACAACCGTCATATCATTTTGACCACAAGGTGGCGCAGGCCTGCAGTCTGACCACCATTCAGTCCAGTTCAGTAGCACATTAATCAGGTTATGTAAGTTATTTTACTCTGTAATGATTCATTTGATTGATCAGATCTATATGTGACTTCACACTTCATTCACTGTCTGCGTGTTTGTTTGTGTAGAGAGGAGATTACAGATTACAGATTACACATCCGTCTCTGACTGCAGCTACGCCTGGATATATATTAATATTTACTTTTGAGGGGTCTCACTTTCATTGTTCCCTTTTTTTCCGAGGCGTACATTTTAATGACTCGATGCTGAGTCATTATCGCTCAGAAAACACAAACACCGATGTGTTCATAATCCTATTAAACAAAACTAATCTGGCACACATTAACAAACGGCTCCCTGCACGCCACTCATCCCCGCTCAGCCCGTCCTTTCTCCTCCGAAGAAAGGCCTGATTCACAGTGTTTGAGGAAAAACACATGTATTATGTTCAAGTATCTTCTGGCCTTTCATCGGGGGGGCTGCAAATCTGAATGCAGCAGCTGCAGCTGAGGGAGGCCGCTGGTATAATGCACCCCACAGTCAAACAGACGACTGTGTTTTATCGGCTTGTTTAGTATAAATCAATGAGTGCTGCAACAAAAACACTCAAACTGAGATATTTGACTTTATAAAAATGACTCCCCTGGTATAAATATTTGGGCTGGTTGGCTTCCTGCAGCGAGGAGGGGGAGAGCTCAATTTTAATCACCAAATGGATCAATGTCTCTTTCCCTCGAAAGTTTTTATTGCAGACAAAACTGTCCTGAGTGCAAAATCCAATTTGCAGGCAGGATGTTATATAGCAGCTCATGAAAGGTCAGAGTGGGTTTTACAGCTCTCTATGCTTGCTTGCATCTCTTATCTAGCAGCCCAGCAGTCTATACTCTCCTCTGCACAAACGAACCCGGGCTCGGTTAGCAGCGAATTCATCATATTAGAGAGAAACTCTCATTCACACGAACAAATTCAGAGCCTCCGTCTGCAGAAGAATCAGCTAAGTGTCTTTCAAGGACAGTTAATCACAGTCTGTCAAACTGAGCCGTTTAAGGACAACTTCAGATGTGATTTTTCCTCACACACACACACACACACACACACACCAGGCCTAATCTCTCCAGTTTAACTCCTGTGACTTTGCAGGTTTATGGAAAAGGATTCAAGGATATTTCTGGATCTAGTTTCTCTGTGGGCAGAAAAGGGGAGGGCCTCACTACTTCCACTTCTTCTTCTCTGGGTTATTTCGAGAGCTGACCCATTTAAACAGCCTGGAGATGCTGCCAGCGCAGGTGCATATGTGATTACATACATTAGATGTCAAGAGTGATTTGCACATTTGATTTGATGGGTGGAAGTGCAAACGATGCACGGCTTTACTTCAGTCAAACATAAAGTGTGTTACTGCCTGTAACTAGAGCAGGACTAACCCGCCCAAGAAAAGAGCAATTTCATAAAACAATGACGTGTTTTTGTTTATTTGTTTATTTGTTAGGATCCCCATTAGCCGCGCTCTGGAGCACAGCGAGTCCTCCTGAGCGCGGCTAACGGGGATCCTTTGTTAATGAGTTTGTATCTGCTCAAGTGTCCTGTGTACTGGGAGGTTAAATTCTGGACCGAAACACTAAACTAGACTGTGTGCGTGAAAATATTAAAGCTCCTGTGAGGAACGTTCAGCTCGTGTGTATCTGGCGCCCCCTGTGGACAAAACAGTCTCAGAAAATCTCATCCTGTCGACTTTTGATGATCAAAAACATCATTTATTTGAAAACTAGGGGTGTCCCGATAAAACTTTTTCACTTCGATAAGATACCAATATTGTAGCCATCAGTATCGTCCGATACCGATATTGATCAGGTAGCGTCTTCCTCACCTCAGATCTCAGTGCCCAGTCATGTCTCCTCACCATCAGCTGCTAACTGTGTAGATGCGTATGTATGTGAAGTTGTGTGTGTGGAATTGTATGTCTATGTTCACGGGTGTGTGTATGGGTATAATTGTGCGGGTGGGAGGTTTGGGGTTTTCTTTGGGATTTTAATGTTTCATTTTGTTTTTATGCTTTGTAAGGCACTTTGTGTCACAACTTGTAGGAAAAGTGCCATATAAATAAAATAAAGTTGAAGTTGAAGTTGATCAGATCTGCCTCTGAAAAAGCAAATTTTAGGGCAGGTCGGGCCCGGTGACCTTGCAAAAATCGTAATGTTGACCCAAAAGAAAGCGTAAAAAAATGGCTCGATGGCGCCCCCTACAGAGCGCCATGAATGTCGACTTTTTCCGATCTGCCCGAAATTTTACAGGCACGTGTATTTTAACGAGATCTTTGATTTTGCGCATTTGGACTTTTTTCTCAGGCGCACGGTTAAAGAGTTATTACGCTGTTTTTGGCCCATTTTGGCCATTTGCATAAATCACGCCAAACACTCTTTGTTGGAGCTTTGAGACAGATCTGGACCCCGGCGGCCGGGTTAATGGCAGCGCTGCTGGTTTGTTTCAGTGGAATAAAAAAGTGTTTTCAGTCGTTCCTTTAGAATCACAAAGAAACATCAGTAGGCCGTTCAGATGTTGATTCAGCACTCACATGGAGATCTCTGAATGGGAAACTGTCACAGCTATTATACACGAGCCACAACTCTGCACAATTAGTACAACTCAGTACTGCTTTGCATTGTGCTGCTGCGGGCTGGAGAGCAGAGAGAGATCCATATTTAGAAGGACCTCATTGATTCTTCCTCAGCGTGGCACAAAAGGTTTGTTGTGCGTCCAGTCTTGAATAGCCGGGCCTTTAATGACAGGCCCGCTCTCTCAGACCCCCCGCCGCTCTCACTCGCTGTTTGAAAACCTGATGAAACCGAGCCGAGCGGTTTGCTCTGACTGTAATATTCCTGCAGCGCTCTGTTCCTGTGCGGTTATGTAACTGTATCAGTGTGACAATACTCGGCCACAAATACTTCACACCATCACCACCAGGAGAACGGGGAAGAAAGAGCAGGCGGCGAGAGGCCGATTGTAAACGTGGTTCCTCCCTGACAAACCTGAACGCATGACTGAGTGATTCCTGAGCCAAGATGGCAGCTGATGAGGGATGAGAGAGAGAGAGGAGTGTGTACAGTAAAGATTTAATTAAAACTCACCACGGGATGTCTTACAGCCACTCCAGAGACAGCAGAGAGGAGTTGGTGTTTGCCTGCTGCAGCTGTGAATAATATCCTCTGTTCTTACTATGACCTACATGGAGCCCACAGAGAGAGAGAGAGAGAGAGCACACGTGAGCGCAGGTCTTATTTCCACCACCATGAGGCCGCCTCAGGCCTTCTCCTTATGTCAAACCTTATGTTAACTTCATCTCCACCAGGGTTTGACCCCTTCATCTGGAGCAGGAGAGACTCCCTGAGAGCTGCTCGGTTTCTCTGCTGGGTTCGGTTCCTCCTGATGCTCCTGCAGAAACATCTTCACCTCCGTCCGTCCTCCTCCTCTCCTGACGTAGATTTTGACCGTCTCCCATCAGCACTTTACTCCGCTCCCTTTGAAATCAATTCAGCCTCTTTTGCTCCTACTCACTGTGCGTTACCATGGATACCGCTCCCAAATGGTTTGGCTCGCACATGAATTTGTTTATGAGTGTTACTTGGAGTGAACTGGAATGTTCTTTTTTTCTGCAGCCAAAGTCAAGATAATTTGCTAAATAAGCAGAGGAAGGAACGAATCAAACGAGGATTTTGTTCTATTTTATTTCCTCTCTCAGAGATGTAGGCCACCTCTGCAGGGAGCCATCAGAAAATCTCCACTATTGCACACCTTTACAACATGCAGCTTCAGCTGAGAGGGAGAAAAAAAACACAGTTTTCTAATAAGGAAAAGCCCAACAGTCCTCTGAGTTTAATCTAGTCTGATCCTCCAGGAATCAAAGTGTTGCTCTTCAGTTTCCCCATCGAGCCAAAAGCGTCCAAATACTTCACTTGGCCGCTCCTAAATCCTCACAACCCCCTATAGGAACTGTCAGGACCGTAAACCACGTCTGAGGAGGAGAAAGTTGCAGAAGGAAGGGATTGAGCGCTTTAATTCGTAGAGGACTTAATCAGGGTTCATTTGGGATTAAGGGAAGACTGGGTCCATCTCCTTTGGACTCTCTGGTTCACCGATGAAGCTCCAAACTCCCAGATGATTCAGGGCATCTGAATATTTCATACAGGTCATGTAAAGGTCCTACAGGAGCTCAAGGAAACACCCACATTCAGACAGAGGTCTGTCTAAGAGCTCTACATCGGGCTGAGTGAAATATTCACAGATTGAGGGAAACATCCTCGGCTCCCCTCCCCGGGGGTTTCTTCAGAAACAGAAGAAACGCTGAAATGTCTTTTTCTTTCTTCCCTCTGAATGCGCGCTCCTCGTTTCCTCTCACATATATTTGACTGTCCAGAACAACTGAGGCTGAGTTGCTTTGTAACAGGCTGCCACACTTGCTATTTTTGGGCCGGACTTTGTAAGCAGTGGCCTTGGCTGTGTGTTCATCCCCGCATCTCTTATGTAATCCCCTCGGATGGGAAGAGTGAAAAAGCAGAGAAAGTTTGCCGAGACTCTCCTCATCTAATATGGAGTTAATTGGAGACAGCTGAGGGCTTGTTTACTGAGCCAGCGTGAGTGTAGGAACAAAGCAGAGCGTCCGGATCCTTCCTTATGGCTCATTATGGCTGACATATCAGAGCAGCGTGATGGTTTGTTGAAACGGCGTTTCTCTCTGAATGTTGGTACTTTGTGGTTGCAGGAGCCGGATTGATTCCTGTCAGAGGGGCCTCTAATCAACACAGAGCCATTGATTTCCTCTCCACAGAGCCTATACGAGGTGCCTGAGACACCTGCTAGCAGCCAGCTGACAGACACGCATGCCTGCTCACCAACAGCTGACACAAACCGATGCCAATGCACCGAGCTGCTGAAGAGGGTGAGTCACACACGCTCGGTTAGATCCCACTCTCATCTCAGGGAGGGATGCAGCACAATGTGAGATCCACTGTACTGTCGGTCTGAATCATGTCTCGTACACGTGGTGTGTCACACAGATGGAGCTCCGGTGAGCTGGAGGGGTCGCTAACTGAGTAAAGATAATAAAGAGTGGTGATGATCAGCTGTTCAGCTCCAGTAACAACAATGTGCTCTGTCAAAGCTGAGGATCATCGCCATCTTCAGCTCCATCAGCACGCTCTCGCTCTGTGGTGATTTCTATCTGCCTTCAGAGTGCCTCAGTAAGCACTTTTCTTCCTCCTCCAGCAGCAGCAGCAGCAGTCACATGCTCCGCCGGGCCCTGCCAAGGCTCACAGCCAGCTGTCCCCATCATCAATTCAGACAATGCAGGAGGCTGAGGGAGGTGAGACTGACTCTGGGGCAGATGTGTGAGGCACAGAATGAAACCCAACGCTAACCTTGGAGGAGCAAAGACGACAAGGAGGCGAGAAAACAAGAAGTCAGAGGAAGAACTCAAAAACGCTGACTGGCTGAAAAAGGACGTTCAATCTAATCATCAATCGATCAAATTTATTTATACAGTATCAATTCACAACAGTTTTTATCTCAGGACACTTTCCAAAAAAAGAGCAGGTCTAGACCACGCTCATTGTTTGATGAATTACCAAGACCGAACCTTAAAGGGATATTTCAGCATAAAATTAGTTTAAGGTCAAACCCACCATAACACTGAGTTAGACCAACTTTAGTAACGACCGCAGGATAGCAATACACAGCGGTCTGAGGAGCCATAAACAGACCTCAACCAGAACGCCACTCTATAGCCACAAATAATGCTCAGAACAGCACCTAACTTCATCAACAGGACATATAGGGTCACAGACATAGTACTAGACACCAAACATCTTTTTAACTTCGACTCATTTCTTTAGCAAAGAGACTAAACACAACTCACCTACTCTCTTCCAGCAGACGCTTGTTTGTAGTGAGACCTCAGGCCAGTCCATTACAGACTACAGCGGGGTGACGCAGCTCAAGGAAGAACATTTATGATCATTTCTTTATTATTTCCATGAAGAAATGATCATAAATGTTCTTCCTTGAGCTGCGGCACCCCGCTGATGAAGTTAGGTGCTGTTCTGAGCATTATTTGTGGCTATAGAGTGCCGTTTTGGTTGAGGTTTGTTTATGGCTCCTCAGACCGCTGTGTATTGCTATCCTGCGGTCGTTACTAAAGTTGTTATAAGTACTTTAATTTGTCATTTATTGTCCTATTTTGATATATTTTGATTACAAGAACTTAGCGATAGTGTTCTCGGGTTAAAAGACAGAGCTGTAAAATTGTTTATATTGTTTGATGTTTAACCCGTTAGCTTCTCACTCACTTGTTTTGGTGTAAAAGTTCAACCAGAGGAGATCCCATCTAACATAGTGGAGGCAGACAAACCTTCATCCATGAATAGATTATCAGCTGGTGATTAAACTGGGACGAGGTCAGTCATTGACACTCTGCATGTCAGTGAACTGAGTCTAATACAAACTAAGTTACCTGCAGCAGCCATTTAAAATCACTGAATTCAATACAACTCATGATCACACATGATCAGCCAATCAGAGTTCAGGATTTTAATATGGATATTTATATTCAAACAGGGGGACATCTGAACTCTCTGGATCTGCTTTATTTGGAGGTTTTATAGTAAAGTTTTTAAATCCATCAGATTTTTCTTGGTGAATAAGTCAGTACTCTGTTTGTTCAGAAGAATTTCTTTAGTGTCTGAACATTCAAATCAAAGATTAGATATAAATAAACACATGTAAGTTTCAGAGGGATGGATGCTGCTCTTGTTTTATGTGTAAACACACTGATCACAATAATCATAAAAGGGAATAACTCTGGGCCAAAGAGGTCAAATTTGGACAAATGATCAATATCAACAGATCTGTGACCATCAGATTAATCAATAAATCAACCCAAAGAAATCCATCAGCAGCTACTTTGACAACAATCTTTGTTTAGGAACATTTTAGTCCAGGACTTTTCCTCAATCAGGATCAATCTTCACTCTGATCATGTTCAGCTGTTGTTTGATTAATTAAAGTCTCTGAGGGGGTCAGCTTTAGGCCTCATTACAGAGGGGTTTACAATAATCCGGTCTCAGAGATCTCAGTGTATGTGTGTGTTAAAAAACAAACAATGGGTGTGGAGGTCAGTCTAACAGTCAAACAGACTCAGTCTTATATCTCAGAGTCGACTGTTGCTGCTTTAGTCTCTCAGGGATCAGATTTCTCTGATTCCGTCTCCTGGACCTGCTGAAGTGACCCGACAAATCTGAGAGAGACCAGATCCTCCCAGCACGTCTGTGAACTTTCTCCAAACTGAAATGTCAGACTTGTTTTTCCTCCTGATGGAGAAATCTGATTATGGAGCTCCTCTCTCTCTCTCTCTCTCTCTCTCTCTCTCTCTCTGCAGGGTGGAGAGACCACCACCACCACCACCTGCAGCAGCAGCTTCAGTCCCCCATGCAGATCTCTGTCCTCAGGGCCCCATATTCGGAGACCAGACCGCAATGCTGCTTCGAGACTGAACACCCACCTCCCACCAACACCAACCTCCTTCAGCACCACCCTCCCTCACCATGAAAACACTCACAACCACGCCTCCAGAGGCACGCGCACAGGCGCAGGCTCAGACACACCTCCTCCTTCCTCTCCATCACACACACACACTCAAACACACACTCTCTCACACACACACCGAAAAAAGACATAAGCGGGAGTGAGAGCATCGCAGGGTGACGGAGGAGGAAACATGTCCGGCGGTGTGAAGGACGGCTCGGCTCCGGGAGGCTCGCGGCAGGTGCGGTAACGGGTGAAGCTGCTGAGGAGTGGGCTGGAGCTTCACCATGACCACCGCAGAGGATCCACTCACGGACGACGACACGGTAAGGCCCCTCACTCACTCACTCACTCACTCACTCACTCATTCACCCCCCTGAAATCTGACATTTCCAAACAAACTCCAGCTCGTTATTTTCTGTCCCAGCTTGAACCCGCAGCCTCCGAGTTTTAACACCGTCAATGATGTCATCCCGCGCGCAAAGGCGTTAGGTCAGCCACGGAGGACGGAGGGCCGCCCGTGCCGCGCCGTGCCGCAGCAGCAGCACCAAAATAATAAAGAGGGGTGCACAAGTGCGTGAGTGCTCAAGTGCGTTAGTGCGAGTGTTTGGTGAGGCTTCAAGGCTGACTGCGCCGCTTCGCTGTGGGGGAGCGAATCTGCATTATGGCTGAAAAAAGAGCGTTAAATTCGCGCGTCCGAGTTGTTTTTGGGAACAAATCGACCAAGAAATCAAGACAAACCCAGTTCAGAGCAGAGTTTTTAACAGGAATACAGGCTGTAGGGGGAGAAACAGCCGTGATCTCCGCGGACAGACTCTTCCATCCTCTGATAAGGTCACTGTGAAGTCTGAGTTGATGGAGTTTGCCCACACAGAGACCATGAAAACCATCCATATTGATTATGAGGTCGTGTTTTTTTCAAAACTGTGCCCTCTGTGTGTTACTCCAGGAGTGTTTCACGGTTTCTTTGCTGTATCCATGGAGACAGTCCATGGCATGTGGTCTTGTACTTGTGTAAGAAAGTGCAGTCCCTCTATTGAACAACAGCCTCGGAGCATGAAGATGAGCAGAGGCAGGAATGTGTGCTCACACTTAGTCTGAGAGGACTTTCTGTCCTCTCTGTTAGAGTCACCCTCCGCCTTTTATTCATCAAACACTTTTCTGTTTCTGGTTTTCTTTAGGAGGATTTAAATCTGTGTGTTTTTAGTGTTCAGTGGAGGTCTACTGTAGATCCAGATTTTAACAATAATCTTATTGATCCTGTTGCACTCCCATGAGGACTTCTTATTATTTAAAATGATCCTGCAGACTCTGTCAAACAACAATAGTGGGAGCTGTTGTCCTCTAACGTCATAAATCAGGACGGCTGTTAAAACTAATAAATGGCTCATCCTGCTCCTTATTAAGTCTGTTTATTTAAGATGGAGTTATAAAACAGAGTCAAGACCTTTGTCAGTAGAGTTAGTACATGTATTTGAGATTTTTCCTTCATTAGTGTCACACTTTCACATTTCCTCTCCCTCAGGTCACACTTGGTTTTTCTCAAACTGAAACAGACTTTTAGGACTTTATTTAACAGTCGGTATAATTCCACTTTTTCAGCTGATAGACATAAAACAGAGAAAACATCCTCCTAAGTTCAGTGAGTCCAGCTCTTTCTTGAGTGATGTCCATCCTCTGAAACCTCGACTGTGTGAGACTCTAAAGGAGACTGATGTGAGCGTACAGCTGCTGGGTTCGATTTCCTGAAATCCTCTCCACTCTTGTTTTGTCTGTCGAGCTCGATCGTGTGCGAGTGTGTGTGATATTGAGGTGTGCTGTGGGGACATGACAGAGAGACGGCTGGTCAGTCCTCCCTCTCTCTTCATGGTGAACAGATGGTCACTCAGGGTTAGCTTGTGGGTGGGTGCCAACAAGAAAGCCCATGTGTTTATGACACAGGAACCCATTGTTGAAAAGGCATCGTTTTCAGCCGTCAGATTTGGGGCCTAAAAAGAAAAAAACCTTTTTGTAACTGTTTAGCAGAGATCCGTGTAAGTTGGTGTTTTATTATCTATCGATCAAGTATGTTTTTTCAATCATTGGTGAAGAGAAATATCGTGTTACTTCGATTTCTGTTGAATGAAAGAGATTAAATAAGATTTACTGCATGTGCAAATAACATTTCTGCAATATCTGGATAAATACTCACAAACAAGCGTGTTAAATGTTTTCGTTATTGTGATTTTTGGAGTAATAACTTGCTAGCATTTATTTGCATTAAGAGAAAATATTTCACATAATTAATAATCATGAAAAAGAGGCTAAATGTAGAGAATAAAGAGGACTTTAAAGCTCCTTTGAGGAACTTTTAGGTCATGTTCATGTACTGCTCCCCTGTGGACAAAGTCATACTTCATAAATCCATCTGTACATTTGTTGTTGGGGTTTCTTGATAAAATAAAATCTAATCCTGCTGGTTTTTAAAATATTTTACTCATTGGGCTTTTTTAGGGTGGAGAGCAGAATAAGTTTTTGACAACAGTGAGTTTTTATCCTCTCAGCTCACCTTTAATTCAGTACAAAGTTCCTGAAAATGTCCTGAAATTAAATTAAGGTAAAATTAAGTGTCATGATCAGCCCCCTAAGTCCCCCGTCTGACTGGGGAGACCTCACACTGTGAGGGTGTGTGTGTGTAAACTGGAATGCTCTGGAGCGCGTGTTTGAAAACAACCTCAACCTGACACCAACCTTTCCCTGAAGTTTCAGGTATTAAAAATAACTATATTCTAGGTCATAAAGCTCCATAAATATGAATTTAAGTCTGTTTCATAACCGGCCAAAATCCCTCACATGAGCTTTAAATTTTGATTGGTTGTCACATAGTACAAATACAGTGTAAAGCTGTTTTTAGGCTGTAGGGTTAGTAAATAAACAGCTTCATCTTTTAAATCTGTAAACATTCATAATTACAGACATGTGTCATGTCACTGTTGAGATTAATTTACATCTCAGATTAGATTAGAGTAGATTCACTTTGTTGGACCTCCGGGGAAATTTGCCTTTGGCAGAAGTGCTGAAGAAACACACAGCTCAGAGCGTCAAGATCTGCTGTAACACAAACACGGCACATCAAACCAGGCAGCCACCAAACAAACCGAGATCACGGCATCATTAAAATCACTGTATTCAGCTTTAAGATGCTTCACAGAAAGGTTTCAGTTCACAGACTCATCCCATTCACAAGGATCTTATTATATTCGGCTTTTAAAGGAGGATTTTTACAGTTTTGAGTATGAATGCGTTAAAATAAACACGTTCATGCGCTGAATGACTCAGATTCATGAACAGTCATGTGAACGTAGCTTATTTTGGAGACAGTCAACAGTTTTAATGAGGTGTTAAAAACTCCTAGAAAGAGTTTTATCTTTAAGTTTATGTAATACAGTAAAATTCCTACTGATGCCTTTACATCATATCTGTCAGTGACGAGACTGAGTATCTATCATAGGATCTGCTCTTGTATCAAACCGTGGAGAGAGGGTAGATGTCAGCTGACCTGCTGAAGAAACAGTCATGTTTTTAGACTTTCCTGTCTAAAATATTTACAGTCAATGATTCAATTAACTGTCAAAAGTCACCATTAAGGCATGTAGATGATTAAATAAGCAAAGACTACTTTATCCACAGGGGGCGCCAAAAATGTCACTGCTGAAAAGTTCCAAACAGAAACTTTAGAAGTACTTTTTGTGATATTTTGTTGGTGTTTGTTTTTCTTCTTGTACTTTAAGATGATGTGAAAAACATCTAATCCACATTGTATTTAAAGATGAGGATTTTCAAAACATTAAAGCTCCAGTGAGAAACTTGATGCTTGTGTCAGTTTTGGCGCCCCCTGTGGACAGAGCAGTCATTGCTGATCTCATGCTTTAATCGTGTTATCTGACAGAAAAAATAATCCTGTTGACTTTTATCAGTTTAATGTAACTTTAACTGAATTATGAGTACTTAAAGTGGATTTTTTATGACAGGGCTTTTTCCTCAATCCATGTGAATTTCAGTGTATTTCAGACAAGTAAAAAACTCCTCACTGGAGCTTTAAGCCAAATATTTAGCCAACAAATTACAGTTTCAAGTGTTCACAAACATACTTGTATTTTAAATGAATATCTGTCTTTGACTCTTCAGAATAAAGCAGTAATTCAGGGGCACTGATGTTCTGGTGGTCCCATGAATACAGGCTATAGTCTATGTTACTGGTTCGTTCTCTGGCCTTTTGCTGTTTGACTTTCCTCACTCTCTATTCCCTGTATTATCTATTTTTTAATCAGCTGAAAAAGGTGCAAATGCCCAAAATATAACTTTAAAAGAAGAGTAATACAGCAGTTAATTCAGTCTAGTAAATGTAGGCGATAAGGGGGTCTCAGGGGGCTCGACAGAAAAAGCAGCTAAACCTGATGAATGTTCGGTCTGTGTGATTTGAACTGAGAAAGCTCTTCTTAGTGTGAACTCTGAGTTTGTTTCATGGTTTCTCTCTTTTCACAGGCCGTGTTGACCTTGAATCACGCTGAATGGAGAGGATTGAAGTCCCTTAAAGATGACCCGAACCCATCCCCCTGATATCCTGGCATCCACTCTGTATCGGGACTTTACTCTGAATCCGCTCTCTGACCGCTCCGTTTCTCTCCGGGCCTCTCAGCAATGTGACTTAAAAATGATCGACAAACCGGAAATCATTAACAAAAGACACTGTCGCAGCTTCGACTTCATCGAGTCACTGGATGACCCCCAGTCCTTCTCTTCCTCCATGGAGTACCCGTACAAGAGGGCGGAGCATCAGGCGCTGAACAAAGATCTGATGTGGAACGGGCTGGATCAACCGGGGCACCTTCGTTTTTCATCTCCTGATCTCTTCAACACCCGGCAGTTTCAGCAGCAGCAGCAGCAGCAGCAGCAGCAGCAGCAGCAGCCGCCCACCCAGGACAAAACCAGCCATCTCACGTGGTCGGACTCTAAAAAGAGAACAAGATCTAAAAGTACTCCAAGATCCAAGGCCACACTCACCCCTGTGCCCATCTCAGTGTCCCCTCCAGGGGCTGGGAAGGGGAGGGATGCACCCCAGGCTGCGTCAGATACCGCGAGGACTCCTGAAACACAGCGAGAGTCGTTCTCCTCCAACAGGGCTTTTCTGAACGACGTGCATCCCTCCAAACTGCAGCATCACACTCCTCTCTACGTCTCGGACTGTTTCGAGGAGGATAAACCCGACAAACCAGCCGTCACCCCTCACGTCAGGTGCCGCATGGACATTAAACCGGATGCTTCTGTTCTGCAGCACACAGCGAGGCAGGTTCCCAATTTACGGACTGACCATCTTTGGCAGAGGTACTCTCAGGCCAGCAGTAGAGGTTTATACGTGCCGCGACAGATTGTCTCCTCACCGACGCCCACTCCGAGCGAATGCTACAGCGCAGACTTCAGATCAGGATATCACTACACCAGCATGTCTCCGATCTCCTACCAGCATTTAGACATGCACAGGATGGCCTCACCCACAGCGCCGTATCTCAGTCAGGAACAGAGAGCGTACTCAAATCCAAACATACCGACCAAGTTTTTCTACACAGAGGACCCCCTTCGATACTCAGTTCACCCCTACTCCAGATCGTACTACCAGGATGATCGGTCCAGTCTAACCAGCCACGGTAGCACGATAACTGGGCCGTACGATCCGAGGACTCGCTGGGTGCACACCCTCCCCGTCAGGTCATTTTACACGGACCACCCGTCCAACAGGGACTCGGTGAACTCGGCGTACAGCAGGCCTTACTCCACAAGCGAGGCAGGATCGTACTTTTCTCAAACTCCACTGTCGAGATCTTTCTACGGAGACGAAAGTCGCTTCAATCCGTACCACATGAGCAACTCCAGGCTGTTTTATCCCAAACCATACAACTCCCCAGAGGAGCCGTACTTCCCCAGGCCGTATCATACAGAGGGTCGCCGGCGCCCCCGGATGTCCCAGGCCTTTTCTGACGACTGGTATCGCTCGAGCATATCCGGCTACTCCAACCAATCCTCCCAGATCACACCTCCAAGAATCGGGCAAGACCCCAGTATTCCCCCTTGGTTCGCCAACAGCTGCTTAGAGACTAGCAGGCTTGGAGCAGAGGTCAGAAATCACTCCAAGTCTTGGGACAATATTCTGTATCCACGCCATGAAAGGGAGCCTCCGTCGGTGCCTCGCGGACGGAGCTACGAGAATCTGTTTTACCAAGCGAGGCATGGAGCGTCTTCTGAGGTCACATCTCAGCCCGTTATCCTCAACCTCTCGAGCTCACCCAGGCGCTACGCCGCCCTGTCGCTCTCTGAAAACTCTTTAGAGAAGGCCTCCAGTAATCCGTGGAGGAACTCGAAGAGCGGACACTGGTTTGTAACTCCAGAGATCACCATAACCGACAACGACCTGAGCGCAGGTAAAAACAAGCGGCGTGATGTGCACTCTGTTAGCTGGGATACGTTGGATGGGGATAAGACGCCGTCCCCTCGAGTAAAACAGACATCCAACACAGCGGACTCAACCAAAGACAGGAAACACAACAACTTCTCTCTTCAGCAGAGTTTAGAGCAGCTGGACGAACTCTTGGCTGATCTGGTCATCGATTACAAACCGCCGACCTCCAGGAAGTCAAGTGTAGACCTCTTAGATCAGCTGAAACAGCTCATCTCTGAGGACGACAATAAAGACAGGGGGTCATCTGGGCTGGAAAACCTTGGGGGTCTGAACACACAGTCCTCTAAATCCAGCCCCGACACCATCAAAGACCCTGACAGCGGATGTGACGCTTTACAGAGGAGCGCAGAGGAGTGCTCTCCGGACCACAGCACAGATGAAGACGACACCATGGTGTGTGCTAACAAGAAGTGCAACCGCACAGAGAACATGTTCAACGCCTGCTTGTACTACAAGTCATGCCACAGTTGTTACACCTTCTACTGCTCACGAAACTGCCGAAGGGACGACTGGGAGATCCATAAAGAGACGTGTCTGTACGGGCGGGTCAACAGCGTGTGTCGACACACTCTCAAGTTCTGCCGAGAGAATTCAGAGATCCACAAAGCCTTCTCTCGGGTGGCTAAAGCTGGCTACCTCTCCAGAGGAAGAGGAGTGCTCTTTCTGGGTTTTGCAAATCCAGAGACGGCTGAAAACTTCCTGCAAGTCGGGCTGGAGAGCCTCCTCATGTCTCCCACGTACCTTTCTCTCAGAGAGCTGGACGGCTTCAAGGACAACCTTGGCGAATACTGCAAGGAGCTGCAGCTGGCAGGCAATGAGTACGACCCCAATGAATGTTTTCTTCTGAATGTATCCATAGCTGTTGGTGAACTAGTGCCTAACAGACCCTCACCGAGGGTCCAAGCACCAACAGTTCGCAAATATGCAAAGGTGTCCTTGGCGTCGTCGAGCCCTGACAAGAAGGTGCTGAAGAAGGAGAGTGAAATGGAAACGCTCATCCTCACTCCGCCTCCGGGCACGCCAGACATCGACAAGGAGGGCGAGGAGGGGAGGAAAGCCAGGGAGGTGTGCTTCGTCAACATCCAGCGTGAGCTCAGGACCAGAGGAGTGTTCCTTCGCCACGAGTACCCGACTATCTACAATCAGCTGTGCGAGTTTGTCGAGAGCAACAAGAGGTTCACTCCGACCACGATTTACCCCATCGATAAGAGAACAGGGAAACAGTTCATGTGCATGATCATGGCTGCTTCTGAGCCCAGGACTCTGGACTGGGTGGGCACCCCTCATCTCCTGGATGACATTATATAGAAAAGCACTAAGTTAGTATTGAAGATGATGTCAGCTACACTACATGTACATACGTGTAAATACATGGTGTGTGGATATGGAATCATGTTAATATATGTGACCAATCTCTCTCTCTTTCTTTTTCTCTTTTTCTTATATTTCTCTGTCCACACTAACACACACACACATACAGTGCACACACACACACACATGCACACACATAAATGCACACACACACACTCTTTTAAAGGTTGTCCTCTGTTGTTATTGGCTTATTTTGATCCTGTTGCACTCAGAAGAGTAAATAGCCTGCATGTAGACTAGGCACAAACCCAGTTATTCAGGTGTTTAAGATGTGAACATGTATGATCTGTGCAGTTCCTGCTGACAATGTATGAAGCACACAATATTTATGATGAAAACGTCTCATCGCCACCAAATAATAGGCACAGCCCATCGCTCATCCGACTAATACGAGACATCCACTCTTGATATCTCCAACAAATGCTCTACTGTTGCAGTGGTTGTCATATCACAACGACTTCTGACTTCCAAGTGTTATTTCCCCAGTATTCTGTATTTGTGTGGATATATTTTTAAATGAATCTTTATTATTTTGAAAGCTAAAGATACAATCAGGTCCGCTCTTTCTCCCCCACTTTATTAGAAATGTTGGTTTAAACTCATCTCATGATAAGACTTGATGTCATCCTTGTGTAAATTGCTTTGTTTGAAAGTGGCCTTCAGTCGTAAAATAAAAAAAAAATGCATTTGACACAAAGCAATGTATAGGTAAAGCTCTTTGTAAAGCCTTGACAGCTCTGGACTTCGGTTGTTTGAAATACCATTGTAAATGAACAATTATTTTGCTCAAAGCATGTTATTTATATTCAGGTATTTTAATATTGATATTGCTTTAAACTAAAGTTATTATGTTAATGAGATACCATTTGATGCTTAGAAATGTAAGAGGTATATATATTGAATATAAAATAATTTGAACATTATGACCTTGAGACCTTATTGTAACGAGTTCCACATTATGTTCTTCAACGATATGCAATAAAAGAGCAACCTTATCACCCGTACCCCAAAGTCCTATTTTATTAATATAATGAGTAATTTCTTGGAGCCGAGAGCTGCAAAGACTTTGTTTGCACTAAAACTGAAATTATAATCCAGAATGTTCTTAACACAGCTTCAGCACTGAACACACATATAATAATGATGATGATGATAAGCCTGCGTCTATTGCCAATGTTGACTAATCTAAGGTTGCTCTTTTACTTGATGATATATATATCTTTGTGCAAGACCTTCCTCAACTTTCTATTTTGTGATGTTTATAACCCATATATAAATATATAATAAATGGAATTTAACAAGCTATCGCTCACCTTTGCCTTTGTTTTCTTTCAGGTGTTTCATGCTAAGAGCAGAGCAGACGTACACAGAATTATGTACCTTTATATCATCTGCTGTGATATATTTATATATTTTTATCTAACCTTTATTTAACCAGGTTAAGTAAAGGTTAAGTTAACCCCTTTTTTCTGATACCTCAGAAATATAAACAGCATTTTTATAGCACATACGCAGAGGTAAAATAGACAAACCTCTCCTTTAAACTGTACAAATCGACTACGATTTTTTTTTTTTAAAGCTGAGTGGAATTACTTATTTTTATTTTTAGTGCAAAACTGCATAAAAAGTACCAGCTTTGAAATCCTCCATGATAAAATAATAAAATAAAATAAAATAGTTCCTCCCTCAACCAACCTGTTGTCAAAGCAACAGGATTAACCAAGTACGACCCCAGTTTATGGTCGGCAAGTTTTTGCAGAAACAGTTATTTTAATGGAGTTTATGGTGTGAAGAAATGGCTCACTGGATTGACGAGTAGCAGATATTCAAAGGAGATTTAGTCAATATATCAGTGGCTGCTGTATAAAAGCACCAAGCCTGCAAACAGATGCATTAAAATCCTCATTAAATAAATAAATAATATAATCGTTGAATGTGTTTTTATCTTCCTGATCCATGTTGATGCATCAGGTTTTTTTCCTTAAGGAGTGTCAATGTTCTCAAAGTGTTATTGGATCACCACCTAGTGGACATGTACATGTATTACACTTTATTAGTATGTGCTGCACTGCACCCAATGTCATGTCCACAAATAGCAGATTTAGGACACACACACACACACACACACACTACCTGAGTCAGTTGCATCAAACCAAATTTTTATCCTAATCGATCATTAAACTCTCTACAAACCTCACCTTTATCTGTCAGTGTATAAACATGAAGAGTGCTGAAACATTTACAGTTAATGACTCCAGTCCGCAGCAACATGAACCAGCAGAGTACATCAACAACAACAACCACAACAGAGCGACAGCAAGTGACTGTATACTGAGGGCAGCTATAGCCTTCATCCAACAACAAATTAAAGTACACGCTTAAAATCCATATTAGATGTAAAATGTGTTTTAAATTGTAGTTATTATAATAATTAACATATTTACATAGCACCTAGTGGGAAGTGGGAAGAAGTTGAGACTTATCTAGTCCCACCCCTTCTCCTACACTAATCGTTTAAATGTATATAATCATAATATTATATAATGATATTAATCATCATAGTAAAAATAGCAATAAAAATAATCACCACAGTGAAAATAACAAAACAACAATAACAAAACAATGATGATAATGATAAAGGTGGCTATGATTGTACATCTCTGTATCCCGTGAAAACAGATTCTTTATATTTTGTTTTAAACTGTTTTTTTTATGATTGAAAACATTTTCTTCTAGTCAGTTTTAATGTAGTCGACCTTTTCTGAGTGTGTTTTTTTTCTTGTAAAACTTAAATTTTCAGTAACTTTCCCAGCTCCTGTCTGTTTCTCCGATTTTAGGTGGACTCTCCCTTTTTTGAGCCTTTGCGCATGCGTGTTGCGCATGTCTCCTCGTGATGACAGCAAATGACAGCAGCACTGTTCGCTCGTGCATTAGACAGACGGCTAACCGCCAACAAACAACCCCTCTGACTCGACTAATCGTTTTATCAGCCGTGTTTAGACAGACTGTGAACAACCCCTACACGGTAACTCCGTCTGGTAAGTGACCGAATCGATGTTAGCGCGGTTAATCGACCATATTTGAACCCTGAAAGAGCGTGTAGCCCAAAGCTAAGCTACATAGCTGCTCGTTAGCTCAGGCTCACTGACGTTAGCGGCCACTTTTACTACTTTACTGTCTGTTCTGTCTCTAAATCTGTGCTAATATACTCCTGTTTAATACAAGACACCCACTCTGTTCTCTCTAGCTGTGTCAGTTTCCCTCCTAGCATTAAACCTGAGCTAACCTGACGTTAACTACGTGTTTTATTAGTGAACGTTAACCGATTTGAGAGTGTCTGTGTTGGTAATCTACGCTAAACTAACCTAGCATCCGGTAACAAACAGAGAGTGAACCCAGCCCATGTTATTATTGTTCCTCCCTCTGTTTGGGTAAATCTCGGTAGGCCGTGTGATTATGGTTCAATTAACATCATCAATATTAATAAAGAGGAAATTACCATAAAGTCTGTGTGTGCATTAGGAGCACCGTAATGATGACTCAAGTACAGAAATAATCAATAAGGTTAATCATTGATGCCTTTTTATCAACTTTAAATCAATATGACTGTTTTAAGACATATTACTGAGAACTATAGAGGGTTTAACTTCCCTGGAGAAGAGCTTCATCAACTTTCAGAGATAATTCACAACATTTCAGGTACTTATTTATTTCTTTATATCCCAGTCTGATATTAAACTTGAATTATACTGATATGAAGAACAAACTCAAACCTGCTTCTTTACACACCGATCAGCCGTAACAAAACACACACCTGGGTAAAATAACACACACTGTGCCTGCTCATGGAGCTTCACCCTCTTAGTTTTTGTTGACTTGGTCAGACGGGTGATTATTGTTCTTTAAATATTGGTTCAAAGTGAAGTAGATGTCAGGAGCGCTGGATGGTGCAACCGTTTATTCCTTTTACAACATTTGGGATTACCTGATGGAGAGTTTGGCAGTTTGTGTTTTACTGGTCTGTGTGTGTGTCTGTGTCTGTTTGCTAAAGTTTGTGGGCTGTCTCCATGAACAGGACAGAGTTTGGGTTAGGGGTGGGTGATAAAAAATTTATCACAACAAGATTTGCCATCCTGACGATAACGATAAAAGACCTGATGAAAATATTATAATTCCAATCTGTATTTTTGACTCAGTTTGTCTTGAGAACACTAGTTGGATTATTAAAATAAGATACTAGGTAGGTTATGGAGGAAACTAATGATATGAAACGAGTCTTATTTGTTAAAAACTCTTGTTGCACAGACTAGCGTGAACAGCAGCAGATCTTCTGTCCGATGTCAGACAGACCTAATTGGACTCATCTAAACCCTGATTTTGAAGGAAATCCCTCGTGTGGAGCCTCGTTCAGTAACGACCTGCTCAGAAACGTCTTCTTCACCACCTTTCGCCATGTTTGTTTGTTTGTTATTCTGCTCTGTGTGGGCCATGGCTGTGAGTCTGTCGCTCATACTCAACTTGCATTTATTGTGAGATGGCAAATATTTATCATAGATTTTCCTGACGATATATCATGAATGATAATTTATCGCCCATTCCTAGTTTGGGTCTTTGTCTTTGAATATTAGACTCGATAATAAACTTCCCCCTGGTTGACGATGCTTTCACTCATCCTCCTTATAAGTTGTGATTCTAGTCGGTGACCCTCTCAAAAGCAGGTAGGAGGAGGGGCTGAGTTTTCTTTACAAGTGTTGATGTTACAGTTTAGCATAAAAGCTCCTCAGCAGTGTAAATTATAATCAGTGTTCCTCCTGGAAACCTTTATAAGATATTCTGTAATTTACTTAATGACCGGCCTGATTCAGAGTAACAAACAATCAGGTTAATGCACCAGTTTCAGCTGTAACTCTGTGTTCTGAAGGCTTTATTCTGCCCTTTATTCTGTATTTGCTGTGGAAACACTGAAGATAAGATGATGTGTGTCGTGGTCTTGCCTCAGGTACAGTTTCTTGTTTCCGAGCCGCTTACCTGCCCACCTCCTGAAACCGAGAATCCGACCTAACACTCGCCCAACTTTCAATTCATGTCAGTTTTCCCTCTTCGATGGTACAGAAAGGTTTAATTCTGACAGTTTGAGGTTCAGTACCTAACCCTCCTGGTGAAAAAAGGCCCTCATCAGCCTCTTCAGCTGCTGAGCAGTGAAAGACATTACCTACAGGGAAGTGTGAAGAGGATGTTGGCTCCAAACCATGAGTACCTGTTGTAGAAAGTGAAATCCTTTGAATGTCTATAAAAACCCAGAGTTTCATATGTTGGTCTGTAGGTGTGGGTGTATTAGATCATGTTGTGGGAGGACAGGGCTGAGATCCAAACACCTCAGCTCGGCTGCTCTTGGATTTTTTTCCCTGAGTGTTGTTTTTCTGCTTCCCTTTTCAGAAATAATTTCGACCTTTACTCTTTCTTCATTACATAAGTGCTTGGACTTGGCCTGGTATTTTCAATCCTCAGTTTTCCCTTGGCTCTGTTTCTTGTCTCCTGGTACCTTGTTGGTATAATTTTGGCTCGGAGCAGATGTTATGGTTGAACTGTTTGCTCTTCTCCCTCCTTGTAACAGGAGTCGGCGGCCTTCCTGCTGCAGCTACTGTTATTCTCACACAACTGGGCTGATTTGCCTGTTGTTTGGTTTCTCTTCTGCTTTAGAGTTCCTCAGCTCTCTCTCCATGTCTGACTCACCAGGTGGCTGTAAATGGGTCAGATTGTATTGGTGCTGCTGATGGGCACAAGAGGCTCTGACAAATGGCAGTTAACCTCCGAGCGAGCCACTAAGCAGCTAGTTGCTTTTTCACTTCCTTCCAAGTATGTGAGGAATGTGCTTATTCAGGAGCACAAGTATATACATGGGAGTGCTTCATGTCAGAGTTACCTGTCAGCCCAAAACAAAAGTGACAAACAAAGATGGTTATCTTCACTCTAAGCTGCGTGTCAAGATCTGCAGATCTGGTAAACTGGGTTGTTTCCGTTGTTTTCTGATCTCACTCAGTTTTTGTAATCTCACTCTATCTGTGAGAAAAGGTCGACTGAAGATGAGGGCTGAAATTATACTTCACTAACTTCAGTTAGGTTAATTAAATTAACTATAAGGTGAAGGATTATCTACAGAGAAAGGGTGTTTTCTGGTGTTTAATACAGAGACAATGATGAGGATGATGGTAGCAGGTTACTGTTGTGTGATTTTGAGAACAGAGTCGATCATTTTGATTCTTCTTCAACCTCTTGATTGTTCAGTTTTGTGGCTTTTCTCAACTTCTCACAGTTTTAAACAGTGTCTTTAAATAATGTTCAGGTCACTTTATTTACTTCATGGCAACTAATACAGTAAGCAGATTAACTGTGAGAATTATTTTCTAATAATGAGCCATGAATAAATAAAGTGAAGTAGGGCGGCACAATAAATCACAGTTTCATCGTTTGTAATAAAGACGTTGTGAAAGTCTGAATAGGAGAAGTTTAATTCTGTAAATAAGTAAGACCTTCTTATTTAACATTGATCCAACTGAAAGGAGTCCTGGAAACACTGACCTTGAATTTGTACAGTTTGATGGAGTCAGATACAGCTCAGAATAACTGACAGCTGACCTCTGATTGATTGATTGATTGGTTGATTGATTGATTGATTGATTGATTGATTGATTGATTGATTGATCATTTTTATTCCTTGGCTTTTAGCATGAGAGTTGTGTGGTCTCTGTCCTTTTATATCTGTTATGGTCTTTTATGTTTTTATTTCCTTTATTTTATTTCATTTTAAATGTTCTTTTACATCTGCAGTGTTTGTTCTAGTTGATTTGACTTTGCAGCACTTTGATGAACTTTAATGACTTTAAAAGGTGCTATATAAATAAAACAGGATTGATTGCTGTAAATATATTTTAGGATATATGGATATATTTTCTGGTAAAAAAGCAGATTCATTTAAAAACTGTGAGTGTTACCCAGTGTTTCCCTCTTTGATTGAATAAGTTCACTTTGTCCCATTTTAATCTAAGATATTGTACAGTCAGCACTTCGTGTTTCTCTGATTCTGCAGACCTGAAGTGAGGTGATAGAATAATAATAATTACATAATGAATTAAAAACAAAGACTTTATATTCAAACCTGGTAGATGGTCTGATGATATATTCGTGATCTGTTTTCAATAATTAGCTTTAAAATGTAGAAATAAAAGTCGATTATTCCAAATTTAATTTAATTAAATCACCAGAGTAGTTATTAGGACTCATAATGCAAGAGCAAGAAAAGAGAAATGAAATTATTCTCAATGTTAAAATGACAAATGAACACTTTTGAAATCCATCATTAGTGAAAATGTGAAACTTTCCCAAACCTTGTCATGTTCAGTTCTTAAAAACTTGTGTAATAATATAAACTCAGAGCAGATCTTCCCTCGGGCAGGTAGGAGTCACAAACCTGAAAAGGGACTAACCTGACTAATCCAACCAGTGTTTTCCAAAGTGACAACAATATTAACACTCATAAATCAGACGGGTTATTATCATTATTATTATCACTGTATATATTCAGAGTTGGCTGAGGGAATCCAAAGCTCATCAGTTTGTGTTTTAATCTGCGTATCCAATCAGATTTGTCAGGCATATCAGCAGCAGGGCTGTGGTTGTCTGTTAGCCTGTGTCATTCCCACTGTGAGGCTCTTTCCTCCACTCTCGTCTCATTCTCCTCCCTGAACCATAACTCCACACTTAAATCTGTCTTTACTATGTTTGTAGCCAGGCCACAAAGAGGCTTTTGTGCAGAAAATTCAGCGAGAAATCATTCAGATTTGATGCACTTGGCGTGGTTTGTATGTCTTGGCTGTGTGTATCTGGAAAAGGGGGGAGTGATTTGCATATTCAGCTCTGAAGAGTCTCCTGAAGAAGCTTGTGAAAAGGCTGCTTTCGCTGTTCTTGTTGAGCCAGTGTGTGAAGCTCATGGAATGCAAATGATTTTCTAGTATGACAGTCAGGAGCTTCATGAGGGAGCAGCTTCACTTCAGCCCCGAACTCGCTGAAACTTTCGGACCAAAACTTTTTCAGTTTCCTGCTTCCCTGCGAGAATCACTTTACTTTTCAATGTTTTATAACAGAAGAGACGAACCCTGATGTTCTGTGAGGCTTTCTTTCTAAAAAAGGATCCAAAGTTAAGGAATTCTTTGAGCTAGTTAAGTTAAAAACTCACCCGTGACAGTAACAGCAGAAGTGTTTTTGAGAATCTGACAGAAAAATGTTGTCTTTTTTACAGCAGACAGACAGTTTAAAGCAGCACAGGCTGTTTTACTCTTCCTTCTTTTGGCCTGAAATTTTCTAAAATGCAAACACAAGCATCTTTTTTTTCTATCAAACCCAACCTGTTTCATAAAATCATATCTCTAATTTCAACACCACAGTTAGAAAAGTAAAAAGTCTGATGTTTTCTCGTATGAAACTTTATCTATTTTTCTGACTTTTTAAATTGATAAAGAGGTGATCATCACATCTGTTTGTGTTCACTTCCTCACCTTCACTTCACTGACTTGTTTCCTCTCCTTCCTCTCCCTTCTGCGCTCCAGTCTTTAGGCTCTTTGCCCCCGTGAGCTGGTGAAGATGGTGAAGCCAGACATCCACACTCTGGCCCACCACCTGAAGCAGGAGCGGCTGTACGTGGCGTCAGAAAAGCAGCTGATCCAGAGGCTCAACAGCGATGTGTTGAAGACAGCTGAGCGGCTGTACCGAGCCGCCTGGATCGCCAAGCAGCAGAGGATCAACCTCGACCGTCTTATTCTCACCAGGTCAGTGAGCAGACCAAGGTTTTATCAGCCGGCCTGATAGAAATGAAAGTATCAACCTGTTTGTTTAACCAGGATTTGACCAGAGATTAAGAAGGACCCAAGTAATGAAGTCAATCATGCTGGCGGTTTAATATCAAGATACGCTTGAGTCACTTTTGGAATAAATCTCAGACTTTATGTTCGAAGATAATCAGTAAACTACCTTAAAACTCGATTCAGTGCCGGTCCTGACAGCTGTCAGTGCAGCAGAACTGGTGGTTTTGTAGGTTTACAGTCTATTGCCACACGGCACCTACGCTGGTGACGAGGCAGGAAGGTAAAAACTACGATGGAAAATTTCATAATTAAGATCTGTCAGTTAGTGACGTCTGTTCCCTGATGAAGACAGAGTGAATAATAACAAATAAAAGCCCAGGACACTGACTGAAGTTTGATGAGACTTGTAATAAAAATGTGACTAATGTAGTTTACTCTCTAAGTTAACTAAACACTGAAATCTGTGTCCGACATTTTAAAGATTTGAACTTTTTTTGAAGGATAAAGATGAAACAGACTCAGATCCACAAACAGAAGTGTAAACATGGTTTTATAATAAATAATAATAAACTTTATCTGTTCAGCACCTTCTTAGAACAGTTGTCACAAAGTGCTTCACAGTAAATTAAAAGTGTGAGACAAAAAATCAGCTAAAAGTACACGAGTCGCCAAAGTCCTGGTTATGTAAAGGAGAGTGCAAACAAATGGGTTTTCAGCCGCTCTTTGAAGGTGTCCACAGTGTCCACAGGTGGCCTTGTTCGCCCTCAGCCCCGTCTCTTCATGTAAAGTCAGATGTCCTCATGATGAGACTGCAGAGCCAGCATGAACGCTGATGGGTTCACGCGCTTGTCTTAAAGTTGATGTGTGTCAGTCAGCTGTAGGTCAGATGATGATGTGCCGTCGTCTTGCTGCAGTGAACTCGCTGAGGGTGTAGTTTAAAGTTCTGGTTGTTGTTGATTGGTCGATTCTTTGACGTCTCTGCTCTTTAGTGCCGAGGCTTCTCCTGCTGAATGCTGCCAACACGCCAAAATGCTGGAAGACACACAGTTTATCGATGGTTACAAGACGCTGGGCTTCCAGGAGACGATCTATGGCGAGTTCTTGGCCCGGTTGAGAGAGAACCCGCGCCTGGTGGCGTCCTGTTTGGTGGCAGGAGAGCGGCTGAACCAGGAGCACACCCAAGGGGTCATCCACACCGTCTTCACTTCTCTCTACGGAAACTGTATCATGCAGGAGGACGAGAGCTACCTGCTGCAGGTCAGTATCTGCATCCGTCTTTGGTGATGAACTTTAACAGAACAGTTGAGGAGTCTTTGTTTCCGCTTTATCGTCTTTACAGGTGTTACGATACCTGGTAGAGTTTGAGCTGAAGGAGAGCGAAAACCCCCGCCGTCTGCTGCGGCGAGGAACCTGCGCCTTCAGCATCCTCTTCAAGCTCTTCTCTGAAGGCCTGTACTCAGCCAAGCTCTTCCTCACGGCCACCCTCCATGAACCCATCATGCAGCTGCTGGTGGAGGACGAGGACCACCTGGAGACAGACCCGTCCAAGGTGACGGAGCGCCTCACTCCGGCCCAGCAGGAGCGCTTTGGAGAGAAGGGCTCAGACGACTACAAACAGAGGGTCCAGACTGCGGTGGAGGCCAACGAAGCCAAGCTGGTGGCTCTGGTCAACAAGTTCATCGGGTACCTGAAGCAGAACACGTACTGCTTCCCTCACAGCCTGCGCTGGATCGTGTCGCAGATGTACAAGACTCTGTCGTGTGTGGAGCGCCTGGAGGTCGGCGAGGTACGTACCATGTGTACAGACCTGTTGCTCACCTGCTTCATCTGCCCGGCTATAGTGAACCCAGAGCAGTACGGGATCATCTCAGACGCCCCCATCAATGAAGTGGCTCGCTTTAATCTCATGCAGGTCAGTGGATCAGCAGGTTTTCTGTTTATTAAACACTGATAAGGATCCGTCCACACAGTTCCTGTTCCTGTGCTCTGCAGGTGGGACAGCTCCTGCAGCAGCTGGCCATGACTGCCGACGACGCAGACCCTCGACGGAAGGGCAGTTTGTCTAAATTTGATAAGGTGAGGGAACACTCTGGGAGTTTTATTATTATTATTATTATTATTTTTATTATCATTATTATTATTATTATTATTATTATTATCATTATTATTATTATTATCATTATTATGATTATTATTATTATTATTATTTTTATTATTATTTGTATTTATTTATGTATTTATTTTTATTATTATTATTATTATTATTATTATTATTATTATTATTATTATTATTGTTGTTGTTGTTGTTGTTATTATTATTACAAATATTTCCCTCTCCTCCTTATCTCTGTCAGCAGAGTTGTGTCGCCGCCTTTCTGGATGTGGTGATTGGAGGAAGAGCAGTTGAGACCCCACCCATGTCCTCCATGAACCTCCTTGAAGGCCTCAGTAGGACTGCTGTCTATATTACCCATAATCAGCTCCTTGTGTTGGTAGGTTCTCAGTGAGAAAGGGTCTAAATAGTTGATAAATTTGATGTTAGCAGTTTGAATGTCTGAATGTTATAAAGTCTAGCTAGATGAATATGGTTAGACTTTTTAAAAGTAGACTAAAACTATTGAGGACAAAAGTGACTCAAACTAAAGTCATTTTAGTCCAAGACTAAACCTGAAATATATCTGCTAAAATGGACTCTGGTTTAGAGGCAGAGGGGCGTCAGAGCTCTATCTTTATTAAATCTGGACCTTACAGTCCACTAGTCAAGATGAAAAGTTTAAACGTTGTTTTAGTGCGGACTTCACACTTTAACTGGACAGATAACTCAGTGGTGACACAGACCTCTGAAAAGCTTTAGCAGGAATGATCCTGGGACTTCTGTGTTCAGATAAATGTATCCATCATCATGTCGTTTGTGTCCGCTCATGTTGTCTCAGTTTTAAATAAAGGCTCTGTGTTAATCTTCATTCAAAACTTAATGTCAGTGAATCTAGAGATGACGAATGTAAACTTGTCATCACAGACTCTCGGTCAGAACAACCGTAGATGATGATCGATGATAATCTCGTCTTCTCCTTCCTGCTCAGGTGGACTTTGTGCGGAGCGTGATGGCCGGGGACCACCTTAGAGAGGAGGAGCACATGGCTCTGGAGACCCTGCTGGCAAACGTGCCCCAGTCTCGAACCGTGAAGAGTAACAGTCTGGAGCTCACCCCCTCCAACACCCCGCAGCTCTCCCCAGCCACCACTCCTGCCAACAAGAAGAACAGGCTCCCCATAGGTACCTTCCTCCTCCACCGTCGTGTGTTTATGAGCTCCTCTGATGCAACCTGCTGTAACCTCCTGATGTGAGGATCTTGAGGAATATCAAAATTTAAAAGCAGAAAAGAGAACTTGAATATTTTGTCTAATGAGAAGCTAAATAAACAAATGGAGTTGAGCGGTGATGGCGAGTGGAAGGAAGGCCTGCGTTTTCTAGGAAGCTAATGAGCTTCTTCTTCTTCTTCTCAGCTTGTTATAAAGATAATTAGCATGGCCTGGATTGAGGCTCAATTACAGAAATGACAACCAATTAAATTACCAAATATAAATGAACTCATTTTAATTGGAATAGATGGAAAAGATGCATAGACTACCTTCATTAGCATTCTCAAGACAAATGATGCTGTAGTAACGCCCTCGTAATTAGAAATGAGCCGTTTATGTTTGCTTCTTTGAAATATGACTTTTCTATACGCTCACTCTTGATACTTGAATCACTCTGAGATGTTTTCTGTCTTCAACCTCCTGCCTTGTCCTTCTTCTTTCCTCTTGTGCTGCCAACGGTCGACCAGGACAACACTTAGCCGCTATAACATCCTGGGACCCCACAGCCACCACTCTGTCTGCTCACATTCCATTAGTAACCCCTTTTGGTGGGTAGCCCGTCAGAGTCTGAGCTGGACGATACTCACCCCATCTAACTGTAGATTGGCTGAGTGGCGTGTTAGATAACACTCCTGTAGTTCATTCTCCCGGCTGCACAGTAACCTCCCCGCTTCTCCGCCGCCGCTGCTGCTGCTGCTGCTCGGCGCCGCAGTCGTCCATCTGCTCCCACCATGCTTGCTTTGCTCTGATGTTTTTGCACTGATCTTATTTTCTAAGTTTCTCTCTTTTTTGCTTCCTCATTCAGCGGATTATGGCTTTTCATTACCAGGTAGAGTGAGGAAAAACTTCTCCTATCTTTCCTCCCTCTGGTCTGTGCTTCAGTAGCAGTCTAGAGTTAGAGCGCATAGAGTTCTCACCTCCTACAGTTGTTGTTTCACACACAAGACATCCACCCATCTGTGAGAGCAGAGGCTCAGCTGATTATAGTCAGAACATCCATGGATGATTAGAGGACATGCAGGACTTTATAAGATACTGTGTTGTAGGGCTGGGCGATAAACTGAAAACGTACCGAAATTTACGACAATATCAGATGTCATTTTGCCCACATTGGTATATTCAGTGTAAAAAAAAAAATCAATAAATCAAAGTTAGTTTTGGATGTGTGTAGGTAGGCTATGGTCTCATGTCCCTTTAAGACGCTGTCCTACGTCAGAGACGTGACTCCACCCCATCCAGTCTGTAACAAAGAGGGAAAGACAGGTGAGGAGATGGAGGACGGAGAGAAAGTTGGAGCGGCTGAAGTAGACGAAGTTAATGTTGGAGGGGGTGAGCAGCGTGTGGAGTAGATATCGTCCATTTATCGTTATCGAGGTGAACTGATCAATATATCGTGATGTTGATTTGAGGACATATCGCCCAGCCCTACTGTGTTGTTAGTGAAGAAGGATGAATGTGTTTGACCAACTCTGACCAGGGTGACTGAATGTGCTCCTCTCTCTCTCTCTCTCTCTCTCTGATTTGAAGAGTCAGTGTCAGGATCCTCCTCTCAAATTAGGTCTAATTTTCAGTATCAACAGGCCTACAAACCGCTAAAGCGCAGCGGGCCTAAACTGTGTCGGACTCCTCGTCATGTGCTGCTCAACTGTGCGTGTCCAAACACCGACCAGGCCTCTGACAGAATGAAACAGATCTGAGCAAACGCCATGCCAAATGATGCACATGTTTTTAGAAGTTCCATATTGTAAGGCTGTAAATAATCACGTTTGAACAATATGGGACGTTTGTTTTCTGGAGACATCATGAGCCGAGCTTTCTGTTCGCTTCTGTGTGTCTGCTTTCAGCTAAACCAGCGAACTGAACACAGTGGAAATATTTTAGACGAGCTGATTTCATGCTTCATAAAAAAACTAATGTGTTATTTATTTATTTTTTTAATGATCTGTGACGTCAAGAAACAAGAAATCCTCTCGTCTTCAGTGTCAAACAGTCGTTAAGTGAGACAGAAAATTGAATCATTCAAATCGGACTTTTGCCGATGTCTGTAATGCCGATATTTTCAAGCTGTGAGCACACACCTTTTGTTGTGATTGTAAAGGATGCACCAGGTACAGAAACAGATAAAAAACACAACAAACAACATTTGATCCTGTTAAAGTGTGCTTGTTTATAGATATAGACGCTCCTGTCTGTTTAGGAGACTTAAGCATACTTCTGTACAGTCATGCACATTCATGCTGGCACATGTAAGCTGTCACTGCACGCTCAGATTAAATGCATGACTTGTTTTTCCTGTCAACGATTAAACTCACAATAATAACAGTCAGAAAAGCTCTGCTGATACTAACACTAACGCTGATGCTGCGATGTTTCCCTACATTCACACGTGAGGTCGGCATTCCCTCAGCTGGATAACCACTGAGACTGTTTCTGAGGAGCAGTCCTAGGTAGAGAGTCCTGACTCTGTAGTTTTCAGGATGTTAGATGGAGCTGCTTATTTTCACAGTTAGTGTAAAGCTGTTTGGTTTAACATAAAGTCTAGAACTATAAAATCACATTTATCTCTCCCTGTTTTTCCTCCAACTGGCCAACAAGCAGCAGCGCGGAGCCGCAGCCGTACCAACATCGCCCAGGAGGGGGAGGCAGAGGCCAGCTCACAGGAGTCTCTGCAGGAGCTGCTGCCAGAGGAGGTGCTGGTGATTTCACTGGGAACTGGACCTCAGACTGTCCCTGGGATGATGTCAGAGAATGAGGTAATGGGACTGGAATTAATGCTCTCATTTACAGGAGAGATGATGATGATGATGATGATGGTGTGATAAATTCAGCGTATATGTCCTCCTGTCACTGGAGGAGGCCGAGGCTCCTCAGAGTCTGTGTCAGGCCTCCTTCTCAGTCTGTTGGGTGTGCGTTCAGGACTCCTGGTATCTTCAGACTGGACCCAGTAAAAAATTCACTGTCTCCAACTCTGGCAGAAAGGATTCTTGGCGAAAGCTCGTGTCCACTTCCTGTTTTTTTTTAGTATGGACAACCTGTCTGTGTGTCTCTCTAGGTTTTGAACCTGCAGCTGACAGATGGGGCCCAGGGAGAAGGCCACGCTGATGATACCAAGCTCCACGGTAAACCAGACAAAACCCTGCGCTTCTCCCTCTGCAGTGACAACCTGGAAGGAATCTCAGAGGGTCAGTCTGCAGCCTGACGGCACATGAAGCTAAAGACAAACAGTTCTGGTGTTTTTTTCAGTCTATATGAAAACCTAAATAGACATAAAAAAGTCTTTTCTTCAGGTGAAGCTTAGAAATAAAAACATCAGTAATATCAGAAGGTGATTTCATCAGTTTTGCAGCTCAATCATTTTTATCTTATGCATTTTCAGGTCCCTCCAATCGCTCCAACTCCGTGTCGTCTCTGGACCTGGAAGGAGAGTCTGTCTCTGAACTGGGAGCAGGACCATCAGGGAGTAACGGGGTGGAGGCTCTGCAGCTCCTGGAGCACGAGCAAGGTGTGTGTTTGTGTCTGATGATTTTCAGGTGTTTGAGCTGAGGGCAGAGAAGATTTCAGATGAAATATATTTATCCATACACCTGGTCTGTCTCCTGCAGCCACCACTCAGGATAACCTGGATGACAAACTGCGCAAGTTTGAGATCAGAGACATGATGGGTCTGACGGATGATCGCGACATCTCGGAGACGGTCAGTGAGACGTGGAGCACTGATGTGCTTGGCAGCGACTTTGACCCCAACATGGATGAAGATCGGCTGCAGGAGATAGCAGGTGGGACATGGCCGTGTTACCTGCACTCATCATTAAGCACACTGATGGATGCACACAGCCGGAGTGATCATTGCAAAGTTTAGGAGATGAATTAACCCCATGGAGAGGCTCTGTCTGTGACTGCTGCTGAAGGGCTGTAAGGGAAATGTCATCACCTGGTGGTGTAAAGGGGAAACAGCAGGTTTACAGTTCAGCTCAGGTCCCTGAAGGAAACTTAAACACAAAACTCCTCTTACAGATGTTCCTATAAAAGTTTGATGTTTCAGTGAGAGAAAACTCTGCACATGCTCAGTTCGGTATCTAACTGAGCTGAAAGCTGTTCGGTTTTTCCAAGACGGGTCATTCAGATAAAGTCGTAGCAGGTTAGTCGTTCTTTGGTTGATGCACAAACCTTTGAGCTCCATTTTTACCAGGTTTCACTTAATGCTCAATTTGACGATGTTTCTCTCTCAGTAATTTTGTTTTTAGTTAAACAAACAAAACCACTGATTTAAATCTGGATGTGCAGAAATTATAACGTGATTGTTTCATGTGTATTTATTATCTTTATCTAAACAGAGCGAATTAGTGAAGTGGACAAAGGAGACACTTCATTTTCTGCAGGTCTCTGGAAGTAGTTTTGAAAATGAAAAAATGAAAATGAAAACGTTCAGTTAGCAAACAGTGGAGGAGGCCAAGGTCAGCTGCTGCTTCACGCTGTAGAGCTTCAGGTTCTTCAGTCAGACAAAGGCTGTAAGAATATAACGGTCTCTCTCTTTCTCTGTGTTCCTCGAACCTCTGCCTCAGTCTGTTGTTGTCAGAGCCTTCCTCTGCCCATCTCTCCATCCTTCCTCCTCTCTCTCTCTCTCTCTTTCTCTCTCTGACATTCACTCAGTCCCCGCAGTCTTATTGACCTTGGTTCCTTCTCATTTGCATCCACCATTTTTCATTCTTCGGAATATGGCGTTGGGGGACTTTTCCATCATTAAGTGAATTTACAGCGATTTCCTTATGTGTTTTCTCCAAGGGATTGGGTTATGAGATGCACATTAAATATCCATTAATACCTCATTATCCCACTGATAAGATTACCATGATAATGAGGCAGAAATTCTAATTGTTTCACTTCTTGTTGTGCCACTCATTTAATCATCCACCTGAAAGACAAGTACTCTGCGCCCCTACCTTGAAGACTGTAAACACGGACAGCGGGGTAGAGCTCTCCCACCGTCGCTGAGAGCCCTGCCCCCGCCAACATCAGCACACACTGTTGCCTGGGCGCTGGCATGCATACACGCGGCGCTCATGGCCTGTGTGTGCCATGAAGTGGAATCATGACATATCAGGGGGCGAGGCTACCGCAGGCCCACTTCTGGTCTGGAGTCTTGGCCACCGGCTCCCGCTCACACCTGCTCGCTCGCTCGCTGTTTTCCCCCTCCTCCTCCGCATTCTTCCGCCTTGTTAAGCCCCGGCTCCTCAAATGGAGATGGAGGGACGCGGTGCTGAGGACTTTGTGGGAGAGGATGGGCGAGGTGGTAATTTGGTTGTGAGTAATGCTGGGCTTAATCAACAGCTCAAAGTCACGGCCCTGGAGGCCAGGGCGGGGTGAGATATGACCATTAAACTTTGACCTTTGGCGCTGTGGTATATGTGCCTGTGGGTCCCAGCGTGAAATGTATGTGACCTCCAACTCTCTGTGTGCAGAACTGAGCGGCTCTGAAGCCCTGACCACGCCGCACAGACAGACAGAGGGTTTTTCTATCCTGGTGTTTTCTCTTCAAACATTTCAAATTAAAGCTCCAGTGAGGGATTTTAGGTTGGTCTCAGTTTTGGACAAAGCAGTCTTTTTTTATTTTGTCCTCTCCATGCCCATGTAGTGTCTTCAGGAATATAAAAATCTCTGTTAAGTTCAGTCCTGAGTGAAATAGGGTTAAAAAATCTAACCGACTGTGAACCCAGAGCGCCTCGCCAAGTTTAGCTTTAAAATCATAAACACGGATGCAGCTCCAACATTTCAGGCTTTTATGAAAGGCATCATTCCTGTGAGCGACTCCCAAGTTCACAAGATGCTCATATTTAAGGCCTGAATAATTTATAAGGAGTAATTACAGAATATGAATCAACAGCAGTGCCCTGAAAACACGCAGATGTTTTCAGAGGAACAAAAGAGAGAGGCCTTCGACGTGACTTTCCAACCGTAGAGGTGATTTCTACATTAACTCTTCGTCTCCCCCTCTCTCTGCTCTCAGGGGCAGCTGCGGAGAACATGCTCGGCAGCCTGCTGTGCCTTCCTGGCTCAGGTTCAGTACTCCTGGACCCCTACGGCTCCACCATCTCAGAGACCACGAGCGAGGCCTGGAGCGTGGAGGTTCTTCCCAGTGACTCAGGTTGGTAACCGGGCTCGCTCAGACCCTCTTTGACTTCCTGTTTCACTCCTGATTCTTGCACTTCGTCTCCTTGACAGTCTTAAGTGTTTGTGTGTGTGTGGAGAGGGGGTGGGGACACCAGGTGTGATTGCACAGCTATCTATACCAATAAACGTGCGCATGCATCTGTCTTCATGTTGGTGTGCACTTGCATGTATTTCAGGGCAGATCTGCTCCTGCCTGTAAAAGGCGGCTCAGGGTTTCCTCAGAGGGACCAGCAGGTGTGTTTGCACCTGTGGTGGAGGAGTGAGGAGGGAAGCACAAGGACAGCAGCTGTCCTCACTTCACACAGTTTCACTTAGTTTTTATAAAACTGTATATTATAGAGTTTAGACTGTGTATTACTGAGGGCATAAACACACTTACATCCGTTTACATAAGTGAAGCCTCTGATAGACTTGACTGTCTCTCAGTGGTGATAAATACACAGAATGGTCCTTTATTATATTAATGAGATATTACACACTCAGCCCAGTTTATAAAAAAAAAAACCCGTTTTTTTTTTGTCTAAAATCATCAGAGTGTTTTTATGAACAGCACTAAGTGTTTCTTTGAAAAGCCTGAACCTTCTGTTAATTGAAGTCGTACACCACTTCAGTATGTGCCGTGCAGAAATGACATGCATGAGTGTCTTGATTGCTTTTTGTTCCGTTTGCTGCCCCTGTTCTGCACGGTAATAGCACGATAGGAGACTCGCTCCGAGTGCAGCGCTTGTTTCATGGCTAGGCAGCAGAAAACTACACTCTGAAGAGCACTTCACCAACACATTATTACTAACGAGCATGCAAATGAGTACTGCTGTTAGTATGGAGCCTCTGGGTTCGGCCCAACAGCTCCGCTGGGTAGCCAAAGAATTGGCCGTACTAGCTTTATGGCGTGGTTTGGCAGTTATAAGACATGATAATGTATGCTTTGTTTGATTTCCTGCATATGTGCCCACTTGGTTGCCCAATAATCTTAACATGGGAGGGGGGTCGGGGAGGGAGAATGACCATCATTTGGAGCAAACGAACAAGTGAAGTGGATTGTGAGCTGAGTTTAAACGCTGTTTCGTCCAAACTGGAGGTGAGGAAAGTTCACCTTCTCCTCTCAGATGTCCTCTTCTCTTCTGACCTGTTCCTTCTTTGTACACAGAAGCCCCAGACCTGAAGCAGGAGGAGCGTCTGCAGGAGCTGGAGAGCTGCTCGGGGGTCGGCAGCACCTCAGATGACACAGAGGTCAGAGAGGTCAGCTCCAGGCCCAGCACACCTGGTCTCAGTGTTGTTTCAGGTACTGTAGTCTCACCTCCTCCTCTGTCAGCTTTATTTCGGTTTTCTAACATTTGCATTTTTTCATTTCTGGTGAAGTTACCGTCCTGTTTCTCCCTCTCCTGGATCGGCCGTAGAGAGGTCATGTTGCCTCAGGTGTAGTTAGTCGATGTTGAGGGGTCACTGTGAACTTTTCTGCATGACACAGACTATTGTTGGGTGTCTTTTCCACAGGCTCAGGTGGACGGGTTTTTTTTTGACACACTTTGTTGACACGCATGAAGTAGTATCCTAGATTAAGAAGCCAGCGGTGATGTTCCTGGCTCAGCTCACAGGAAAACGTCCCACGGGATCCGGTCGATGGATAGTCTGCATCTGATGATCACTCTTATCTGTGTCTCTCCTCTAACCCATGGGAGCTTACGCTACCAATTTGGAGTTCCCAGTGGGTTCCCATCGCAGAGAAAGTATGCAGTATTAGTCTAAAGAGAAAAATGTCCTCTTTGTGTTTGAGAGACGGTGAATCTGCAGCTCTTCTCTTCTCTTCTCTTCTCTTCTCTTCTCTTCTCTTCTCTTCTCTTCTCTTCTCTTCTCTTCTCTTCTCTTCTCTTCTCTTCTCTTTTCTCTGCCGAGCTCTTTCCATCCCGAATGTCACCACTGTGTTTTTGTTTGTCTGCCCTCACTGCAGGTATCAGCGCGACCTCCGAAGACATCCCCAACAAGATCGAGGACCTGAGGTCAGAGTGCAGCTCCGACTTCGGGGGGAAGGACTCTGTGACCAGTCCAGATGGGGAGGAGTCAGGCCACGGTAGGAGAGTGTCACGGTCCCCGCTAGGCGAGCAAAGCCATCAGTCTAGCGTCTATTTGTCCCAAACATCATCAGCCAGAGCGATCAATCCTCCTCGCTCCTGGAGCCGCTGAAAGGCTGACTCTCTGCTGATGTTTTCATGGCGTGAAACTGTTAAATAAAGACGGATTTAACCTTAACTGTTCTGGGGAATTACGATCGGAGTCGGGGTTATTTTAGCGTTTTAGTGGAATGATTCAAAATGTTGTGTTTTTGAGGAGCGGCGCTGCGGTTTGTGTTTTCACTGTTAATTTAGTCAGTCCTCCTAATAGTCTTGTATGCTCTTGTGTTTCTGCAGGAGCGCACCATCTGACATCTCCACCCTCACAAGCCGAATCTTTACTCGCCATGTTCGATCCCCTCTCCTCGGGTGAAGGTAATTTGCACTACAGCCAATCAGGGCCAGAAATGAGCGCCATTTAATCCCTGCCCTAATGTCGAGGGCTCGCAGAACAGCTTGAACTCTGAAATAAACCCAAAGAGCGCCCGCGCTCCAATCACTGGGCGTATTACGAGCAGGATGAAATGTCATTTCAGTGGGTTTAATTAGTATCTCCAATTACTGGGAGCAGCTTTTGTTTGAGAGCGTTTCCTTTGTGGAGCAGGTGGAGGAAGTGTGAGCGAGGAATGGTCGTGGCTGCGAGTCTGTGGCAAGGTGAAGGGATGACAGGTTGAGAGACCTCACCCCAGGCTCTTTGGCACTGTCCCTTTGTCCCACTGTGCTCATGGCACCAGGCTGCCGTTGGAAGCTTTTCAGGAGAGCGAGTGTACCCTTGGAACAGGTGGCCTACCTTTACCTAGGGCTCCTCTCCCACTAACATCTCTCTTTAGCACTTTCTCTCATTTTTAGGCTGATTTTCAGTTTCTCATTTTACTTCGTTTGCCAAAATACTCTGTGATACAGATTTGATTTACTTTTAGACTCTCATCGGTTTGTTTAGGGAGATTTCAACATAAACAAAAAGAACATTGTGAAGCTTTTGCATCGAGACGGTCCGTAAATAATTTAAGATCTGAGAGGGAGGGGAGAAAACTGCTCCCAGCAAGAACACAGGGAGTATAAATATTTATTTTCATCTGAAAGTAAAATTCCAGTGTTTTCTTTAACCTCAGGCTCTACCACTGGAACGATAGTGAGGCCGAAAGTCCACTACGCCAGGCCCGCTCACCCTCCCCCTGACCCTCCCATCCCTGAGGCCAGCGCCCTGGGGCCGGAGACGCGCCACTCTCTCTTCACGCCCCACTGCCTGGCCCAGGCTGAGCTGGAGCACACCAAGCAGCGCCACTCCTTCCCCGACAGGCTGGTCCGCAGCCGCAGCTCCGACATCGTGTGCCCCGGCCGCCGGCCCACCAGCGACCCCGGCCTTAACCGGAGGGTAGCGGTGGAAGAGCGAGACCCCGCTGGAGCCTTCGCCTTAGGACCGTCCTCGTCTCCTAGCAAGGACTCTCTGAAAGGAGAGGTAACGTGAACTAATGTTTGTGAAAAACAGACGTCACTGTGAGTGTCTGATCTATGTGCTTTATCTCTATCTGTTGAAGGTTGAGGACAGGAAAGACAGTGACGATGAGAAGTCTGATCGCAACAGGCCGTGGTGGAAGAAACGGTTCGTGTCAGCCATTCCCAAAGGTAGGCGGACCCCGCGCTCGCCCTCTTTTCTTCCCTGAAAAACGAGCGTTTCTACGTTTTCAAAGAAGGATCCGTTTGCCCTCAGCGCTCCCTTATTTCCTTGTTGCAGAAAAAAAGTTCTCTTAATCACAACTGACAGGAAATATCACACTTTAAAGAGCCGAGCAAAAAGCAATTTATAATGTGAGAAAGAGAATGATGATCCATGTTGTCCACTCCACGGCTGACGCTCCGGTTGGAAAATGATGTTTCTTGTTGTTTCAAGTTCCACCAGAGACGTGTCCGGTCCTTTTTCCCCTCACGTCTCGCTGGCTGCAGATTTATCTAGACTTTTCAAAGCTAATCAGTCATCAGAGGAGCTTTAGCTTGGTAGATTGTATGGCTGTAGGCCTCCCAGCAGTGCTGTCAGCCACCGGCTAATGGTCATTAGATAGACCTTTCTGTCATCAGCACTGATAGATGACACATCTCTTGTTGCAGTTCGACTCTCCGACCATCTCTCATACATCTGTCTGCGAAATAATGAGCTGTGCCCACACACAATGACTGCTTATTACTCTTGGAGATAATGATGTTTCTTAAGTAAACATTACATTGATATTCATAAAGTCGACCACCGTGTGTTCACATGGGAAAGCCCGAACCACCAATCTCCTGCCGAGTCTCTGTAGAGTCCTCTTGTGTGTGTGTGTCTGTGTGTGTTTGTGTTTGTTCGTTGCTCTGCATGGTGACACACAGTCATGTCGGGCGGAGCTGCAGTCTGTGTGTGAAAGGCCAACCCTGTCTGTTGTGTCCCTCACAGTGCTGTATTGGACGGCTGAGAGTGATGTCCCAGGTAACGCTTGCAAGCTGTCCTCATTGAGCTAGCTTACCGGCGGCGGCGGCTGCTGCGTGCTCGTGCTGCTTTTGTAGATGTGTCCTTTGAGCTGTAGAGCCGCTGTCCCTCCACCCACACTCCTCCTCCTCCTCCTCATACATGCACCCATTACACCACCCTTTTGCTTATGTATTTGCAACAGTATGTGAGTGTTAATGGAGAGTCCAGATTATGACTGTAGTTTTCTGTGTGTGTGTGTGTGTGTGTGTGTGCGTGTGTGTCGTCAGGCTGTAGACTGTGTCCTTCTTTTCTGTTCAGTTTAAAATTAAATAAGCACCACTGCGGGGCTGTCGCTATGAACAAAAGACGACTTTCCGAAAACGCGCCGCATTCGGTAACATTGTGAGCTCGTAGTCGTGGTCGTTTAGTTTTCACGAGTCTGAAAATGGAGGAAAGACGAAGACGTAGCAGCTGGTGAGTGACAGAGTATCCACAGAATAGTAAAAGATAGTAAACCTAGTAAACTCTAGGATTCCTGTAATAAAATTATTATTCCTTATCGGGGATCAATAAAGTTCTTCTTCCTCTGGTGTAAAAATTCTGAGCTAGCTTTAGCATCCTTTAAAAACGACATTAAAGATTTATCGTGAATCAGAGACAACGTTAGAGTCTTTTCAGGTCACTGATCAGTTCTATATTTAGACTTCCTGACTGTCCCTTAAAGGGATATTCCGGCGTAAAATTCATTTAGGGTCAAACGACCGCAGGATAGCAATACACAGCGGTCTGAGGAGCCATAAACAAACCTCAACCAAAATGCCACTCTATAGCCACGTCATAAATGTTCTTCCTTGAGCTGCGTCACCCCGCTGTAGTCCATAATGGACCGGTCTGAGGTCTCGCTACAAACAAGCGTCTGCTGGAAGAGAGTAGGTGAGTTGTGTTTAGTCTCTTTGCTAAAGAAATGAGTCAAAGTTGTTGATGAAGTTAGGTGCTTTTCTGAGCATTATTTGTGGCTATAGAGTGGCGTTTTGGTTGGGGGCGTGGCTATCCCTTTAAGTGTTATTATTTAGTCCAGGAACTTCAAAATAAAAGCACAGTTTTATGTTGAAGTTCTTCGTTGTTAAAGCTCCTCTCTTTCCTCTGAACACTGACTGTGTTGTTTCGTCCTCACAGTTGTGTTTGTGTTGTTGTTGTGATAGTTGTGAGGTTGTGACAGCCCTCCAGCAGCGTGTGCTTATTTACATCTGTTATGATTTTGTAAAGAGATCAGATAGACTCGTGCTCTGGGGTCTTTTCAATCATCTCCGTCTTCTTTTGCTCCTTTTTTAACCCGTTCAGTTCAACACGACACTTTTTGGCTCTGTATGCAACACCACTCCAAACCAACTCTGAGAGTCACAGTCTCTCTGCAGCCGTGAAACAAACAAAAGTGGCTGTGAACGGGTGACTTTGATCGCTGACAGTGACAGAGGTTTCAGTCCGTCTTTTGTCTCCTCCCCTCCAGCTCCGATCGCAGCGTTCAGGAAACGAGAAAAGCAGGAGAAAGACGACGTCCCTCAGGAGCGTGTCCCTCCAGGTCTGTGTTCTGTCCTGATCGACATGTGGACGTCTACAGAGTGAGTTTTGGGTCTAATGTTGTTTTGTGTCGTTGTTTTTTCAGACGACCCGATGCCGAGACAGAACTTCCAGGCCCAGGCGGCTGAGGACATCCTGGACAAATACAGGAACATCAAGAGGACCAGTCCGAGTGACGGAGCCACAGGTGGAGCTTCCTACGACGGTACAGGAGGTCAGGAGCAGAAATCAACTCCTTCATCTGACTGTTTCACATCATTAAAGTCCATAAATAGATATTTGAACCTTTGTTTTCATGTGCTTTCAGATCTTTGTGTAGAAGAAAGTGTCCACGACTCTCCCAGAGAAGACACTCTGCAGAACATCTCCACAGACGACCTCCCAGACTCGGCCAGTCAGACGGCTCAGCAGCACGACTCCAAGTTCTCCTTCAGGTCAGAAACCTGAACCTGCAGCAGCAGGACTTTGTGCTTTCTCTCCAAACACTCAGACTCTGATTCAGAGTTTTTTTTATGTCTGTTTTTTTTTTAGTGATGCGAAGAAGAAGTTGAGGTTGGCGTTGTGCTCTGCAGACTCGGTCGCTCTGCCCATCATAGCCTCTGCCACCACCAGAAACGGGCTGCCTGACCACATGGATCCTGAAGGTATCTGCTCCTCTAATCCATGATCTTATTTTGTTTACAGTCGCTGAGATATTTACTCCATGAAACTTCGATTTTAGCGCCAGCGAGAAGAGCTGCGTTTATACATCTTTGAGGCAGGATTCAAAGTCTGCGTTCAGGAGGAGAGGGTTTTAATTTCAGGCTTTTGTTCAACTTTGCTCCGTCTACTTGACCTGAGGGATCCTCCTCTCAGCTCTGGACTGGGAGCAGAGGACTTAACGCTGGCAAGAGTCCAACCTGCTGAAGGAAGACAACACATCTGTGTCACCTTCACCTCCCCAGCTGCCTCCCAAGGTTTTGGGGCGAGGCTGAAAGAGTCGAGGATGTTCAGAGGAAACTTTCATGTGCTGGGGGTCCCTGACACCCCGACACCCACCGAGCCTGAGGTTGTTTTTAGGTTGTTTTCAACACGTTTGAGTTAAAAACAAGTGAGGAGAAAAAAACACTGAAACAGACGACACTGGTGGGTTTAGTTTCTGGGGCGGCAAACTAAGGCCCACAGACGGCGAGGACATCAGAGACAGGAAGAGGAGAAAAAGGTTCATCCAAATTAAAGATGGACGACATATTCGGTTCCTTCCCTCTTGTCCGGCCCGTGTAGTCGAACTTTCACTCACTTGACTCTGTAGTTTTCCTCTGAGCAGATCAGCAGGACTTTAGTCGTCAGAGTCAGAGCTCAAACCGACTCGGTGTGGTCATCAGGTTCCAGCTGATCGTTAGCGAGGGGCGGGGCAGCTCTGTCTAACGCCGTCTTCCTCTTCTCTCTGTCAGACAACGAGATCGTCTGCTTCCTGAAGGTCCAGCTCGCAGAAGCCATCAACCTCCAGGATAAGAGTCAGATGGCTCAGATCCAGGAGACCACGCGCTGCGTCAGCCGCTTCGACTCACGCACCTGCAGGAAGCTGCTGGCCGCCATCGCAGAGGACTACAGGTAACGGCAGGAGAGCGCAGGTTTATTTAGAGTCGTTCAGTTCGGAGGAGGTGGTTTCCGAGCCAAAGCTAGCAAAGATAAGACCCTGTTTTTTTGGTCCCCTACAGGAAGCGGGCTCCATACATCGCTTATCTGACCAGGTGTCGTCAGGGACTTCAGACCTCCCAGGCTCACCTGGAGAGGCTCCTCCAGAGGGTGCTCAGAGACAAGGAGGTGGCCAACCGCTACTTCACCACAGTCTGTGTTCGACTTCTGCTGGAGCACATGGAGTCAAAGATGCTGACCTTCATTAAAGGTATCTGAGTTTTCAGACGACTTTAACTCTGATCTGTAAAAACACGGCGGTCTGTCTCCTAACACCATGCAGATTTATGTCATGAAGGTTTGTGGTCTAACCTGAAGGTGTGATCATCACAGGAAGCTCTCAGGTCCACATGTTGGTTTAAGATTTTTCCTCTTTGATAGAAAAGACCAAAAAGTGTTTCCAGGTGTTTCAACAGCTTGTAAGACCTGAACCAGTCTCAGCTCAGAACAGCTCTGTAGCTCAAAGGTACTGAATCTGAATCTGTGGCCGCTCTGCTCCCCCCCCCCCTCCAGCCTTCCAGGGGTGCACGGCAGCAGATGACAAGACGGCATCAGTGGAGGATTTTCTGCGCTACTTGTACGGTGCCATGGCCCGTGATGCCATTTGGCAGTACGCGAGCGAGGACCAGCTGCAGGATGCCCAGATGGCCATCGAGCGCAGCGTTATGAACCGCATCTTCAAACTGGCCTTCTACCCCAACCAGGATGGAGATATTCTCCGAGACCAGTGAGTATCTGGAACGGCACCAGAGAAACACACGGAGACGGTCTGAAGGTTTGAGGAGCCGTCAGTCAGAAAAGAGAGAGAAGCATCTTTATCCACGCTCTCGCTTTTCAAAGATGGCTGCAGTTACATTCATGTTAGACACCTGTGATTTATTCTGTCAGATTTAAAAGAAATTATTCATTTAGAGATCAAAGTTTGAGCCTCAGATTTACCTGTTCTGTTGTTTTTTAATTGTTTTTCTGCGTCCTGTTTCTTCGTACCGCCCCTTTTCCTCTCGTCTCTCCACGTCTTTGATTCTTTTCTATCTTCGCTCACAGTTCAGTTTGATGCTGCCGTGTTTTTAGTCAAATACAGAAACTGAAATTTTGCACAATTAGAACATTTTTAACCCTGAAAATATCCTTCTCTAAAATAATGTTTCATCGCTAATGTCGTCTGCTGGTCTTCACTACTGAGCCGGGTAACCAGGTTTGTGCTTCTCGTCTAAACAGGGTCCCTGCAGGTCCTTGAAAAGACCAAAAAGCCTCTTTATTCAGATTTATAGAGTTTAAAATGTCTTTCAGATGTGACTCTGACTGATAAATCTCTGGATGCTTCATTAGATTTACACTCCGTGGATTTTTCTATCATCTTATTTTGTGGATTTCTTGAACCCGGGACCATTTCCTGCTTTCAGTTTGCCTTATTGTCTGTTATGACCTCTCTTAGCTTTTATTTTGAAAGGGAACATCATCATGGACTCCTCGTGGTTTCAGACGAGTTTCTTTAACTCCGGTTAAAGAAGAATAAAGACGGGTTCATTCTGAGGTTTCGTTATAAACAGTCTGTAAGAGTCCGGCCTTCAGATCAGCTCTGAGAAACTCAGATAAACAGAAATAACTGATAATAATCGGATCAATACTTAAACTGATATCCGACCAGAACTCTGTGTGGTGTCTCAAACTCGTCGGTTCTGTCCTCACTGGTTCTGTCTTCACTCAGGCTCTTCTACGAACATATCCAGCGGCTGTCCAAAGTCGTGACAGCCAATCATAAAGCTCTTCAAGTCCCAGAGGTATTTTTTTATTCTATCTTTGTTTAATAATTTAATGTTTTTATGTAAAAATAAATGAAAACAGACGTGTGGGTTCAGTTTGCAGCTGAGGTGTTTGACTCTGTGGTTGCAGGTCTACCTGAAGGAGGCCCCCTGGCCCTCCGCTCAGTCTGAGATCAAGACCATCAACGCCTACAAGACGCCCCGAGATAAAGTCCAGTGTATACTGCGCATGTGCTCCACCATCATGAACCTCCTCAGTCTGGCCAATGAAGACTCCGTCCCTGGAGCCGATGACTTTGTCCCCGTGCTCGTCTTTGTCCTCATCAGAGTGAGTCTCTTTGTCCTTCATTTTAAACTTCAGTGTTTTTATTCCTCAGATTCTTGTTTTTCTAATAAGAGTAAAATAATAAAGCAGAATAAACCTGTTTTCTAACCTGTGTTCATGTATTTTACATATTTATGAATATCATCTCGACGCTGTTGCGTGAGCTTCTCTCGGCTGCTAATGTGAGCCCATCCCCACATCTCCTCCCCTCCAGGCAAACCCGCCCTGCCTGCTGTCCACCGTTCAGTACATCAATAATTTCTATGCCAGCCGGCTGAGTGGGGAGGAGTGCTATTGGTGGATGCAGTTCACCGCGGCGCTGGAATTCATTAAGACCATCGACGATCGCAAGTGAAGCAGAACAGCCACCTGTATGGGCAGACTGCGGGGGAAGGAGCCGGGAGACTGGGAGACTTCCCAACCAACTGCTCCCTCTGCACAGCTTCGGAAACCTGGCCCTCAGCCTGCTCTTTATTTGTATAGCTTGTACATAGCCAGAGACGTTGAGAGATTACGAATATATATTACTGTACGTACGCGGACAAATCCAGGTTTTAGCCGTCTGAAAAAAACAAACAAGAAAAACAAAAACAAAAAACGGCCTTGTGGGAAAAAAAATTGGCCAGATGTAAACTTTGAAGCTGATTTAGATTTTTCTTCTTTTTGTCTCTTTAATCCTGTTTCACTTTTGGGGTCTGTGTTAGGAACTGTGTATATATACATACATATATATGTATATACACACAGCTGTGGATGTGACATTAAATCAACCCAAAAGATAATCCTATATAAAGGGACCAGACTTCCTCGATGTGATCACTGATCTTTATTCCCCCTGAGTGAGAGGGAAGGGCTTCCAATTAAATTACAGTATAATGTTCATTAAATTCATTGATACGTGGGGATTTACAGCGCCGCGTGATGGTTACTGATGGGATTTAGAGACTCGTAAACACTCAGATCAATTCACCAAACTGTAATACTCAGAGGGTAAGTGTATCAAACAGCCAGGCAGCTTCTTCTTCTTCTTTCATGAATTGTTTACTTCATCGTATTCCCGAACACCAGAGTGTGTGTCAGTGAGAATTTGGACATGAGGGCCCACATATTTATATGAATCAAATGTATTTATTTCTGTAATTCTATTTAATGCTTCGTTGATCTCCTATGAAAAAAAAAAAACTAAAAACAAAACAATGCAAATGCATATCATGCCCGTTTGAGATGTCTGAAGCAGGTGGTGTAATTGTGATAAACTTGCTCAAGTTAGGACGGCACCTTAGTGAGGAGGAGCAGCCCAGGGGTGGGGTGGGGGGGCTGGGCGGTTAGGAAACAGGGTCGAGTCGTGAGCGGAGAGAGGGGCGGCGGCGTTTATGGAAACTTTGAAACAGTGCCTTTGCTGTTGGGCGCTCTGTACAGGTAGTTCTTATTTTTTAACCTTTTTTTTTTTAACCCTGCGTAGGCATTATCCCCCGCCCCACCCCCCACTTACAAACACTCCAACGGGCCAACCACACGTCGTCACCGCATCACTGATTGTCGAGGCTCAGTCCCTTTAATGCACTTGAACAAATCTCCCCGTCTGCTCGCTCGATCCTACCTCAGAGTCGGAACCAATGAGCTCGATCTCTCTCGGTCTGTAAACACTGACGCGGGTCGACAGACAGCAGAGCCCTGGATCACTTTTGCACTGGGAAAAAAAAAACAAACTCAAACCTGAAGAGGAGGGCAGAGAGAGTCGATACAGAGCTGCTGTGATGCCCGCTTCGGTCACATCACCCTTAACTTAAGACACATTAGTCGCTAATCGGATCCCTGAGATGTGCAGATGATTGGACGTTAGCTCTCTACCTCCTCCTAAGTTAAAGAAAGGGACTTGTGTTTATGTGCACTTATATTTCTTCTTCTTTTCCAAATTGGCGTGCCGTGGTTTCCCAGTGTCATTGTAACTTTCCAGTTCTAGTCCACGCATGTCTTTAATGATCCAGAAGGACTCGGAGTCGTCGTCGTCGTCCTCTCCTTAAACCCTCTGCTTCGTTTTCACCTGTATGATAGTTTTCGTTAACCCATTACGACCTGACAGCACAAACACAGTAGGATAGAAGAGCAAATAATCAACACTATTGACTTGTTACTGACTTTATGCTACAGTGGTTGGTGTAGTACGTGTGTGTGTGTGAGTGTGTGTGTGTGGTTTTTATCTAGTGAGCGTGTGTGTGTGTGTGTGTGTGAGATGAGTGTGGGATTGCTTGACCCTCTGCCTCCTCTTGCATGAAGTCATTGGATGGTCTGTAGCCTCTCTATCATGATAAACAGTAGAATAGGATTAGTATCTGCCACAGGCCAGTAATTGAACCTGCAAGAGGATGCAAAGCTCCTCTCTGTGTCCGTGATACTTGCATATCAGAACTCGATTTATTTTGCACAAAAACAGACGTGTGTTTTCCTGAACAGATTGACAGGGAGCAGTGCATTTTTTCGTCACACGACTTCGAGCCTTTGCAGCAGTAAACACACACACACACACACACATATACATCGTGATTAAGATCAGATCGGAGTAGCTAAGGTTTGCACTTGACTGTTACTCTTCAAAAATGCATTTTTTATATATCCGTCAACCGTAGCACACGCACCACATGTATCCATGCATGTGCAGTGGACCTCCTTGCAGAGTCTGGGTAATCAATTTGATGAGAAAACCATGCACTGGAAAATCAAGTTGCAGGTTGCATCTATACTAATTAGGTTTATGTGATGTCACTTTAATTGGAAATACATACTCCACAAATCTGATGAAATTATTTCGGACCTGGCTCTGAGCAGCTACAGACACACGCAGATCAAAACGACACATTATTTATACCCAACAACACACACATGACAACGATGATGATGATGATGATGATGACGGGGGATTGCAACTGTAACTGAAGCTCTGATTGTATGCAACGTAAACAGACCAAGGAGCCGGTCTGTTCCTCAAAGCTTTACTGCTCTGCTCCCTGATCAACCGAGTTAAAGAGGCAGAGCAGAGAAACCGAAAAAAATAAGAGTTTTACATCTTACATTTAATTTTACATTTAACTGTAAGCTTGCACAATTATGACATGCGGGGAAAAGCCGGTTTGTCTTTACTGTGATTAATGCATTATGTAATTCTTTAAAAACAATAAAAGAAGCAGAAATTTTTCCCTTTTTTTAAGCTCTTCTTTTCTCACTCTGGAAACACGCTTTTGCATTTCCGCTGCACTCCAGTGTTTCATCACTCCTGGACAGTCGTAGGTATATGTGGCCGACAGTTTTCACACAATAGGAGAGAGGAGATGGTCGGGAAATTTATGCATGGAATATAATTGTTAGTGGGGGCAGTGGAGCAGCATCATCCAATCTAGCAGCCACAAATAGCAACCTCTCAGCAAACATTTCATTACTGCTGACAAGTGTACGCTGGATTGTAATTGGAGATATCCCCCTCATCTAAAAGCCCTCCTTACTTCACCGCGTGCCTTCTCTAATACTCATCTTTTTTTCATCATAAACTTCTTCGTGGGGTGCTTTGTGTCCCCTGATGATATCTCGCGAGTGTTAATTTAAATTCAAATTTTGGTGTGTGAAGTTAATTAGTTGCATAAGCCAATGGCTAGATAGGCCAGATTTGGAGATTGGATCTTTTGACTGTGTGGCACTTGGCTGATCTGAGATAGGGGGAGGCTTGGATTTGTTGTGTTTTCTGCTGCTCCTCACTCACACTGTAGTGTTGGTGATGTTACACACAGTCAGTGGAGTAATGTCTGCGTTCTCCTCTCAGGTATGAGTCTGTGTCACAGGTGATGGCAGGAGGATGGAGAGGTGGGGGGGTATTTGACTCACTTGAGGTTCATTTTGATGTCAGACATAAGCAGGCCTGAGGTCTCACACAGATGGCTGCAGGATGACAGATGATCAGTCCAGCGGGGCTCGTGCATGACTTCTCAGGGTGGTCTCCTACTTCCTGGTTGCAGGAGAAGAAGGAGAAGCTCCTCACAGATAATTATGATGCTTTAATTTCAGTCCAAACACGAGGGATTCTGCAGCAGACGAAATACTCATTCAGACAAGGATGAGTAAAGGTAGGTGTAACAGTAATATCAGTTTCTATGTATTTAAAGCAGATTCTCCACATAGGGGAGACCGGGGATTGTTGTAACCGCACCATTCCAACCAATCATAGTTAACAGGAGTCTTTTTTTACATCTCAGTGTTTGTTCACTTAATCTCTAATCCCACATGGTGAATTTTGAGGCTGTAAACAGCAGCAGCATGTGTCTGAGTTTACTGTAGGGGAGAGTGGGGTAAGATGGTCCATGTTTCATATTTCAGATCTCTACATCAAGTCAGTCCTAGTTTAGTCTCTGACTCGTGTATCTGCAGATATTTCAGGATGTTGTTCATCCCTGCAAACCAACAGAATGAGTGTAAACAGAACTGTCATCTTCAGAATATAGCAGGACAAAAATGTGGTCTCCTATGGTCAACTTCTCCTATCGTCCTAAATTCACTTTACAGGGTGAAAAATGTTTGGTTTTTTTTTTGTAAATAAATGTCTAACCTCTTCTTCATCCATGTGCTTCTAACCTTCAGACTCCATGAATTGATGACCATCTCCTAAATATTTGGTCACATGATCAATTTCTTTGACCATTTCCAGGCAACAGGGGGTGGATCAACTTACCCCAGTCTCCCCTATTCATGTAAATTCTGAAGTTTATGCACAAAAACACTTTCTCCCAGTACTTACACAGAGACAGAGCAGCATCTCTCTGAATTCACCTTTATTATCTATAAACCTCTCTAATGCTGTTGTGTGTCTGTTTTTGTATGTTTGTGTTCTTTGTTCATCCTCACCCCAGCACGTGTGTTTCCTCCTCCCCTGTATGGGAGTAAACTGGAACAAAGGAGGTCTGAACTGGTTTCTTTTGTCTTGAACAAATGTTGGTATTTTGTCTAAAATGTAAAAAACTTAAACTCGTAAATTCACTGAGTTACAGGAAGTGTTACAGCCGTCCCCGGTTTCCCCTAAATCCTGCAGGTTTCCCAGCAGCAGCAGTATCGTCTCCTCCTCTCTGGTTCTCCTCCTCTCCTCCTGTCTCCGTCTCTCTCTCTCTCTCTCTCTCTCTCGTCTCTCCCTCGGTGTCCTGCAGATGGCAGACGAACCATTTCTCTGGACGATGATCTGAGATGATCTGAGAGACAAAGAAGACCGCGGGGCTCGACGGCCTGACATTTAAGAGCAGAGAGACTCTGTCTGGACCCGGATCCGTTTTCTCTGAGGTGGGTAGTCCTCAAAAATACATCTGTTATTGTTAATGTTAGTTATTATAATTGTCTGCAGTCGGACATTATTTCACAGGAGGCCATTAAACAGGCCGGGAGCGAACCTAACATTCAAGATATGAGAGGAAATATAAATATATATATTTAAGAGCAGAAACATGAAAATAGGTTGTTTATTTATTTATTTGTTTGTTTGTTTGTTTATTTGTTTGTTTATCTTTCACAGAGTGGTTGTTGGTCTTCCTGGGGTCCAAAAACTTCAAATCAAAATACAGTTACATTTCAACAATTAATTAATAATAAATATAATTACAGATTTAATTAATGATTCTTCACAACATTAAAGTCACTCTGCTTTTATAGTTCATTCATTCATACAGTTTAGTTTTAAAGTCCTTTTATAATAATATCTGCTGTTTATTTGCTGTCTGCTCCTATAACACTGATCTCCTCATACACTTACAGATAATTAAATGACCAGAGCGAACCTGCTGAGTGACGTGTTGTTAATAACAAGAGTCACTGTACAACAAAGAAAGTTAAAAACCCTTTAAATATGGCGGTTTGGATATAACAAAGAATACTGATATTTAGTTCTGAATCTTTAACCACTGTAAGGCGGTGTGTGGACCACCTGACTGAGCAGTACTCCAGGTGTGACAGAACCAGGGACTGGACCACTGTTTTCATGACCGAGGGTCACCTCTGTGACACCTCTGCCCACCCTGGACACGATCGGATTAATCTGATCCGACCATGAGAGCTGATTGTCTAAATTAACACCCAGGAGTTCAGTCTCGGACCCTTCTCTATCATAGTCGTATCAATAATCAGATTTAAGTCACAAGATCCATTTAGCATTTATTTAGTACTGAAAACAGCGGGTCGTCGTTGTTGCTGACTCAAACCTCCTCGTGTTATTTAGCATAATCTAAAAAACGAGGAGCGTCACACACTGTGCACGTGCTGCATGGTCCTAACCTGCAGGATGACAGAATAAACAACACAAGGCAGCAGCATGTCAATTAAATGAAGTATGGGGGCACTGAGGAAGAAGAGCAGAGGGTCTAAATGAAGGAAAATGTCAAATACACATATTAAAACTTAAATGAAACAGCCGCGAGGATTCAGAGCAGAGGAGATTAAAACTCAAAGGGATACGGAGAGAGAGAGAGCCCTGAGGAGGAGATCCTGTAAGAGAGGCGAATAGTGAAAGCAGAGAGCACAATTCTGGGTGATAATTCAGGCTTAAACTGCACAGACAAAGAGCTGAGAGCAGATTTGTGTCTCGCAGGCGCTTGTTTATTGTGGACTTGCTGCAGCGAGTCAATATCAAACCTCATAAAGACGCTCATGTAGCCTCGAACACGATGAGACTTTTATTTTGGCGTTGAACTCTCTTCCTTTTCCTTTCATTCTCGCCATCAATTAAGCAGAGGTGTCAGTAACAGCGGTACACGCGTGACTCCTGCTCCGTCCTCATATCATTAGAAAAAGAACAATTTTTCCCGGCGAGGCTAATCACCTACGAGGAATAAAGAGTGGGTGGTGACATCAAATTGAACGGCGGAAATAGAACAGAAATTAGACGCACTTAGCCATCACATGTTAATGGCAGCAATCAACAGCCAATTACCCGGCGTACTTGAGTACCTTGACAAGTGCAGGTGTAGCCTGCAACAAAACACAGGCCTCTTTCATGCCTTTCCATAAATTGGACAGTAAACTCCCTCTCTGATTGATCATGCATGTTTCATTGAGGTCGCAATTAGGCGCTATTGTTAGGGAGGTGTCGGGGAGAAAAAATCCCTTAAGGGCAGTAATAACACGCATGGAAATCAATGCAGCTGGAATTGATGTTCACCAGGAGAACCTGCGTTGTTGACCGGAAAAATCCCCGATGAGATCTCTGCGTCTCTGCGTCTGACGACTGAAACGTTTCTGGATCAGGGCGCAGAAATGTGTCGGCAGGCGGAGTTCGTGTGCGTCGGTGTCGCCGCTGCCTGGCAGAGATTTCATCGTGAACATGATCTGGGCTGAAGATCTGCAGCTGATGTTGATGATCTCTGTCACTGGGTGGATTTCAGGGCTCAGCTCAGAACGCTCACACACACACACACACACACACATCATCATCATCTCTGCACACACACACTGTGAGGCCGGCGTCCCGGTTTGACCCACTTTGATTATTCTGTCCTTAAGCAACAGGTGACTGGGCTTCCCCGGGTGTCATCTGTGTCGTTGGCCTCTGTTCAGACGCCACATCCAGGACCCACGGAGGGCTGGCTGGCAACATGCCCGATGTACAAGTGAGCTGTCCTATCACTGACATCAAGTAAGCCTGAGATGTCATGTCTTCATCTTGTGAGAGTTCAATCCCCCTTTCAGGATGGATCAGGCTCTCTGTCGCTGCGGCGGAGCGGCTGTGCAGATAAGTGTGGCGGGTCATACGCCGCCTCCCTCTCCGGCGGGGATGTGTGGAGACTCACCCTGTGGATTCAGGGCGCTTGATAAAGGCTGATCATGGAGCTGTAAATTGCACTAATGCGTCTCCTGCTCCGTGTTTCTAATCTGGAGAGTGTACAGGTCTTTTGTCTGAGCCCGGGGTGACCGGGTCCAGCTGTGGCGAGCTCTGGTCTGAACAGCTGGTGACCAGACTCCTCTCTGCGAGGTTACAGAGAGAGATGTAGAGGTGGTTCAGCTTTAATAAAATCAGAAAAACAGGAAGTTTGGGCGTAAAGACGAAGGTTTCTTGGCTTTAGTGAAATCACAGACAGTCAGTGACTAATAGCCGAGTGTTTACTCGCAGCAAACATATTTCACACTATTGGATATAGTACAATATGACCATTGACAGTCCATTAGCTTTTAAGAATGACCTGTTCTCTCCCTCCTCTGTCTCTCTCTTCTCTTTGCCCTCCAGCTACTTGACTTGTTCTACTTGACTCCTGAACCATTTTAATATCAGGCTGCCACGGGTTTCCTTCCTGTAAGCCGCCGTCTTCATATTTCTGCTTCTGCCCTCCCACAACCCCAGATAAAAACTGGACTTGTAACCTCGCCGCCGCCGCCGCCATAGTCTCTGAGTGTATATTAGCAGAGCGAGCGACCCTGTTGTTGGTCGAGGAGTGCGGATATTTTGGATGAATTAAACGCAGAAATATCCGTAAAAACCTCCAAATATCAAACCCTGAGTCGGTTAAACTGCATCAGTGGATAAACACTGAGTGTCGTCCACCTCTCCAGTGTTAGAAAAAGCAAAAACATTCAGAGAAACGTAAATTCAAAGATCCGCCTCCGTTTTGTTTTTGTGCTAAATGCTACAGCTAGTTAACCGTTCATATTAATCACTTTGGAAATGACATCAATAAAGCAGCCCAACGGAAAAATGGCAATTAAGCATTTATTGGCCCAACGTGATCAGTGTTGTCAGAGGTCATGTGCACACATCATTGGCAGTGTGTGTGTGTGTGTGTGTGTGTGTTAAATGTGGCCCAACTTTCTCTTTATGACAAACAGCCTCCATAAAAGACGTCTGTGAGCAGAAAACCTCTTATGCTCCGTCTCTCCGTCACCGGCACTTCATTGCTTCCCTGCAGAGGAGTCCACAAAGCTATATATTAATTAAGGGTTTCAGAAACAATAATGGCGACAATAAAGACAGTCCTCCCTCTTTGTCCTCGGCGTTGCGCCGTCAGACGACATTAGGAGGCATTTGAGAGGAGATAGGGGAGGAGGAGGAGGAGGAGGAGGAGGAGGGGGAGATGGAGCTCCTTCTCTCTGGAATGTAATCTCCCTGATGTTACATGGTGCAGCCTAAACTGATAAATTGCAGATTAAATGGCGGCCACACTCCACTTCACCCTGCAGCCCACACCACACCCCCTTAGTTGCACACATTTTTGCTATTCACTGCCTTCTTGGCCTGTCAATTCTGCCTAATCGTGAGAGGCACTAAAACACCAGGTCCTGACAGAGCCAGATCAAGAATGATGAACATCTCTCAATGGCAAAAGACTCGTGCTCCTAACTCTACTCGAAGGCTCGCATCACTTATGCAGAAATCAGCGGCGTGCCAGCATCCAGGAATTATGCCTGCTGACAGGAGATGCATGAGGTACGCATTGTGCGGCTGCAGCAGCCTTGACAAGTTATGGTTAACTGCAGCCATGGCGACCCCGAACACAAAGGATACAGCCGCTTATTAATGGTGGAGCATCCATGTCAATAATCTCTGCTTTTGGGTTGTGTCCAGAGTCATGCATCTTGCCATTACAAGTGCCGCGCACACACACACACACACACACACACAGAGCCACAGTGTGTGTTTTCTCCCCGCAGTTATGGGCCGGAAAGCTTTTCTTTTGCTATAGGATGGATGTCACAGCGCGCTGAAAAGAATGAAAGGTGAATATAAATACCAATACATACACCTGTGTTTAATTATTTATCTGTTTCCTGCCTGAGGGGAGGTGCCCCCCCCCCCCCCCGTCTCCAGCCTTTTCCATAAGCATGAATACAAAGAAATAAGTCATTAAATTCCTTACCGCATGTTGCTGATGTCGTCTATGGAAATATTTGTAATGTATATTCTAATTTTTCTGAATAAATTAGGCCAAGATGCATTTCCATGTAAATTTATTCAAAAGGGAGAGGAAGAGGAGTGTGGGGGGTGCGCTAAGATCTGCCAGATTATGCATAATTGTAGTATTGTAGCCCTCATTTCTACATCCAGCTCCGTATTGCGTGGTCATTAAATTCTAAAATAATGGCAACCTCACAGCTTCTCTGTCCTAATTGCCCCTCCATACAATTGCCTTCTCCAGACAATATGATGAAGTGTGCTGTAGGATGTGTTAATAAGATGGCATTTCTAACTGAGGAGGACAAAGCTGCAGAGCTCTTCTTCTCTGAATCCAAGTGACTCCGCTCACTCACTCACTGGGTCGGTCTATCGGTCGGTCGGCGCTGATCTTATTCGCTCACCTTTTCCGGGTTTGAAGCCTCAGAGGCAGCAAACAAACCGAGCTCGCTGCAGAGCTGACACATCAGGAGGAAACTGGGATTTCAGCTTGTCTCCACTCATTTCAATGTGTGCAGAAATCAAAGAGTGGAAAAAGGCTCATTAATAAAAAGACACGTCTCTAATCCACTCAGCGCTGGAGAGGGAAATTCTTTTAATGAAATGCAACACGTTATCTAATTGCACGGCTGCATCAGGAGCTCCTTATACATTTCAAAGGAGAGTATGCATGAATTTCAAATGTAGTATCTCTCAATTGAGACCAGATAGAAGTGAGAGGAAGAGAAGGAGAGATCCATCTCTGTGATGATGTGAGAAAAGGGCGAGCTCCTCGCCGGCCCGCCCGCCCGCCCGCCTGGCGTGGACTTCTCCTCATTACCTTTCATTTGGCAGCCGAGCATCTTCCACTTGATTCAGAATAAACAACTTGAAATCAGTGTGATGATGATCTCCAGCTGTCCGTGGACCCTGCATGTCCTCATCCGGGCAAATTTGTAAACACACATTTCAGGCTGAGAGCTTTAGCTGCACTTGCATGATCGAAGGTTATTATAATGTGTTTAAAGTGTCCCCCTGTGGACGTTTGGCCCGAGCTGAGACATGCTGGACTCATCACCAGCAGTACCAACACACACACACACGCGCTCAGAACACCCCAGAGTGCTCTCCTCGTACCCTCACCCACCTAAACATGGGCTCTGACGCTCAGCCATGCTTCATCTCCACATCCTTAAAAGCAGAAATTAATGACAAGCACAAAGCTGCTCATTTATAATTGCTTCATTATACTGTTGTGTTCTCCTGACAATAATGGTGTTGCTGGTGTTTTTCTAATTATATGGCTTTTTTTTTTTTTTTTGCTCGTTATCAAGGACTTCAGGTAATTGTGGAGAAAATAATGACTGCCTGCCTGCCTGCTTCCTCTCGTCTCTCATGGATTGCACATCACAAACAGTCTCAGTGCAGCCCAGAGCCTTATCAAGGAGGCTGCTGGGCTGCCTTTTAGAGCCGACTCCATTTACACTGCGAGTCATCAGAGGCCCGGTGGCTCAAGCGTCTCTAATGAGCAACTTGTATTCAAGTGTTTAACCGGAGCTTTATGACAGATTACAATTAGCTCCTTTTTTACTGTCCAAGAATCTGAATTATTCTCACACTCAGAAAACAGAAAACGTTTGGACTCTTGACCCACTTAGGTCAACGATTCAGTACATTCAAGAACTGAGCTGGCGTGTGTCGGGACCATAGACTGTTTATACTCTGGACAACTTTGCCATTCTGCGGGAGAGTCGCTGTGATGACGCTCGGCTCAAACAGCGTATCCTTCGGGTGAGCTTCACTATCTTCGTACTCCCATAGGCTGTATCAGGTGTCAATCATAGAAAACATGAACCGCCTAATAACATATTATAATATATACATAATATAATATTCTGTGTAATAAATTTCTAAAGTTTGTCCACAGCTCCACAAGGAGGCGGGGTTTATGACCTATACTGCAGCCCATCACCAGAGGGTGCTGTTCTTAGAGTGAGGAGGCAGATGGCATCTATTCTAGATACAGTCTATGGTCGGTACGCTGTTAAGGGGTTAAATTTACTCATCTGCAGTTCCCTGAGAGTCCACTAGAGGCTGTGTGCAGAAACCACATACACACTAATTAAAAAAAAAAAAAACATTTTAGAGCAAAAAGAGAGAAACATGTTTAAGGTTTTGATTAGCTCAGGAGTCCCCCGACTGTAGGAGGAGCAGATTTTTTTATGAGTTTGTTTACAACAGTCAACAGCTCGGTGAAGTCATGATTCTTTGTCCATAAAGAGAGAAAATAGACTGTTTAATAACTTAACATAGCTGTTATAAACTCCTGTCTATAAAACCACTTTAAGTAAATTTTATTCAGGCCCCTGTTTGGGCAGCCCGGGGTCCTTGGGATTTAACCCATTTTTATTCAGGCATTGATATGGGCAGTTTTGGGGTCCTAAAGCAATCGCGGAGATTACCGCGAAATGCCGCGATGAAATACTAAGTTGATCTTTACGTTGATTGTTGTGCATTTGTGAAGAAGTGAGTATTGTTAAGTTAATGTTTATGTTGAACGATTGTGTGTTTTTAACTGAGTATGACTCGTGATTTAAGTAGTTAGTTTATATTTACTGAAGCTACCAGTATCATCCACAGGTTCACCCTCTTAGTTAATTCACAGTGTAGTTCAGAGTTTGTTCTCTCACTGGTTTCTTAAACTCTAATGTATAAATAAAAGTCTGATTTCTTTAGTAAACGCAGTGAAACATGAACGCTGAGTACAGAGCTGTGTTTGGAGCTCTTGAACTGGAGCGTTGACAGTTTCAGTTTTTCTGAGCTGCCTCTGAATATGTTCAGATAAACTCAGAGTTGTGTTTAGTTCTGTTCTGCTCAGACCTCTTTTTGCTAGTTTTAGGTTTAGTTTCTGCTGTTGCTGTGAAAATGTGAACTTTCGATTGTTCCTGATGTTGTTTCTTTGTATGTGTCTGAACGACGGGGTCAGAGAGTCAAAACTGAACATTTTATTCTCTCATTCTAAATAACTGGTTTTAATGAGTGTGGCTATTACTGAATTATTGAGTTTTAACCAGTTTTACAACAATCTGAAGTCGACTCTGTCACCTGTAATATTTAAAAACCAGTCGACTTTGGCTCTTTGGAAACTTCACGGATTGAAAACACTCTGAATATCTCAGGAGGAGTTTTATTCACTGTTGACGTCTTCTTGCTTCATGGACACCTTTATTAAATTTGTAGAAGACTAAACAAGTGTCTTTTTGAAAGTATGTGAACCGTAATGAGGTTAAACGACGTAAAGAAACAGGCCTCACTCACTCACTCACTCACTCACTCACTCACTCTGCGGCGAGCGAGCGCTCCACGTCTCGTCGAAGATTTGCGGCGGTGTCGATAACATCACTAATAATGCTGTCTGTCTGTGTGCTGTGATTTCTTTCAGCTGTGGGGAGATTAGTGATTTGCATTTAATACCCGGTGTGCTCTGCTGTTCCTTTTTTCATGCAACATTGCCGGATATGGATGATGACATTATAATAATTAAAGAACATTATGGACAGAGGGCGCTTCGCTATTTGCTGCCGAGCGTAATGGCGGCCAACGCTGTTATTTCTATTTGAAGAATGCATCCAAGTGTGAAATAATAATATTCCCTCCAGGAATACCATTGTCATATTTTATTCGTCAGTGTAAAAAGATGAAACAGAAAAACATGATAAAAAAGGAGCCCTCACTCTTCATCTCCTCCATCCTTCTTGCTGTTGTTTTTTTAATTCTGCTGTTGCAGCATCCAGCGCCGCCGATGCTGTCTGCAAACCTCAGAGGCGGACTTAATTAGTTGCTAAGAGAAAGCTGCCAGTGGTGGGGAGCACAGAGAGTGGGGCACATTTTAGTTTGCTCTGAACTTTGCTAATTATCAGGTAGGATGTAATTTCCTCCGTTCCCCAGAGACGCCCAGCAGAGAGCCGCACCGGCGAATCGGAGACAAACAAGGCTGAGCCCGGAAAAAGTGCGTCTGTTAGGAATAAATCCTTTCGCGACTATTTCTGAGGACTATTCTTTCTCTGTGTTTCTGGAGGTGTGATTATACTCCAGTGCTGTGACACACCGTGAACGCTACCTGAGAGGGTGTGGGAGAGGACGTTTGCACCTTCATGGACAGGTGGAAACAGGATGTAGTGCAGCTCAGAGCGGGGAAGGCGAGCGCAGGGCTCCGATCATTTATATCCAGCTATGTCTGAGCAGTGACAGCGACTGTGTTTAGCAGGTTCCTATCCCACATGCATCACATTATGATTCTGAAGTGCCTCAGACGAAAGAGGAGGTTGAATTGCCGTTGACCTGAGTGAGCTAAAATGACATAGATTCAGACAAATAGAGCACTGAGCTAGGCGGGAAAACAAGATGGATGTGTAGTGGCAGCACATCTGCACAGGCTCCCTCTCTCTTCCTCTGTGAGTGTGTGTGTGTGTGTGTTTGTGTGTGCATGTGTGAGTGTGTGTGTGTGAGCCCCAAACTTTTGACATTTTCTTCAGACAACCCACATCTAAAGCTGTCTGGCTGCACACTTAATAGGCTTGCAAAGGGCCTCCATGCTGCTTTAAACTCTAAATATTAAGCGCCTCCTCTCTGCACAAACACACTTTTTGGTCTAATGTTGCACAGACTCGTCTTTAGCTGCTGGAGTTTAAGTTTCGCAGCTCGTCACAGAAATCTCTGTGTGTTCTGAAACGTCAACGTGAAGTTTTCAGAGCTGCCTCCCACTTTAAATCTTGGCAGACTCCTCATTCTCTGCGTGTGTGTGTGTGTGTGCGTGTGTGTGAGTGTATCTCCATGGTTGCGGCGTCTAATATGCACGCCCCAGTGCATTGAGAAAAGAGAGTACTTCTTCCTCACTTGGTTTAATTGTCCCTTAGAGACCTGTGGAATTGGAATCTAAGTGGAATACCAGTCTCTTTTTCCAGCCCTCCTCAGCCCTCCACCCCCTCTTCCTGCTCCTCTCTCTCTCCCTCTCTCTCTCTCTCTCTCCGGGGTTGGAGCGGGCTTTCGGAGACTCTTGATTTGGTCCTGTCTTTATTTCATCACAGGCCTCTTCTCAGCTTGCTCCTAAAGCACCACGGCGTTCGGCTTTATTAACCCCCCTAAGCAAGAAGTACCTAAGGGAGGTCAGACACTGGTCGTTAAAAATCTATTGTGACTTGTCTGAAAAATGAATAAATGAGCACATTATTTCCCCCCGTTCCGCAGCCCCGCTACGCTGTTTGTCTAATCAAGTGCGGGAGCGGGCAAAGTCAACCAGGGTTGACATGCACATTTTATTTAAGTTTTTGTCTGTCAGAGGAGTTTAAATGTGTAATGAACAAAGGAGTGGTGATTTGAAATATAATCCCATTACACTGATGAAATTACAAAGACGGCGAGAGTTCACAAATCACGCTCATTGTTTTCTATCATGAGCGATGCGGCTGTTGAGGTTGTGGCGCGCAGAGGAAGGGCAGAGTGTGAATGAATAGTGACAGCACAGTAAGGGGATTGGGGAGTGGAGCTCGGCCGGGCCTCCCTGCACCTCCCTGTACTGGGAGATGCTGAAGGGCTTTGTTCCCGCCTCTGCTGCTGCTGCTGAGGAGCAGGATGAACCCAGAAGAACCGGTCCAACATAGAAGAAGAAGAAGAAGAAGTGGACATGCTCACTTCTACAAATCCAGAGAAACGGCAACGAAAAAAGATCATGAACTTCACCAGATCGAAGTGATGATGTGTTCTCCTCAAACTTTCAGGATTTGAAGTTGAGCTTGTGCAGGATGATGAAAAATAACTCCATGATACTTTGAGGATGCACCGATAAATGATGACCGAACTGTGAGGCTGAGCTTCACAAACATTTCCAACCATGCACCGACTCAGAAGATAATGGATGATAAAAAGGAGCATTCATAAGTTTTCTATTTGTTGCATTTGAATTTTGTAAAATAAAAACTTATCAGGTCAACCAGGAGGCGACTCTGTAGTCCTGAGCTGAAAGGGAACTGAAAACTCAACACAAGTTTTAAACGACGCAAAGATACAACGCGAAATCCCGAAATATTCGAAGGCAAATTTTGACACGCCTGACTTTACACAGCAAGCCTGATGCGATTTTAAGACTTTCTGGGGGAAAAAGACGCGTCCCAGGTGGAAGCGAGGAGACTGAGCCAACAGCAGACTGAGTGTTTTTCAGTTCTGATTAGACTCTAGTGTTTAGATGTCTGTCTGTCATGATAGCATGTACTGAGTCGGGGCCAGTACCAGATAAACACATTAAACTATAATCCATAAACGTAAGGAGATCAAATCTGACCTTCCTCAGTAAAAGGCCAAACGTCTCAACTAAGTCCAGTTGTCCTTTCAATGAAGAATTGGAAATCATAGATGCTGCACCCACAGCTTTTTTGAACATTTGAGTCAGTGATGGCGCCCCCTGCTGATGACGCAGTCTTTACCTAGCTAGTCCTCTTCATGCTCCATGTTTGACAAAAATCCTCCCGCCAAAAATAGCAAATATTTCATTAAAGATGGAGCCGTTTCTGCTCAGATTCGCTGAGGTCATCTTTGAGGATGGACAGGATCAGTAAACGATGACTGAACCGTCAGTCTCTCATTTTCCAGTCCTGTCTGTAATATTTCGTCTGGAGGAGTAATCTGACTTTGCGCACAGAAATCTTTTGATGTTCATCTTTGATTCGTGGCGTGCTAAAAGTCAGGCCGCCGGCTCGGAGAAAGTTACAGCTAACTCCAGGAAGAAGAAAAAAAACACAGAGAGAGACAGGAGAAACTTGTTTTAGTTGCTGCAGCTTTAATTGGAAGCCTCACATGCCCCTTAAACAACATCATCTGAAGCTAATAAGACTTAAAAAGTACATCTGGCTGTAAAATGCTTACCATTTTTAACACTAATGAACTGAGGCGTGCAGTGGAGATGGCCAAAGTGCGAGGAGACGTACAGTATATTCTGGAGAATTCCCCGGCTGCACAGGAGCTCATAAAACACATCTGAAGACAGAACTTGTATCTGGTTATTCGTGTTTAATTGGAGGCGCTGAGTGATGCAAACTAGCTTTTAATGCCCTCCCCTGCTGCCTGACTACAAGTAGCATCGGTGTTGCAACCCCTCCTCTCCCATCTATCCTCGCAGAAATGACCAAACTCACTGCTAACAACGTCTGAAGCACACTCGCCTCCAAACGTGGCGGCACAACATGCCCGCATTAGGAGCTAAATGCGTCTAAATGCCGCACTTTGGATTTATATTCAGGCGCGCACACGGGCGCAGAAGTATGTGTGAAGGTACGAGGAAAGGTTCAGTCACTCTGGATCTTGATTTAATCGCGTTATTTTCGCTTATTTTGGCGCCGGCGTTGATAATTGTGCCATCAGTCCGGAGAAAGTGTGAAGAGGGTGAAAACGCCACATGGAAAGTGCGAGCGGGGTGTCATCTGCGTGATGTATTAAATCTGGACGCCATCGAGTTGACGATGACATAATTCAGAAAAACAGAGCGACGGGCGTTAGCGTCCGCTTCATATTCATTTGATGTCCTCTCTCCTGCCGGATGACCAGTTTCTGTTGGACTCGACACGGCGCTCAGTCTCCGGCGTTTCTTTGAGGCTTGATCTCCTCCATGTACGATATAATCGCTCATCCTGTAAACATGAGAACAGATTGAATAAAGAATACTTTGCTTTCCCTTGGCCCTGGAAAACAGTTCTGTCATGTGCTGTCCACGCTCATCTCAGCTCCAGGCTGGCGGCGGCGCCTTTATTCAATGTGACAGAGGAGAGCTGGGGACTCTTTCTCCTGGCACCCCGGTACGCGCCACACTGACACTCTCCTCTGAAGTGCCACATTAATTCTAATAAAGCGCTGCCTTACCAGGGCCCGCGAAGACCAGGGCTGCGTGAGGGGGGGCAGACGCTCGTATAAATACCAGGCTTAATGAAGGGAGGCAGTGGTGGCGCAGGTGGCGTGGCAGTGCAGGTGGCACCTCTCGCCCTCGGGCTCCTGGGTGAGTCCGCTGCCACCGCCACTCCAGGGGGCACAGCAGCAGAGATTGCATTTTAATTACCAGGTACACCTTGTCCTCCGGACGGGTCAGCGCCTTGTTGGTGGGAGTGAGTCTGCAGACGAGCGTGTCCTGGGCGCCATCTCTACCTGCATGTTTACAGAGATACTCCCCTGAACGCCGGAACACAACACTCCACACCTTCTTGTTCATGCTCCAGCCGTCACCGCTCAACACGACTAATTCTGTATGTTCACCAGGATGCCATCTTCTCTGAATTATGTGCGCCTCGCTCCCTGTGGGGAGGCATCCATCCAGCCTCAGTCATCGCTAACCCTCCCCAGGAGGAGCTCCATCCACAGGGAGGTCCACACCTGTTTCCTCCTCCTCATTCCTTCATTCTGCAGAAATCATCCCTCTTTCTCCTGCAGCTCTAACTCAAAACTCTCGACGTTTCTAATCTTTACAGTTTTGTGAACGTGGTGAAGCTCGTCTTTATCGTTATCATGAATATTACGGCGTTTCAGGTCGTGATTTTATTATTTAAACAATTGTGCGTTAAAGACGGCGTGTTAATGTCAACCTGCTGCACCGAGAGAAAAAAGATCTCTGCTGAAATAATCATCTGTTTGTATTGTCATAGTTCTCGAATCATAGTGTAGAAAAATATGTTGTTTTCATCGTTATTTCTGTTTATTTCCGTCTTTAAAGTCGGCACCAGCAGCAGAGTCTTTTCTCAAACTTCATCCTGATCCACCAGTTTACGTGGTTTCATTTTTACATGTTACGCCTCCTGCCAGTACGTTAGTCACCTTTTTACCGTCTTTGTGGGACTGAAGTGAAAGTTTGGCAAAGTTTTTACTCTTGCTTTAAAAAAAATCTGAGAAATGTTTTCCTGCTGTTTGTTTTTTGGTCCAGATATCATATTACTAAGTTTAATTTTAGTATAATAATTATAATATTCCTAATGTTACACCCCACCTGAAGGCGGCCCTATGGGGCTAACAAATTAATTAATTAATTAAAATATTTCTTAGTTACATTTTAGTGTCATAATTATAATATTCCTAAGTTTAATTGTAGTACAAATAATTTTGATATTTTTGGTTTAATTTTAGTATAGTAATTATCTAATTCCTGAGGGTTTTTTTTGTAAAAATAATTTTAATATTTCTTGGTTTAATTTTATTGTAATTGTATTAATTTTTAGTTTAATTTTAGTAACATAATTATAATATTCCTGATTCCTATGTCTCCTATATTCCTATGTTTATTATTTTTGGTTTAATTTTAGTAAAATAGACTAAACAGGGGAATTGGCATCACCACAGCTGTAATAGAGAGTCATGATATCTACGTTATATTTTGTCTGTTAAATAGTTGAAGATCCTGAATTTTCTTTTTCAGTCTTCTTATTCTGGATGGACACAATATTGTGTGAATTATTATTGCGTTCACCTCGAGGGGGCGTGGCCTCTTTTGTTAGCAGGAAATGACGTTTGCGGCTCTCACAGGACTCCGGCCTACTCCTTGTGCGTGTTGCAGTCCTTTACAGATGGGTGGTGAGAGGGTTTGCTGAAGGAGGGGGTGTTTTGTATGTCCAGGACATATGAAGACCCCACCACCTCCACCAGCTCCCCCCTCCTCTGTCTCTGGGGATGCTTCTGTCAGAACGCTGCAGCACAGATGTTGTTGCATTGTCTGGAGCACCGAAGCCCAGATCAGCCCAACTGGGAGCTTCCACTCATTAGCTATTGTCTGTGTGTGTCTGACTCGGCCTTTGATGAATGCAGCAGTTAGCCCACGATCAGACAGCAGACACAGAGAACACAGAACCCGCCATCTACCCGTCCAAAGATAATACCGCCGTTTGTTCGACACGTTTGGATGATCATTGTTGATTTTACATCCAAATGAGAATTTTTTTTCTTTTCTCCGATAAAAACCGACCACAGATGAGCCGGATCTCTCCTTGTCTGCACTCAGCAAACACGTTCTATCATCTTAAGCTCTGTATTTACCTTAAAGAGCACGGGCTCCAAGCTCCGGAAAACAAAAGGGCACCGTGTCTGCCACTTGGATACTCTGCTCTCCTCTTTGCTTACTCACCCAGAGAAAGGCCATGCTATTATTTATATAATTCCCCCTCCTTCCTCCTCTTCCCTCTCCTCTCCTTCATGCATCCACACAGTCAGCCAGCCAGCCAGCCAGCCAGCCAGCCAGCCAGGCTATGAACACATTGCAGGGCCTGAGGGCAGTACTGTGGACAACCTGCGCTGTGTTCACATGGCTGAGCAGAGCGCGAGTGAGGAAGACTGGCACGCTGAAACCAAACAGGTGTATGATTCAGAGGCGTGAGCTGTGAAGGGTGAATTTTTCTTATACAAGTCAATGTTGCTTTTGGAGCAAACAGCAGCTTGGAGCTGTCCCAGGAAACATTTACACGCAATGTGACTTTTTCCCTTCTGCAGCAGAAATGAATTCCTATTGTTCCTCAGACATTCCCAGTCTGACTCTGTTCTCGCTCTGGGATTCAAGGTAAATATTGCCTTAAAATCATTCGTCAACATGGCGACTTAGATCTACAGTAAGTAACGCCATCTGGAGTCTGCATGTCGCTAATAAGTGTCGTTCTGGTTTCGAACCGTGGTGTTTTCCTGTGAAGTCTGTGGATTTTTCTCTCATGAGTTCTCAGTTTGTGTGGGAGGCCTCTTCATTTAGCTTCTACTGTCACAGCTCTATTTATTGATCTCACGCTGACAAACACTCATCACTTTCTGTGCGTCACGAGGATTTTATTTGGAAAGATCTGTCCGGAAACTGGAGCAGATTCAGAAACTCACCGTTTGTTACATAAAACCCTTTATTTTAAATCATTGTTAGTGTTTGTTTCTGTTTTATTTCATGTTGCAGAGTTAGTGACGCTCTCAGCTCTGAATCATTTCAACATCATCTCCGCCGTTCAGATTAAAAATCACTTTTTATAGAAGTCAAGCCTGATCAGGGTTTACAGTCATGATTGGACGATTTTAGGTGCAAATTATCGGGCAGGAAAATACACAAAAAATCTCATTTTAAGATTCACCTCAGACTGCAGTTCGCCTGCAGGAAAGACTGTGAAAAGGTGACTCCGGCACCAGTAAAAGGAGAGTTAATGGTCAACTGGAATCAATGGAAATGAATGTTTGATTAGGAGATGATAGTTTTCTCTGTGAAGCTGCAAAACAGCCACCAAAAAACAAGTCTGGAAACATGATCAATTAATAATTAAATAGATTAATTTAAAATGTAGTTTAAGTTTATTTCTTAGATTATAAAATATTGGATTTGTGCTGCTTTTTCCTACTAAAATCACTGAATATAAAGAGTTTAAAACTTGGATAAAATCTGAAATTAAAAGTAGTTTTAGTTGAATTACCTGTTTTTATTCTGCTGTGTAAAGGCGGTTTTAATGTTTCTTTATTTGGGTCTTTAAATGTGAGTTTAAAGGCTGAAACGGGGTCATCATTTAACCGTTTGACTTTTCAGTCTTTCGAATAAGTTCTTGCTAACCTGGGGGACTTTTAGTAATCAACTTATTGATCGTAGTTCTGAGCCAATTAGATTACCTTTTCAGTAATCTAGCTGTGTCCCTGTATCTCTGCAATTACCACGATAGTAGAAAAGTGATGGCACGAAAACACAACAGTGATACCAAAGTGTTTTTAGGCTCGACACAGAGACACAAACAAGTGGGTGTTACTGTTTTTAACTTTTAACAACCGATAATCAATGAGAGATTAAAGTAATATTCACATTTTAGAGCTCTGACCTGCGAACCCGAAGAAGCTCGGCGTTTAATAATCCGCTTTAACAAGAAATCAACAGACCTCTGCTCACTCCGAATACAGAAATGACAGCGTGTCCCGGAGGAGTCTGTACAGAAGCGAACATAAATCTGGGCTGCACAGTCACTCCTTGAAGGCTGGACCTCGGGGTTAAGATAAGAGACCATGTTAGCGGTTATTAAGTGAAAGTTTCCAATCGATAGCCGGGGAGACGTAATCAGGGAGGGTTTAATTGCAGAGGGGAAGACATCTATTCAGGTTATTGCAGCAGCTGTCCAGAAAAGCTTCATTTTTTCTGCTCCAGAGTCTCCCTCCAACGTCCGACCCGGGCTGACCCCCTGAAAGGCTGCGGCTCGCTCCACGCCGGACATTTAGTGATATCACTTGGTGTTTCTTTGGTGACATTTATATGAGTCAAACACTGACGCCATACATCGTGAAAAAGGCCTGTTTCCCGGCTCTAAATCTCCCCCTTTAAACACATATAGTTGTTATTTATTCTGCTGCTGATGCATGCTGTAAACATAATGCTGACAACTCCACTTTCTGTCGTTGTAAATAGCTCAAAAAATGTGACTCTACACCTTTCTTTGTCACAAAAGTAGGAATCAAGTGAGCACAGGGGAAATGTTTATTGGCTTTCCGGAAAGAAAAGAGAAACTTATGAGTACAACTCTTTTCTTTTTTATACGGCTCTGAATTCTCTGAAGCATTAACCTTTAAAAATCAGATTTACATCTACATTTGTCAACCTCCTCCTGGCAATAAACACCTCAGAGACTCCAAACATCTCCCATGACCTCAGAAAATATTCGCTCTCGTTATATATCAACCATCACTTACAACTCCGGCTAAATAAATCAGTGAATACAATAATTATGCCTTTTCTCCGTCCTGTCAGGAGGAAATAAAGCCGTCTGATCCAGCACAAACTGAAGGGACTTTTGAAACAATATCCCCACATTAATCACTCACATTTATGCTGCTTTTTTACTAATAAGACGCCAATCAAGAGGAGCGGCCACTTCAGGATCAGACCAGAGGGGTGATCCTTTCTCTGTGTGTTTCTACAGATGAGGTTTTATTCTCTATTATTATTTAATTTAATATTATTGTAACACTTTATGAACATCGCTCTAATTTGTCATGACTGATTATCACTTATAAATAATTGTTATAAAGCACGTTTGTCGAGCCTCATAAATTCATCTGTTAGAGTTGAGTTTATATGAAAGTTTATTTTTAAATACAGTTCAATCTCTTTCATATTTAAGCATTGTTTTGATTTAAATTAAAATATTGTAGATTCTAATGAATTGAGTCAAAACTATTTTAATCCCAGATTGTAGATAATCCGATAGTAGAACTAGATGTCTGATGTTACAAAGTGAACACACTGAAACCACATGGAGGTGATATTTAGTGTATTTATCAGAGAACATATATTTTCAAATAAATCTTCACCTTTTAGAGTTTAATACAAATCCTATTGTGATTTGTTGTTAAATAAGTTTAGTGTTGCTTCATGAGCTGAAAATAGTTTGACCTAGAGGACCTTTAATTTTCATTTTTTATGGAAAATCCAACAAAACAGGAAACTGACTAAGACTTTATTAGGCATGTACTGATATATTTATACATAACCTACTTTTATGTCTGACCCTAACCCTAACCTGAACATCAATCAATTAATCAATTGATCAATCAGACTTTATTTGTATTGCACTTTTCATACAGTGTGATGTCGTGCAGAGTACTTTACATAAACAGAAAATCATTAAAAACCCTAAATCACTCATGTATTAAGACAAACAGGCAAGTAAGAATTTAGAAATTAAGTAATAATAATTAAAAAAAACAATAAAAGTCATGATGTAACTTATTTGAACATAATAGTTCTCTGTCCACGTCGTAAATTAAATTTTCAGTCAAGTTCAGATATTTTTTCTCATTTGTTAGTTTTTTTAAATAGCTGAAAATTGTCAAATACAAATATCTAACATCAATATGATCTGTTTCATTTTTAGTGTAAAATGTCTTATAATAAGTATACAGCTTTTCTTAAAAAAAAAAGTACAACATAAACAAAACACGACTGATCAGAATTAAATCACGTTTAATTGAGTCTCTGGAGCAGCGACAGTCAGACAGCCGACCAATCAGAGCGCACTTTTCTCTCTTGTCACACACTTTGGTCTTTTTGTAGTTCACGCAGACTAAACCTGCAACATGGAAACAAATTGCTTCATAATTTTGACAAGAGCAACTTTATTTTAATATAGCAGTTCGTAACAGTGTGCAGCTCAAATTGCTATTTTTAGGAAGTTAAAAAACTAAATTTATGGAAACATTTAATCAGACAGAAATTCTGATCCCACAGAGTGTCCTGGATAAAAAGATGTATATTACATGACAGACTATTGATTAACAGTTTGCACAAGGACGAGACAAAAACAGCAAAAAAAAGAGAGTTCCCACTTTGTCCACAGGGGGCGCCAAAGACAGAACAGACAACAAGTTCCTCACTGGAGCTTTAAGACAAAAACAAAATCTGCTGAGATGAGTCTGAGGCCGTTCAGTAACCCTAAAAAAACCACCTGATCCACTATAAACACCCTCAGAAAACTGGAGCATTTCCAGACCAGTTAAACCAGTTAAACCAGTTAAAGAGCCTCTGCTGCATGAATCTGTCTGATCATAATAAAAAGAGTCACATTCATTCACTTCTGCTCCTGCCTTGTTCCAGCCGGCTCATTTCTGGCTCCATGTGCTGCCTGATCACCAAAATCCAAAGGCGACTCATTGCGGGGAATTTCCTGCCATGAAAACGATGATGATGATGTGAATGGATGGCTGACGCCGTGTCAAATCCAGTAGATGTCAGTAAATTGGAACATATGTTACTTAAACTATAACATCATGATAATTCTCCTCCAAGATGGCTCATAAAACTGGAATTTATTGGGCTAAATCTGGGGTGATGATAACATAGATAATTTTTAATGGAAGGTTAATGCGGGAATCAAAAGATAAAAATGGACCCTTTGGCCTTGTATCAGCTGGATCCCAGAAAATCGGAGCGGTTTTTATGCACCGTGGGGTGTTCCCCTTTCATTACATTTTATAGCTCCAAGCATAAAAATATACGGAACATTTTCATGGCTAATAAAACCCCAGATCTTTACATGATAAGCAGAATGGAGACACTGTAGAGGAAAAAAAGAAAGAAAGAAAGAAAAAAAAAAATATTCCCTTTGCTGTTTGTCCCAGCAGAGTGAGGAGCGTGTTCAGCTGCTCGGGAGCCAAACCTCCTCCCAGTGGAGAGACTCTGCTCCGACACAAGCACCGAGCGCCTCCTCTATTCCCACAGACGCACTTTTAAAATAGGCCACATTGGAGAAAACATGACTTTTCACTATTCTAATAAATGGGAGCCTGCCTGTTTATTATTAATGACATCCCAGCACACTTTTCAGATTTGGTTGGTGTTACGCTCAGTGAGTAATTTATATTCATGCCAGCGTGAGAGCCTGCCTGTGTATGCTTACTGTCTTTTTACTGTCAGCTCTGTGTAGTAGTGCCATGAAATTTTAATGTTTACCAGGTCAGTCCTGACCTTCTTAATCCTGCTGGTTATTAATACGCTAAAGCCAACACAGAGGAACAATTAATCAAAAACACCTCTTTTCTTCCCTTTTCCACCTTTCATACATATTAATTATATTCGGCTGCCTTGGGCTGAGGAGTGCATTAACATGTATGCACCCTGGCAGAGAAATAAGTCAAAAAGCGGCGCCGCTCTGCCCCCACGGCGAGGAGGTGCTTCCCCAGGATTAGCCTTACGACAGCGGGCTGAGTGGCAGGAACTTGAACATGACGGAGCACTGATACACTTTCTTGTCCAGACAATTATCTGTGGCCTACTTTTTCAAGCTAATTCAACACACGGACCCCCCAGGTTGTGTGTGAAGCCTCCTGGTGGGGGGGCTGCAGCGGTGGGTGTCAGTCACAGGAGGACCAGACTGCCCCGGAGCAAAGCTGCGGGTCCCGGCTCAGAGGGAGGAGGAGGAGGAGGAGGGGATGATTGAAATAGAAGTTGAGATGTAGGACACATAAATAAAGCGTTTTTTCTTTTTTCCTGGAATACTCTTCCCTCTGCTCACATTTACATAATACTCCACCGTGCGCACCATCACTCCCATCAGCCCCAAGGTTGATGGAGTCATGTGACCAGGCAGAGAGCAGCGGGATTGGACGGTTTTATCATCATGAACCCCCAAAACCTCGTGTTCACCACACAGGTGATTTTTCCATCTGTTGCAGCTCCGCAGTCGAATTTTTGATCTGATCCGACTTTATAAAATACACAAACCAGTAAAAACACGTAAACAACACCGCAGGAACACTGTCACCTACAGATGGAGCTCTAACAGACTTTACTCTGTGTGTGTTTTGTGTTCCTCGAGGGCCACCGTAGGCTGCCGTAAACTGTGGCTGTCTGCTGTAATCTGGTTACTAGTGTTGGTGCTGGAAACCTTTGTTGACGTCCTCTTGATGATTTTTCCATGAAGTTTGTCTGTTTGTCCCTAAAATGATAAAGACTCTCCCTCTTCATCTATATGATCATAAACTGTGTGTGAGGATAACTCAGTGTCGACAGGATTAAAGCGCACAGAGCAGCTCTGAGCAGCAGAGACGCCGAGATGACATTTGTTCTTTAAAACAGTAAGCTGCATGTAGTTGAATATTTATTTGCATTATTTATATTTTATATATTAATGAATATATATTTAGCCTGATAGAGAAATCAGCATCTTCAGAATTAAACATAAAATAATCTCATTTATATTTGAAATGACTTTTCTGAGCTCCTGACTTTAATAACATCAAACTGTAACTCTCTTTTCTTAAAGTTAAACACAGAGTCAAACCTCAGATTAAAAAGTACATTCAGGAATTATTAGATTATATCTTTATTATATTTATGACAGGTGTTGAGATGTTCACAAACTCAAAGAAAAGCAGCTGAATCTGTCTTCTATAACCAGATCTCAGAGCGAAAAACTTCATTTTAAACCTTTTTAATCGCTGATTTTCTGCCTTTAATCTTCATTTTTTCTCCTCTTCTATACAAACCGGTCATGTTCGTCTTTTTCTGCAAAGAAATAACTTGTTGCTGTGACTTTAACGCTCCTGACTGACGGCGGTGATGTTTTATATTTGCCTTCAGTCTCTGAGGTTCATCACAGATCTTCACTCTCTAACTCATCACTGCGTTTCCTTGTTAAAAATACGATCCTGAACTTCCTTCTCTCCTCATTTATGGTTTTCTTTAAAGCTCATTTGAGGTTTTAACTCGTTATAAACAGACGTGAATTTGCACTGATGCCTTTTTCCTTTTCGTCTCCAGATTTGGTTGAAAGACTTTGCTGCAGGAAAATGTGGAAATCTCGGTGAGTTGGTGTCTGTAAATGTTGTTCAGAGCAGATTGAAGGTGTTGGAGGAGGATGAACGAGGCTGCAGATGCTTTGACTGATCACTGTCTGTTATGTGAACCCGTCTGTGTTGACATGTTGTTTTAAATTGTCTAAGTTTGTTAATCCTGTAACAGAAATGTTTTGAGTCTTTTCTGGTTAAAAACATCAAAAATCAAACATCACACGTTAAAACTGGAGCAGCTCGGCCCTAAAACATCGTCATCTCTCTCTTTTTTCCAGGATCAGGCCCCTGACTTCCTGGACCGCCGTACTCGCAGACTTCATGACCTCCAAGCAGAGCTGGGAGACAATGTGAGGTCTGGATGAAAGGGCGTCGGAGAGCGACGGCGACCATGGGTGGGGGCGAACAGGGGAGGATGGGAAGCAGATGGCAGCAGCTCTGTCCCATCAGCACAACAGAAGGGGGACTCAAGATGGCCACGGGCCCCCCCTCCTCACAATAAGGGAGACGCCTTATCATCCCGCCAGCGTGATCCGTTTCTAACAACAACCCCAAAACCTCCCTCCCCTCCCAGCCTCTAATCACAGCGAACAGGAGCGGCCGAATCAATCACCAGGTACTTACAGAGTTACATTCAAGTCCAGGGTGGCGCCTATCGCAGGGGCCCTAAAAATGAGATCTAGATGAGGAAATATATTCTTCAAAATGAGACGGAATAAAATCCGGTTTAAGATGACGGGGCACGACCCGCCTGACGCGCCTCCTGGTCGACTATGAATGAGGCTGCGGCGTCTCCGAGCAGCTTGTCTGGGAGATAACCTTCAGCAGCCTCGCATCCCTGGCCTCTCCTCTCTGTGTGAAGAGCATGTAGTGAATAGGTGCTAATTAAGCTTTGTGCATATAAAGACGACGGCATACTGTTGCAGTCAGGAAAGAGAAAAAAAAAAAAACAGACTAATTGTGCGGCGCAGCTTTGTTTCCTCCTGGAGAGACGTCGCCTCAGATCCAGAAAAACTGCAGCCGTTCACTTCAGAGCTGAGAGAGAGTTCTTCCCTGAGAAATGTATATGTATATAGGAACAGTAAATCAGAGGTGGGATCTAAATTGTTCATCTGATGACTTTTCCCCACGCAGCACAGTCCATCATACAGGCCAGCGACAGAGCAGCAAAAAACCAAAGAATCATGCATCTTTGCGAGTAGAAATTAATAAAAACACTATGTCAAGGAGCCAGGAAAAATGGTTTCCCCTAATGGATTCTCCACAGAAAACAGCTTTTAGACAATCAATCTTTCCTTTGAAAGCCCAATTATTTAAGTAATTGTTCCTCACAATTGCCACAGGAATTTGTCCTCTGGATGCTGTAAAAGTGAGCATCTTTTGTCACTCGTAAAACGGCTCATACCATTTTTATTGTGCTCATTTAATTTCTCAGCCACACTTCTACTTAACGCCTTTTGTCTGCATTTATAAAACTGTTCATTCTCTATTTGTCACACACACACACACATGTACACACACACACACACACACAGGGTTTGTGGTAATGTGGCATAATGGAAAGTCATACAGAGTGTGATGTCAATCAGAGGCTTTGTTTACAGTCTCATATAAACACACCTGTTGACTGACATGTTGTCATTTCTACAGAGTGGAAATCACTTCACTGTGGAGCTGTCTTAATATACAGAACTGAGGAGGATAACCGTCTTTAAAGATAAACGTATGTCAGACTCAAATAAGTGTAAAGAGCCACCGGAGGAAGTGTGTACTTCAAAATAAAAGCACAGTTTTAAAATGCAGGAATTACAGCGACCGAAATGCAAGACAGAAAACTATCAAAATAAAAGCCTCCTCAGACGTTCACCTTCTCTTCACTGATAATCTGACCGTAGTTGATTTAAGATCACCGTCAGTTATCGTGAGTTAAAGTTCAGTCGTCCTCAGTTCACTCAGCGCTCACTCTCCTGTTTCCTCTCCGTCAATAATGGACCAAAATAAATCACCATAAATAAAAGTGTCACTGACTGAAATGAAACGATGACATACAACCTTAAATACTCTAATCTGATGTTATTTTCCCTGTTTTAGATTCTTAAATTCACATCGATCAAATTAAATCAAATCTTCAAACATTTTCTATAGTTTTCTATATAAATCAGTTCAATATCAGTTCATCAGGAGTCTGTCTACAGCTGTTAGATTTATTATTTAACTCCTCACTGGAGGTCAAGTGAAGACAGTATGTCGGTCATTTCTCCACATGTGTTTAGATGAATCAAACAAAGATTCTCTGTTTCAGGTCTTCAGTTAAAAACAGAAAACACGACACTTTGAAAAACTTTCTTGTTTTGGAGAAGAACAGATGTTTAGTTTAGTTTTTGTTTTGTTCTCTCTGCAGATCCTCCTCCTCCTCCTCCTCCTGGACTCGTCGACAGTATATCTGTTTGCATTGTTTTGGCAGTAATCTCCCTTTTAGTCTCTGAGCTCCTGTGAAATAAATGTCTGATGGTGCAGCTGTGCAGGAAAAATGGAGCTGAAAACATTTAGAAATTTGGGCAAAAAAAAAACTGAGAACAAACTTTTTTACACCAGTGAAATCTGAGAAAAGTATGTTAAGCAGAAGCGGACTCAGACGGCTGTGAAGTCGAACTAACATGAAATTATTAAAATGCTAAAAACATTTGAAGTTTCCCAGAATATTTCCAAAGTTTTTCCAAAAGGCTTTTCTTGCATCATTATTCTAATTTTGTTGTGCTTGTTAGTGTCCGGGTTACTGACAGCCTGCAGATTCCTGTTACAATTAGTCCTGGCAGCAGTGCCAGATGTTTGTGAGAGAGGAGAGAGGGAGATGTCAAACACCTGTCTGATCACCACGGTGCACATGCTGCTGCTGCTGCTGCTGCTGCTGCTGCTGCTGCAAGAGGCAACACTGCAACAACCACTCCTTGTTAGTTTAGTCTCCTCTTCAAGGTCCGCGCTGCGACTGCACAGCAGACACCTCGCTGACAAACACACCGCAGGTTTTATTTTCAGGATTAGAGGAAATGCAAAATGAGCAAAGACAAGATCCTAACCGTGTCGGCTGGACTCAGGTCTGTTTTTTAGCTGCAGTTTTTGTCAGAGTGGTTCCTGTTAAAACCAGGAAAAGAACAAATCAGTTTTTCTTTCTCTTAAATTTCTTTGTGGTTTTATTTGTGATTTTTTCCCCAGAAGTTGATATTTATTCCTTTTTAATATTCAGCAGTCACAAATTATTGTAAAATCTATTGGGTAATTTTTTAACACTTTGAATTAATTGAGAATTTAGTGTCTGTGAAAAAAGCTAAAAACACAGAAAAGTTTCCTCTTCGTTGTCTCAACTGAAATTTAATCTTCTTTTTTGACGATGTTCCCTCTTCTTCTCGACAAACTCAACATAAATGTCTCAAATTTACTGCTTTTTAAATTCTTCTGTCAGTCAGCTGGTCCATAAAACAATCCTTTATTTGTAAAAGTCTAAAAACTCTCTTTCACGTTTATGTCGTGAATGATTTGTTATGATGACTGTTGTTTCCTCACTTCTCATGTTTAAAGAGATTTGATCTCATTTTTCTGTAAAAGCAGAAATATTTTAGTTTCATTGTCAATTATTCAAGAATAAACTGTCTAATAATAATCATAGTATCATTTAAAATCCCATTTTTAAAGTTACACTCTTCACTGCTTCCACTCTGAGCAGTTACCGTGGTAACGTCATTAACACCGGGGTTTATTGGTTTATGTTCCCTAATCTCTAATAGAGATGGCTGTTGGACCTATATATAAATACACATATATATATATTTATATACTGTAGTGTTACTCATCCTTTCAAGTGTTCAGGTCAGTTACCATGGCAACCTGCACAAACTGGGGCTGAGATAAGGGCCGGAGCTGTGGCCTTGAGGGAGTCGTTAAGCATCTGTCTCCTGACTCCCTCCTTCAGTCTGTGTGAGGAGGAGGAGGAGGAGGAGGGGGAGGAGGGGGAGGCACATAAACAACAGAGGTGGCTCACCCCCTGCCCCCCCCTCTGAGGGCTGACCATCATCACGCTCAGCTAACAGAGCCACCCATCACCCCCCGAGTACGAGCCGGGCCCAGATACAGGATCCTCCCACCGTGAACGAGGTCAGAGGGGCATCTGACTTTAACCTGGTGGGCTGATCTCTGCGAGGGTCCGAATAAAACGACAGGATTTATCACAAACTACAGGAGAAAAAAACAAGTTTTCATGAGTTAAATATGAACATACAGGTCAGACTTTTAGACTTTTACTGAACCTCGATTATCGTACTTAGAACAGCACAGCTGCTCTTCAGTATTTCACTATAAACACTCAGTGCAGGATAATCAGGGTTAGAGCGGGTTAAATGTGCTCCAATGTTATTCTATGTCCTTGTTAAATAAGCAGATGAATAAAATAACTAAACCTCCTACAAATAATGTTGGACTGTCGTATTTTCACTGCAGATTTATCAAAAAGTTACAGAAACGTTTTCTACCAATAATCAGGACTTTTTACTTTCCTCAGTGTGAGTCAGACACGTCACTGTGAAGTCAGGGTTCGAGTTCAGCTGTTGGTGAACCCAAACCCGGCCGTTGGTGCTGAAAAATGAAATATTGCTCCTCGGCTGTACACGTGTGAAGACAAGAGAGATGTCAGAGTTTAAGTTCATCAGCGGATTCTGATGAGGTCGGTGCCGCGGCGGGCGAGAGAGCGAGCGAACACGCCTCACTGAGTTTCAATGCAGCTGCGCTTCTCAAGATGTTCCAATCAAGATGTTAGAGAAGAGTGAGTTTGGTTGAAGATCATGAATTTGTCTAATAGAGTGAGTTTAGGGAGAATAACTGTGAGGGAGTTCTGTGACACTGAAGTCTTTTTATGATTAATAAGATGTTTGATTCAAGTCTTTGATTTTATTCTGTAAAAAAGAAAAAACTCTCTGACCCTCCGAACCTCTTTGAACAGCAGAGTGGAGGAAATATTCGTTTTTTGATATTATATCAAAGACTTTTGACACACTCCTGCTCCTGGCCTTTCTTTTTCACTTGTCAGCAGCCCGGTGTGGACTGAATCCAGCTTTTCTCCCTCCTGAATGAATTAATCATTCTCTAAACACACAAAACAGCACGAGTCAGCTAACAAGAGGCCCCCGCTGCTTGACCACAGCATGTCAATGTCAATAACAGCAACATTTACCGGACTCAACACCAGCGCACAATCAGGGCTACAATTTGGAGGCTGGAGACTCCTTCAGATATCCCAGTCTTACCTGGGGTCTTTGTGTGTTAAAGGGTCTCGTGCACGCTAAGGCCGCGGTCCACCTACAGCCTCACCTAGCCGTGCGAGGACCTGCAGCCGGCAGCCTTGCTTTAGAAACAGATGATAAATAAATCAAAGTGCACTAAGCACTGCTTCCACATGGCAATCGCCTCCTTCATAGCGTCTGCACCTCATCAATCACGCCATTGTCTGCTTGAAAGGCGAGCCTTGTAAATGTCATATCCACTCAAACCCAAGGAGAGGCGGATCAGAATGCAGCTCGTTTTTTTTCTTTTTTTTTAATTGGATAGTGTAATTAAAGTAAAAAAGCAGCTCGGCTGCCTTTTGACAGGACAGATGAAGACCCCTTTTAATAGGGCTATGAAACATATTTGTTAAAAGGATGAGGCAAGATGTACCATATGATTGGGTGCCCTTATGTGTCACACTTCTCATTTATGATTAAAGCTGCAAAAGGTGTCTTTAGGGAAAAATTGTATTTCTTAAAAGGTCTCGATATATATATAAGAATAATTAATGAATTTTTCTGTCCGAATTATGAAATTCCTCCTGCAGCCCTCGTATATCCTCCACTCCAATCAGGTGCATATATCAGAGCATATGTTCAGCAGCATTTGTGAAACATTCATCTTGGGACCGAGCGATTAAGAGAGGTAGAGCTTGTTCTTGATTAAAGTAACAACCCAGAGAGGCCAAGCTATAATATTGATTACATGCACAAACGGGATACGGGTCACTTTGCTACCCACACATGCTTTCTATTTAATTTCATTAGCTGCATTCTTTCCTGATGTACTAATGTTACACAAACACCAAAGGAAAACATGCACACATACACTGCGAAGAAAAAAAACGCTCACTGTCACATGTTCGGGGTCATAAAAGCAACAACACACACATACAAACACACACACAAGCACATTCAATATCCGTGTGCTTTGGAGTTGATTTTGATGGTCGGCGGTGAGAACCTGGCTCCAGAGGTTCCTCCTGAGAGGCCTCTGCAGGAAAGATCGATAGGACAGGGGTGCACGAATAAATCAGCATGCTCTACTGACGTCTGTCATAAAGCTCCCGCCACAGTCGCAGCTCTTAGGTTTATGGCGGCGTTGAGTGTTATTGCAATCTTTTGATAGCTTTGGTTAATTTATCTGATTACAAGAGCACCCAAAGAACAAGCTGCAGTCAACCTTTCACGAGTGTGCATCTAAGCAGTTCTGGGGTTTTAGTGTTTATACGCAGCCGTAAATGTGGCGTGGTGATGGTTAGCAATGAGGTGTGCCACTCTCTCCACTCAGGAAAAAGGACATTATGGGCCCGCTCAGTAAATGCATCTGTGTGGTTAAGGCTTCAAGCTGCAGTGATCAATAGTCCTACATTAACAGTGGATTTGGTGACGATGTTTAATGAAGGAGGTGGACTTTGACCGTCCTTCTACAAAACCTGTAAGCTGTCTTTAACTCTCTGTTTGGGTTTACTGTCTTTCACTTCAGTCTAGTTTATGAATCGATATACTTGTGTCCTAATAATGGATAATGAAGTGTTATCCTATCATATTATCCTAAAAAAGTATAAGTATTGAGGTCAAAGAGGACGTTTGAACACATGTTGATTCTGTCGTTTGTCTTTCGATTGTTTGTTTTTGTTTTCGCTCAGAGGACACATATCCCACTTTATCATCTCTCTGTTATTTGTTGCTGAGAACAGCTATAAAACCCTCTCAGACAATATGAAAGTGAAAACTGTAGACCTTATCCAAAAGGGGCACTTGGCAAAAGTGAATGAACACGTCAGCTACCTCATGGTTTTAAATGAAACTGCATAAAGGCTCGCCCTGCCATTCTCTCTGCTGGCAGCCAGTGTGAATTGTGCTGGAAAATCTATTTTGGAGAGCCGGGCCTTTCAATTCGAAGGGAAAAGAGTGACTGCTGTAGCGACATCAATCAAACCAGGACGCTGCGCCGGCTTTGCTACACAAGTGGAGGGTCCAGAGTTCACGGCTTAAAACAGGCAATATAAAAAAGGTGGAGAGAAGTGGCTGAGCGGGGGGCAGGCTGTTGTTGGTCTCTGCTATCTCCTCAGTGGAAGTGTTGGAGAGGTAACTCCCCCCCCTTCTGTATTAGCTGGACTTCATTAATCTTCATGCCATCTTCTTTAACTAGTCATGTAGAACGGCTCAATAGAAAGCCGTATAATGGGGAAGGCCCAGTGCCAATTACTAGGTTAACATAGTGTTCAGCCCCAGTGCAACAAAGGAATGAGATGGAGGAGGAGAGCCGGCTCACAGGGAGAGATGCACAGCACTCCGACTGACAAGAGATGCAAAGCTGAAGGACCTGCAGTGTTATCTGACCTGTGGAAAATAAAACTATAGTCCAGGAATATATTGAAGTCCCTCCGTCTTAATAAATCTCATATCAAACTGAACTAGCGCCCCACAGGGCATCGATGGACAAGAGTGTGTTTCAGACCATTTGGAGTTGATAGTACAAAAAAAAAAGGAAAAATGTCAAAATTTTTGTGCCAGGTTATGTTGGGTATAGGGTTTAAACCACAATCGCCGACCAGCGATCCGGATTGAAGTCTCTATGTACTGGATTGAAGTCTCTACGATGTTTCGTTCAAAAGTTATTGGCAATTAAAAAAAACCTGTTCAAGTAAATGGGATTGTCCAGTGCTGCTACCCTCTACAGAGAGATTGGGCACAGTTTTTTTTTTAAGTGTTTAGGGTTAAAATCGCTGTCCAGGACCTTTTTAGGAGCCCATTGGAGACCATTTAGATATCTTGGACCAAGACCAAACCAGCTTATTTAGTGTACCCCAAGTTCACTGGATGACAGAATGAAGTCTCTACGATGTTACGGTCAAAAGTTATGGGCAATTATAAAAAATCAGAGTAGATTAAAATAACATAGTATAGTATAGTAAATATGTCATAGTAAAGTGTGACAAAGATACCACAGTATAGTATGTAAAAAAAAATATATCAAAGTTAAGTATGATAAAAATATAATTGTTTTTGTAAAAATATCATAGTATAGAATGTTAAAAAAATCATAGTAAAATATGATAAAAATATAAAATTATAGTACGATAAAAATGTCATACTATAGTAAATCAAAAATGTCATTGTAAAGTATGAAAAAACTGACAAAAATATCATGAAATTGTATGCTAAAAATTGCAAAGTATAGTATGATTAAAAAAAATCATGTAGTAGTATGATAAAAATATCATAGTATATTCTAATTAGTTTCATAGTATAGCCAGGTAAAAATGATATAGAATGAAAAAAAAAGTTAAGTATGATAAAAATATAGTATGGTATTTTTAAATATCATAGAATAGTATGATATAAATGTCATATTATAGTTTGATAAAAATATGTGTGTGCTTTTTTTTAGAGAAGTTTCACCCAGGGTTATGACTGAAGAAGAATGATATGCCTATGATAAGCCTGCTTAGGTTTTAAACCCTGCAACAGCTAACAGTATGATTTTGTAGGCATGAATGTGTGATATGAGTATAGAATGCACAAAACAAATCCTTTTTAGGTTAACTGCTGGACCCATTTGTGAAAGAGGTGAAGAAGAACGAGGAACCAGCCTACATGACAATACCAAGTGTAGCAAACTGTTTGTCTAGAAAGGCGGATCCTCTACAATAAGGGTTCAAGGGAAAGTTAGTCGGGATTCTGAAGCGCTCAGACCTCTGAGCTGTCTGTTTGCGAAGGCGAGCTAATTCCGAACCCTGACTGTTGCACATTCTTGACTCATTGTAATCAATAAATAGAGCTTCAACTGAGAACTCCTTTGAATCCTTGTCTTCTTTTCTTCCCATCAATGACCACGCTGGAAAAGGGTGAAAGGTAAAGAAGGAATTGGGGTCATAGACGTAATACCAGAAAGTGTAAAAGGAAATTTCATATTTTAGCATGTAAAAAAATGTCATAGTATAGTATGATTAAAAATGTCATAGTAAAGTATGTCAAAAATTTCTAAGTATAGTATGATTGAAATGTCATAGCATAGTATGTTAAAATTGTCATAGTTTAGTATGATATTAACTGTCAAAGTATAGTATGTAAAAAATGTCATAGTAAAGCATGTAAAAAATGCATGTAAAAAAATGTCATAGTAAAGAATGATAAAGATGTCATAGTATAGTATGTTAAAAAATGTCAGTAAAGTATGTCAAAAATTTCTAAGTATAGTATGATTTAAATGTCATAGTATAGTATGTTCAAATTGTCATAGTTTAGTATGTTAAAAAAACAGTATAGTATGATGAAAAATATCATAGAATAGTATGCTAAAAATGTCATAGTATAGTATGATATTAACTGTCAAAGTATAGTATGATAAAAATATCATAGTAAAGCATGTAAAAAAATGTCATAGAAAAGTAAGATAAAAATGTCATAGTACAGTATGTTAAAAAATGTCATAGAAGGGTATGATGAAAATATCATAGTATAGTATGTCAAAAAATGTCATAGTATAGTATGATTAAAAATGTCATAGTATAGTTTGATTGAAAATGTTATCGTATAGTATGAAAAAAATGTCATAGTATAGTATGTTGAGAATAACAGTATAGTAATAAAATAGTATAGTATGACAAAAATGTCATTATATAGCATTTTAAAAAATATAGTTTAGTATGTTAAAAATGTCATAGTATAGTATGATAAAAATGTCATAGTATAGTATGATAAAAAGTCATAGTATAGTATGTTAAAAAATGTCAAAGTAAAGTATGTCAAAAAATTTCTTAGCATAGTATGATTTAAATATCAAAGTAAAGTATAATAAAAAATGTCAAAGTATAGTATGTTAAAAATGTCATAGTTTTGTATGTTAAAAATACAGTAAAGTTTGATTAAAAATGTCAAAATGTCATAGTATTGTATGTTAAAAAATGTCAGTAAAGTATGTCAAAAATTTCATAGTATAGTATGATTTAAATATCATAGTATAGTATTATAAAAAATGTCAGAGTATAGTATGATTAAAAATGTCAAAGTAAAGTATGTTCAAAATTTCATAGTATAGTATGATTTAAATAACATAGTGTATTATTATAAAAAATGTCAGAGTATAGTATGTTAAAATATCATAGTATAGAATGATTAAAATGTCATAGTAAAGTATGTTAAAAAATCTCATAGTATAGTATGTAGAAAAATGTCATGTATAGTATGATTGAAAATGTCATAGTAAAGTATGTCAATCATTTCTAAGTATAGTATGATTTAAATATCATAGTATAGTATAGTGAAATATGTCAAAGTATAGTTAGATAAAGATGTCTTGGTATAGTATGGTAAAAATATCATTGTATCGTATCTAAAAACTGTTATATGTATGATAGTATGATAACAATATCATAGTATAGAATGTTTAAAAAAGGACTTAGTGTAGTATGATAAAAATGTCATAGTACAGTATGTTAAAAATAACAGTATAGTATGATAAAAAATGTCATAGTATAGTATGACTGAAATGTCATAGTTTAGTATGTTAAAAATACAGTATAGTATGATTATAATGTGAATAATCTGATAACTCAGCAGATTAAAGACAGTCACAGCTGAATCTCTTTAAAAAGTGAAGTTTTCCTGAAATAAAAAGTCCTGTCTGACTCCTTCAGACTTTTGTTTTTCTTTCACTGCGGTTCTCAGTCATGGTGAGTATCACTCCTGTCATCTTCAGCCTGCATTCACTTTGTTTTTAGTCTTCATTTGCGAGGGAGAAAAATTGTGTCTGAGTAGAAATTTCCAGGGGGGAGAACAAACATCTTGGTCCAGAGGGGGCGCCACCGTTGATACAAACAGAAAACCCCTTACAGGAGTTTTAATCTGTCTTTCTCTGGTACAGTATGATTTATAATGTGAATAATCTGATAACTCAGCAGATTAAAGTAAAGACAGTCACAGCTGAATCTCTTTAAAAAGGGAAGTTTTCCTGAAATAAAAAGTCCGGTCTGACTCCTTCGGACTTTTGTTTTTCTTTCACTGCGGTTCTCAGTCATGGTGAGTATCACTCCTGTCATCTTCAGCCTGCATTCACTTTGTTTTTAGTCTTCATTTGACCAGAGGGGAAGTTTGCTGTGCAAACGACTTGTCATGACTGCTGTCAGAACAAGTACAGTGTTAAACTGTAGTTATTTAATTCCATGTGATTAAAATGGGACTGGGTCCATTTGGGAAGGGCCCGCAGGCTACGGTTTTATTTAGAGGACCGAGATTAAACTCGAGTAAAATGGAAATGTCACACCGTCATGGAAGATGCTGCGGGAGTTGTGAGAAGGATAATATTATTGTGATGTGAAGTGATAATTCCGCCCTGTCCACCCTCATTATCCAGCAGCCCAGTGTATTTCTGGCTCGCAGCTGTAACTGAGCGTGTGTGCATGTGTGTGTGTGCGTGAGAGTGTGTGTAGATGCCCTTTCCTTTCTGCACACACTCACTGCAAACAGGAAACATGAGGAAACACATTTGGCATCGTTGCTTCTGTGGAGTTCTGGATGCACCAGAACCGGGGCAGAGGGAGGTAACAGTACATGTGTGTTTGGGGAGATAAAGGGAGTGGCCTGCACGATTGTGTGTGTGTGTATGTGTGTGTGTACTTGGGCTTATTTGGTTCATCATGTTGTGTTTGCATCCACTCAAGTACACTCAGTGTCAGAAGTAGTCCCCCACACCTTCCACAGTGAGCCTGACGTGAAAACAAAGCAGAGGAGTTCTGCCCTGAATTACATGCAGAGGAGCGACCAGAACAGCAGAGCAACAACAAATCCAGATCCAACAACACAAAGAAATGGAACAAGAGGATGATCTGGAGAGGCTGCACATTCATGCAGACCCCAGCAGGCTGAGATAAGGTATATTTTTGTCTGGCAAGATAAGGCGGAGAAAGCAAACATATTACAGGGCTCAAAATTCTATATCTATAGCTCCTTTTGGTGAGTCCAATAATTCATTCATTCATGGCCTCTGTTTCCTCTGTGAACATGTGCCTCATACATACATCACTGCGCTGATAAAGATCGCAGACAGAATTGGTAATACGCTGTGAATGGGACACTGCAGCACTGATTAAATAACTTCGGTGGCACACTAAAATTGAAGCGGCCGCGGGATGAAAGGGGACTTATCGGGGGCTTTATTAAAGGCAGCAGAGGATGATTTTAGGTTTAGGGTGATGTACACAATTTAAGACACAATGTCCTCAGACACAGCCCAGGGATTTAAAAGAGAAAACAAAAATGGCCTCTCTGACCTCTGTCAACGTATTTCCCCGCCAACACACACATAAAGGAGGAAGTATTATCCAGTTTATACCAGGACTGAAAGAAATCAGCGACCAGGAGGGTTCAGGACTTTGCTCTTTATTAATCCTTTATTATTATAATGATTACGTTTATTCAATGAGTTCTGAAATATCTAATGAAAATGATTTTAAAGCTCCAGTTGGGAACTTTGCTCAGCGAGAATATCTAGTGTGGTAAATAAAGTCTGTTTCTGTTAAACTCTATAACCTCATTATCGCCTCGTTTTAATGCTGTCAGATTTAATTGTTCGATCTCGTGTTTGTTTGTTTGTTGTTGTTTTTACAGGGTTTTCGATCAGAATCAAGTCTTCACCTCCGCTCAGTGATAAACTTTTATACTGCTGTGATGATTCTGTCAGGTTGTCAGATTTTAACCTCAGAAAATCACATTTTTCAGCATCATAAAGCTGTCATGATGTACGAACCTGCTCAATACTGAACATGTCAATAAAACAACGCAGTCAGTCAAACAAGACAAGAGTAGACTGACACACCACTTTATAAACTTCCCTCATAAACAGAATTAACTCAATTAGTTAATAAACAGAATTGAATTTATGATTTATCCTCATCAGCAGCTCTGAGACTGAAACTTTACGCTTTTATTTTGAAGGGCTGAACGAAAACAGTTGATAAAATCAGTAACCTGAGGAGACTCGAGCTCTAATATTGTTTTTGATTCATAATAAATCTTTAATATCAGTTTTTAAAAGCAATAAATAATCTCTCAGAGGGATGCTAAAGCTAGGTCACTAACAGCTGCTGCTTCTTCATCTCTCCTCAGTTTAATGTCGTGTCGTATTTTATTCTTTATTACTGTACGCTCAGTTTTTAACACGATATCTACATTTACTGTTTTTTAAAAGGACTGTTTTAGCCTGGACAGCTCGGTTTTATTGATATCATCTTGTCTTAATCATAATTTGTCTTTTTTTATTTGCTTCACTTACTAAAGATGATTAATAAATTCAGTTATTGTATTATTATTGTTGTTGTCTTTTTTAGGGTTTTCACCAATCAGAATCAAGTATGTATCACAGTAGTGACCTTTGACCTTTACTGTTATGGTGAACACAAACAAACTAATGAATCATGTTACATATTTCTCAAACAAACAGTCCAGATTTGAAGTCCTAAAGTAACAGGGAGGTAAAACCAGAACAGGAGGGTTTTCCACGTCAGATTCAGAATAAGGATCAATTGTCATTCTAACTATTTAAAGTTTATTTCCTTCTAATCACAAATTTGCTGAAAACAATCCTCTGTAACATGAAGAGGACATACAGTCATGATGCACATGAACATAAAGTACTCGATATGAAAACACTGAAAGTTTAAGTTCAGCTTTAAGTTCAAGTTTGAGGATTTATGTGACGCTGCACCTTAATGGACTTCAATATTAACATTTTAATAAAAGGTTTAACAGCCGCTTTCCTTCCTATTCATCTGCTCTGTGCTTTATTGAACTCTTTCCCCGTAGATTTCCTGACAGACCATAAAAGCTTTTATTTTACATTTCCTTTTCTCTGCTCTGAGCCAATGTGTAAAGATTTCCGTCAAATCAGAATCTATTTTACATCGGGCTGAGGGAGATCCTCGGCGGAGTTTAGCGGCTGCAGTTAATCTGCTCTGATGGTCTAACAGGGTTTGTCTGCACAGCATCTCCACAGCCAAATCATACAGTCTGAGGGAGCATCAACCCAACAGATGGCAGTGACACGAATTAAAAGCACAGAACAATAGTAGAATATAAACCAGAAATGACACCCAAAGTGGCTGTTGATTTATAGCCGCAGCCAGTTTGGTACTGGGCTTCCATGTATATTAGTGCTACAAATCTGGGTCCATTTAGCAGGGAGATGCTCATACATACATCACCGACTCCTGCTCCAAGCCAAGGTCAGTCCTTATTGCATCAATCTTTTCAGCAGAGGCTACTCCACACAGCAGCAGTTTTGTAACTGTCGCAGCTGTAATGGAATCTTTTTTCTCGCGCTTCATCTTTCTCTTATCACATGAAATATATATTCAACTTCTCTTCTTTCCCTCATTCTCCTCCTGATTCTTTTTATTTTATCTGTAAAACATTCCCCGGGACCTCATTCCTTTTCCTGAGCGGGAGGGGGGGCGGCGGCAGCAGCGGCGGTGGTGGTGGTGGGGGGGGGGGGGACACACTCCAAGTAGCACAGATTTAACCCCTTCAGGTCTCCCTCCAAACAGAGGGTCACTGTACATTCAGAAGTACGAGGAAATTTACAAAAATAGGGCAAAAAACGATCAACGTCAAAGAGAAATCTGACACCTTTAATATGAATCTACAGTAAGAGGCTGTTTTCTTCTTTTGAGTGTCAGTAAATCAGCTGTTTATCAGTTTTAAAATTGATTATTGCATATTGGTTATCAAACTTAAGTCTCACTGTTCGTCAAGATAAAGAAAAGTCACTTCAGGAAACAGAGAAGTGAAAAAACGATAAAATACGACATGAAATATATCTGCACATTATACATCAACAAATAGAGCAGTATTTTAGAAAACATAGACTCTGTCTGGCCAAAGGTTTTAGGAGTTATTAGTGATTTTGTGCAGCAAACATGAATCTACATTCAGATGTTTAACAGATCAGTACTAAGACTGAAAATGTGGGAAATGGTTAAAATTGCTTAGGTAAGTTAATATCACATGAATTAGGGCCGTAATGATAAACCGGTATTGATTATTGAAACCGGTAACTAGTTTTCGTAATTGAATGAAATATTGACATCCTGCTAAAATTAGGATACAGTAAAACTGGGAGTTTATAGCAGCAGTCCTTTATGGCGGTAACCAAAACTCATAAAACAGCTGAGATGAAGAAGCAGCTGCTGCTAGCGAGCTAGCGTTAGCATCCCTCTGAGAGTTAATTAAAAAACTGACTATAAAGATTTAATATGAATTAAAAACAACATTAGAGTTTATTCTGTCAAACATTTACACTTTCCAACGGTTCATTAACTCACTGGGGGTAATGCACTTCAAAATAAAAGCACATCCAAGCAACCAAAACACAAGACAGAACATATTTCAAAATAAAAGCCTGACAAACGATCGTTTTATAAGAAAACAGCTTCTCCGGAGAGATGAGGATCATCATGAGAGAAATGGATGATGACTGTGAGTTAATTAAGTTTATTAACTTTCTGCTGTAATCTGTTGATCCGCTCTTTTCCCGCCTTTTCTCAGTCTTACCGGTCGTGTTTTTTAAAACTACAAAAATGATAATTGTCATGGTATTAAATGTCATCTACATAAGAGAAGGTCATGTTAAAGGGAGGTCGCCATGTTTCTGCCAATGCAAAACAAAGATGGAGGTGTTTGATGGTAAAAAACATGGAGGATGATCACAGCAGCTTTTAGTCCTCAGGAGGGACAGGAGGGGTGAGCAAGGGGAGCGTGTTCACCTCCCATCTGTGCACACTTTACCTTTAACAAATTTTACAGCTGATATGAATCACATCTAAAGAAGAAAATCAGCAGCAGCTCTGTAACGTTTTCACATGTTACAGTTTCTTTACATTTAAAGGAACACTCAGCGATTCCTCAGTCCTGTGTTTCTTTTTCCTTTATAAAACATCAGGATGTAATTTTTCAGAGGAACTTACTGTGTCATGTTTGTTATTCTCAGGTTGTGATAATGGTCCCTAAAAAAAGCTTCACCTCTGACTGTTCAGGGATAACAAAGTGAAGATTTTAAACACACACGTAAAAATAGATTCGTCTCATTTATAGGATGCTTTGAACAGGCGACAAGACGTTTATTAAAATCCCTCCTCTCCTCTCGTCTGTATACATTATTCACAAAGTCATTTCCCAAAGGTTTGACTCTCATAAAAGCACTTAACATCCACTCACAGTAGAAATGGTTCTTTTTAAAACGGGGAATGTCACTTTTCCTGGATTTTATCAAAAGTGTCATAAAACAGACCCTCGTCTGTTTGTTATTCTGCGCCTGATCGATGAGGCCGAATCACTCGTAAAGAAGTGAAAATGTGAGGCGCTGCTGTACGACGCTGGTGCTGAGTCAGTTTCTGTTGTCCTGATTACTCACACTGTAGCCTCATGTAGTACTTTAATAAATGAAGAAATAATAAAATCAATCATTTTAAATAGCGTTGGACCATTTACAGCGACGGCAGGAGAAAAAAAGAGCAGACTTTTAATTGATGAACTTGACCTGCTTTTCCCTGATAACAAATTTCATTTGTTCTATAAAAATTATGCTCGAGTGACATTATTTGACGGGATCTTTATCACCTGCAGAGTAAATAAGAGTAATTTATGCTGTTTAATTTTGAGCGTGGCATATAAATCAGGCCTCTATCATACATTACAGAGCTCGCATTGATGAGGGGAGAGTGAGAGCGGGGCCAGCTGATTGGGTTGTTAAGGTAGCAGTGCAAAGTAACAGTACCGGCAGAGACGGGCTCTCCCAGCGTGGGTCTGTGCACGGGCAGATTGATGCTCATGATGAATGATGATAAACACCCAGCAGAGCCGAGTGCTGAAAGATAGACTTTTAAATAAATTATAAAGTATGCATCATTAAAAAGCAGACACCGGTGTGATGCAGGAACACATTACAGGTGTGTGTGTGTGTGTGTATTGTTTTCACTGCGAATGATGTGGTGCAGGTACATAATCATCAGTGTAAATCCAGTTGTGCGTTCATGCTACATTGCTTTTGCAGTCATAATAACATGATCAAATGACATAATAAAGTGCAGTGTGTAATAACAATAAAAAAGCTGAAGATATATAGAGCTGCGATGTGACAGAGTGTAATGTAAATTAATACAGACATAATTCCATCTGCACAGAGCTGATTACAGACGTCGCTCTCCTGCAGGTGAAGCCTGGTGGCGAGATGAAGCTCTCTCACACCGGCAGAAGAAGAGCCGCACATCCTCTGTCACCGAGATGGCTCCTGACAAATATCAGTCCGCGGCGATGAAAACATGACAGCTGTCAATCATCGCTTAATGATGGGAGCAGAGCAGCTCGCTCGCCGGGAGTTTGACCTGCGAGGCCGCGGAGACACACACACTCTGATTGATCCATCAGCTTTTATTAACAAATACTGTTTATTAAAGTAACAGCGGCTAAGTCATAACAATAAGTTAGCTAAGACGTGTGTTATAGTAAGGAGTCAGAGTCTTACTTGTAAAAGATGAAACATAGAGAACATCAAACATGGATGTAGCCTCAGTGTGACCACATATTAGTTTGTCAGGAGGTCAATATGGCCGTCACCTGTTTACAAAGCTAGGAACTAATATCCCACAGTGTCAGTCCAATCAGCCACACCCCAATATGCTCAAGGTCCACGAAGCTAGCTATGTTTGTTGAAACGGCGCAGTCTGAAAGCCCTGTGATCGGTCTACTTGGCGCCAACCTGTATAGTCGTCATTTATAAGTCTCCATGTAACCATAACGGATGAGATATTAAAAACTGCAAACCTGTACGGTTCACTCAAACTGTAAGAATTTCGATTTTAACAACTCCAAATGGTTTACCTTTGCCTCAAGTGGACACTGGAGGAACTGCAGTTTTCCACAATAAGACTGAGGATTTTCATTAGTGAGAAGTGAAGTTCAGTAAGTTTTATTTTTATACTTTCAATCTCATATTTTGTTAGGTCAGCAAAGTGTAAAAAAAAGGTGAATAGAAAAGTAAATATGACAACAGCTAATTAGACTAACTTAACTAGATTAGTACAATCACCACGAATTATTCTGACGTCTACTGCACTGCTTTAGATTTAAGTTCAACGTTGTGATACACAGGTGCAAAAACACATGCAACAGGCCAAAATCAATGCAACACCACAGTGCAAATAAAAAAACAAACATGAGAGAAAAGGTGAACAAAGCTGCAGCTGCAACAACTCTACAGACTCTGACAAACAGGAACTGTGTGTGCAAAGACCGTTAAGTTTTGCTGTTTTCTGAAAGTCATTTTTATACTTTATACTTCATATGGACAGGACTATTTTACTTGTTCACTAAATACTTCAGTTTTTAAACTGCATTAATATTTGATGGGATATTTATTTTTGACAGGACAAAATCCTCAAACTTCTCATATCTTACAAAATAAAATCCGGAGAAATTTGACAACAAAGTCAAACTTTCCCTCCAAAGTCCTCTCCCTCTGACTTTTCGACCGTGCACCATAAAGACCACCATCTGCTCTCCGTTCCTCCTCTGCCGCAGCAGCAGAGTGAGTCCTGCTCTGAGGTCTTGAATCTGCTGCGGTGCAGAGTGTTGTGTATTCAGATGAAGAAGGATTAATAACGCTCTTCCTCCTCTCGTCTCGTCCTGCAGAGCTTTATGAGTTCCTTCGATCCCTGCCTTCAGAAGCCATTAGCGCTCTTCCTCCTGAGAGATAGAAGGCAGAGCAGCCCGCAGCCACAGTGAGAGTCCTCTTCCTGCCCTAACTAGAAATGACACAATGTCGATAAGTATACTGATTATTCTGCCCATTTGTTTTGCGCAATGCAGTTAACGAGCTTTATTATACAAAAGACATTGTGCAAACCCAATAACCATTCTTTATCATTTGTTTTGATGAGAGTAATAGAGTGGCTGATGTGGACGGCCGGCTCTGTGGAAACTTCTCTTGGAGGAGCTCAGGATGGATGGCTTCACCCGTCTGCAGGACCATCTGAACGTGAAGTGTGTTGGGATAAAGAGAGCGGCCTCAGTCCACTCCATCCTCCTGAAGTGTTTGTGTTTCAACATCAGCTGTCCTCCCAATCCACCATTTATCTTCCCTGAACTGTCCTAACCTTTCCAAGCTCCCACTCATGACAGATCTTAGACACAGAGGGCCAAGCCTCACCGTGAGCCGGCTACAGTATCATACACACAACTGTCAGTGGAAGAGGAAGCCTGCACATGGCCCCGCACGCTGGATTGGCCTCCTCGTATACAGCCACATAAATCTGAGCAGCATCAGACAGGTGGGAGGAGGCTCTGGCAGATGTAGGCATGAGGGATGGAGGTAGTGATGCTTCAGACAGGTCCTCTTCTCAACCTCTGGCCCCGTTTCTCCACGCAGAGAGGAAGGGTTGTGGGAGTCTGAAACTGCGGTGAGTAGAATCCGGGTCCCGGGTTCTGCCTGTCAGGTGTTTGAGGGAGCAAATAAAATGTAGATGTTTAGATTTAAATGTCAGCAGAAATAAAGGAATGATGGTAAAATATACTTTTTTAAGAAGCAGAGACAAAAAATAAAGAAGGACACATTATTTAATAACAATAATAAACCTTATCATACCTTATATTATATTATACAGTGTTGTATCAAATCTCATTGTGCTGTATCAGAGTCTATCATAATGTGTTGTATCCTATCCTGCCTCATTGTGTTGTATCATCTCTTATCATATTATCATCTCTCTATCATTTATCATATTAAATACTAAAGGTACTAATGACCTACCATGCGGATCATATAATGTTGTATTATTCTGTACTCTGACATATTTAATATAATATTATTGTGTTATATCAAGTCATAATCTTTGAAGGTAAATATTGTATTTTATTTGTCAGACTGTATTGTACTGTATTCAATCATTTCATGTTATATAATGCTGGATCATATAAAGGTGTATTGGTACTTATCGTATTGTATTTATAATGTAGTTTATTGTATCATGATTTTAGATAATGTACTTCTAAAGTAGTTTTGCATACTACCAAATATTATATTGGTTTCAAATAAGTATAATGTCATATTGTATTTTATCTTGATTGCATCTTTATATCATGCTGTATAATTATTGAATCTATTGTATCATATATGTTGTATTTTATCATTGTCAGTTTTATTATATTATTACTATATTGCATTATCAAAGCATATTGTTATTGTCTTATAACAGTATCATAACCATGTTATGCTATTTTATCATCAAAGTGTTGTTACCATACCACTATTGTATCATTATTGTTAGTTTTATTGTATCATTACTGTATTGAATTGGTAGCATAGCATATTTTTATTGTCTCATTATCTGGAATTATCATATTGTTATTCTATTCTATTGTATCATTACTGTGTCGTTATCATACCACTATTGTATCATATCATTATAGTGTTGTAATGTGTCACTATTGAATCATGTTGTATAGTATTGTTATTGTATCATTACTATGTTGCATTATCATAGCGTATTATCTTGTTATCATATCATATTGTTATTCTATTGTATCATTATAGTGTTACCATATCATTATTGTATCATATTGTACAGTACTGCTATTATATCATATTGTATTGTATCATTACTGTATTGCATTGTTATCATAATGTTAATTATTGTCTCATCAATGTATCACTTTTCTATTGTCTCATTATCATATTGTTATTCTATTGTATCATTAAGGCATTGTTATCATACCGCTATTGTATCGTATCGTTAGTGTGTTCTATTGTATCACTATTGTATCATATTGTACAGTATCATTACTGTATCACATTGTTATAATGTATTGTTATCATCTCATGTCTGTATCATTATAGCTATATCAGTATTTTTCCCTCCTGTTCTTCGTCTCAGATGTCTCTGAGTAAATTATTCAGTGATGAGATGTCGTAACACCTGAGGTTCTTTTTGACATTCATATTCAATTACAAAAAGAAGAGATCTGCTTTTGTTCAGATGTTTTTCATCAATTAATCGAGGATCCTTTTGGAGGTTCAATTCTTGAGCTGAGTTTGAAGAGAAGAAAAAAAAAAAAACCTTGGTCTGTTCTCGGTGATGGAAAAAAACAAAACCATGAGATCTCTTCTTGGATTCGTGTTTTCCTGCGGGGATAGCTGAGAACGTCATTTCTAACCGAGAGTCTTAAATGAGCAGTTGTGAAGCGTGCTTGATTGACCGAACCTTACAGCTTGTCATCTAATCAGCGGGCTAACCAAGTCTGTGCTGTTTTTACCTTGTCTCTCACTCTGTTGTTGTTGTTGGAAAGCTGATGGACCAATCTACTTCTCTTCTCTCACAGCTCCAGCCCAGATGCCAAAGTGTGAGAGGTGTGGGTGATTCACTGGGCTGGATGTGCCATTTTTTCAGTTTGTGAATACTTTTTTTTATTACATGTTAAAAATAACAAGAAGGAAATGAAAAGGCCAAGAGGACGTGCTGCAGAATAACCAAGATCTTAATGTGTGTGGCCATGAAATGTAGCGCGGCTCCATGTCACTTACATTCACATTTCACAACGTGGCAACTTGTCATCCCGCTCAGCGGCGTGGTCCTCTCCTGTGGGCACAAACAGTGAGTGTATGTGGGTGAGTTACAACAGACTCTGGCTTGTTACTTATCTTTATGTGAGCGATATGACAGGCTGACTGACGATGATCTACTGAGTTTTGTTGGCCCTTCTTTACCGTCCGGCAACTATCTGACAAACTTAATTATCATTATTACACCAGGCTATAGGCCTTTTTTAAAGCTCTCATGTGACAGAGGGGTGAGGACAACACTCAGACTCTGTGTCAAGTTTTAAAGAGATACCTCCGTGCTTTCACAACTCTATGATGATTATTCTCAGAGAATTATTTTAGAGTTTAAATTGATTCTACTTTTTTATATCCGAGGTGAGAGAGTTTCTGTGGTTTTATTCTGTCTTTGGTAATAGTCTTGTGTAAGTCATTTAATAGTATATCTATATATCACTATATATCACTCCCACATACATGTTTTAAAGTGTCTTTATTTACATTTAACCTTTTAACTGATGCTAACTAAAAAAATGAGCCAACCAACTAAACTAACCAACCAAGGTCCTGTCCAATTAAACCAACCAAACAACAAACCGACCAACTACCTAACCATCAAACAAACCGACAAACGTGAATGACCTTCAACCGACCTTCAACCAACCAAACAACCTGCCATCCATCTAAACTTAGCAGCTAATCAACCAACAAACAAATCAGCCAACCAATGAAACTGACCAACTAACTCATAGATAAAACCAACCAACCCACAACCCTCCTATCCTTGAAAACTAAACTCCCAACTAACTAACTAACTAACTAAACTCCCATCCATCAACTAACCTACTAGTCAACTAACTAACTAGCAACGAAACTTACAAACCAACCAATAAAAACAACAAACCAACAACCTCCCAGTTAACCAACCAACTCATCAACCTAACCTTCAAACTAACTAACCTCTGTCACATTGTAAAGATTGTTGTGGACTTCAAGAAGAACAGCTTCAGCAGTATTTCATCTTACAGGTGACGATTCTAATAAACTAAACTTAAGTTAACTTAAGTAAACTAAACTTAACTAAAGCAACCAACTGTGATGGAAATGATGTATCATGTTTTAATGTATGATCGTGATTAATGAAATGCTCACAGGAAACAAACAGGCTGAGTGATTTTCAGAATGATATGTAAAAAGTTATTTATGGAGTTCCACAGGGTTCTGGTCTTGGACGCTTTTTGAAACACAGCCTACTTTTACACCCGAGCGGAGGGTGCATCATATATCGAGTTAACTGAAGAATTTACTCATATGTAGATGATATGCTGCTTTCATGATATTACCCAGAACAGTTATTATTATTATTATTATTATTATTATTATTTTGATCCCTCTCCTCTTCACTAAGGGACATAATTTTAATCATAGACAGAGAACAGGTCTTCACAGTCTCAGATGTTTCCCCAGTCCATCTGAGGTTAGCAGTAAAGATGTTGCACTAAGGAGTGGTGGTGGTGGGGGTGGAGGCTGTTTATCAGCCATCTCCTTGATGGGTTAGTATTTCAAAAGACCTTGGTCCAATCCATTAGGGGTGTAACAGGAAAACAGGATGTTCCTCTCCTGTCGAGCTAATTAGGTTTTTTTGAGGGAACCCTCCATATCCTTAAACTGCTGTGGGGATCCAGATGTGCAACTAGGCTAATGACTAACTGGCTAACAAAGAAAAATGGGGCTTAGTCCTGCAGCAGTCCAACAAGTCACTTTCTGCAAGGTGACAGTAAATATTCAGTGTTCATGGAGCTCGACCGACCCACAGAGTACAGCCAGGTCAGAGCGTATGTAAGCCTCCCTATTAGATTCATGCAGAATACAGTGATTACAAGTCCATTTACATGTGGTAACGTCCTCAGCGCGGAGACAGAGGAGATGAAAAGTGACCATGAGAGGATGGGAGTGGCCCGGGGGGTGAAGGGTGAGAAGGCGCGGCAGTGTTGTGCTGAAGCCTCGTGTCTGCTTTGAGGAGGAGTAGAGCTGACAGAGGCCACCTCAAGAGACTCTTCACTCTCCATCAAAGCGCTGAGAAGAAGAGGCAGGGTCTGTCAGGGGTTCCCAATTCCTCGCGAGCACCCACATGCTGCACCTCCCACCCTAAACACCTTTAGTCAGTCTCGGAAAAGCTCCTCACGCTGCCACAAAGCCTCCAGACTCATTGGCAATGCATGACCAATCCCCAGCTCCGGCTCCCAAACATCAGCAGAGTTTAGCACTTAGAACATGACAGACACGTCCGGGGGCTTCGTTTCCTCACAGTCTGAAAACACTGGGATCATATGTAGCTCTGCAGCCTGATACAATCTTAAAACACTATATGTACAGCGCTGTTTCACATTAAATCATCAAACTATTTTATATCATATATGATAAAAAACCTCAACTGTAGAGGCATAAAAGATACGATTGCACCCTGAGAAAGCAGCCGGAGCAAATCCAGACAACCAATTTGACTTGCTCCCCCAGCAAATTGAGATTCCTTCACCTGCCTCCACCCCCTCCTCTTGAACGGGGGCTATCAGTTTTAATTTTCCTAACTTTCGCTTTTCCGTCAAAATTGGGTAGGAGGAAAAAAGGAGGGATGTAGAAGCCGAGACCACCATTCCAAGTTTTATCTGGTCCACAAAATGCCGTTATCTTAGCGCGGTGTCAAGAACTCTATCTCTTTTTTTCCAGGTGACAGGCCCAGACGAGAGATAAGATTGGAAAAGAATCCCACTCCACTGAGTAAATAAATAATCAATACTCATCTAAATGTAAATGAGAAAGTAGCCCCCTTTGATAGGAGGGTTTTTATCAACCAACCAATTTTCTACAGGCACTCACTGGGCCTCAACCAAATCACCATCATTCAGCTCCCATGTAATGGATAAGAAAGGGGGTGGTGTTGGTGGGGGGGGGGCTGCAGGGGGGGAGAATAGAGGAAGGGTCATCTCGGATCAGCCGCGTTCAGAGGGCTGCATCGATAGCACAGCGCCGACCACGGCTGTCTGCACATGCTCTGTTTGAGAGGAGATCCTGATGACAGACATGTGACATAACAACCATGATGGAGCTGAACGTGACGGAGGTCCTGAAAGAAATACAGTGTTTTACAGTAAAAGTGAAATAATCTCACTTTAATCATCAAACTAACTACAATCTTTGAAAGTCAGAGTCAGAAACAGTTTGAAGGTTTCCTCTAAAAAAAACGTGATTATTTCCTGATTTGTAAGATCGACGTTCTGCTCTTTAATAATCTGTAAAACGACCACATGGACCCGCTGATCAGATCCTGTCAGGTTAAATTCCTGCTCTGATGATTACTCCTGCTCTCTCTCTCTCTCTCTCTCTCTCTCTCTCTCTCCTGTTAACATTTTTGATACCTCTGCACTTTTCCCTCCTTTCTCTCTTTTTTTTGACGTTCTTTACACAAAACAACATTTGCATTTTGCTGTCATCAGAACGCGCTGCTCTGACTTTAAATTGATCCAATAAAAACCCTCAAATAGCATTTTCCTCATCCTCATTGCATTAGGTTTTATTTCATAACTCATAGATGTCAATAATGGAAACCATTATAAAGCAGTATACTCAATAACAGAATTTTCCTGCTTGAAATGCATGCAGTATTGATTTCGTGTTTTTCTAGGTCCATAAGGGCAAGTAGTGTGGTGGAGGCTGTTTTACTGTACTGGGTGGAGAGCATGAGGAGCTGCAGGGAGAGCTGCAGGGCTACGAGGAAAAACAACACCGTGTTTGGACGGAGTGAGAAAATATAAACGTGTGAATTTAAGAAAACAAATTAGACTCAATCATTTCAACATTTTTACAAACAACCACGTGTTTTTCTGAACCGTCCCGGGTCTCTGTGGATGCAGGGTGTGAGTCCTGTGCAGAAAAATGCTCATTTTTCAATTACTGTCCGCTGTTTGATAAAGTCTGAAATGAAATCGGACAGCAGTATTTTTATAACATCTGTGCAGCGTCTGAGGCTGGTACTGTAGCGTTCCCGGCTCCAGGTGAAGCTGTGGTCTGCGGTCGGGCTGCGTTTGATTTTTATTGTGCTGAATTGGAATGACAGAGCAAAGCATTTCACAGAGTGTGTCTTCCATTTCTTCGCTGGGATCCCTCCAAGCTAGCCGCTCGCGTCCCAGGGGAAACAGACCCATCCAGCTAATATGCCATAAGCTGACAGGCCTCCTCTGAAATGTGTGTTAAAGAGGCGCGTTTGGAAACATAAAGGCATTCTTCAGAAGCTGACGCAATTCCTTTAGAAAATCACACCTCTCTGAGCGTGCAGCATGCTCATCTGTTCAAACAGGGACGCCGTTTTTAAGCAAATCCACATGCAAACAATAACCCATTGTCTTTGAGAGATAATTGAAAAATTCCTGTTAAAGTAAATAAAATAAAGAGACCAACTTCTACATTCAGCACATGAAGGCGACAAAGTCAGAGCGAGTCAGAAAATGGACTTTGCGGTGTTATACGCCTCTGACTCACTGATATCTATGCAATTTAGCAAGTACACGAAATTGCCCCAAGTTTCTCCAACCTCAGCTGTAATCCGCTCAAGGAGGATTTGCAGACTGTTCCTCCAAACCGTTTTAAATCAGACAGAAATGCGAGGGGGAGAAAAAAAAAAAAATCACACTTTAAACGGAAATCTTGACAGGATGGTGCAACGTTAATGTTCCTCTGCAGCTGCTTTTGTTTAAATCCGGCGCATTCACACCTCTTAAAAATATTGCATCAGCGCCGGTTTATAATCTGAGTGCAGTTTGACTCTTTGATGGTCTTAGAGAATAAAAAACCACGCAGCTTCTCCACTTATTTTCATAAGAATTACAGAATACCAGCATTTATCATGCAACACAGGCCCGGCTGAACGGTAACATTTAGACTCTGAGGCTGTTATTCACTTTACACAAAAACACTGAAGCCAGAACTTTTAAGCACAAGAGGCAATATTGCTGTTTCATGGAGCAATCTTTCACAAGCACATTGTTCAACAACAGAATCAGCGGCCGTTTAAGGACCAATACTGCAGACCATAACGCCTTTATCGTCGCTGTTGTCAACTCAATTCTCCGATTCCAGCCCACACTCGGGCTCCTCTATTGAAGTGTCATCTGATCTGCTGAATTACTGACAAGGCCACAGTCGTCTCCGCACGGCTCTGCCTTTCTCTCTCCACCGGCGGCTGCATTACGCTCACCTTCAGGAAGGAATAAGAGTCTGAGGAACAAAAACGCTGGAGAGCGATCAAACTCTGGGTAAGAGAGTCTTTATCTGCAGGAATGGATTTCTGCACGTCACCTTAAAAATCTGAGTCAGGGTGGAGA